TTATCTTATTTTTATTTTATGAAAAAATATTAACGGATAACGTAAAAGCCGTGTGGTGGTGGATTTTAAGGTTTTAAATAAAGTTATTATACCGGATTTTTATTTATTATTTTCCTAAAACGAGATAATAAATAAGATATGCGGTAAGAAATATATTATTATTATTAACGAATTAAAATTCTTTTATTAGTTTTAGGTTTAACTTTTATATTAAAACTAAATAATGATTATATCATTAAAGGGGTTAAAGGTGTTAAAAGTTGTTTTTATGGGTTTTTATAATAATATATCCTTTGCGTAGAGGTTTATAAATTAGAAATTATAAGCGTTTTAAGACTTCGTTTGTACATATATAAACGATATTACGGTCGGTTTTATTTTTACGGATGTTTATTTAAAATATTTAAATAAGTTATTTATTCGTTTTTAAGATTTAAATTTACAATTAACTACGGCAAAGTTTTTTATTAAATATTTAATTATTTAATTATTTAGGTTTATAATTAATAACGTTAATATAAGCTTAACGTAAAACCGGATAAACGTTTTACGAAAAATCGTTTAACTTATAAACCTTTGCGATTTAAAAACGTATATTGGAATAATTAGGTTTTTAAGGCGTTATATTATCTAATATAATTAAAAGGTCGAACCGTTGCAAAAGTGGAAGACGAAATTAATTACCGATTATTAAAATAATATTAAAAACGTCTTAAAAATATCGATAATTAAAAAACGATAAGCGAAGAACGTTACATTTAAACTTACGATAATAAAAATAAAAGCCTTTTATTTTTTTTAAGCTTAATTCACGGATTTAATTTATTTAATGTATTAAAATTACGGCGTGATTATATTTTTTAAAATAAATGTTTCTTTAAAATAAGGTTATAACGTTATAGTTTTTTACTATAAGGACGGATGAAACGATAATATATTTAATGTGAATAATATATATTTAATTTAATTCCTTAGTAAAATATTCATTAAAGCGAAAACTAATTATTAAACCATAAAATTAAAAGTGTTTTACTTAATATAAACTTATTAACATTTTTAGGTGTAAGTTTAATTATGTAAATATCTTATAATAATTTTAACGAATTATAAATCCACCCATGGCGTGGTAAATTAAAGTTTTTTACGTTTTATTAATTTAACTAAATTAAATATACGGTTTATGCTAATTTTAATATATTTATTTTAATTTTCCTTAAACATTTAATATATTTCCGGTTAATTAAATTTAATATTAAATACTTTATCCCGTTTGCCGATACTACTTAACCCCGACGACGAAAAGGAGGTTATTAAGGAAATAAAAAACGTTTTAAACGATATTATTAACGATTTTAATTACACTTCTTAACATTACACACCCTTTATCCTTAATTTAAAACCTTTTATATTTTCCCGTTTAACACTTAATAACACCGGATAATATAATTATAACTTTAACGTAAAAAATAATAACTGCGATAAACATTCCTTGCTTTTACCGCTAAATTTTAACTATATAGTAAAAACATACGTTTAAATAAACGACGTTAAAAAGCAAGTCATAATAATAAAATATATTAACGATTTTTATCTTATTAAGATTATTATTAAGTTAAGGGTTTAAAAATAAGCGTAACGTTTGGCTTAAAATTTTACATATATATTTAAGAACGACGGCTTTTTTTAAATAAAAAAGCGGGATAATTATTAAAGGTTATATATTCTTAAAAGCTAAGTATAAGCATTTTTTAAGGCGGTCCATAATAAAAAGTACCATTTTAAACCACGTCGTATAACATATAACTTAAACGGCTTTAACGTTTAATATTTAACAAAGAAACTACGTTAATACCTCGCCTATTATTTGTATTATTAACTTAATTAAATAAATTACCGAAAAACCTTAAAAGAATTAAAATCGATTATAAAGCTTAACATCCCTTACTATAAGATTTATATGGATTTTATAGTCGATTTACCTAAGGTTAACGCTAAGGGGACCATGTGGTATATACCGGGTTACGATTATTACGATTCTTTTATAACGGTTATTAATAAGTTTAACAAAAAAACCTTATTAATTCCCGGATATTTAACGTACACCGCCGGGGATTAAACTAAGGTGCTTCATAAAATGCTTATTACGGCAAATTAAGGCTTTTTAATAAAAATAATTACAAATAAGGATTAAAAGTTTATTAACGAAGTATAACAAACGTTTTAACGTTGTAACGGTATTAAAATTATTATAATAACGGGCTATCATGCTTAAACGAATAATGCGAGTAAAAGGCGCAACTAAGATATTAAAATTACAATAAGGTTTTAATGTATTACCTTTTTTAACATTTTTTAAAATAAAATATTAAACGTTTTTTAACATAACTTTAATAACTTTTATCACTTGGTATTTAAGAGGTTGCTAAATAAGGTTATATTAGGTTTTAAGTCTTATACCTTATTATCCATTTTAAAAGTGGACATTGGCGTAATAAACTTTAAAGTTTAAAGGGATATATATTAATAAGAAGTTTAAGCCGTTATTAACTATGCTACGGTTAACGTTAAAATCCGTTATAATATTAAGTAAAACCTTTAATAATTTAACGTCGAAAAGGAGGTTTTCTTTAAGTTTCACAAGGGTTATTATTTATTTAAGAAATCGGAGTGGAAGTAATTTAAGTAACGCGTAAATCCTTTTATAATTATAAAAAAGATTAAGGATTTAACCTACGAGTTAAATTTTCTACGATATTAACGGATTTACCGTGTTATTTTAATCGCTTACCTCGCTTTTACACCTACCGGTGCGAACCCCTAATTAAAGCGTTAGTTAAAACCGGGCCAAGTTTTTATCGACAAGGATAATAATAACTTAGTTTTATATAAGATTAAAAGACTTAAAAAACGTCGAATTAACCGCGTTAAAGGACGCCCCATGTTAAAATATCTGATATTTTAAAAAAGTTACGGTTTAAAATTTAATAAATAATATTTAAAACTACTTCTAATGTAAAATGTTACATAACTTGTTAAGGAGTTTAATAAAAATTACCAACTTATTTTTAATAAGTTAAAGCTAATTAAAAAATTAAATTTAACTAATAAACTAACCCCCACATATAATATTAATACCTTTACCATAATCCTTTTAAACGACTAATAAGTTAATTAAAAAATAATCCACATCGTTAAAAAAGGGCGGGGAAGGCCGAGAAAAGCCAAACAAATTAAATAAATACTTAAATTAATAATTTTAATCGGATCGTGATAATTCTTAATTACAAGTATACACAAAAAAAAAAAAAAAAACAAAAAAAAAAAAGGCGTAAGGGTAATAATAAAGCTATTTGTCATATACCCTTAAACGCTCCTTTTATTAAAAGTAGCTAAATATATAAGTAAATAATTAAGGTCTTTAAATCTTAACTAACCTTTCTAATATAAGCTTTTTTAATCTAATCTTATAATACTTATACTAAGACTAACATACGACATATAATTAAAAAAATATTTAAAATTAAAACTATTAAATAAAATTTAAGTTTAAAAGTTTTAAAGGTGTTAAAAGCTTTTAATATATTTTTAAAAGTTATTATATACTTTTTAAACTATTATTTACTTTTTTAAATAACTTTATAATTAAATATCGTTTTAATTTAAGACTTATATTAATTAATTAATAATTAAATACTTTTTTACTTATATTTAATTACACGTTTATAATTATATATTTTAAAAAGTTATTTAAATTAAATTAATATAAGTAATTAAAAGCGTTAAAAGCGTTAAAAGCGTTAAATAAAAGTTAAATTTAAAATTAAAAAAATATATAAAAATATAAATAAAGCCTTAATAATAAAAAATAAAAGTATAAATAATAACACTTTTTAAATTAAGTTTATAATTATTTTATTATAATATTTAATTTTAAAGATTTTTTTATTTAATTATAACGTTTTAATTTATTTTAATTAAAATTATATTAAAAATTATTATATTCGTTAATAATTATAATATAATAATTAAATTAAATCGTTTTAAATTAAATTTTTAATAAAAATAATTATAATATTTAACCTTAAAAACTTTTTTTTATTTAATTATTATATTTAAAAAGTTTTAAAAAACGCAACGTTTAAAAAGCTTTTTTAAAAAACTTTTAAAACGTGTTAATTATTATTTATTATAATCGCATAAAACACCGCGTTTATAACGTTAAATAATAATTAAAATAAAAGATTTAATGTTTTTTATTTAATAGTTATTTTATTTAATTATAAAAAAGTTAAAAAGAAAAAAAATATTTATTAAAATATTTTTACTTTTATATAATTTTTTATAATAAATATTTTAAATAATGTTTAAAGCTTAAAAAATAAGTGTAATTTTAAAGCTTTAAGCTTTAAAAATCGTATTTATTATAATAACGTTAATAATAATTTAATTTAACTTAATTATAAAATAACTTATAATTTATAATTTATAATTTATAAATATTTTTAATTTTACATTTAAATTAATTAAAAACTTAATAATTTTAATAAATGAGATAAACTTAATTAAATATTTTAAATTAATTAATGAATTAATTAATTAATTAAATTAGTGGTATTTTAACTAAAATTTGACATAATACGCTTAAACCATAAGTCTGTGTTCACTGAGATAACCTAAATCCGCAGTAAAAGTACTTAGCTTTTTGTCCGCAGTATGGCGCTAGTAGCGCAGCTCCGGCGGCTCCAGTACACACCAAGTTGTCAATCAATTGCGACCCATTCAAACCATCTTCAAATTCTTGATTGAAGCCAACAATTTGAAGGGCTCCATTCAAGGAGTAAATTGATTCCGGTTGCACGATTGCAGCTGCTCTATTGCAAGAGTTATCCATGGTTGAAGTTGCAACCAGTACCGTGCATGGGCCACCTACGTTACCACCTTGATTGAAGACTTGATACAGTAGCGCCCGAAGAGATCAATCAAAGATCAATTAAAATCTTAATCAATACAATTATTGGAGATCTGAGACATATATCAATCAATTCGTCTTGTCGAGGCGACAAGGACGGATGTCTTTTGGGATTTTCAAAAAATTGTTTGGATGGGTTGAAGTGGATTTGGTATGGCGTTGAATTGGGTGTGGCAGAGGTACTTGTGCGCGCACCTAATTTGTGTGGGAGATCAAGTAGCACTGGGGACGAAATGCATGTACTCCTACTGCGGATTTAGTGTTGCTCATTTTTTATTAATAATAGCTTATAATAGCTTAAGGCTGCTATGACAATTTATTTCACACATGGATTATTTTTCCCAATATTTACACACGATTAAATTATCCGCTCGCGAGCCCGAGATCCGCGGCCTTATCGCACAAGGAGCCGAAGATGTGCGAGCAATATTATGCCAGCCTTGGGGGGCTGACGAGGTGTTATCATATGTGCGACGTGAAATCTCTGCGGCTGAGCACGCTCGCCAGGTAACAGGCATCATGTGGTACCTGACATCCATAGCCGTGGAGCGCAACCAGACATTTCGAGCTGGTGCTTTTGTATGTCGTGATCCCCATGGTCGACTATCAGCGTACTTCCGGGGCATTGGCAGATTACGGACTAGCAGCCACCTCAAACGGCAAAGCGCCTCAGGCTGTACGGGCGGGGTTGACCTCTTCGCGGGTGAAGATGATTTACCACCGCTCGCCAATGGCCATCGACATGTGCTTTACATTGCTATTCTGCACGACGAAAGGCGTGGTAGTTGCCTGTTTCTTAAGCCGGAGCACTATGGCGTCTCCAGCCTTTCAGATCTAACTCACCATGCGGTGCGGTACGCTAAGTCGTTGGTGCGGCGATATTTCGTCCATGGCGGTAATGAAATCGTCGGCATGCGAAAGGAACGTATTCCGGATCAGTTCGTACGCGACTTCCGGAACGCGGTTGCCAAACTTCCTGACGGGCCGAGTGCTATCGCCGAGGTAGGCTGTCGCGGCGATGGCGAAGGAATTGGATACATGCACGAATACCTGACTGATAAGGTGGATGATGTGACTCTCTCGGAGTCAGACCGCGACTTGTTGCTCGCGATTCTCCTTCGCCTTAGGTCGGAGTATGACTTTGTCGCTTTGCGATTCGGTAATGAGGTGTTCCTTGACCTCCCCGCCGATATCTCTGGAGATCTTCCCCAGGCGCCTGGGGTGTACGGTCCATCGAGATCACTGCAAGAATTAGGTTCCTACTCCGGTGAAGAGACTCGCGAACTAGGGACTCCGCTGATGGGAATTGTTTATGTGCCGTCCCGTATCTCGGATCAGTCGGTTAGCAAAGAATCGACACAAGCAACCTTGGATAAAATCCAGGGATGAAACAATAGGGAATGGAGCTTTCTACTGGACTAGAGGTATTAAACATATGGGCTAATGGTTAGTTTATTAAGTGTGTTGGTATATTAAGCGTGTTCACTGATGTTCTTCGCAAGACTTGTTTTGCTAACTGAATCAAAATCATCCCCTGAAAAGGGGCTATTCACTCTAATTTGTAGACATGATGGTGACCCAGTTTTGCGGCTATTCTCCACACCCCCCTTAAACAGAACTGAGCTTTAGGCCATCTTGTCTGCCGATTGCTTCGAGCTGTGCGACGGTCTCCTTTGAAATAGATTTAGAACGAAATCCAACATTGATCTACTCACATCTACCAGAGAATCGGAAATGGAGTAAATAACCAGAACAAAGATGGCGACGGGTATTGAAATGGCAAAGTACAACCAGAATTTCTCTTGTCCGGGACCGTAAGGCTCCGACATGCTGAATAAAGACGAAATCACCGACAATGGAACAAAGACTAGGCCGATAAAGGTCAGATTCCTCGACCTTTCTGCTGTTAGCAACGAGAGCTGCTGTTCTCTGAATGCCTGTCTGTTTCCGGCAATGCTGACGAGACCAGTAATAGAAGAGTTAGCTCTGTCTACTGACTGCCTAATCCAACTGAAGCGGTGATATAAAAAGCGGAAGTCAACATCGACATCTTGCCATGAGCTGATCTGGTTGAAGTCGGGTGGCTCAAGTGGAACGCGAAGCTGAACGAGTACTTCCTCCAGGTCTATAAAAAAGTGACCGAGCCGTCGCTCTAGTGTCTGGGTATCGCTCCAATTCGCCTCCACCGCCGACAAGTCGAAGCGAGCAAAGTTAGATTGACGACCCATGCCTCGCAAAGTTTCCATCACGTTCTTTCTAAGATAGTCGAAATGCTTTGTGTAGTGGCTCGCGATGATTTTTTTGAGGAATAGAGACACCGATTCCGGTCTCGACATATCTACGAGGTTATGGTGTGTAGTGAGGTAGAAGAGCATGTCATTGGCGATTGATGTCCTCGGCGGTCCTCGGCGGCACCGCACTTGAGCATCAAGTGGAACGAAGTCGATATAACCATCCCCTGGAAGCCCTGGGGTGACTGGGACTACGAGGCCCTTCATAGGACCATCATCTAAGATTTTGATCCTACGGATTGGGGGGTCACACATTACGATACCTGATGTATATCAACTTAGAAAGAAGACCTGACAAGAGGAAGAGGGCAAAAGAACCTACTGTCCCATCCGCTATTAGCTGATCTAGCTCGGCTCCAGAAGACGCACCTCCGGTGGATGATTCCTGCGCTGCCGAACGTCCCATTGAGTCTTGTGGTCCGGATGATTCGTGCTGTGTCCGGACACCGAGCTCGAAATTTGTCACGGATCGGTTCCGGCAACAAAACCATTTCTTGATAGCTCATGCATAAGTAGCCCCTGCTGGCATGGCTCGAAGCTAGCAAACTCGACTGACCTCGGTCTGGTGGCACGGCAACCGTGGTGATTCTTTCATAGTCTATAAAAATAGACGGGTGTAGGCCGAAATACGGACCCAGAACGCCGACGAAATCGTGATTGGCACCTTCGACGATATAGACACTGTTGCCTTGGGTTTTCGACTGACTGTTTAGATATAGCCGCAGCGTCTCAGAATCATTAAACTCGCGTCGGACCAAAGTCGCAGATGCTTGTCCATTGGACTCATTCTCTTGCCATTCAAGCACTATCACGCGACATTCCCGATTCGGCCAAAAGACTCCATATCTTGTCATTTTCTCATCTGGCCAGCGCAATCTCGGGTCTGACCCGCACAGATCTCGTGCCAGGTCTTGATATTCGCCATCCGGGGCGATCCACGAACCATCACCTGCCGGCATCGTGTCTAACTGAGGAGATTTTGGTACTGATATAATGTTGAACTGACTCGACTCTACGAAATATAATGTGCCTCATTAGCGGTATGGGGCAAGTCAGGGACACTGCGCCTATTGGCTGCATACCAACCTGCATGCTAATCTGCCTAACAACGTGCCTGCCTGCCTGCCTGCATGTTTGCCGACTTGTCTGCCTAGTAGGCGCCTATCTAGTAGCTATTTACATTAGTAGCTGAAAACCCTCTACAATGGGTTAAATAAGTACATGCAGGGTTTCCGTGATCGGGTTGCGTAAGTCAGCAAAGTCGTATTGAAAAGTATGGCTCAGTATGTGTGCTTTGAGATCATATTATTTTATAATGTCTTTGAATAATTATATAAATACTTGCACCAAAATACATGGATGACAAGAACTAACGAACTCACTTATATGAGAAGTGTGTTCTTGCTGGCACCATTCGGCAGTTTCGATCTCAGTATGAGTCCCGGATATGAACGTCCCTCGACGCCATTATTCCAGTCAGCCTGGTAAGGTAGTTGGTTAACCGTAAAGTAGAGATATCCGTCCCAGCCCACGTTAGCACTATCAGGCCAAATAATGCGAGGATCTCTGACGTATGGCATGGTTAACTGCGTTGAATAACTATGGATGACGTTAGCGATAGGTAACCCTAATAAGGTAGGGACCGAGAGTAGGGCATCACGTACTTATACATATATATGGCATTGTGCTCTGGCATTAGCATATACACATTACCAAGACTATCCCCTGCAAATCCGTTGGCGTTCCCCCCTCTTTGGCCTAGTGTTTTGACGTTGTCGAAAGCTCGTTTATTCGCCAATGGGTCTAGGTTTGGGTTAGTACGTAGATATTGTGTCTCTATCGAATATAAATAATCGGTAGTCAGCGCCGAGTAATACATGACCTATGTTGCTCGTTAATTACTGTTCGGCCGATGTGATCCATGTACTGCACCTCCCCATATTGATCCAGCTCGGCGCCGTCAAGGCCTTCCTCCTGAAAGCCCAGTGGATGCCCCTTTTGACGTAGATAAAAGGGCAGCCCCTGATAGCTGGGTACATCCTGAGATACTACCTGAGTGCTAGGATGTTGGTTGAGCTGTCTCCAACTCTCCCCGGTGACCAAATCGACCATGATGAACCCAGTTCTCCCTTCGTTGCTACTATCGACGATGTATACGATTCCGCCGCCAGAGTCAGTGGCGTTAGTCCTTAGATCAAATCGTAGGTCGTTCATATATGAGTCCGGAAAATGAACATTGGGCGGCAGGGTATACGTCTTCTGTATGCGATTCGTCGTCAGGTTCACCGCCACCAATTTTGGACCGCCCGGAGCAGCGTATGGTATAGTAATAGCCCCCGACTGATTGATAGTCGAACGTCCCGTATCTAGTACCCAAAGCGTGTCGTCAGGTGTCACATATAGCGCTTGAACGCTGACGAAATGGCTTGCGTCGTTGCTGCCGAAAGTGACGCCATTAACTGTATCGTAAAGCCCAAGAGGTGGTGTGTTCAACTCTAGGCTAGGATAGGCCACCTCGGCTGTCTCATTTGTGACTTCGCCGAGAGTATATGCATATGTTCCGCGTGTGTAGCAGGTGAATACTCGGCCGGTTTTGGACACGGCTAACCCGATAGGCCACTGGTCGTAGAAATAATGGTACTCCTCTACCGGTGGACCATAGGTGCCCGTGTCAATGCGAACATTCCGCGGGCCGGTGTTCGCGAATGTACTGTTGAGGACCACAGGAAAGCTGGCTTGCGCAACTGCCTCGCCAAGCGTCGCAGCTAGAAAAAGAAAAGGGGATAACATAATTCACATACCTATGATATTATTCTGTCAAGTGTGTAGGTTGGTGGGCTTTAACTGCTCCTTGTGTGAAGGATCCCAAGCCTTCAGACAGTTCTTTTAATGAAATATAAGATATAAAATATATGATGCTGAGATGCAGTGATGGCTTGAATGTGATGTAATATAGAGTAATGCGGGGAGCATATGTAGGGTAGCACATACATGCTATCATAGATCATGGATGTGTTCATGAAGAAAACCTAACTTAGACGCCTAAGTATATCAAGAATATATTCAGAAGAGGGATGGACAGTCAAAACACCCGTAGCCCTTGACCACGCTCATTTCTTCTACATGTTTGGATTTTGTTTTGAATGTCCAACCAGCCCCTGAGCTTTCCAAAATTTGAGGCCTCTCCCCTGACCCCCCTTTTCGTCGCCATAGACATGTACCAAGCACGCCCAACTCAGAAACAACCGGACCTTGAAAAGTCGATTCAGGAGATACCAAAACACCATGCATTGGAATAGGATGTATTTTTTCCATCAAGATATATTTGCTTCGCGCTTCTCTCGGGACCGTGTCGAGAAAGTCCGGGATGTCAGCTCCGTAGATGTTATGCCCCCCTCCTTCGAGCGATGGCTTCAGAACGTAATTGGTGGCCTCTTTTCTATCGCGGGTTATTTTTTCAATCATTATTCCATCACCGTCTCCGTCTTCTGGTGGATCCATGGGAAACTGTGGCATAAACGTGTGACGTAGAGTACCAACAGCTTTCTCAGAACTCAAGAACCGCTCTAATACTCCAGGCCTGGTGAGTGCTTGTTGCACCTTTTTGAAGCCTGCCATATGAGATAATATGGTCGGGCACTTGATTGCGCGCGAAATCTCGAGCAGGAGGCGAGCATCGATTCCTTTTTGGTCGTACTCGTGAGAGTCGTACCCAGCTCGCTGGTACACAACCGAAATCTCGATAGGCACGGTCTCCGGGGTCAGCTGGAAGAGTAGTTCACGATTCGGGCCCAGTCTGCATTTTTGTAGGACTGCACCACCAAAACAAACACGAAAGAGCATAATAGGGGGCTTTCTCTCCAACAGGGCATACTCAATAGGCCGTTCATCGCAAATATTAACATTGTTCGGCTGTACCGTCATGAGTATAGCTGCCTGGCACGTCTGCGATATTGGTGGTCCATATGCTTGATGTGCGACAGCTAGTGCCTCTACGATAGACATGAGTGAGCTGTTTGCTGGGAGAGAAGCGGTTTCGTGAACCCCTTTATGTATGAGATAGCGATGCATATTTGCCACGATATTGGCGTGAGTTCCCCCAGCGCACGAATAGGTGTTGAATTCCACCTGCTTAAGCTCCGAGTCCAATACTGATCGATCCACCTGGTCACTTGGATCCGTATATATGCCGTGCTGCCCTTCTGTACTCTTTTGATTGTAGTGGAGCATGTAATCACTCCTGAAAATTCCGCACCGCAATGGTTGCACCTCGCCCTTCTCCCTTACCCGTTCCCATATCGACCATAGCTTCCCCACATGTTCATCCACCTCTCCCAACGGACGAATAATGGATTCAAGCCAGTCATAATCTTCGCTTACACTCATGTATAGCTCGTTGAAAAATGGTTGAATATCTTGAGCGTGTTCAAAATGTAGACGAGGAAACCTCGTGGGAACAACGCTGACGCCAATTGGATGGGCCACAGCCACGGCTGACTCAAGATCTGTGAGAGCACGGGGTATTTTCAAGAGGGATCCATGGGAAATCTGGTAGTCTTCTAACTCAAACAGGATTCTTTCCAACTTGTCGTCTCCTAGTCTTGTTACTTGCATGCTTGTATGTTATGAACTCACGTACTGTCTCAAGGTACCTAGTAGACAATGACAGAGACAATGATCTCGACTACACGCATTAAAAGAGGAAGGAATTTCCCCACTTCTCATGCAATACAAGATGTATACGCCTCATTGTTTTACAAACAACTAACCTTAACCTACTCCTCTCTTGAAATCTCATCATCCCGATATATTCCGGGTATACAGAGTTGAATAATGCCCACAATAACGCTACCCCTATTCATATGACAAGAAATTGAAATTCTACTATGAACGACCAGACAAAAGGGGGGTCATTATCCATAGACTATAGGATGCTGGTATACAATATGTAAGCTTATCAAGACATTAAGACACATACCACCCCTCCCAGCACTATTAATCCTATTCTCCCGGCCTTATGCCCACCAAGTAATACTTAATAAGCAGAAGTCAAACTATACTTCTACACACAATCAAGCACAGACTAAGAACAGTTAAACGCCACTTACCTGAACTATCAGACTGAGTCACAACAACCCGTGGCATTACACTATAAGAAGTTTCTTTCTCAGTCTGTCGGACTCTGTCCATCTCATAGTACCTTAGGTAGGTATGATATCGAATTTATACCTTTTTCTTGTAAGCATTGGAGTGAATGGCGCGTACTTAGACGTGTGAGAGTTTTGCTGGCACTTCGTAGTACACCATATAGCATGAGTCTTATCGCCATAGTAAAACCATAAATTCTTCCGATTCTTACCTACCCGCAAAGACTCAATACACAGATTGATGCTCCCGGGCATTTCTTCAGAGGCCATAGTGTTCTGATCGGTCTTTGGCCTGATATCACTGAAATTCTCATCCATGGTACCTAGCCCGGCCCAAGACAACTGTCAAATGTTTCACTTCGAGTAGATTCTTGGGATTCGCATTTACGTGCGCTACGAACCCACAACACACAACCACCCTCGTATGTAATCTCAGCATTTTCGAGCAAATGCCGGGGTTATTTACATCTCTGTGGAAGCGGAGAAGCCCTCCGTCTCATCATGGAGATGCACCCGCACCATCGTCGTCAAAACCACCTCCCCGTGGTTTACGAAGATTCTTTCACCGTCTGCGGGCAAAGTTCAAAGGTGATGATACACCACCTCCGAAGGAAAATGGATCAAGGGCGGCGCCAGTTCAGCAGACGGCCACCGAGACAACTGCTTCAGGTCATAGACCGACGACTTGCCAATGTGGTGCGAAGAATAAGAGAGCATCGGATCCCGATGGCAAGCTGAAGCCTCATCGACATAGTCATAGCAGCAGATACCCTTCGGTATCTCTCTACCAAATGCAGTTGAGGGCGGAACTCAACAAGATGGCCAATGTGTCAGTGCCAGATGATACAGATTCCACGTCCGGCCCATCGTCAAACCAGATTCTCGATGGACGGCGATGGTCATGTCTGGAAACAAACCTACCTCGCGCTCGTCCACTTGGTCAAGTATTCCCCTCTTCTTTCAATAGAACATCACTCGCCAAAGCTATGGAATCATCCGTGTCAATAGACGAGCCTGAGTTACTGGATGAGAGAGAGAAAGCTCTCCGCATATTGGAGTCTCGGGATAGTCCAGTCAACCATCGCGCTTGCTCCCCGGATACGGTGCGGCGGCGGAGGCAATCCTACCGATTGGCCACTGACCCTCGTATTGATCCTCAGCAGTATTCTGACTTCCGGCACTTCCTGGAACAAGAGATCGCCACAGATCTGGCTCTTCGTCAGCAGATATGGAAGAGTTTGACGCAGGATTTGGGAAATCGGACTAGTTTGCTTGGCCAGCCTGACTACACGACCAAATTTCCAGATTCTGAGACGGTTTCTCCTACAGATAGGAAAGATAGGAGAAGGTCATGCTCGAGCATTGGACATGGAGCCCGATGTGATGGTCATAGTCAAGGAGTGGAACACCAACACCAACCGAATCGAAGACATAGCTTAGGATGCCCAGCTCAACTCAGACCTGAGAACGCCAAGTCAAATGTATGTTCTACCAGTTATGCGAGCACATCAGCACCGAGGGACGATTACGACCACGACCGTCACCATGACCGCCCCCTAGGTACCGAAACTTACACCAACAACAACAGGAAGAGTTGGAGAAACTCTGCTTCCTATCGTGATCTAGAAGAACGCCTGCCAGCCATTGACACGCTGGGAGAACCATCTTGCCAGTGTCGACACGGAGGCAAAAGGCAAAGATGGGCAGACCAGGGCATTCTTCGACGGCCATCTCTTGATAGAAAGCGTGCCTCGACTTCCAGTTTCACACAAGTTGTCTCTCAGTATATCAGACCGGAACGACCTACCAGCATTTACCAAGAGCTTCATAGAGAGCCACACGGCGGCGAGCATAGCAAGGTGGATCCAAAAGAGCATCATCACATTATCAATTAGAATTTCATATTCATAATGATTAGTTTACCTGTCTAGGTATAGATGGGTATCTATTTGGATTTTGCTTTTTCGGCTCTTTTGGTTTTGGCCTGCTACCATTTTTACCCTTTGCTTTTTTTGCTTGCTTGCTTGCTTGCCCGCCTGCCTTCCCGCATAAAAAGATACCTCCAAGTTTACCGATGCAATCATTGTGCAGCTCGGCAAGGGAGATGATTGGATCTATCTGGCTTCACGCACGTGGTGTATGTGGTACGAAGGTGATAAGCCCCCCGCGATCGTGCAGCAATGCTTAGTTCCTCGTGTCACTTCACCGAGTCATCACACCTGTTGCAGGACAATACGACAATACCTTCTTTCTTTTTCTTTTTCATATTCTCTATTGGTTATATCTACTAGCTTTGATACCACAACAAATCCCAACCCTTACCCATCTGCCGAAGAAAAAGAAAAAGCACACACCCCTACCTGCCTCATGGCAGCCAGTAAAGCGATTCCTCGGGAGCGACTTACAGCTCTCCAACAGCTTTATGACTACCTCTGCGAGTGGCTTAACTTCGACGTTGACACGAAGCATTTCGTGCGGGAAATCTTGGACAGTGACTTTGTGAAGCCGTTCTTCACCGAGTACCAAAACGATTATCTTGAAGCCACGACAGATCTCGAGGAGATTGATTGCGACGAGCTGATGGGGTGGTGTAGGTCCACCAACGCGTTCGAGGTGCCTAAATACGCAAACTCTACCATTCCGAACAAGACCAACTGGTCCGTCCTCGATCACGGGGCTCGTTTTCTTGTTCGCGTGCTTCGCTTTAGTTGGGAAAACGGCGGCGAGTGGACGCATGGAAGATTCAGTCCCGACCACGATGAAGAGAGCGATTTGGAGTTTTACCAGGTTTGGGCTATTTTACAATATCTACAGGCCGAGTGGGAGGCAGCCAATTTAGAGGACTGGGATGTGAATAGTGTGGTTGGGACATTTGCGGATATCAGACTGTGAGGTGGCGATAGGTATAGATTATTGTACACTCCCAACATGTCGGGGTTCATACTTGGGAATAGCATCACTCAAAGCATTAGCCTATTGAGAATTACCTGATACCAACAATTTACAATGAAAAGCGCCACCTGTTCATTCTTAATTTTAAGTGTGCATTAGTGAGGCACTTAGTTTAGGGGCTACTCTATTGGAATAGGGCAAAATGATGGTGGGCACCGGCGTGTCTTGAGCACTTACTTAGGTAGGGGTATCAAGATTCTCACAACATGAGGAAGATTACCTCTGATAATGAGATTCATAGATGCCTTACACACCGAGTAAGTACTATCCATCAGCGCCATCTTCATATGATTGTTTGTAAGCAGATCAACAGAAGGTGTTAGGTAATAGAACACTCTAGCCCAACTAGCTTGAACTTCGTACGGACCTGGAAACTTACACATCCCACATAAGCTAAATCATCCTTTCTTTGGGTAAACATATCACTAATGATCACTAGAACAGGTTATTGCCACACCAAACTTGAGAAGTAGTCAGATTTGAAATAGGGGCCATCTTATTTTGAGACCATCCTTATATCTAAGTTTCAGGGCATTATCTAAATATGTACAACTTTTAGGTATCGTAATCATATAGAGCTCATCATATATCCAATTTTTCCTTACTCAGAAACTATGCACCATTCACCCACGTGTCCTCACTACCCCCCGTCTTTTCCGTGCCGCTCTCTTTAGCACTCTCTGATGATGACTCAACATGCTTAGAGATGAGGCTAGAGTAGTCACCGGGCTGCGAGCTTCCGTTCGGAATGTGGAATCGCCTGTCGATTCTGCTCGAAGTCAGGATGAGCAGAATGACGATTTCCACGGCGAAGTTGAAGACGTAGAACGGGGCCTTGCCATGATACCATGCTGGGTTGTTGGCCAATCGTGGGGGCGACCAAGCTGTTCCTGCCTTGAAACCAGCATTGAGTATGCAAAGGCAGGAGACTACCAAGACAATGATAGCTTTAGTCTTCGTGGATCCTTGCCCAAAAGTCTCCTCGGCAGGCGAGCGAGGGAGGATATAGGCAATTGCCACGATGATAACGGGCAGAACCGTGAAAACCAGAAGGTAGGTTATAGCAGTGAGTTGGATGTCACGGTATATTCGCAGGGTGTTTGTATTCAAGGTATAGGAGGATAAGACGATGGTGGTGATGACCATGACCAAAACACAGAAGATGATCACGAACAAGGCCCTGTAAGTGAGGCGGAGGATCTTATTCCAGCCGACAGAGGGTTGCTTTGCTCGTAAGATTCGCTGGGCGAAGATGAGGTTGAGGATGTAGATGAGGAGAATGCCAGCATTAACCAGAATGTTGGCGGCGATACCGAGGCTGACATTCTGCGGCCGGTTAGCCCAGGCTATTCGTAGTACAAGCGTGGTGGTGCGGGCCATGCAAAAGCCAAACATAACGGCAGATGGGATGAACTTGTGTCCTCGCCGCCTGTTTATTTGGAATATGGTCATGTTGGTAGCAGCGAAGGCGAGATACATGGCGATGAAGACGGCGGAGATGGGGACATCGGGTATTATCGTAGGCCTTCCACCGACACCTGCCATTACAGATGCGTAGGGCGGCCCTGCTCGAGCTGCTTGTTGTTGCGACATGTCGTCTGTGTTCTGTTTTCCGGTTTACCCCTTTTCTTTCCTTTTTATCCTTACTCCCCCCTTTCCCCTTTTTGGTGTATCAGATCAGTAAATGGTGTATGATACCAGCCACAGTATGGCGTAACGTAGATGGAACAATACTAAGTTGACGTATGCAGAAGTATGTTGATGTTTTAGGTGTGGGAGCACGACAGTACGATGCAGGGTCCCGTTAGGGCTGACATGCGTGAACAAAGGGGGAGGCGTTTCTAGTTGGGATGATATAAAAGTATATATGATATGGAGGCTGCAGAATATTGAAGTCAAAGTCAGGTTACATAGAAAAACATACAAATGGTGAGACCTACGGCACCTGGGTAGACATATATACCAACCTATACAGGTTATGTGTTAGTTAGATCGGGCTCGCCTTTCGTTTCATTCTTCTTCCAAAGATCAAAAGAGTCATTAGTCCCAAGTCATGTTTACTAATTACGCATGGAACAATAAGATCAAGCTGTAATCTAGTAAATCTAGAATCCCAATAGTACATTTCCTATAACAGGTATTTTACATGTACCTGCCCCCTATTTACATATGGAGTTGTACATTGGGGTATCGCCGCATTCATTAGCTCACATGGCACGGTCAAATCTGAGTGCGACGGCGCCGGTAGTAGCTTTAACCTTCTAAGCTTAATCCTTGAAATCAAAGAGTAGGACCCACTATCCCGGAGTGTCGGCTACTCGGCATAGCCAAAATTGGTGAAAAATCTCCTTTTGGAGGAGCTCGCGTATGATGGAACCAATAGCATAATATAAAAAATCTAGCGCCGTCACGGATCACGGCGTACACGAAGCACCGATGGCCGACTTTTGGAATTAGTAGGTATGTATTGTTGTAGTCTGTTATCCAATTTCAAGTTTGAAATACCTAACATTAAGGTTTGAAGTTACATCAGCATGGAAGCGGCCGAGCCGAGCCTATTTATTTATAGTCGGGACTAGTAACCCCGAAAACAACCTTGGAAGTTGAAGTTGGAACTTAGTTATTTACACAACTTGTATCATTATTCAATATTCTATTATAGTACCTTACCACATGATCTTTTATAGTTATTGTGTGTCGGGTATTATATCTACAGAGACCATCCACAATCTCTGGCCGTCTTGTCTTGCTTCCTCCGATAGTATCTTGTCTTTAAGTTAGACGGCCAAAGCTGAACAACCTTTTCGAACTCATTCTCCACATCCCCCTTGGTGTGCGATGACGATGTCGGCGACGATGACGATGATACGCAGACCATGTGTTCGGGACAGTAACAATGTAGGAGTTCGGTGTTCTCCTTTAAAGAGTTGCATTTCAGGCAGAGAGCCTCCAGCTTTTCCTTTTCAAGATGGCTGCAACATTTCGGCAGAACGATACTATCGTCGTATCGGCTCTTTCCTTTCATGGCCATGCGGCTCTGGGGACAAAACGTCTGCCACTCAAACTGTCTAAATTCCTTGGCTTGGCAACCCTTACCTCGATCACGGCAATACTTATACTCGCTTCCTTTCCATGTGGCACAACCGCATGGGAACCATGTCCCGTAGAATTCGCACATGTCGATCCGCACACTCGGTGTAGGTGATACGTGTAGGTGATACTTGTTGTAACCTTACCTTGCAGCTGCTTTAGAACGATTTGGACAAGAGATATTTTACAGTATTGCCAGCAGAAGTGGTGGCTTAAGAAGAAAAGCCCAATATCCTTTGTCAAAGGCCTTGGCCCGTTTCTTTTAGCCTTTTCCATCACTCTCACTACTCGACCACTGTTTGTGAACAAAGACCTTTGATATAGCCTAATCACCTTCTCTTAGTCTGAATCATTCCCGTCTCAGATACGCCAACTTACAAGATGAGGGGTCGATACTCTGAAAGCAATTGTTCCCGGATTTTCCTCCGAGTTCTTTGTCATTGTTCCATTTACCGGAATGCTAATGCATACCTAGGCTAGTATGAACTATTCCCCAAGACACGTATTCGGCATTGATTAACAAACGTTACCAAAAAACCAATCAAAGTCGTATTGATAATCATGCCTAGTAGGTAACTACTGAGTTACTTAGGCATTTAGATATTAGTTGGTGAACCCTACATTAATATAAGCTGTATTATATGCAGTTTCACGACGAGTTCACACTCTTCATGGTTAAACTTCTAGTGTCCCCTTGGCAATTCAATAATATCCGCATTTCCGTGCCTATTACCTTCCGGTATAGGTATAGACAACCTAGGCCTCGAGAGAATCTATAGCTAGGTGCAGCTACTTCATACTTAGAGATGCATAGAATGCTGGTCAGTCAGGTATACATTTCAGCCTGACTTGCCAGATAGAGTATGTGGCATATTTGTCCTCTCTTGGAGGAACCATGGTTCTGGTTTGAAGGTATTATCGGTATGGCCATGACTAAACCCAGTCAGTTTGACGGACCATTGGATCACCGTCAGGAATATGATCCAATCCTTGGCTACCGCACCATATCCAGCAATCGTGGCTTAATATAGAGCCGAAAAGGTAAGATATCAACATCAGGTGACATCTATGAACTTACCCAGGATCAGACGTTAGCGATAGCAGACCCGGAAACCTGGTACGGTCAGGGTGAATACAATACATGCAATGCATAGTAAGCTTTGTGCTCCGTGTTGAGTTACCTGGTAGGTGGATATATCAGTTGCCAAGCTGCTCAGTCGAAATATGGCAATGATTGCAATGATTTGACGGGGGGGGATTGACATGGTAAATAAGCTTTTCGGGGTATGATTATCCCAAAATATCTTAATAGTTTGATAGTTGCGGAAATCTTGGGGAGTTCGTGCAGGAAATCCATCCCATGTATACCATGTCTCGCTTCGGACCGTTCCCAGCATCATTCTCCTCACATGCAGGATCGAATTATGGAAATATGGGAAATATGGGAATTATGGGGAGAGGTGGGGTCTTTCTAGGGGTTCTTTTTAACTCTATACTGACCTACATGGTTCAGCTGGGAACTGTTAGCAAATCATCGTGAAAGATCCAAGTAATTAATGTGTATAATATATAGATACCTATTAGGTACTTAGCGTACCTGGACACTCACTTCTTTTTTTCTAATCGACCAATCAACATAACATATGTGCAAGGGTAGAAGCTCACCGGTAAGGAAAGGATATAAAAAAAAAAAAAAAAAGAAAAAAAAAAAAGAAAAAAAAAAAAAGAGTTAGATACGCAAGTATGTAGGCATGATACTATACTTGCTTTTTTTTTCTAATTTCAAGGACGATTAACCACCCAGCCTATACCCCATAACCTGCATGGAACACTGCATAGGCAACAGGGATAGAACCACTAGGTTGGAGACTAGATTGGTAGACACTGCAGTGTGAAGACTGATACATACCTATCTTACAAGACCAGCTAAGGTTACATGTGTAAGCTGGCTTTGTTTCCTCATATTGTGTCATACTAGGAGCCTATAGCCCATGTTCTTCAGCGGTAGGTGACAAATTGTCACCCCATTGGCCTAATGACATATGCAATGCCACGTTGGCGTACCTCTTTCTCCTGACTACTCTCGACAACATCCTGACAACTTGGTAGTTTTGATAGTCTCCACCAGATGTCTGTGATAACTTTCGACGAACCTCGTTTAGAATAGCACGAACCGGACAAGGTGGATGGCCTAGTGCGGCCCGAGGAAGGATCTACAGGGAGCTTCGGAACGAGCATACATGTAGATATTTACTATGTGACGCGATCGTGTCTCAGGGTTGATGACCCGAGGATTCGACCAGATAGATAAACGCCTTCCTATTCCCCCCAAGTTGTTGTTTTTGGGACTCGGTTCACCAGCCTCTTGCCTCTTTCCAATATTTATTCTGACCAAGTTATCATTTTTCCAACCATGCACAAAAGTACAGGAGTAGCAGCTCTCAGGAGTTTGCGAGGACAGTTACTTACGATTCCGGACTTGAGGCCCGTTTACGCAAACTGGACTGCTGGGCTCAGCCCCTATTGTGATGAGCTAAGGGCATTTGTTGAAGAGAACATAAACAAGTATGTCAAAGACGAAAAGGCCAAGAAAAAGACAAAGGCCATCGATCTCGGCTGGTTCGCCTCATTGTAAGCTGATTTATCCTGGACGCACGGGCTTGATACATGTTAAACACTTCGATATACTCTAGGACCTATCCAGATGCAGAGCTGGAGCAATTGAAAACGATAGCTCTAATGTCTATGATCTTTTTTATCTTTGATGATACAATCGACAAGGAGATTGAGGACGATACACCAGATTTCGCTTCTGACTTTGACCTTGCCACCAAGCTTAGACAGGAGTCGATAGCTTGTATGCGATATCTATTCTCACAGGACGGTTCCAAGGCCAGCTCTAACCGCCGAGCTCCTCGTGTGCCACAGGAGTTTGCGAGTATCGAGGCATTTGCGCCTAGAGTGACAGCGGCTACTCGAGGTCGTATTGATCTAGACAAGCTTGGCGATGACTTTCAAGAATTCATCGAAGCCAACGCTATAGAACAAGCCTTCCGGCTCTCAGGAAACTTGCCTGACATTAAGGAGTACTGGTCTTACCGCCATGGCGTCGGCGCAGTTTTCCCCTATTGTACTATGAGTCAATATGTGCACAACATCGCTTTGCCCGATAGTCTTGCTTGGTGTGAAGAGGTACAGATCATGCGTCTAGAAACAAGTGCCCAGCCTCTGATGTAAGTTTCATTGTCTCTCGATCTTTCCACCATCTCCTCGTATGGGGACCTCTAAACGGTTCGACTAGTTGCAACGACTTGTACTCGCTGAAGAAAGAAATGGTACGCACTCCTCTTCATTCGCCCCTGAGTCTAAATAACCCAGCTAAATCGAGTTTTAGTACGAGGACACACCGACAAACCTGGTGCCCATTATGATTGCGGAATCTGGAAAGTCGTTGGACTCGGTAGTTGAAGAGCTCGTACAGGGAATGTATGCTTCAGCCCAGTCGTTTGATACTGCGGCTGCCTCTCTCCGAGCTAAAGGGCTTGAGTACGATGAGAAAGTTCAAGCGCAGCTTGAAAAGTTCATCGGAGCATTTGAAAGCTTTCAGACTGGATGCTTTGAGTTTTTCATGAACTCGAAGAGATTTGGAGTCAAGCAATACAAACAAAAGGATGGAAGTTATATCATACCATTGTAAATAGTGTAGCCACCTAGACACGCTCAAACCTGATTAGTCAGAGAAGAAGTTCATCACTCCATTGAATTTAACAGTCGATATATAGTTACACTTGCTTACTAACATGGCATCTAAGGGAAACAGCGTTACCTCCCCCTATACCTTCCATTACCTCATCACTACACTACTGGTAGGTATGACATGGCTAAACGTGGTCCCCACACAACATTGAAGCTTCCCGCAGTATAAAGCTTGTTATATGACCTGTACCTCAAGCTAGCCCCCTACATCAGCTGTTCCACACTCTTTCATTCATAATATACACAGCATATCCTCTCAATTCAATACCAACTCCGTATCAGGTACTATAATAATATTAACAACGACACGCTCCCAACCCTTCATGATTACTAGCATCACAACATGGCAAACCAGCCAGCTTTGACCTTCGGCGTGGAGGTCAAGTTTTTCCTTCTCCCCGATACAGGTATCCGCGGCGATTTCCATCAGAAAACCTACGAGTCAATGGCCATGATATTCCAAAAAAACCTACCCAAGCCGCTACCCACCGCCGTGATCTTAGGGAAATGGAGCAAGTTCACAGGCGACGCGTATACCTTTCCGGGCAGGCACCCGATGGAGCAGAAGGATTGGAAATATTACTATTGCTTTTCGGGGGATCCCAGCGTTTTGGCCGACTTCACCAGGTCGATGGGTATAGTCGCCGAAGGGAAGGGAAGAATAGGCATGGAGATGGCGACTCGCGTCCTCAACTATGACAAACAAGGTTGCGCCGAGTTCAAGGCTGCCATGAATGCCGTTATGGCGGGTGGCAAGCCTTGGGATCCACGGATTGGCTCTTCCCTGATACCCTCATGTACGCCGATGGGCGGACTTCACGTCCATGTCGGTGATAGGGGAGGGCTCAAGTTGAGCACTGCCAAGAGAGTCGCGATTCTAGGATGGCTTCTGGAACCGTGTCTCTTCTCTCTCTGCAGCCATGGACGAGGAAGGAACTTCCATTCACCAGCTCGCAAGAATTCCATCCTGGCCGCGATGAATTTTGAATATGCCGAAATCAACTATGCCAAGGAGGAAGAGGAACTGACGAAGATGTGGAGTCGGTTATACATACGAGATACACATCATGGTCATCAAAACGACGATAATGAGAACCACATCCCCATGTATTTCTCCAGGATAGACAGAAAACGAATCGCTGTCTTAGCGAACGCTAGAAGCATGCAAGAACTGGAGACTTTGCTGTCTTACACAAACCAGCGTACCAAGAACAGACGACTGTGTCTGGCTATATACAACAGAGTGAATGATCACACCACTATTGAGTTTCGTCACTTTCAGGGCACGCACGACCCTGAATTAGCCTGGGAGTGGGTTCGCCTCGTCACAACAATAGTACAGATCGCCTCGACATCAACAGAATCCGAGTTCCAAAAGCTACTTCGGGAAATCTCGTACCAGTATCGAGCAATGAGGCGAAGGTCGAGAGATTATTTAATAAGGCAAGCACAGAAAAAAGGGGCGAAGGATCCATGGCTAGACAGTTGGACGTGGATGCTTCCGATCCTAAACCTTAATGAACATGAACCTTTTTGGAGCCGTTATGTTGCCAGATTGCCCGAGCGAAACGAGGTTGAATGGGGAGGGGCAAGCCTTTAAATATTTTCCTAGACCTTTTGCCAATCTTTAGTCAAACGATGGGCAATCCGATGTCCTAGACTCAGCTGGGTATATTTGAGTCACAGTTACTTCACCTGAAGTTTGATGGATAGGTTTCCTGGCGCAGAGAAGAAAAACCCGTAGAAGCTGGCGTGGGGGTGGTGAATAGCGCATTTGATTACTTGATAGCGTGATAGAAGAAAGTTGTTTATACAGTTTATACTACACTATAGCGTTTAACTAATGAACACCAATAAGAAACCATGACTTTACTTACTGTCTACCTAGGCACCTAACTGAAATACCACATAGGCTAATCTTAACAAAGGAGGTAAAGAATTGGAGGATACATTACATGTAACAGAACAAGGAGGTTCAACACGAGTATAATAGGACAATAAGGGATCGTTCGATAACAATGCTTTGATCAAAGAAATCGTCAGTCTTGCTGTATGATCCTTTCTAATTGTGATACAATACCATTGAACAAGGCCGAGTGTGTAGAATAAATCAAGCTCTCACCCCGTAACCTATGGTTTCGGACATCCTCAAAGGAAAGGCATCGGGCAAGCTCTCTCGCATAAAACAGAAGGCGCTGAATGACCTTGGTCAGTTGATGGGACTCAGACCTGGGGAATTAAACCAACGATATAGCCAACGAAGCAGGCAGGCTTGCTTATTCTCAAAATGGCGACCTCCACGCAGTCGGCAAACCCGACACCGCCACCAGCCAGAAGTCCACTGATAGATCTCCGCCCTCGTAAGCTGGATACCGTGAAGGAATTCAAACCCATGTCAACCACATGCAGAAGCTATGTATTTTATCACACATGCGGATGTAGGTCTAAAGGACCGATTGTTTATCTTTGCACCAAAAACTGCCAGCACGAAGAGTCAACTTTGTTTGTTGGGGGGATGGAATTTGCGTGCGGGGTTCAACCACCACGGGTCGCAGCATGTGGGTTGGAAGACAAGGCTAAGAAAGAGTTTGTCCGAGAAGTAGATACGGCAGACCGACTTGACAAATTCCTGATCCTTCCAGGATGTACAAAAGCCGACGTGGACATGGTAGCTCCCGCTTTTGCTGGGTCTAACAACCAGACATGGCAAGAAGATATCCTGAGCCGCTACGACCAGACACAAGGTCAGAAGAACGCAAAAGTCTTCTCGAAAAAAACACAACATAGTCCCCCTGAGACTAAAGAAAAGGATGAAAACGTGGAAGACATCTTGATTAGCCCGATACCGAAACGCGAACCCCAAGACACGGTATTAGGTAAGGGGGATGGGCAAGCTCACCAGGAGGAGGGGGATGAAGACGTGGAGGAGACCGTAATTGGTCGGATGCCGAAACGCAAACCTCAAGACAAAGTATTGGATAAGGGGAGTGAGCAAGCCCACCAGAAGGAGAAGGAGAAGGAGACGGAGAAGGAGAAGGAGACGGAGAAGGAGAAGGAGACGGAGAAGGAGAAGGAGACGGAGAAGGAGAAGGAGACGGAGAAGAAGGAGACGGAGAAGGAGAAGGTGGGCCAAGCCGAGAATATTGCCGAAAGGAAGAGTGAAAATTACGCGGATATCGGTAGGAGCAGCTTGGAAAGTGGTGCGAAAACTAAAGATGAGAATGTTCCTTGGTGTATGGTCGACGTGAATTACGGAGTGGCTATTACAGGCCACCCGGGCGGCAACAGCGGCAACATTACCCAGGGTAACGTTAAATCCGATCCTCCTCAGGATAACATCAGATCCGATAGCAAGATTGAAACCAAGGCCAATGACGGTTGTAAGGTTGATGTTACTTTCGACAATCGTATCAACGACGAGGCCGAGAACAAGCAAGAGAGCACCGATGAGGACAACGGCGGAGTTCTCGTTAAAACTGCCACCAAAGACGTTGAAGATGACACCCAGAGCGATGAAGCCTCAGACGAAGAGGAGTCTTCAGATGAAGAGGAATCATCGGAAGAAGACGAGGACGATGATGAAGATGACGAAGACACTCTTCACGATGTTCCGCTGGATGACAATGCTGCCCTAAGCGGTGAAGACTACAACCCTTCCGACTATCTGGAAGATGAAATTCCAGTTGAGGATGGTATATGCGACGAGTTTATTGATTACCTTGTAGAGACCGAGGAGAGGGAGCAGAAAGCGAGGGAAGACAAGGAGAAGGAGGAGAAGGCAAAGGCGAACGGAGGCACAGTAGTGGGTAAATTCTTTTCATATTTTCGGGGGTCCAAGTGATGGAAGTTTTCGCGTATGATGAATACTTTGTAGAAGCTAGATATACTTGGAATTTTATTTTAATTATTTTAATTATTTGTACACACATATGAATCAGGCATTTCATTGTGGTTAACAAGATTGATGAAGATTGATGAAGATTGATGAAGATTGAAATATTTCATGTTGTTGAAACATTGAAGTTCCACGGATATACCGAGATTACACCGGTACTAGGTACTTACTGTACAATACTTACTTACCTAGCGCCGGCATCGTCCGGATGTTAACACGTGAGGCTAGGTACATATGCACGTAACTTGACGTAAGTAGATACAGAGAGGTACTTCCTTCCTATGTTGAATGATCGGACAGCCGTCGGGAAACTGGGAAACAGAAAAATGGCGTGGAATCTCGCACACCCGGGGGTTTTCCAATTGGTGCCAATGGCCGAACCTTTTTTTTCTTTTCTTTTTTTTCGTCTTTCCCAACATTGAAACTCCATCAATTCAACTTTTGTACTTGTCTGGGTCTTATTGATTTCCCCTCCTCCCACTTCTACCCACACACTCTTTTCTCTAATTCCGTATTATCGGATTTCAATTTATAACAATTAGAGCATTGCACCAGTATACCAACCGCCAATATGATGTCCGCACGAGCTATTTTCGGTGGTATTCAACGCCGAGCTTTCTCGGTCTCGGCGCGAAACGTGAGGAATAATTTTTTTAATATTCACCTTGATGCCATGTGTTACATGTTATAATGCTTTCTCATGTCCTATCTGAGCTGATGACCGGGGATAATACCCAAACCATGCGCCAGTTGCTAATTCCTTTGCCCTCTTTCTAGCTCTCCAAGGTCACCGTTCTAGGTGCCACCGGTGGTATCGGCCAGCCGCTGTCTCTGCTCCTAAAGCTCAACCCCCGCGTTACCGAGCTTTCTCTATACGATATCCGTGGCGCCCCAGGTACGTTGAGCTCTGCTCTCTCAATTGGCAAACTTGAAAACCCCCCAAGCCAATTAAACCTCCCCTTCTAAAACCCGAAAGCTAGACACTATTATTAACATAAAACTAATTCGCGCATAGGTGTTGCTGCTGATGTCTCCCACATCAACACCAAGAGCACCGTCAAGGGCTATGGCCCTTCCGCTACTGGCCTCGCCGATGCTTTGAAGGGCAGTGACATCGTTCTCATCCCCGCCGGCGTTCCCCGAAAACCCGGTATGAGCCGTGATGACCTCTTCAACACCAATGCCTCCATCGTTCGCGACCTCTCCAAGGCCTGCGCCGAAACCTGCCCCAACGCCAACATCCTCATCATCTCCAACCCCGTCAACTCCACCGTCCCCATTTGCGCCGAGGTTTTCAAGGCCCAAGGCGTCTACAACCCCAAGCGTCTCTTCGGTGTCACCACTCTCGATGTTGTCCGTGCTAGCCGATTCGTGAGCGAGCTTAAGGGTACCGACCCTAAGGATGAGAAGATCACCGTGGTTGGTGGTCACTCCGGTGTCACCATTGTCCCTCTCTTCAGCCAGAGCGGTCACCCTGACCTAACCTCCAACGCCGACCTCGTGAAGCGCGTCCAATTCGGAGGTGACGAGGTTGTTCAGGCCAAGGACGGTGCTGGTTCCGCCACTCTGTCCATGGCCATGGCTGGTGCCCGTATGGCCGAGTCCCTCCTCCGCGCCGCCCAGGGAGAGGCCGGTGTGGTTGAGCCCACATTCGTCGACAGCCCCCTATACAAGGACCAGGGCATCGACTTTTTCGCCTCCAAGGTTGAGCTTGGCCCCAACGGTGTTGAGAAGATTCACCCCATCGGCGAGGTCGACTCGATCGAGGCTGGCCTTCTAGAAGCGTGCTTAACTGACTTGAAGAAGAACATCAGCAAGGGCGTTGCATTTGTCGCTTCCAACCCTCCTAAATAGACTATCTTAATATTTAGACCTGGACTTTAGCAAGAGAGGCATAACAAATAATCTCATAAAAGGGAGAAAAAGAAGGACAATGCTGCTTGGTTGGCTCAGATGATGCAGGCTAAGTCGGTTTGGTTGGTTTTTTTTTCTTAAACCTTATGGGAAAACATGATGATAAGCCTAGTACCCCAAAAATGTACGATATTGACTCCAAGAGACATGATTTCACGATCGATGCCCCCCACCCCCTTTTTATCTCCCCTCCTTCGCTGCGTAGACACAAAATAAATCTTCACAATGTACTTAAACCTAGTACATACGTATGTATTTATGTCCTCGCATAGCGTAGCAAATCAAATCGCCCATTAAAATATATATAAACATGAGCATAAACATAAACATGTCATTGTCTACTCGTGTTCCTCCGACTCCGCAACACCTCCGGCTTGCCAATCACCGCCTCGAACGCCCGCGCCAACGCCGCCTCGTCGTACTGTAGTCTCCCCTCTACCCGCCGTCCGTATACTCTGATGCACTCTATACCCAGGCCCAACAGCTCGTTTTTGTTCACTCTAGGCGCGCCTTCGTCTTCGAGGTAGATTAGGTGGGTTACGTATCTGCGCACGTCTAATCTAGTCTGTTCGTTGTTGTCGTGACTGTTGTCTTGGTTCTGGTTCTGGGTTAACGTTAACGTCTGCGCAGCGGCCCTCGCGATCGCCAGGACAAAATCCGTGGCCGTCATGGGGGCCTTGCTGGGCCCCGTCTCGCGATCCACGGTCGAGTTCAGCACCAGAATCTTATAGCGCACGCCGGCGGGATCCGCGAGCGCCGCGCCCACGCCCCTCAGGACCAGGCTCGGCACGATGGAGGTGTACAGGCTGCCGATGCTGTAGACGAGGGCGTCGGCGGTGCGGATGGCGTCGAGGACCTTGGGATTGGCAAAGGGGCGGATCTCGTGCCCGTACGGGTTGATGTACCAGATGCGCTCGATGCGCGTCGGCAGGTCCTCGTCGGCGGCCTTGGTGAAGTCGATGTACTGCTTGCGCAGGGTGGGGAGGGAGCCGGGGAGGGTGGCGTCTTCGATGCGGTCGTGCTCTTCGGTTTCTTGCATGTGCTGTTGCCATGGGATGTTGTTCTTGTCGTTGTTGGGGATAGGGGTGTCGCCCACATCTGGCAACGCGGTGGGTGCGGAAGGGTGAGAGATGGAGTTCTGTCCGGTGATCTGGGTGCCGTCGGCTAGACCGGCGGAGATGTGATGCGTGAAGTTTGTGTTGATGGCTGGTAGGACGGAGACGGTTGGGGGGATGCAGCAGATGGTGGAGAGTAGATAGATGGCAGACTCGAGGGAGCCTGTGAAAACCCGAGCTCTATAAGAACCAAAGAAAATACCCGATGAATTGGTTAGTAGTGTACTGTAATAGTGACATACATACATATTTATCTAGATACATACAGACATGCAAACTCTTAAAAGCGAAGAAATAGAACGGAACGACAGCAAACATACCCAGTCAAGAACAAATTCCCAATACTCGCCTTCGAAAAGTTAAAGACCGAGCTAGGCCGAGCCTTCTTCACTATCTCCAGATTAACGAGGTTGAAGACGGACCGGATGAGCTCGCGCTTCTCGCTCGGGATATTCGCCCAGAGCCCGTCCCGTCCCTCGACAATGTCTAGCCATTGCAATCGTGCCTGTAGGGGGTCGGATGACAGCCGATAGTTGAACAGGTCCTTGATAGATGCCCGTTCGGCATCGGTATCCGAGCCGGGGATGAGACGCACTAGTCGACCTGCGGCAGCGAACCCGATTGGGGGTTATTCCTTTGTTCATTCAAACGAATATATTATATGTAATATATATAACATATATAAATGTAGTTTATAACTTACTGCGAACATCGCCAATACCTAAGTACTATTATTAGTCATACTGAAATGGAATGGAATGAGATGAGATGAGATGAGATGAGACAAATACCGGGACCACCAAATACACGAATCAATTCGGATGAGCTTCCGCCATTGTCACTTATAGGTATGACATAACTAAGCCAGCAGTTTCGACTCTCTCTAATATTCTCAAACACATCCACTAGACTGTTTGTTGCTGTTCCACCCCCAAAGACTACGATGCCTCTAGTCCGAGGCGCATCCATAACAAGGATGTAGATGTCTAAGTACTAACATTGAAGGTGTAGTCGGCTGATTACCTGGGGGCATCTGGAGTTTATAAGTACATAATACCTACATACAGGCTGATACAGCGAGCCAGCGACAAAGGAAGCCAATTCAGCCCGAAGTTTGTCCGGACCCCATACTTCTAGCTTAGTACATAATAAATAACGTAATGCCGACATTTTCATCGTAATACCCCTGAGTAGAGAGCTGATAAATTATTCACCCACAATGCTGCATGCTCTATATCTACCATGTGGAGTCTATGCCTTGATACATCTATCGTCCTTCTAGCCCACACTTGCCTTCTCCTATTGGCAAGACTAGCCTTAGAATCACCTTCCGGCAGCGGCCTGGGCTGGCGTGCCTTGACCCCATTCACGAATCTTTTGTCTTCTTTCTTCCAACTTCCTCTCGAACTCCTCAACCTTCTCTAACCGCTTCCGCTCCTCTTCGGCATCTTTCACTGCCTTCTCTGCCTCTTTCCGAACTCTCTCTCGCTCGTTCTGCTCTGGCCGCCGCGCCGCGATATCACGGGGACGGAAGTCACTGAACAGTCGCTTGAGCACAACCTCAATGACCCAGCAGCCAAAGTAGTCGAGCACCATAATCCCCGTCATCGTTGTTTTGAATTCACTCGTAAACTTGACCAGTTTCATCTGCTGGTTGAGCTCCGGTAAAAATTCCGTCGAGCACGAAAAGGCGATAGCAGTGACAGAAATAATGCCCCAGAACATGCCTCGGTTTTCTGACAAGGATTCTCTGAAGGGTCTTCCTTGGTAGTTGACCGCGAAGGTAGATATTTGCTGGATTAACTGCAATAGGTACACTGCACTGTTCAGAAGCGACGGTGTAAATTCAGCCTCGAGATCGACCATTTCAGATCGCCTATCATAACGTTAGCCACCATGTTAAAGAAAAAGAAAGGGAAAAGCATAAAACTTACGGCTCGAGCCTGTCACAGAATCGGGCAATGTAGATCAGTGTGGCAATATGAACTGCGAATTGACCTAGGATAGAGCCGATGATATAAACGTTGAAGATGTTGGGCTGCGGTCTTTCCTTGGACAAGCCTTCGACAGATTTGGCGCGAGATATGGAGAGGAAGCAAACACTCATGAGCATTCCACTGATGGTGATTTGTCCATCGCCAAACTTAATTCCTTCGAGGTAAAGAACACTGAGACTGTAAGCACTGATGAGGCAGTTGAGTGCCAAGATCTTGTACATCTGGATTGTAGCAACCAAAGTGCAACGGCCTTGTCGAATGATGTTGGGAACTGCAATGACGTTTCGTAGCTTGCTGGTGAAGGGCGCGGCAACGGATGCGTCACCTAGTTTTAGTGTTGGTGGTTCGTCATCGCCTAGTTCTTGCTCCATCATCGCGCTCGTCATCTTGTCAGCAAAACCGGCAGCCTTGTTTGCAGCTTCCCGTTGCTTGGCCGTTCTAGTGTCTTGGTTCAACAGTTGCTGGGCCGCTGGGCTTGTCACCGTTTCAATATTGGTACCATTGAGCTTCGCAAGTTCGTCAGGAGTGATGCCCCGCTTTGCTGCCTCTCGCTCGATAGCCTTCTGATAGTGAGGGTTGGAGGGGCCAGGCGGGTAGAGATGAGCGATGATGGGAGGGACAGGGGGCGCAGGCTGATTGAACCTCTTCATAAGATCGATTTGCTTCTGGTAGAGTTCCTTCATCTTGATGTTGCGAGAATGCTCTGCAATTCTTGTCAAGTCTTCCTGCGTGCCATTGAGAAGGGCAATACCAATGTGGGCTTGCTTCAGTGCGCCAACATCATTCGTGCCGTCTCCCGCCATCAACGTGAAGTAACCCATATCTTTTAGACCCAAGAGAATCTCCTCCTTTTGTTTCGGGGAGACTCGAGCGTACACCCAGGTATGACGGAGTAGTGATCGCCACGCACCAACATTGTCCTTGAACTTGGCCAGCGCGTATCCAGTAACGCAAATATCTTTCGACTTGATAATTTCGGGATCAATCGGTTTTGTCGCGTCTACCTCGATATAAGTCTTGTCATCAATACTGCGCCAAACGAGCTTCTCGCCTCCCTCATTCTGTTCGGGGGCGTCGAGGATAAGAACGTCTCGATCTACGATTTCTACTTCTCTAGCAACGTGGGCGGCCGTAAGCGGATTATCACCAGTGATCATGACGACACGGTGGCTACTCTCGTTTAACATTCGTACGGCTTGTTTGGCATCGTCTTTCAACGGGCACTGGAGGACAAGGAAACCGGCAAAGGTAAGGTCAGCCTCAACCTGTTCGCGTTTTAGGTCGTTGATTCTGCCAGAGCCCAGTTCGCTGTCACGGGTCAACTGCTTATAAGCGAGAGCCAGTACTCGAGAGCCTCGTCGGGTAAAGTACTTGAAGGTTTCTTCGTAATCCTTGGGTACGACAACAAGCATCTTCATGATCGTTTCTGGGGCGCCCTTCACGCTAACCAAGGTTCCGCGTATCTTGCTGCCCGTCTTCGGGTCGGCCGCGTTCACGGTCGCAACAGAGCTTTGTCGCTTTAGAGCAGATGAGAATTGAAATCGACGCTTTACCTGGACAGTGCCAGAGATGCCACCCGCAGCTGCGACAGAAGGTTTTGCTGTCAGGGTATCATTTCTACCAAACACCCATCCAAGAGCCGCAAGGGTAGCCTTCTCCATCGGATCGCCTACAATCTCGCCATCTTCCAGTTTAACAAGAGCATGTGCAGTAGCCAGTACAAGAGTCGTCTCCATTGCAGACTCCTTGACGGAAGTCAAATGGCTATGCGCTCCATCAGATTCTTGAGGGGTGCTTGTACCACTATGGCCAAGACCGAGGCCAGCAATACCTTCAACGACCAGATCCTCTCCCGTCAATGTGCCCGTCTTGTCGAAGCAAGCCACATCGATACGGCCGGCGAATGGGATACGGAAGGGTTCTGTACAGAAGATAGCATACTTAGCCAGGGCTGCCAAACTGGTATTGACTGCCAAGCTAAGCTCCATGGGAAGCTCAGGGGGCACAACACTGGTGACGATTAAAACGCAGTCGAGAAGGAGCTTGGACCTCTTGCGGTCTTTCTTGACTCCCTCGTCCCAGACGTACCAGGAGGCAGCTAGCGCAAAGATGAGGAGGAAAAGAATGAAGAAGAGGGCCTCCACATTGTTGGCCGAAACCCGTTCCGTTGAGTAGATCATCGTCCGAACCAAGCTACCCTGGGAAGTCTCGAAACCCGTTTTTATCACGATGGCCATGGCACCATTGTCGGGAGGCGCAGGAACACCGGAGGCAAGCTTAGGTTTCTCCTCGTCAGGGTTGCCGTGCGTGATTTGCAGAACCTTGGTACCTCCCCAAAGGAAAGAATTCTTATCAAGACCTTCAGTGTCAATGGAGACATCGCCGGGTCGCAACTGTATCGATTCCTTTAGCAACGGTGTACTCTCACCCGACAGCATAGCTTCATTGACAATGGCGGTGCCCTCAACAAGAAGCATGTCGCATGCGACACCGCTGTCTTCCTTTGTGCGCGCAACGGAAGCGAGATCACCTGGCAAAAGCTTGTCGCTCTGAACTTCCGTCCAGCGGCCTAGTCGGTACACCCACATATCGTAGGGTTTGATACTCATGCCTCGAAACTCGTTTAGGGTCCGTTGCCGTTGCCAAACCACTGTGCTCTCGAAGGCGACAAGCATAAAGAGGGTAAACAGGGAGTAGTACCAATACTCATCCAACATCCACAGGCCGACGCAGAAAATCTGAAATACGAAAAAGGGAGCGACGGCATGTTCTCGGAAGAGTTCCGAAAAGGTAGGAACAGGAATATCGAATGTGTTGGTGCCATAGTATTGCTCCAGTCTTGTCAGTTCAGCCTGAGACGTTATACCTTTCGAGTTCTGAAATGATTGGATTTGAGGTTTGGGCTCCGCATCGATTTCGTAGGTTAGTGGAGTGAAAGTCTGCTTCGCGGGTTCATAGAGGAAACGGCGCTTCTGGAAAAGGAAGGACAGATTTATCTTATCGCCAACCTAGGTGTGTTTGTTAGTGGGACAGAAAGCAAGATTGGGGAAAAGCAATATTCAAAAGAAATGTAGTACCTTTTCTCGAATAAGGGGACATATATCGGCGGTACCGGCATTGGCGATAGGAATCACCTTGATCAGTTGGGCATCTTCGACTCTTTTCACCTTGGTGGCAGTAAAAAGACCCTTGAGATTGATGTTCCAGTTGGTGCTTAGCCAAACCAAGCTCTGCAACGTGATAATGGTGCCGCACCAAACAAAAGTCCACTCCGATGAACCAATGTGCTGATCGTATAGACTTGGCGTATAGAAGACTCTAGCAAAAATAGGCCATATAATCAAGAAAGGCGCGACATAGGCATGGAAATATAGAGGTAGAGGCGATAGCAGCTCGGCGCTCTTGATCTGGGGATTGTCGACAAGAGCCATCCTTACTCTAGGCTTTTGAATAAGACCATAGAAGTAGTTAGGATTAGATGGAACGATTACAAAAGACCAGATGCGGAATCATCTGATTATGTGTTATCTGGCTTTTGTAGAATGTGGGATGTATGAAGAAATTGAAGAAATTGAAGAAATTGAAGGAATTCCGAGCTTTCCAGGATCCAAAAGTTTAAATGGTGTAATAGCAAATTTGGCTCGAAAATCTGAAAGTGACGTGTGGCAACATTTGCCTAGGTTAGGCAGTTTAGGTTACTATGAAGGTCCCTAGGTACACTAGATAGGTCTGGTTCTTGGTAGAAAGATGATGAAACCTTCCTAGTAATTTTAAAGCTTCGTCAATTGTTGACTTCAATGTTCCGAATCCGAATGACTACTACTTAGTAGTACATGTACCCTATGTCCATTGTCTACGTGTTAGGTACTTAAAGGTTAGTACTACGCGAGAGTTTCAAAAAGGTTATCTGTCTGTACCTTGTGCCAAGCCATCCAAATCTGCAAGTACCCCCTCATTTACGCATATATACCTATACATGCATAATACAATTTCATACATATGTGTAAACTCCAATGTTAGATCATTTGTTCATATAAAAATAGGTAAGTAAGCACTTTATGTAGTATGTAGCGATGAATCGCCTGGCAGTACATATATACTATACTACCCTAGGTTAGGTATGTAATATCTCAGTGTATCTTCAGTGTCTCTAATCTCACATCTACAGCGTCCGAACCTCCTCTCACACTGACATAATTCTTTCCCTTCGCCAATTTGACATAAACCGAAGCATTTACATAGTTACCTTTGCTTGGTAATAACTCCAATGTATTCTGCGACTCTTGATTGACTTCGATGCTCACGTTTGCCGCAGTATGTCCAAGATTCGAGTAGCTAAGCGTCAGGGTGGATTTGCCACCATCAGACACAATACCAGAGAATGCTACGTTGCTGTCTGACCTCAAGCCTCCTACAACCGCTCCATTGCTCGTGACAGTTGAAGTATTGTCAAAAACGACACGAGTCTCTTGTCCGGTAAGATAAGCATCGACGGCGTAGTAAGTTGGACCGAGGACTGGCGGCGTCCAAACCTCCAATTCGCAGATACCAACGTAGACGTTAGACGATTTACGGTAAAGATTGACAGCTAGAAATTGTGTCTCGACTTGGCCATATTTAAACTCGTTACGGTCATTACCCAAAAACGCAGATGAGTCGTTGTATGTGGCCAACAAGCCGCTGGATCCATGAATCTCTATGCGGGCTGGTACGTCAATTCCTCCCCCTCTGGCTACGTCCGAAAATATGGCCAGCGTTACCGAAGACACAGTCCTTGGCCGAGCAAATGTGATTGTCAAAGTATCGTTCGGGTTGGGAGATCTATAATTCGTCCATCTATTGTCAGGGATTGAATCATAGAACAGCACACCATCGATAGCTTTGTATTGGAAGTCACCGGAATTAGTATATGTGGCGTCAGCCGTAGGATACTGCCCGGGACCAGCAGGATTCGCTGCAATGTTTACGGGTGCCGGAGCCGGGGATATGGGCCGAGGAATATGTACGACGGCGCTCTTTTGGGCACCGGCATGCACCATTTTTCCATCGACTAAAACTGACAACCCATGTCCAGCCTTGTATCTAGATCCATCCTTGTCGTACAAAACAGTTACCAAGTGGCCATGGTATGGCAAATTCTCGAGGGCAAAATATGTCCAGTTTTCTGGAACAATAGGAGAAATCTCTAGAAAATCATCCTGACGCGGTGAAATACCGAAAAGGCCTGTTATCACATCGTCGTTGTTGGTTGAATGATCATAGTGTTCCGAATGATTCCAGCCATCGGCACTCCAACCATTGATAAAAGGATAATGAGACTCTGCGACATAAGGCTGACCGTTCTTTTGTTGCGTTCTCGCGTACGTCTGAAGATATTGGAAATACTGTTCGGCAGTGACATTCGTGGTTTTGGAATGATATATCTTTGCAAGTGACTTGAGTGTGTGCGAGGTGGAATAAGGCCATGACATGCCGTTCCAATAGCAGCCTACCAACATGGTTAAAAAGAGGATTTACGTTTATAGGGGCTATCTTACAATAGTCATCTGGCCTGACAGCCATAAACCATGGGTCTCGAATCTCTAGGGTTGTTGGGCCATAAGGGGCTAAGAAACCTTGTGGGTCAAACATGGAATCGACAGCTGGTTGAGAGTAGGACGTGTTGAGACCAATTCCGAAGCGATATAGGAACAGTCCTACCTGTTCTCTCCCCGTGAGTCTTGTCAGGTTCGGATTATTGGGCCGGATAATGTCCATGAAGAATTGTTGTTCGGGTGCCCACATGCGCTTATATATGGCAGCTTCGAGCTCGTCTGCCAGTCCAGAAAAAAGAACTTCGTTACGTCTATCGTTGACGAGATTAGCGGCACGGGCTATAGCTCGAGCATTCGCTACCATATACGCATTGTGGTTAGGTCGAAAGGTATATGGGCCATCCTTCCGTAGTGTCCAGTCGGTCCCATTCGGGTCAGCAATAAACCCAGGAAGAGACAACTCCTGGGCGTCCCAGACGGGCTGATAGTAGTATAGGCCGGCTGCTTCATCAAAGTATGGATCCCATTCGTGCCATAGGCGAATCATGTCGTCGAGCTGGATAGCGAGGAAATGGGAATCTCCAGTCACCATAGCCCGACGGCTTGCCGCATCTAGAATCCATTGAGTATACTGCAGGGCATCGGCTGGGCCACGAGTATACAGTTGGATATAATCGTCACCGTAAAACGTGTCTCTCAGCCATCTCGACTCATCAATCTGATGCCCCGCGGCAGCATCGATAGATCCGAAAGCTTTAGCATAGCCGACGGGTTGGACGAACTCGGTACACATATATCCGGTCCCCGCCTTGATGTAGCGAAGATTCCGTTGAATGGTAGTCCATCTGTAGTAATATACATCCTGGACAAGCGCGTCCGGGATGTCGATATAAGGAATGTTGTGCCTCAAAAACGTCTTGCCGGCAAAAGTGCTAATGGGCTTTTCGTGGTCTAGGAAAGACGTGCCTTTGACATCTTCATCTTCTTGCTCGGTTGGAGGGAACAGTTCTCGTCCGGCGAGAGGACCGGCAAATACCCAGAGAATTCTGACGAGTATGACACAAGCAACAGCTGCTTTGAAGAGGTGGTAGTAAGGATGGGTAACATGTCTTTCCTCGTCCAGACCTTCTTTGGAGTATCGAGGCAGTTCGTTATTGTGGCCATGGAAACTGTGTTGTTGGAGTTTGGATTTGGATTCGGGTTTGGTCCAATCAGCCGAGGGAATTGAATCAAAGGTGTTATATGAAACCCGTGCCATCTCACAGGTGCGGGTGTAGGTGCAGCGCAGATGCACGCTACTTTGTACCTACAATGTATCTAAACCTTGGGCATCAAGGTAGCAGGTTACACACATGCAGCCTAGAACCTATGTAGAACAGGATCGATTGATTTATTGATTAAATATCGGAAACCGCAACCTGTAATCAGTAATTCAGCTACATGTGAAGTAGGGGTTAGTATTGAAGATGACGTAGTGGGTACTTTGTATTTGCGGGGGCTAGTCTCCAAGACTCTCCATCGTATTAGCTAATGGACATACCTGTATTGTACCTGACAGGGAAGCGCCAGGGTTGTCTGGTACTATGTAAAAGTTCGATGTTCTTTGTTGTCTCTGCACTTTTCTCTGCACTTTTCTCTGCACTTTTTTGTGTTGGGCAATGAAGATCAATTGCTATTTTCATATTAAATACACATGTGCAACTGATACATATAACTATATGTGGGACTTTGAATGACTTTATGTCTAACTAGAGAGGTTGCTCAAAGCCATTATACTTGTCATTGTTACTACTACTAGTAGTAGCAGACTCTCCAAGTTGATCATGCTCTTAAAGTCCTAGGCATGACCAACCACATGTGATAATAGTTAGCAAGCATGAATAGAGCTTGTGATGTCTGGTACTTGGTAATTTGAGGGTCTTTACAGATACTAGGTATGTAGGGACCTACTCCAATGCATGTAGGAAGGTAGCATTTATGTGGGTGACAAGACAGGAAAAGGGTAGGATTGAAAGATGTTGTGAGGGCGCATGGCACACATCATTGGTCTCTTTTAAGACGGGTATTCAATACTACATACATACATAGTACTAGGTAGTACTCACTACCTAGTATGTATGTACGATTGTACAAGTACTTACCATATGAGATTCTGATTTTGACTTTACTATGTACATGTAACTACGGAGTACATACAACATTGAAGTCTGTCTTTTGTCGTAACGTTCTTTTAGTAGCGCACGAGCCACATAATGCTGCTTTTCTTATGCAACACAACTTGAACTCTATCATTGTGCATAATACAAAGTATCTCATCTGCCTGTCTGCCTGTCTGCCTGCCTGCCTACTACTACTACATGTAGTAGTCAGATATAATATAACAACCAAGAATCAACAACCTTGGAAAAAGATACATCACATAACATCTTGGGCCTCCACATCAAGTGACCAACCATGTCACTATCTCAACTTTCCAAACTACTACCTCTCCCGGATCCCGAGTTGAAGCAGGTTCTAGACTATGCCGCCACACTCTCCAAGGCAGAGGCTGCTGATCACTTTCGCAACCTGCTCGGCGAGTCACCCGAGTGCATAGACTTCATAGCTACCTTCAACTCCAAGAGGCAGGATCCAAGGTCGTCGCAAGCCTCGTCAGGCAGAAACTCTTCTTCGGGTATTGAACCTGTCCCCAAGCCGTCAAGGGCACCCAAGAAGGAAAAGGCTCCCCTGCGCACTCCTGCGCCCCGTCCAGTTGCCAATCTTGGCTTTGCACCTGGTGTAGCGTACAACAAAAATGCTGAGACCGATTACATGCCTGGCCGGTCTAGCCCTGCCTCGACGCCGTCTGGATCCGAACCTTCGAAGAAGAACCCTCCTCCAAAGGGCCCTTCTCCAAAACCCGGCCCTACTACCCCAGGTCACCTGATATCAGACGTCCGGAAGCCCAAGCCGAAACCCAACAACTCCAACTCTAGTAGTAATGCGCGGTCATCCACCCCGGTCCAGAAAACCAAGGTCCACATTACCGGCGGCACCGCCATGCACGGCGCCTCCACCGCCCTGTCGGACCTCGACAACGCCATCAGCGTCCTCGAAACCACCACCAACCCGACCCGCGACACCGACGACGCCGCCAGACGCTGCAACTGCATCGCCGCCAGACACCCCCTCCTCGCCGCCGCGCCCAACTGCCTCAACTGCGGGAAAGTCATCTGCGTGAAGGAAGGTCTCGGCCCCTGCACCTTCTGCGGCACGCCCCTCCTCAGCCCCGCCGAAGTGCAAGCCATGATCCGCGAGCTGCGCACGGAGCGGGGGCGCGAGAAGATGGCCGCCGACCGCTCCATGCACAAGAAAGCCGACGTGTCGCGGACCCCCGCGCCCTTCACCAAGCCCCGAGAAACCCCAGACAGCAACCAACTCAGCGAAGCAGAAGCCAAGGCCCTCGAGCACCGCGACCGCCTCCTGAACTTCCAATCGCAAAACGCGCGCCGCACCACCGTCCGCGACGAGGCCGCGGACTTCGATGTCGGCGCCGCCGTCACCGGCCTCAGCAGCAACATCTGGGCGACCCCCGAGGACCGCGCGCGCGAGCTAAAGCGCCAGCAGAAGACGCTGCGGGAGATGGAGTGGAACGCGCGCCCGGAGTACGAGAAGCGGCGGCAGGTCGTCAGCATAGACGTCGTCAAGGGCAAGGTCGTCAAGAAGATGGCGGCGATTGAGCGGCCGAAGAGCCCGGTGTCAGACGATGAGCGCAATCAGCCGGGAGGAGAGGAAGAACAAGAAGGAAAAGGGAAGGCTCTAGGAGAAAGTAGCGGGAATCGTACTGGTGGGGGCGCTTTCAGCAAGAATCCCCTGTTAGGCTCATTGATCAGGCCTGTCTTTGAAGCTAAGGGGAAGGGAGCTGAGTTGGAAGGTCGTAACCCGAAAGCGTCGCAGTGGAGGAGGGTGCAGGATGATCTGGAGAATAATGAGGCTGTTATCCTTGATGGGGGCGCATACGGTGGTGGTGGTGGTGGTGGCCGAGATGCCGCAAGTTTAGATGTAGATGAGCCTGGGTGCGGCTAATGATAATAACAATATTATGATGATGATGATGGTCATGATAATGTCATCCCTCACAAGCCAAAGCCTTCAAGTCACAAGCGCAGTGAATGCATAAACATTAATGAGTGTGGTATCTTTATTGAAATAGCTTCTTCTTCTTCATCTTCATCTCAGACCAGTTCATCACCTCATCTACATAAGCCCGATCTCGATTAAAGTTAGGGAAACTATTAGGACAAACGACAACACAGCACATCATCCTTATACGATTCCTTGGACCACGTTCTCATTAGTGGTATTCCCTACCTATCCAGCCCTTCATTCATAAAAACCATTTCCCGTTGAACCCGAGCGTTTACCTATTCCGAAGATTTGTTGTCGTTGTTGTTGTTTTTTGTTTGTTTCCAGGCAAGATAGCATGCTCAAAGTAAGGTAAAACCTACAACACCACACCCTCTAGTTTCATTGGTGGAAAGCTAGCAATGCCACGAGTTGTTGTTAAGTAACCTTTCGAACCGCATAACCGTTTTTCACTTTTGGATAAGAGTGGACGATTCGCAATGTCACCACAGGACATTTTGACTAAGATTAACATTAAGGTTCCTTCGTGCCATTCATGGTGCCGTTTGGAGGGGCCGTTCACCCAGAGATTCTTGGGTTTCCTAGGTCTCCTAGGTTTTCCAGGATCCCTTAAGCCTCTTCCTCAGCTGCTGTACCGTTCGTGTTACCGTTCACCTTGGCCTCAGCAGGGTGGTCCTCCTTCACCTTCTTGACTTCTTTCTCGGCGGCTTCGATTTTTACGGCAAATTCCTCCTTCTCGGTCTCCAAGCGAGCAATGGTGGCTTGTGCTTCTTCTAGCTTGGTACTCAGGACGGTTTGAGCTTCCTGGTCTTGTTGCTTTTCGGACTCCAACTCGCTGACTTTGGACTCAAGAGCCGCCTTGTCCTTGGATATTGTTAGCTAACATCTTCACTAATTTGTATTACAGAATCTCAAGGGTTTCTCACAGTTTGTGCTGCTTCAAGGTCCTCCCCAGCCTTTGTTATCTTGGCCTCCAGATCAGAAATTTGCGCTGATTGCTCGTCGTGCTTCTTCTGCAGTTGTTCGTTCTGCTCCTCGGCAGACTTCAGCTTCTCCTGCAACTCGGCAGCTTCTTCCTTGGCCTTTTCAAGCGCTGCGACCTGCTCTTGGTGCTGCTGTTGCAACTGCTCGTGCTCGGCTTGCGCAGATGCGAGCTTGCTCTGTAGCTCGGCAACTTCGGCTTGTGCGCCGCTAAGCTCGCCTGCTTGCTTGTCGTGGTCGCCCTGAAGTGCATTCAGCTTTTCCTGAAGTTGCTCTACTTCTTGCTTAGCGCTCTCGATTTCGGCCGCGTGGTCAGCTTTCGACTTCTCCTGGCTTTCTTCTAAGGCGGCCACATTTTGTTGGAGCTTCTCTAGATCGGCGCGGTGTTGTTCCAACTCAGCCTCGAGAGCCTTCTTCTTCTCATCACCGTTGGCCGCCTCTTCCTTCGCAGCTGCCGCTTCGCTCGCGAGACTGTCGTATTCCCCTTGCAGGGTCTCGTGCTTCGACTTCCACTCGGCTACGCTCTGCTCCGCAGCAGTGACCTTCTCGCCAGATTCCACTACCAATTGGTCGTATGCTTGTTGCAAACTGGCATGCTTTTGCTCAATGTCCGTTAGGCTGTTCTTGGTCGACGTAATTTCTTCCTCGGATGCCTTCTTCAGTTGGGCATGTGCCTCCTCAAGAGCGTTGTACTCGTCACCTTGACTGGACTTTAGGGATGCCAGTTGCTCTGCGAGCTTGTTGTGGTCATCTTGTAATGCGACATGCTTGTTGTTGGAGGCGAGGAGTTCTTCCTTCAAGGTGGCCAGTTGCTCCTTCAGCGAAGCCTCGAGGGAGTTTCGTTGCTCGATTTCATCAGCGCGTTCCCGCTTGGCGGCCGACAACTCCTCACTCAACGTGGTTTTCGTTTGTTGCAAGTCATTGAGCTTCGCCTCTAGCTCGGCGAGTTGAGCACGGGCTTGGTCAAGCTCGCTTGCTCGAGCAGCAGCGACCTCCTCTAGACCATGAATCTGTTGAGTGGAATCATCTGCGGCTTGCTTCAATTGAGCTTGAAGTTTTTCAATCTGCTCTTGGGTACTCTGGCCGGCTGTGCTGGATTGGGCTTCCAACTCAGCGACCTTCTTTCGGAGAAGTTCTAGTTCCTCGGAAGTCTTGGTGAGGTCCTTCTTTGCACCTGCAAGTTCTTCTTCCTTGGTAGCCAAGTTCTTCTCGAGGGTAGCAATGTTCTCATCTCTTTCGGCAATCTTTTTCTCTATGGCCTCTCTCTCCTCTTGGGCGAGAGTAGTGGCGCTAGAGAAAGTAGAGAGTATGTTACCCATGTCGTGCTGAGGGTTGGGAGGTGTTAGGGTTTTGAGGGTTTTGGTCTTGGTTTTATTTTTTTCTTCTTTGGTGTGTCGGAAATAGATCGTGTCTTTCCGGTCTACCGACGAATGATCCTACCGAATCGAGTCTGATTCCACCGAATGATACTCTTTCTTTTTCTTTTTCTTGCTTCGATGGGGGGGTATCGTATCGCAATCAATCAAATAACAGAATTGAGTAGAAAGTATTATTCTAAGCTTAAGCAGGCCAACAAGCAATCGTTTTTCGTCCGCTCGTGCAATCAATCATTCATTCATTCAATCCAGTCAATGAGTTCCCGATGCATGCATGACATGGAAAAAGTGGAAGAAAGAAGAAAAAAAGATACGATAGGTTGGTTGAGTGTGTGGTGCGTGGTAAAGTGTGTAAAAGGTGGTAGGTGTGTAACCCGTTCATTGTGTAAGTACTGTTCAGTGCATACTGTTCAGGCACTTCAGTACATACTGTACCTAGTAGTAGTACTGTACTTATCGTAGTTACAGGATCTACTACTAAGAGATACTTAGCAAGTTAGCACCATACACTTTCAAGGTTAGCACTGCTAACTACTACGTCGTACTTATCTAGGGTGAGGAGTTCTACCTACATTGTACGTTAGATGCTGGATAAGAGGTGATGAGCTTCCAATAAAAAATTGAAGAAAAAAAATTTATTCTCTAGCTTACAGGGGTGGCTAAGAGGGGCAGCTCTAAACAGGCAATGTGGACTATGTGGGCTATCTGGCGGTCTGGAAATTTGGTGGGTGGTTGGTCACCGCGGAGTTTCCATTTGCCAATGAATTCAACTTATGACTTGCAGGCAGGTGACAACGCAATGGGCGTGCAGTGACCCAAATCAACCCAATCAGCCATGATCAAAGTACTCAACTATCCAGTATTTGCCTCGGTAGGGTTGAGTGTGGAGTCTGTGGACACAAGAATTAAGAATTTTATTGGATACTCATTGGATACTCACTGGATACTTATTGGATACTTATGGCACACCCACATATTATAAATGTATGTACATTGTAGTATTGTAGGTAGGAAGTTACTACATATGTAGGAACCACCTTACGACTGCATAAATCATACATTAATTATCGATTGATAGCAATTGATAAGTAACTACACTGTAAGTCTGTAACTAACAACTGATCACAATTGAATCGATCTTGTGCCGATTTACATATATACATGTACTTGCATCTCAACATCATCCCGGATTTCATGCATTTCATACCTTAACACATAGTTGTCTCTTCCAGCCCTACAGAACAAAAAGCATGGGAACTTATTAGTGGTCTGAGTAATCACGTGATATCCCCCAACGGTTTCTTTTTTTATTTATCTCTTATGTAATACGCCTTTGGCCTAAATGCATATAAAACCTCACACTGGGTAAGACATGAAAGCCATTTCGAACATGTCATATACCATGAATATGTAGCTAAAGGTGACCATCACCCCTTTACCCGGCATTGAGTCATTGAGTCTTTTACTTCACTGTCATGAAGAGCACAGAACATCTGAACATGAGATTTAGTGGGTAGGGTAACAACGGAATCACGTGAAAGTCAGAAAGAAAAATTAGAACTTGACCTTGAAGACTCTAACCCAGGTACATTCTAGTGCTACAAGGTATCACCAGCTCAGATCAGGTAGTGGCAGGTACTTCATGAACCCCACTACCCCTCCACCCCTCCAATGGCAAGAGCACTGTAATAGAAAGCTCTGAGGTATTTCAAAGTTCAAAATCAAATTATTACTCATTGTCCTTTTTTTTTATCGCTATTAAATTCGGCATCGACTTGGACCAGAACGAAAAAAAAAAAGAATAGAAATAAGAATCATGTCGTCTGAAGCCCTCACATCCATCCCTCTCACTTCTCTTCCCCGTCTGTCTCAGGGAAAAGTCAGGTAAGGATTTTGCAAAATTTCACATGAAGGACATGTCCTCTGTTCATCACGCGACATTGGCAACAGACAACATCCGAGCCGCTTCTGCACAGTAATGAGTCACATATTCTGATATTCTTGTATAATAGGGACCTTTTCTCTCTTCCAGACAACCACACGCTTCTCTTTGTTACATCAGGTATCATTTATCAGACGTCTTATTTTGTACTCATTTGTACTCACTATTCCTAGATCGCATAAGTGCCTATGATGTAATTCTCAAGGTCAGCTATTTTTAGTTGTCCCGGCGTGGTTCTATTAGACTTGTATAAAGCACGCCTCATTTATTCAAGGGCTGAAGCCGAAACGTGTCACTGGTATTGAGATGAAATAGGCTCTATGTTGATGCTAACACGGAATTATGACAGAACGGTGTTTCATCCAAGGGGGTCATCTTGACCCTCCTATCTGCCGAATTCTTCAAAGTGCTTTCATCTCGTATTCCGGGCTTGAAGCATCACTTTATTGGCCTTGGTCCGTTGTCGGCATCTAACATCGTCACTGCTGAAGAGCAACAGATGCTCCGCGGCCGCTCAATGACTGTCCGGTATGCGTTTTCGGAGTTTCTTAGGAAAATATTCCCTCCCACTGTGGCGTTTGTTAACCACCGAACCTGGCAGCCGTCTCAAAATATTTCCCATCGAAGCAATAGGCAAGTACATCTATTTGAAGTGGTCAACCAAACCAACATATCCTCTGAGATGGTGCTCTAATATGTTCGGCGGTTAGTACGTGGATATGTCACTGGAAGCGCGTGGTTAGAGTCAGTCTCGCCCCATCCGTTATATATCTTGTCACTGTTTTACTTACCCTCGATAAAGGTACCAGAAGAGTCAAACGATCCACGGCATTGAACAAGTTCCTGGTCTTTCACAATGTCAACAACTCCCTCAGCCCATATATACACCATCTACTAAAGCAGAGCTAGGGGAGAAAGATATCAACATCTCCCCAGCCGAGGCGAGAAAAATTGTGGGCGATAAATATGCTTCGCGCATCGAGGACTTGGCAATCGCATGCTACAAAGCGGGGGCCGCATATGCAGAAGAACGCGGCATCATCATAGTAAGCCCTGGCCCGAATTCGGGTGAAAGAGGCTTGACCCCGGACATTAGAACGACATCCCTTGCTAACTGATACTCCCTAGGCGGATACTAAGTTTGAGTTCGGATTGGACGAGGAAACTGACGAGATATACCTTGTAGACGAAGTTCTCACGTAAGTACTCTGCCTAAGAACGTATTTTCTTGCTTGGTATTAATATGTGGCCCACTAGGCCCGACTCATCACGCTTCTGGAGCAAAGCCGACTATGAAGGTATGTAACCTGCGTACATCTTGACGCTCACTTCTCAGAAAGCTAACATAAATCATAGTTGGACGGGAACAGGATTCATGTACGTATCTATCCTTCCTTATTCACTCGAATCGGCACTTTTTCATACAACAGCGTGTGATACCTTTCAACCCCTCTGTTCATAGGGCCAAGGCTCAAGACAGACTACTAACGTGGAGTAGTTGACAAGCAAGTTCTCAGAAATTGGTTGACATCAAACGGTTTGGTACGTAAATCACTGGCTCCCTTGCCTAAGTTATTGAGGATGCCATTCCTACCCCGCACCCAGGGAATATGTTTGGAACTAGGCTAACAATAAATGTAGAAAGGAAAGCCGGATGTGCAGATGCCCCCCGAAGTTGTAGAGAAGATAAAGGGACGATATCTAGAACTGTTCGAGCGGCTAACAGGAAACACGTTAGAGGATGCCTTAAAAGGTTTGTAAAGTTGAAACTGCCAAAATAGGAGCAGCAACACTTTGCGTAGTAAATCCAATGGCATCTCTGATGCAACGGCTTGTGGCTAGGTATTAGGTAGTAAATACGTCTGGTTATAGCCGTGGAGTTTTCAAGTTCGGATATAGACCTGACTAGATCAGATATCTACTATCAATGCCCTCTTAAGTGCCTGGCTATCAGGTAGGTGTTGATCAGATTTAACGATACTACGTATCCCACGCCGGATTTAATTTTGAACGAAGTTTCCGGACGCATACCTAGTGGATAGATAGGCATCTACAACCTTTATAAGCTTCGAATTGATTTGGACGTTCGGAGTTTTTGCTCTTATTGGCAACCATTTGGTGTGGTCGCAGTTAACTAGGATATCGTCTTGCGAGCTAGACGAATGTCTTGATGAAACTGCATGAAGCAGTCAAGACACCAGAAGATACGATGCATAGTGAACGCCACCACGCAGAGGAGATTGGCGGGAATATACATTGCGGCCCTTGAGTCTATGATATATCCCACCTCGGGATCTGATCTCTTGAACAAGTCCGGAAATCGAGAAGGGGATAACTGCGAACTATTATCTCACTATACTCTGTCTACCACATCAAGCTGGTATTAAAATGCTTTGCACGCCGCTACTGTAATTATCGAAAATAGATGAGAGGAAAAACAAACTCCTAATTTAACACTTATCATCGACTGTCACTGAAACTTGCTGCTTATACCTCACTCATAATCTTATTCACCATGGCAACCCAAGTTCAACGTGCTTCTAACGACCCAAGGCCTATGGATGATCCCCGGATCAACTTATCCCAGAAGCTACAAGCCAACCGGTACTATCTGCCCGATCTTAGGCTCTCCTACAGAGGTTGGCCGGACGCCGTGAATCCAAACTATCCTCGGTTGAAAGTTGTGCTTGATGCACGAATCAAGTCGTGCGTTTAGCCTAGAACCATGGAGTATCACTCTTAAAAGAGAACTGACATGCACAAAGTCTTTATCCCCCAGAAAGAGCCGCGGCCCTGATCAAGGGGGACTACGGCCTCCTGTCCTCCATGTGGTGGCCCCGCGCCGACGCCCACCGACTCGAGACCTGCACATTCTGGTTCCTCTGGCTCTTCACGTGGGACGACGAGATCGACCAGTCGACGTCAGAGCTCTTCATCAATATCTCCCACGCCAACCAGTTCCGCGCCGAGTCGTATCATTACGTTCGGTTTGCGCTTGGTGTGCCTGATGAAGAGACACATAAGTGGCAGTTTGAGAAGAATGCTCCCAATAGGCCGCTTATACGTAGTTTGGATGTTATTGGGGCGAGTTTGAAAGAGGTGTATAGTAAGGGTAGGTACCTATATATGCCAGTGAAGGCAAGTTAGTGGCTTTATAGAGGTACAGACTAACGTGTAATTGGTAGACCAGATCATGGTATTCGTCGATGAGATAGACTATTACATGGACTGTCAGCAGCGCGAGCAGGGCCGGAAGCTCAATGGTGTTATTCCAACCCCAGAGCAGTACATCGAGACCAGGCTTGGGACAAGTGCAGTCACTTCCATGCTGGCACTTAACGAGTATGCCCCCAGCCTCACTCGCCGTTTCTGAAAATTTGTTGCCCCCTCACGTAAGTTGGTATTTATTTGTACTAGTAGCTAACTTAGAGTAATTCGACACCACCAGGTACGCCGACAGCCAGAACCTTCCTCGGTGGATTATGACTCACGACAAGATGATCGATATCTGGCAAGAAGTCAACTTGAACATGTCCCTGTCGAATGACATGCTCTCGCTGAAAAAAGAGATCAAGCACGGCGATATCGATAGCATGATCCCGGTCCTCGTGCATAATCGTGGATTCACTATCCAGGAAGCTATTGATGTGCGTGTTCCCCTACCCCTTTTCTTTGTCTCGGCAACACCATCCTCTCTATTTTCGGGTATAAAGGTAAATAAGGAGGTCGCTAACATTAGTACAGGATACCTGCGAGGTGCTCAGGCAGAATATCGATCGCTTCGATGCCACGGCCGAAGACCTCTTGAAGATCGTCAGGGAGAAACAGCCAGAGCTTGTGGATGACGTGGACTACTATATCGTCGGGTGTAGACACAACCAGACTGCTAATCTACTATGGAGGTTCGTTGATAAAACATCTTGCCTAGGTACCCAGGTATCTATTACTGTGATCTGTTCTAACATACACCGTCACAGCCTTGTTACTACGAGGTACGGCCTTGGAGATACTCCCCGCGATGCAGACGGCGGCATGACGATTTCCTTGGAGTAGGTGAAGTATTGAGGTGACTGTTCGTCGGTCTCTCGTTTGTATGCAGTTATTGACGATGCAGTCAGCTTACACTTCATAGCTACCTCCCTGCCTAGGTAGGCGAGTAATGATTCCGGAAAGTTTAACATATCCGATGCTACGCTATGGTGCATTGCGCCATCCGTTGCGTGCTTTAGACCCCGCGTATTGGTAATCAGGTCTTTGTAATCAGCATCCGTAGTTGGAGGATTATACGCAGTTATATAAGACCTGTTGTGCAAGAGGACAATAGCTACCGACGTACCTAACAGTAATACTGTTTTGAACTTCATCTCTCTATACACCTAGATCAGAATCAGAACCAGCAATTTCTTCATAATGGCCGTAGCTACTCCCAAGATCAAGCTATACACTAACCATGCGTGTCCTTGTATGCAAGTCCCAGCTGAGCTCCCAAGACTTGGAAATACGATATAAATAGTAGCTGACCTGAATAAAAAAAGGGGCCCACCGAGCACACATTGCGCTAGCGGAGCTTCAGGTACCCTTCGAGGAGGAGATCATTGACTTGTCGGTTCCCCGTACTGCGGAATACCTAAAGATCAACCCGAGGGGTCAAGTTCCGTCAATCAACTTCAACGGCGAGATCCTCGCCGAGTCAGCGATAATCGCAAATTTCCTGGCCGACGCGTTCCCTTCTCATTTGCTCCCAGCCGCGGGCAGCCCGGAAGCCGCCTTGCTCCGGGCTAGAACGGCTTTCTTTGTCGACACTTTCATCTCCAAAATCAACGGTAACCTGTACAAGGCACAGAGTGCCCCGACAGATGCCGAGGCAGACGAATGGATTGCAAAATATGTCGACGGGATCGTCAAGGAGATCGAGCCGCAACTAGCCAACGCGGCCCCGTTCTTCAACGGCAGCAGCAAGCTCACACAAGCTGAAGTACTATATAACCCGTCTTATTTATAGCCGCTACTCTACTCCACGCCGTGTAATTGGCAACATGATAACCCATAGGCTAACCCCTGATATAGGTTCTGACAGGTTCCTTCATCATCCGCCTCTTCGCGCTCTTGAAGCACGGCGTTCTTCCCGAAAGCGTCGCCAATGATCTATCGACCAAGGCGCCCAACTTCTACAAATGGGGCCAGGCGGTGGCGAATCACCCCAGCGTGAGCGGAATATTCCCAGAGGATAGGGTGGTGGCATTCACGAAGAACGCGATAGCTAAGGCGCGAGGAAACTAAAATTGAGCTGAACTGTGTAGGTAGTAAGTAGTAGGCCACAGTTATATATAGTTTGGACGACGGATGATATTATATGGTGTTTCTTGACTATGTTGACTATGTTGACTATGTTGACTATGTTGACTGTGATAAGTATGAACATGGAATAACATGGAATTACTTGAATAGATACCTAGTTGGTAGAGATTAATGTAATATCATACTAATATGTAAAGTACATGACACTACATGTACATGTTGTACTACACAATGTAACATCATAATAATGTATAACTACATCCATGATATATGTAACTGTTTTATGCATACATATTACAGGCAGCCCCCCGCCTGGACTTGACAGACAAGACGTCCCTGCCTGTCTGGCCCAGACAGTCTGGGGCTTACCAAGAAAAAAAGAGAAGAAGAAAAAAAGGAAAGAGAAAAGAGGAAAGAGCAAATTAAGCGCGCCAACCCAACTGTAAAAGCCCTCTCTGCCTCTTCTTCCATCTCTCATTCCTTTTACTTTCTCCCACTTTCTCTTTATCTCTTCTACATAGTAGTATCCCTCTCCCCCTCCATCCCCACCCCTACGCGGGTTATTTTTTTATTAATCAATTAATCAAACCACACTCCACTCCTCTTTTCCTCACACGTACCGTATATACTCATTGGTATTAGACTGAATCCCTCTTTTTTTTCTTGTCTTACCTCTTTCGCTACCTTCCCTGTATTACCTCGCTACTATATACATAGGTATACACCCTTCCCCCTTCCCCCTTCCCACTGTCGTGCGACTCTCGGCCTAAGCACACAACATCACTGAGCCCAGCTCCCCCGACTCGGGATCATGGGCTCCTTGCTTTCCGACCGCGTCTATATCGGCATACGGTGAAGGTTGGGACACCGACCGGAAACATATGGGCCTGCACGAGGCGCAACTAAGGAACTCGGACGCGATGAGCCAAGATCTCGTCCATTTGATTCGGAAACCGCAGCTGTCGCCCGAATCTGTGGATTCAGCCTTGAGTCCCACCGAATATACTCATGACTTAATACCCTATGGCCTCACTCAGGAATCTTGCTTACATCCTGCCCCGTGGTGCAGCGAACAGCTCGTGCAAACACCCGACTTCGCCGAAGAAATCGAATCGCCCAATGGCTCAGTACAGACCCCGACTGGATCTAATGCATCCAATGCATCTAAGCGCACTCATCGTAAGAGAACTCATAGCCCAGATGTCTGGGAAGCTCACAAGGCCGAGATTGCCCGGCTCTATCTAGAGGAGAATAAACGTCTCAAGGATGTAATGGAAATCATGGAAAGCCAATGGGGCTTTCGCGCCTCGTAAGCTTAGTAGTTTTCCTACCTACCTAGTGTTATTTATCCATTGCCCGTTGACTAAGCCAACCTTTTTTTAAAGACAAAAGATGTACAAGACGAAGCTCACCCAGTGGAAGTTCTTCAAGAACAATCGCCAAACAGACGTAGCCAACCTCCTCTACTTGCAGCGCCACCGTCTCGCTATCGGAAAAGAGAGTACCTTCCGGCGAAATGGCAAGCCTCTCGATGTAGAGGCGTACATGAGGAGAAGAGGAATTAGCGCTTTTGACCTGGTCGAGGTGGCGGATTCCAGTGACTTGCCCCCGACTGTAAGATGCCGAACGCCGCCCTCGCTTCCGAAAATCATAGATCCTCCTGATGACCTCCGTCTTAAAGAGAGGTTCTTCCAGTGGACGTCTCAAAAATTCGTGAAGCCTCGGCCGATTGAGACCGGTTACTTAAAGAGGCTCGAGTCACACCATACGAGTAAAGCCCTTCATTCCGTTCAGCTCCTAACCCATGGATGCTGGCTTTTCTCCACCGGCCATAACCAGGAGGGCGGCGACTTTTGCCGCGGAGCCTTTGCCCTCCTACATCATATCCTCGACACATCGGCCTTCCTTTCCTTTTTCGAAATGATGATGACGATTCGCCGATACCCCAAAGCCGAAATCATCAAGGAACTCTGGAGCTATCTCTCACGGTACGCGGCGGCAATCGATGGAGTAAATCAACCATTGTGCCGAGTATTGACCGCTTTCGCCAACTTCTCACAACATCATAGCTTGGAGTACAATATAGAGATCTTGGACTGGGCTTTGAGATGGGCCTCTGGCCGATTCAACAGTTCCTTCGACGGGAAGCCATTTGACTATACCATGCTGAAACCATGGGATCTCGTTCCTGTAGGTGAATCATATCACCGCTATTACCTATGCTTGAACCACTGGGAAGTCGATTCCATCCCAACGGTGACGATACCGAGTTTAAACGAGTTCGAGGACCCTTCGAGTCTACGAGCGGACCTACTTCTCATTTTTGGTAACCAAACCTCCTGGCGTGATGATAGGATATCCAAGGTTGCGCTCAAAGTTCTAGAACAAAACCGGTCGTCACCCAAGCCCTCTGATTATTTGGAATATGTCTGCCTATACGCTACAGCCCGGCATAGTAAAGTGCGATCTGCTGGGGATGACGCCACGATAAGCATCGACCACAAGCTAGCAAGGGAATACCTGCAACTAGCTGTGGATCTTCAAGGACGCGCTTGGCCTCCGGGAAAGAATTATTTCGAGGCTTTAACGATGCTCGAAGAGTGGTATCGTGAGGCTGGGGACTATGAATCTGCGGATGCCGCACGAAGCAAACGCGACCAGAATCAAAAACATGTATTGATTGCTTTGCGTAAATGAAGGGTGGCTGAGGCTTTACCAAAATGAGGTCATGCGGCATGACTACATTTGTGGAGGGGAACGGAGCGAGCGTTTGGCTTGACTACTGGTTCAGTTGGGAAGCGTGCTTGTCTGGCGTTGAGGCTCTTGGGAGATATATATCCTGCCATTTTTCTTCTTTATTTTTGGGTTCATCCCGAACGCGTATATATCTATATACCTACTTATTAAACCCAACCACCCTATTCTATCTACTAGTTGAACTCTTCTGATCTTCTGATTAGTTTGAGAGTCTTACTGTACGCACAGATAGATGTATTCGTGATTCAATAATGACATTTGGATGTATTTCGGGAATGTATATGGAATATATATGGATTGTTGAAAGATCGCTTTGAGTATATCGCTAAATTTCTTTTTCATGGGCCATTCTCCCTTCCACGACATTATAGAATAAGTTGCCTTCTTAAATATGTGACTATTGCCATATCCGGTTCCGATGATGATGACAATGTTGATTCTTTGTCTTGCCTCTTGTCTCACAGTGGTGGCGTTGTAATATGCTTCAAGAATGAATAGAATCAACCCGATAGACACAATCTATATATATGACATAACACCACGATATACTATATAGTTAGTTAACTAGAGTAAGAAAAGGATCAAGGCGAGGTGCCGTAGGCTAGAAAGCTAAAAAGGAGGCGTGTGGCCTATTCTATCTGGATTCTGGATCCCATCCCAATAGTACATACCTAACCTAGTAATTAGGGACTTATGTATGTCGAGTACGATGCGATCCACGATGCTACGTACTGTACGTGGTATTGGTATTTAGGTACGCAACTAAACCTAACTAGGCTAGGCGGCAACGACATATGTAAGCTCCAGGAGCGAAATTCGCAGGAAGAAGAGCTAACTAGCGTGGACGGGGCATGGCGGCATCCATCCATCCATGGGTGCGTTTAAAAGTTAGTTGCAACGAATAAAATAAAAGAATGAATCCCTTTTTGATTGGATTTAACTAAGCCTTGACTTTTTTTTTTTGCTGATGATCGTGCAGGGGGTTGATGTGTGTATGTATGTATATTTGGGATTCTCAGGAACATCTGGTTAGTTATGAACTGTTGTTTAATGTTTCCTACATGCAGGGCGCGGTGGAAAGAAAGCCTGGAAAGGGGTGTTTGGCGAAGGGCGTTGTCGAGCATGGGTGATTGATGGCAATTCAGTTCATCTTCTACTTGCTAAAGCTGGAAGGCTGATATTCGGTCCCTGTTAAATATTGGGTAATAAGACAGCAGTAGTTACTACCTATGACCAATGTGACGAGAATCTTACAGACTTGTACAGTATGTAGGTACCTACCTAACCTAGTTATGTATCATAGGCTAATAGTAACAGGGCTGACAGGTTCAGATTGTGTATCGATCAGCGTAATCCAGGTACAAAAATAGAATTGCTAACCCTTAGTTCTTAGTTTTTCTTTGGGGATACCATCCACTATTGCTTACATATTACCGTGCCGCTGTACCGGGCAATTGGCTTACATTTATAACCGGGGTTTAGCAAGCAACGCCGCTCTCCATTATTCATGTTGTAGGTAATGTAGGAAAGGAAAGAGGGAGGGGGCGTGGATGACATGCTAGCTTCGCCACGAGAAGTAGGTGCCTAGGAGGCAGGCGCCTCGGTGTGGGTGTATATATATTTATATATAATCTGCAGCGCATCTGTTCTGGTCTACATTTCTTTCTTTCTTTCTGTCTCACTCCCTGGACCAATAAAAGCCTTTGTCACCAAACATTCCACCACCATGATTCGCCCCTCACTCACCTCCCTCTCCGTCGCGCTCACCTTCGCCAGCTCGCTGGTGCCGGTGACCGCAGGAGCAAACCTCGCGCGATGCCAAACGACAGGCCCGAATCGACGGTGCCGGGATACCACTGGGTGCGGGCAGACGCCGTCCGTGAAGGCTGGCGAGTTTAAGGATTACACCACCCCGGAAGGGCGCGAGTATAGGGTGTGGCTGCCGGCGAGCTACGATGCGAAGAAGTCGACGCCGCTGATCCTGAGTTATCATGGCGCGGGTGGGACGAAGGAGAGGCAGATGGAGTTGGATGAGTTGACGACGCCGCTGTTTAATACGGATCATATTATGGTGTATTTGCAGGGGACTGCGGTAAGTTTCTTTTTCTTTTTCTTTCTTCGCTACCTATTTATGATACGAGCAACCAAAAAAAAAAATAAGGGGGAATACTCACAATTTTGCAGGACGACCCAGACGACCCGACCCACACCACATGGGAAGGCGCCCCAGGCAGTGAGTCCAACGACATCAGCTTCACGCACGACGTCCTCGACCTCGTCTCCACCGATCTCTGCGTCGACCCCAAACGCATCTACGCCACGGGCAAGTCTCAGGGTGGCGGCTTTGTCGGGCGCCTCGCCTGCGACAGCGGCCTCTCGACCCGCATCGCGGCCTTCGCCCCCGTCTCCGGCGCGTACTACATCAAGGAGATCAACAAGGAGGAGGACTGCCACCCAGAAACCGTCGTGGTGCCCTGCAAGCCCGGGCGGAAAGATATACCGATCAAGGCGTTCCACGGCGGCGCCGACAAGACTATCAAGTACCTCGGTGACTTCCGCTCCGGCGCGTGCCTACCGGCCGTCAGCAACTGGGCGAAGCAGTGGGCGGCGCGCGACGGGCTGAGCGAGACGCCGGTGAACAGCACGATTGCGGATTCGGATAATGGAGTCACGATGAGCTATGGCGGAGAGAATGGATTGGTCACGCTGGTGTACGATGGCGATGACATCGGACATGTGTGGCCGTCCAAAGCGGAGAATCTCGATAATAAGGGGGTGAATCTGGCGGCGTTTAATGCTAGTCGGGTTATTATGGATTTTTTTAAGGGGCATAAGTTGCCTTAGGGCTTCAGTTAGCTTATACGCACTCCATTTCGATTCGATTCGGAAGACTCGGCCTGTTCAGTCGTTGCCCCTCTGGATACCCGTCAAGCTTCTGGCTTGCTAGGAGACGGCGGCTGCATAATAGATGTTTCTTGTCTACCTAGGTATAATCATTATTTTTTAATAAGAAAAAGTACAAGAGAAAAGGACTCTAGACCTAGGAAATGCCGAGTAAGCATATCAATCCCTTAATCGAAGGAATAGCTACTGTGGGCGGTGTCGATGATCTGAGGAGAGTGTACATCGATGACGCAAACAGTGTATATTCCCTTTGCCGTCCCTCAGCGCTGCCTATTTCAACCCCAGACGATCGTAAGGGAACTCTGAGGTGTGCACCTACATTGATTCTAGGAACTGCTTTTGCAAATGCCCAGTGCTAGCCCTGACTACCCGAGTACGATATTATTTGGAGTCCCTTTCAATAGATAGGGGTTGCCTAGTACTTACTGCATATGCATATCCATCTGTGTTGAACAGCATACAAGGTTACATCTTCGTCCAATTCGGGGACGTACAGGAACTAAAAATAAAAACCCCCTTCTTTTCCCCCTTAGATTCAGACGAATCTTCGTGGGGGATTTATGCATACACGGCTGTGGAAGGATATCGTTGGGATGGGGTAGCATTTGTAGTTGAAACTGTAGTTACCTATGTAGTTACCTATTTAACTGTCTGCAGCCATGATGATTATGGTGCTTGTATGGCATATCGAGAGGGTGAAATATATGAATATCGATGACAATTGATCATAATCGCCGTTTGATCAAGTATAGCACTACTGTGTACTATGCAGTATCATTGATGTAAGTATAACTTTGGGTATCAGAATTTGGTGGGGAAAAGCATTCATACTTCTTCACCGCTTTCTTGCCCCTCGTTTTAATCCAAATTCTAGTTAGTTAACTACTTGGTACTGTATCTTTAATGCCTGATAGGGCTTAGTCTACTGTACGCTCTTAACGCTCTTAAAAGAGATAGAGATAAACCCTGAATCATGCTGACCCCGGGCTGCCCGGGGTTGCCTAGTTACCAATAAAAATTGAAGAAATGACCTTCCCATTGTTCGATAGAGCTACTGATAAGACCAGACAGTGACCAGGCAGACTGAGGCAGTGGCGTTTGAAAATTGATTAAACCATATTTTGGTGACCAGCCCCACCCTAATCGATTGCACCTGAAAATCTTATCCGGTACCCCCGCCAATCAGTGTTACCCCTCGCGGGCAGAATGGGAAAAAAAGAAAAAGAAAAAAATTTAAAATTTTTGAAAGCGAACAATTTTTTTTCCTGTTAGGACAACACATAAAATCTCGACAGGCTACCCTCCCCACTACTTAACTTACTTCCTTTTCCAACTTCTTCTTTTCATTACACCTTTCCCTTCCTTTTTTAAAACCTCTCTTTTCTTGAAGAGTGATCATCTGAGACTCTCCAGCTCAGTTTTCTCTCCTCTTGCGCCGAAGGAGATATTTAGTTTTTGCCAAAGTTTCTGGCTTAGACTTTGTTTTTACTAGACAGGCGAGCCACGATAGAGTAGATTTCTGATCTCTTCTGTCAGCCCTGTCAGAAGCAAAAAGTCTACACAGGTTTTAGGCGATAAAAGAAGGTCTACTAGATTTACTTGTCTTTAGACATCTTCCTACTTCTCTCCACTCTCACCCATTCCGATTCTCGCGACCGAAAAAAAGGATAGGCGAGATAATCCGACACTTACGAGTTGGAATATTACCCCTCCACCGACTCAGTATTCTTTGATCATCGAATACTTAATAATCCACAAATAAAAGCAATCACCATGTCGACTGCTCAAGAGAATGCGCAATCCATCAAGGTCTTAGATGACCTGATGCAGAAGCTCAACCTATCTAAGGATGCTGCAGCCTCGAAAGATGCTGCGCATTCCCTTGCATCTTTCATCAACGGTCGCATCGAGGACCAGGAAGCCCCCACCAGGTAAGAGAGGCTCTATTTTGTTTTTTCACCATTCACTTTTACCAACGTTTGCCTTTGAAATCCTACCCCCCTTCCCCCCCAAAAAGCCACCACCACCATCACATTCACCAGTCCAAGCCCCTGTATATTACATCAATATTTTGAACTTTCTCATTGGTTCATATTCATTGCCACCAAATCCCGCCTTTATCCAACCAAAAATCAGAAGCAATCATTCAGCCCAAATCCACCTAAATATCTTAAAAAAATGGAATGTTCACTAATATAATCAATTACTTAGAACCGTTGAGGCCCTGAAGAAACAGATCACCAACAAGAAGGATGCGAATGCTCGTGAAAAGGCGGCCAATGCTATTCAAGCCATTGCCCAACATTCGGAGATCGCCCCCAATGTCGAACCCTACTTCATCCTTTTACTGCCTTTGACCTTGGCCGCCATTGGTGACAAGATCACTGGTGTAAAGAATGCTGCTATTGCGGCTTCCACTGCCATCGTTGAGGCCGTCAACCCCAATGCTGCCAAGGCTATCCTCCCCGTCATCATCAACTCCATATTGACGGCCCAGAAATGGCCCGAGAAGATCACCGCTCTCGAATGTATCGACATTCTTGTCCGAACTGCCCCTGCGCAGTTGGCTTTCCGTGTCCCCGAGCTGATTCCTGTTGTCTCGGAGTCTATGTGGGATACCAAGAAGGAAGTCAAGGAGCGTGCCTACAAGACCATGGAGAAGCTTTGCGAGTTGATTGTCAACAGGGATATCGAGCGTTTCATTCCCGAGCTCATCAAATGTATTGCCAAGCCTGAGAATGTTCCTGAGACTGTCCACTTGTTGGGTGCCACCACCTTCGTTACCGAGGTTCAGGAGCCTACCCTTGCTTTGATGGTTCCTCTGCTAGATCGTGGTCTTGCTGAGCGAGACACTGCCATCAAGCGTAAGACAGCCGTCATTGTCGACAACATGTGCAAGCTCGTCGACGACCCCAACATCGTCGCTCCTTTCTTGCCCAAGATGATGCCAGGTCTCCAGAAGAACTTCGACAACTTGGCCGATCCCGAAGCGCGTGAGAAGACCAAGCAGGCTCTCGACACCCTCGTCCGCGTGGGTGACGTCAAAGATGGAAAGATCCCCGAGGCTCGTCACGATGGTGACATGTCAACCGTTCTTAGCCACTTGACGGCTGCCATCCCCAGCAAGCACGCCAAGACCGCTGAAAAGCTCACTCCAGTTATGCAGTACATCGCTGCCATTGGTGGCCAACTCGTTGACGAGAAGGAGACCGAACCGTCCACATGGGCAATTGCTATTAAGCCCTTTGTCACTGTCATCGTTGGTGACGTTGACGCTGAGAAGGTTGTCGAGACCCTGCGAAAGCGCGCTTCTTCTGGCAGTGAAGACGAAGCAGCAGAGGAGGCCGAAGACGACGATGGCGAAGACCTTTGCAACTGCACATTCTCCCTTGCATACGGTGCCAAGATTCTACTTAACCAGACCCATCTCCGTCTGAAGCGTGGTCGTCGCTACGGTCTTTGCGGTCCCAACGGATCCGGTAAATCAACCCTCATGCGAGCAATCAATAACGAGCAAGTCGAGGGTTTCCCTAAACAGAGCGAAGTCAAGACGGTGTTTGTTGAGCACGATCTCGACTCTGCTGATACGGAGATGACAACGATTGACTGGACAATGAAGAAGCTTGCTGAAGCTGGCGTAACTACCTCGCAAGCTGATGTCGAAAAGCGTCTTGAAGAGTTCGGATTCAATTCCGCCATGACCAAGGGTGAAATTACTGCGCTATCTGGTGGTTGGAAGATGAAGCTGGCTTTGTGCCGTGCTGTCTTTGAAGCCCCTGATATTTTGCTTCTTGACGAGCCCACCAATCATTTGGACGTGAAGAACGTCAAGTGGCTCGAAGACTATCTGATGAACTCCCCTTGCACTTCTATCATTGTTTCTCACGACAGTGGATTCCTCGACAACGTCACACAGTACATTATTCACTACGAGCGATTTAAGCTCAAGAAGTACAAGGGTAACTTGAAGGAATTTGTTCGCAAGAACCCGAGTGCCAAGTCATACTATGAACTGGGAGAATCCGAGATGGAATTCAGCTTCCCGGAGCCCGGTTTCCTTGAGGGTGTCAAGACTAAGGCCAAGGCTATCCTGCGTGCTACCAGAATGAGCTTCCAATACCAGGGAACCCCAGCTCCTCAGCTCACCGATATTTCCTTCCAGTGCTCTCTTGGTTCTCGTATTGCCGTCATCGGTCCCAACGGTGCTGGCAAGTCTACTCTCATCAACGTGCTCACTGGTGAGCTCATCCCCACTGGTGGTGAAATTTACCAGCACGAGAACATTCGTATCGCCTACATCAAGCAACATGCTTTCGCGCATATCGATAACCATCTCGACAAGACGCCTTCCGAATACATCCAATGGCGTTTCCAGACTGGTGAGGATCGTGAGACGATGGACCGTGCCAACAAAATCATCACCGAGGATGATGAGAAGGCCATGGACAAGATCTTCAAGGTCGAAGGTTCTCAACGACGAATCATTGGCATCCACAGCCGTAGAAAGTTCAAGAACAGTTACGAGTACGAGTGCTCATACGCACTTGGTGAGAACATTGGCATGAAGAACGAGCGCTGGGTCCCCATGATGACTGCTGACAACACTTGGCTTCCACGAACCGAACTTCTCGGATCGCATCAAAAGATGGTTGCCGAGGTTGATATGAGGGAAGCGCTTGCTTCTGGTCAGTTCCGTCCTTTGGTTCGAAAGGAGATCGAAGTGCACTGCGCCAACTTTGGCCTTGATGCTGAACTTGTCTCCCATTCGCGTATGCGTGGTCTCTCAGGTGGTCAGCGTGTCAAGGTTGTCCTTGCCGCTTGCTCGTGGCAGCGACCTCACTTGATCGTCTTGGACGAGCCTACCAACTATCTCGATCGTGACTCTCTCGGAGCTTTGTCCAAGGCTCTCAAGAAGTTCGAGGGTGGTGTCATCATCATCACGCACAGTGCCGAGTTCACCAAGGATTTGACGGAAGAAGTTTGGGCTGTCATGGATGGCAAGATGACGCCTTCAGGCCACAACTGGGTCCAAGGACAAGGTGCCGGCCCCAGACTGAAGGGTGATGGTGACGATGAGGAAGAGAAGTTCGACGCCATGGGCAATAAGATAGTATCCACGAAGAAGAAGGCTAAGTTGACGAGCTCTGAGGCCAGGAAGAAGAAGAAGGGTAAGTTTTTTTATTTTTCCCCTTTTTTCTCTATTGAAATAAATCGAGTTCAACCCACTAACATGAATGTAGAACGTATGGCCCGCCGAAAGCGTGGAGAGGAGGTCTTCTCCGACGAGGATGACTGATCGACTCGCCTATGGGTTACCGTTATGAACAATATGGATTCATGAAAAACGAACAAATTATTCCCTTTTGTCTGGTGTGGACAGAAAAGTTGGGAGTCGCATGGTTAGGCATCATTTCTTAGTTTCTCGAGCACTATGTTTCATCGTCATGGTCGATTAGACTAGGAAAAGAACGATACTCTCTGGATTGGAGACCCAGGGGTTGCTTTTCGGCATATTGTCGACTACCTATGAGGATACCATAGATAGACCCAGCAGGTCACCGAATAGACTATTGCCTTTTTTTTTTTCTCACTTGTTCAATCATATGCTACAAGAGACATTTCGTATAAGTTGTCATAATATAAAGGTAGAGTACACCTAGTTGCTATGATGGTAAGCTTTGTGTGTAAATTTGGACATGTGTGATATAAGAAGTAGTTCTTGTTGCTCGAAATCTGGGACACAACATTGTCAATCAGCTTCTTTGTGGTAACAAGAACATTGTTCGTGATTGGCCATAGCCAAGTATAACTTGGGACAAAGGCCTTTTAAGCGTCTACAATTACATTGAGGAGGCCGTGATGTTATGATATGTGTTTTGGTGGTGTAGCTTAAAAAAAAGATGACCATTGCGAAATAGATCACAAAACCATATAACAAATTTAATAACAATTTCAAAAGTGACGAAGATAAGTGACGCGAAGATGAGTGCTCCGGTACCTGGCCACATGAACACCATGAAGGAAGCCGTCGGGGCGGCGGAGAAGCGGGCGCGGGATGCGCTGCGTGCGATGAGGCCCGCGGCCCCGAGCGGCACCAACTGGATGCCGCTGTTCCGGGCGCTGGCCTCGGCGAGCACGCGGTTCGAGGACATCAACACGTCTGGGGCGCTGCGGCGGTGGCAGAACCAGGAGAAGTACGGGCACAACCTGCCGGGCCACATCATCCGCGAGAGGGACGGGAGGCGCAAAACGGTGCAGCCGCCGCCGGGGAGCGGGTCGTGGCAACACGTGTGGTACGTGCCGGAGTGGACGCACCCGAACTACGACCCGGCGTACACGGTGTCGTACTCGAAGGGGGGCACGCACATCAACTCGCACGACCCGATCGCGAGATTGCGGCCGGCGTTGCGCCCCGAGGACGCGGTGAGGAACCCGACGGAGTGGGCCAAGAGGTTCGGCATCCACCCGGACGAGACGGGCGGCCGAAGCCGGCTCAGCCCTACGTTCTCTGATACGCGTGACCCCTTTGTTGACTATGCGAACCAGATCAACAACCTGACGCCCGAGCAAAGAGCGCGCGCCATCGAGGAGACGCGCGAGGCGGCACGGCAGGCGGGCGCGCTGGTGCCGTCGGCGGACTACATCGACGTGCAGATATTAGAAAACCTACTAGCGCAGGAGGGGTACTTGTCCGGCGCGCAGCTGCGGGAGACGCTGCAGGGGTACCTGGGCCCCGGCCCGGCCCCGATGAGCCTCGACCGGCTGGTGGAGCTGCTCAACGGCCAGGACAAGAACATCGTGGCGTCGCACGCTAGTTTCATTAGGAACGCGCAGGCCGACCAGGACTACCAGTCCCTGATTTTCCACGACCTGACGAGCGACGAGCTGGTGACGGAGGGGATATTCACCATGACGAATGATATTGGGTTTGGGGATTTGGACGAGGAGATTCATGGGTGAGTTTTCCTTTCTTTTTTCGTTTTCGTTTCTAAAGAAAAAAGAAGAAAAAAAGAAGAAAAAAAGAAAAGTGAAGTTAGCTAACTTGATGGATGTTTACTGACCTCTTTCCCAGCCTCTTTGCAAGATCGAGATGGGAAAACACTTCTTGGAAAGGAGCGATGAAATTCTTCCCACGTTATTTGTATAGTCTCGACGGCAAGAGGGAAGAGTGGGATGTTGTGAGTTTTATTTCTTTTCTCCTTTCCTTTCCCCTTCCCCATTCAAGTGAAGAAGTGACTGACTTTCGCCCCCCCCCCCCTATTTTTGCAGAGCACCAACGATACTCTATGGGAAGCCCTGCAACCCGCATTACGGCTCGCCTCGAAAATAATACGGACCCAACCTCCCCTTCTGCTTGGCCTCATGGACATGAGAACGCGACAGCCGCTGCCACGGGAGCTAGATGCTCGAAAGAAGCTCAACACCAGACCGAGCATGCCGACGTACCGCCTGCAGAAGCATATAGACATGGCCCTGACGTATCCCGAAATACGGCAGCTGGAAGCGTTAGGATTCGATTGGGTGCACGAGACGATGCAGGTCCTGCTGGAGAAATTGACACTGGATATCGGAAGTGCTTGGATTCTGCAAGGCGAAAGCGACGCTGCTGATGCGGTAGATGGGGTGCACGAGGTGGATTATATGACGTATGGCAACACCCAATGCTTTGACAACGGCCCGGATACGAAGATATCCATGGTCATAGCCGGCGATATCATCTGGCCGTTGCTCTCGCCCCATTTCAGCGCAAGCGAGAAGATGACGTGCTCCTTTTCGATTGCCTCGACCTTGATACACGAACTTGCTGTAAGTCATCCCCCCTTTTTTTTCTCGTTTCTTTATTTCTCCCCCCCCCCTTTTTTTTTTAAGAACCCCTCCCCCCCTCAAAGAACAATAGACTAACAAAGACGCCTTTCTCTTGCATGATCTCCAGCACGCTGTTGTTTTCGCCCAAAGCGTACTCACGGATGTCACACATGTCCGCGAGAAATTCCACCCGGACGCCCAGGCTCTCCTTTCGGCTTTCTCGAAAAACTTATGGGACCAAGACGAAACCAACGAGCCGCACTGGGAGACTAGAGGATGCGCGGAGGTGGGGTTCGACATCGAGATGTCGATGTGGGGGGCGGTGCCGCTGAACCTGCTGGGCCTCGAGAACCACCTGCAGAACTGCCGGATGCTGATGGCCAATCCGCTGATACTCGTGGGCACGCCCTGGCCTTTCCAAGCCAACATCCAGGGCAAGCGCGTCGTCTCCCCTATCCGCGGCGCCCCGTATCCCTTGGAGGGGTACTGCACCCCGATCCCCCTCGACTGGATAGCCAAGTTCTTCACCAAGAAATTCTGGCAAACGGAGTTTCTGGTAATGGGACACGAGGCGCTCAAGCTGAACGCCAACAACTTTCGCAAGACGGTCATGAACCCGATGCAAATAAGCTTTGACGAAATCAAGAAAATCGTCGGCAATAGAGACTACAACTACGTAAAATTCACCCTCGACGTCCTCCACGACAATGGCCACATCATACTTTCCGAGTATCTGCGCTGCAAGCTGGCCCAGCTAGCCATCCCCCACTCGTACCTCTTCCGTTGGAGCTGGGAGATTCGCAACTGGAGAGAGCCCTTGATATCGCAACTGGAGCCCAGCGTGGTAAAGTTGAACAAGACCATCACGGCGGGTGCCGCCATCGGCCATGTCAGGTGGGGAAACCATCAGCTACAGGTGGCCGAGTACAACAAATACGTGCAGAGACAACAGGCAAGAGCCGCGCAGGGAACCGCAAGGTTTCAGACGGTAAACTTCCAGGGGTGGTACCGCCACGCGGGCAACGAGTGGAACGGGTTTTGGCGGGACGGGGGCCACGTCATGAGAGACATGATGCCGGTATGGAGGCTTATGTTGCAGGATATCGCGCAGATGCAGCGCATGATCGTCGATTTCTACAGCATGGTTCCCGATGCCCGGGCCCGAATCTACACGGGGATGGGCGAGGCTGATCAAGGTCCCATGGGGGCCATATACTTGCGCATGGGGTATTTTCGCAAAGTCGCCAGTGACTATCTGAGATTGGGCGATTACATGTCTCATTCAACCTCGTATGGCATACCCCAAGACAAGTGGGCGGAGTGGGGTGCTCGCTTCCGCGCCTGTTATCAGGGCTACTCGGAATTGCTCGGCACCCTGGGGGAGGACCCAACGTTCAACCCGGAGGACCCCAGCTGGAAAGCGCGGTTCTCCGGCGTGCCGTCGTCGTACTGGAAGAATCGCTGCGACAGGCTCGCCGTCCTGGCCAACAAAGAGTACGCCCGGCTCGACTCCAGAATACGCCCTTACATCGACAGATGCGAAGAGATCCTCCGGAACAAAGACCTGCATTTTGTAGACTCTAGCGCGGCCCTCGTGCCACAGGCGGACGTAGACTGGATCCTCTCCGTCGTCCGAGACTCGAGGGCCCTCGGCAACCAACCACCCCAAGACACCACCGGCCTCGGGATCTTCCACTGGGAAGTCCCAGAGACTGCTACTGACCCAACGAACCCACCGCCCCCACCGCTCCCAGCGGATATATCGAATCCTCCAGACATCGGGGACCCAATGAACCCAGCCCTTCCCCCTCCCAACACGCCGTTCGGCATCGTCTTCGGCGAGTCGAGCTTCAACTTCCAACTAAGCGCCGCCCCCCCGATCCGTCAAGAACCGAAACGGCGCACGCCTCTCCCGGGACCACCATCGGAAAGGGGGTTAGGGAGAGGGAAAGGAGTATCGGGAAGCGGGATGGGAAGCGGGGTGGGTAGAGGGCGAGAGCGAGGGCGAGGGCGAGGGCGAGGTGGAGGAGTATCCCGCAACACGCCCCAGTCCTCGCGCGTACTGCGAAGTCATAAAAGGGCGGGTGTGCAGCATCCGCAGACGATACGGACGGAGAGTCAGGCGCCGGCGGCGACGCTGGCAGGGCCGGAGGCACATGCACAGGCGCAAGCACAGGAACAGCAGCGACCGCGGCCGCAGCAGCCACCGGCGCCGACGCGGCAGGCACAGGAACATCAGGCACGGCAAAGCTGGTGGCGGCAGGGACACCTGCGGCAGCAGGGACGACGCCCGGCCGCGGGAGGATTCTCACGTTACGCCAACAACGCCGACGTAGGCTCCGCCTTCATCCAAACGGTGGACCGATCCGGGGCGCTGGGCGAGCTGCTGAACATCGGGATCCCGTCGACGACGATCCAGTCGGCGATGGATGAGCAGCAGAGACGGCAGGCGGAGGCTGAGGGGTCTATTGCCCCTGCCGCGTCTGGGGACCCAGGGGTAGGAGCAGCAGGAGCAGCAGCAGCGGCAGCAGGGGCGGCAGCCGCAGACATAAACACGGTCCCCTCCATATTCCGCCCCCAGGAACCGGGCGAACTGCGTCTCCCCACAATGTACCCGCACGCCTTCGCGGACCCAACAACCACGGACCAAAGCCTCGAGTACGAAGCGCAGATGAATGCGGAGGCAGCCCAGCACGCAGCGAACGGAGCGCTGATGTATATGGGGGGGGTCTACAACCCCCAGCCGGACCCGTACAGGGCTCCAGGGACGTATCGGGAGGCGAGCGTGAGTTCGGATGAGGATGTGAATGTGAATGTGAATGTGAATGTGGCGGGTTTTGGCAGGGGTATTAGGTAGGCCACCTAGCTATTGATGATGAAGGGGGGGGGTTGGGGTTGAAAAGATGAATTATGACGAACAATGAAATAGAGAAGCCTGCTGGCACGGCTTTGTTATTATACCCATGAGAGCCACTGAGGGGGGAAAGGAGAGATAAAGAGAAACAAAGAAAAGGGGGAAGGGAAAAGATGATTAAGTGTATTTTTACTTACCTTCATTTTCCCCTGTTCCATATTTCGCTACCTATGTAGTATAACTTGTTTACAACTGTAGTTACAATCTGCCAGAAGAAATACATATATCTACTGTCAAGCACATGCATCCTGTAGAAATCTAGGCTATTCAACTCCGAATAGGGGCACTTACGCGCAAATAAGCAATGGTATTGTTACGCTCAGAATTATATACATATATGATATGCATAACCTTAGCATTTAGCAGACGGTAAAACCTAACTACGTATAAAACACTGAAACGGGTATATTCTAATGCTGACACAATTCCTTTTAAACCAAAACCAGAGATAATATTCATCTCGAGCGCCTCACCTCCTCAGGCGCTTCTGTCCCATCGAGTGCCTCCTGTCGAGCCAGCTCCCACCGAAGTTGGTCCGATGGACTCGGTGTTGTATCATACGTAGCTATACCGGTTTCTTCAACCGGCCTTTTATAATTTGTAGTGTCATACCGTAGTTTGACAAGTGGATCGCAAAAGCTCATCGGATGGACGACCTGACGCATGGCAAAGATCTCTGGTCGCACTATTGGAGGCAGATCCGCTAAAGGGCTGGGTGGTGATACATTCAAACTTGGTTCCAGAGGCTTTATCTTTGCCGCAGGCGAACTTTCCCATCCAGGATGAAATGGGGGTAAAATGGGACCTTTCGAGGAAAGCGTATGACAAGCTGTAGAAGTGCTCGGCCGATTTGGAGGTACATTATCCCTACCACTGCCACGTCGTGGCGTTGGCAACGGCAAGGAAGGCTTCTTCAGTAGACCTGGGCCCCCAACCGGAACACCATCAATCATTTTCCGCTTTCGTTGGCGAGGATTCACCTTAACCGCTGCAGTGATGGAACTAGGCGGAGCATACGGAGAGGGTGTGCTCGCCTCTTGTGGTGTCGGGACTCGATTTAGTTCAGCTAATCTGACCGGCGTTGGGGATTTGCCAGTACGTGCCAGTTTCTGTGCAGCTTTTGCATATTTATTCCGACTGCTCCAGTTTACGTCTGGGAACTTGGCCTTGACAACGGGCGTAGACTTTGGCGTAGAATCTGTGGTGCTATTCGTTTTCGGAGTGTTATTCGTCTTCGGGGTATTGTTCGCCTTCGGGGTACTGTTCGTCTTTGCAGAGCTATCCGTTAGAGGAACAAGGGCTGCTGGGGCAGATTTCCTCGGCCTTGGCTTCTTTGCACCCACGCCTGGACGGGACTGGGACATCGGGGCTGGCGCTGGCTCGGTGGGTGGTAAGCGAGGAGGTGTATATCCAAGATTGTTAAAAGGTCGGTCGCCAATCTTAGCCAGGGCTTGAAATATTTCCCAGACTACGTAGGCACCGCATTGGTAATCATTTCGCATAGAAGAAGGATTCTTGGGTGGTGGCCGGGGTTTCTCTTCGCCAATCGTGTGCCTCCTCTTCTGCTGTAACGCTTCGCGCTTTTTATCCATGACGCTTTCCCGTTTCTTGGATATGATTTCCTTCTTCTTCTCTGCCAACGCTTCGCGTTTTTGTTTTTCAAATTCCAGGATTTCATCTGGTGACAGCCAGAGATGAGGCTTTCTATTCTTCAGATCGTCTACCCAGGCGTCGCAATCCCATGCAATCCAGTAATCTATCATGTCGCCCCAAGCACTTTCCGATGGCTTCGTTAGGTTGATGAATATGACTTTGCCCCCTTTGTTATGCACAGCTTTGGCAAATTCCTTGACCATTACTTTCAGCCCGTGTACTCTCAGGCTTGTGCCGAGTATGAGAAGAAGATCAGGGCCGGCTGAAAGGTCGTGCTGGACAATGGGGGATATTAGGTCAGACTGAGGATGCTCCTCGCCATAGAGAACAATATCGGGTCGAAGCTTGCCAATACCCAAAGCTCTCTTCCCCCTTTCCTGCCTTGCAGCAGTGGCTCCTGCGCAATGAGGACATTCTGGCTGTTCGCCTAACATGGTAGAGACTTCGCGGCCGTCTTCGTCCCAGTCACAGAGTTTTCCACATACAAAGCAACGCAGAGCATGTAGAGAGCCATGGAGGAATACGCATTCGACTCCTTTGTCTTGAGTTACAACTGATCGTGTATTACTTCGTCCAGAAGTCTCGGAGCTCTGCGAAGCCTGGCTGCTGTCCACTCCACTAAGACCATCGCATTTTGTTGGGTCCGCATTCTCTTTTGAGTCCTTCCCTTGTCCGACCAACTGTGGCCTACCGGACTTCCTTCTTCGGTTGCCTGCACCATTCTTTAGGTCGGTAGAAAGACCAATCTTCTTCTCAATTTCGTCAATGTTTTGTGTGTAAACTCTAGCAAGTTTCCCCACATCACGAAGCTGGGCAATGAATCTATGTGTTACTGTTGGCTCCACGTCCTTAACTTTTTGTCTCAAGGTGGTGGCAAAGCGGTAAAACACGGAAGTCTTCAAAGGATCAGACCATATGTTACAATCGAAGAGATCACGGCCCTTCATGTTGCGTAGGCTAGGGTTGGAAGCTTGAGAGGAGAGTAGATCGAATGAGTTCTGCGCATCTTCAGTGTCAGACGTATCAGAACATACGACACTTGGTTGTGAACTTTCATCTGTAGATGAGTGAGAGTTATCGTAAGGATCGAATAAGATAGGTGGCGGCGAGGAGAGAGGAGACGAGCTGAATGATTCGCTCAGAATCGTTTTTGGGGTGGTGGCTTTCGATTGGATAAGATGTGGACCTTTTGCTACACTGGTTGTCGATTCTTCTGTTGAGGAGGCGGTCGATAGTGGTGAAGCTGAATGTAAGGGATCTCGGGGGTTGGAAGACGGCATACGAGATTGCGATGCCTTTTTAAGTAATGGTGGACGGAGTCCCGACCGTGATCTAGTGAGTCGTTGTAGTAATGGTTCAGAAGGGGCTGTGGTGTCTTGGATATTTATGGCATTGCTGCCCACCGGCGTATCTATCTTGACAAGATTGTGATGGCCATTAGGGTCTTGCGAAACCTCAACAGGCTTTTCAGCTGCCTGGGATAGTCTCCTTCTCTTAGCCGGACGACCACTTAGAGCAAAACCAGTGGCTTGTCCCTCTTCGTCCTTACAACTGGTAGCTTCGGCTCGTTCAAATTGCGCCTGAATGAGCGAGTAAAGTCCATTTTCGGAACGGAAGTCCTATAAAATTGGTTAGAAATAGGATTTCTCGTCACGATAGAAACTCAGAACACGAAAAGGCGGAGACATACCGGAATACCAGAATTGGTGCTTATGCCAGCACCGGTGATTATGACGACTTTCCTTGCTTTCCCCAGCGAGTCGGCTACATGCTGTAGGAGTTCGGAAGACGTGGGTGTGATTTGAACTGTAGGCATGCTGTTTCAATCGAAAATAGATGGTGAATAGAGTGAAAGGTGTGTTCAGGTAGGGCCCGTAGACGTCATCGCGTCCCAGTGGCAGATATCTCGCGCGCGTAGCCAAGAGATTCAAGGCCGTGGAGCAGCAAAGACGATTTGCCAGCGACTTGTCGACTGGGCCTCCTCCTCCTCCACTGACCACTAAAAACGGCAACGTGCTTGTTACCAACTGGGCTCAATTTCCAGGTGGACGCATGAGTAGAGAGAGTGGAGGGTGGAGGTCGGAGGTCGGAGATCGGAGGTGAGATCGGAAAGGAGAACAAAGACGCGTCGATACGCGTCTAATCCTAACTCGGCGAATAATGATTCTTTTCGTTTTCAATGGTGAAGGTGTTCAACGGAGCCAATGGGACCTCGATGGTTGAATTTGAAGACGTAAGGTGGTACTTTGTATCTATGGCGAGTGGATAGTTGGGCGGGAGATAATATAGATGGTTTAATAGACGGATACACGCATGAATCCGTTAAGCAGTTCGCCTTTTCTTTTCTTCCGTATGTCGTTTTTCAATGGGTTTTCTTCTGGTTTTTGGTTGTCACGGTCAACAATGATGTTGATCGAATATGGAAGTCCCAAATTATAAAGTTGTGAAAAAAAAGTTGGGACTAAGTCGGAAGTCAGAATCATATAATATATGCAAACCTTACAAGATGATATTGGATTTAGACTTTGGTACTTACGAATACAACTAACTACAGACCTTAGGTCGGTAGTACCTATTAAGGTAGCAGGAGGGAGGAGCTAAGAACCGCGAATCAAAGCACTAGCTCGTGTGGAGTTGGTAAACACTCTAATGGAAAGCCGCTTAAAATAGGGTACTGTACCCACTTGTGTAGGTATAAAATACGTTGTATTGTACATACAGGGGTTGTGGCTAATACGTACATAAACCTACAAGCAAAGGATACCTACCTAGTAGTAGTTATAGTGCGAAACGCTACCGAGTACTGTGCCTTGCATTTCCTTTTTACATACATTTCCATATCTGCGTCACGCATCACTCTCCTTGCTTTTTGATCTTACATAAGTTATCCCACATTTTATCAAATCCAACGCCGAAATCCCAAGGACTCCCTTATCCCAATACTTCCAGCAGCTTCCCAAAGTCACCGATAGACCCAAGACCAGTCACGCAATCATATCCTTCTTTACTTTCCCACCCAGGTTCCGTATCCTCGCCAAATGCACAGCTCTGACTTATACCCGTGGTCACGTCCTGCAATGCTTCCCTCACAGGTTGCGAATACAGCACCGGGTTGAGCCATCCTGTGCTGTTCTTACCGGATTTCAACCTTGAGTCATTGATTACAGCTACCAGAGCTGCGACGACTGGTGTGCTTGCGCTGGTCCCGTAGACATCGGTTTGATAGCCTCCTACCTGGATGGCATAATTAGTACCTGTGGCGCTAATGTCCGGAAACGCGCGACCGCTCTCGTTGTACAGCCCTTTGTGCGAGTCTCCCAGTGCAGATATGTACGCGTCCACTGCATCATTCTGCCATTCCGGCCTGGCAAAGTAGTTGCTAAACCCGCCTGTACTAAATTCTGCACCTTCTACTGGTAAGGTATTCCCCGTGGCGCCCACCGCCGTGACATACGGGCAACTAGCTGGGAATGTGGGAAGGAACATCTTCCGTTGCTCGCCGTCGTTGCTGTAGCACTGATTCTGTCCAATCCCGCTAGCACCGCCGTCTCCCGACCCGGATAAGAATGTCACGCCACGAGCTGCCGCTAGAGCGAAGAGATCGCATACGCGATTCGCATAGGGAGCCGGTACGGATTGCTCGTCGTCCGCGTACGAGATACTCACAACGTGGGGTATTTCTTCGTCGCTAAGGTCAAGTAGATGCCGTAAAAACTCCAGGTATGGTTCGTTATCACTCCGATTAGTCGGCATGAGGTCGCCGTTGCGATCGACCTTCTCACCTCGACCTCCTGTTGAATAGTATATCACATTTGCCGGGTAAGCCATGGCCATGGCATACTCGACATCCAGACTAGCCTCTATTCCAGCTCTTGATCTTGGCTCATTAGGTTGGGGATTGGTGCCGTTATTCAGCATAGCAACCGAGAAGTTATACCCCAATGGCGTAAGTTCGGGAGCATACGTATCGAGGAACTTGAAAACGTCGTCGTACTTGATATACTGCTCGAGGAAGCCCGCTATCCCATATCGGGCAGGGGATTTGGTGGGCACCGAAGTATCAGCATATGTCACATTGTAGAGACTTTTGAGACAGGCGGGGGTTACACCAGCCAGACAAGGCTGATCATCCACGTTGGTAGATAATACGGATGACTTGACGGCAGGTCGGGATCTCAATTTCGAACGAGGTGGCCTCATGAAGTTCGAGAGGGGGTAGATAAACTCGATACTCCCATCAAGTCGCTGTGGAAACGAGTAGGATGGAGCGCGTAAGACCGAAGATGACCCCTGAAAAGAGTAGTAGCCAATGGATGTTTTCAGGATCTTGTTAAAGTTGGAAGCTGTAGAAGTCACCGTGATCATAGGCCCGTTCGTTACTACATCTGTAATGCCGTTAGAGCCGAGCCACGAGTAGACTTGGTCTACTGTTTCCGGATCGATTGCCTGGTATGTCTTTGCCTCCTCTCTGGTCAGATGATGTCCGTATTCAGTATCCGACGGATCGCTAATACGGCCTAGCTTGGCTTTTAGGTCATTGATTCGTGGCTGTTTGAGCGCAATCGTTAAAGTTATGAGTTCTTCTACCTTGGCCGGTTGCTCAAACTTCCATCCCGATGGTAGATTTTGGACGGTTTCGCGAACGATCAATGTCTCCGCGGCGACATAAGTGCCCCATGCCGTAAGCACAGTACCCAGAATCATCAACCTCATCTTTGACAGCAGAACCTTTTTTCAAGTATTGTCAATTTCACGAAACGGAAAGAGGCAATCGTCTATTCCGAGAATCCGAAGGCTTAGATTTATAGGTAATAAAAGTACCTAGAATGTACATTGCCATCCCCTCGACAGAAAGTCATCATATCCATTGTCAACACATGTCCGATGGGCAAAATTGGCACGATTCATCAAGGCGACCCTAGGATGTAATCCGCAACTCGCCTAAGAGCTTGCATACACCACTAATTTAGCCGGTCGAAGGTTAAAACACCGTCTCCCTCCATTCTAATAGAGAGGCCTAATCAATACTGCGTGGCATCTGGGCTTAAATTAGCAACATTGTGTGTAGGAAACGGAGCAACAAGACAGTTGTATACTTTGGGAGAGGCGGTCTATAAATACACATGACAAGGACATTGGAGCGCTTACCTATCCTACCCTACCCACAGCCTAACTAAGCCCATAGGCAAAGCACCGAAAGATAACACACCTATTTCGTAGGTATCCAATCTATTCAAGATCGAATTTATCGCCAATCAGCTCTTCGCTCAGTTGCCAGAGTCGCTTGGCTATCGTCAGGTCCTTGGCATGGTCTGCACAAGGGCAATATTGGCAGTCAGACAAGTAGAGACCATTACAAACTGCATGTGGCACGTTAACTATTAGGCAGCTACTCGATAGAGGCAGTAAAAGCGTGGGCTTGTTTACCATTCAGCGCCGGGTCTAATGCAGCCACCAGAGTCGTGGACGCTCCTTGATCGCAATTCTTCCAAAACTTGGATGATTGTGCAATGGCATCTGCCGTTTCTGGGTCATGGTCACGGCCAAGGTTGGTATTCACACCTATGCGTGTCCGACACCAAGTTAGTTCAGGACTTGCTATGAAATGCCAAGGTACTATGCCCTCTTACTCACCTCCCGGGTGCACAGCATATGCTGCAATTCCCTTTGTCTTCAACTTCTCTTGAAGATAAAGAGTGAATAGAATGTTTGCTGTCTTGCTCTGGCCATACGCAATGATAGGCATGTAGCCATCTTCCTTCACTCTGGTGAGTGCAGGTGGCAGAGGCGAGAACGGTTTTTCTTCCGGAGGTACTTCCTTATTCTCTATGTTGTAGTCGTGAAAGCGTATGGGGGATATCCGATGGCCATGGCTGGCAAGATTAACGATACGAGTTGCTCCAGCAGGGGACTGTGTAGCTGCCTTTTCTAGGAGAGGGAGCAGCAACTTTGTGAATAGGAACGGGCCAATATGATTGGCGCCAAATTGTATTTCAATTCCTTCAGCTGTCCAAGAGCGCGAGTTGAAAGTCGCCCCGGCATTGTTGATCAAGATATCCAGCTTCGAGATCAAACCGTTAACCTTCGTAGCCGCCTCGCGAATCGACGCTTGGGAGGCCAAGTCCATCGTAACCGTTTGCACATTGACATCTGGGTATGATTTGCGGATAGATGACGCTACAGCTTCAAGCCTTTCCTTCGTTCTTGATACCAAAATCAAATTCGCTGGTTTCTGGGACGCAATGGCAATGGCTGTGCCTTCGCCCACTCCCTCAGGCGAAACGCCCGTAATCAAGACTGCGCAGTCTTGTCAACATCCACCTGTGCATACGAATACGTGTAGGGGTAGAATGATCGACTCACCGTTTCTACCTTGAAGCTGCTTCGCATAAGTGTTCGCAACCTCCAAAGCGGAGGTGGTCTCCCCCCAATCTGGTTTGGAAGTCATATCAAAGCGTGCGGTTCCCGTCTAAAAATCCGAGTGGGTATGTAGAAGATAGGAGTCGGGGCTTTACTTTTGAAGAAACCTCCAGGACATTCTGTTTCGGATGGCATTTACATATCCACCTAATATATTTACTTATCACTTACTTACCCGAGCCCGAGTCCCGTCGCATTAAACTAAACACCGCATAACACCGCAGCCGGATTTTCCCAGTCAGCTGGGTCGCCGAGGATCTTCGGCATGGCCTGCTTCTCGTACGGTCGACTGTTCTGGGCCGAGGGCTAAGTACCAAATATAGGCTAAGTCTAGTATTTACCAAACATAGCAGGCCTAAGTTATGACCTAGGTAGTAGTATACATAAATCGAAGCTGCCGTGGAAGGCTAGGCAGGTAGCTTGGCCCTCCACTATTTAGACCCTCTCGGACAACTTGACGTCCCCGAAAACCCGGACAAACTATTACACGCCTCCCCTGTGGTCAATGCTATGTATGATTGTCAATCTCTGAATAAGCCAAATGCCCCCTGTCTAGGCTATGAGGACACGAAGATGTGTTTCAAGAAGAGCCGCGTCTCTGTGTCGATGGAGATCACCAGGTGAGCGCCCCTCTACCCCCGCACCGAGTGAGAAAAGGAATCCATGATGCATTGTCCAGGGGTGTCCGTCGGCATATTTAAATATCAAGATAATCATCACGCTATTGGTTCAGAATTCTATACAATTTGTAACTCAAGAATCATACCTAAGTAACACCTTGATCATCCAAGCTACGAAAAAAGAAAAGATACCTTACTCGATTTTCCAAATTCTTGCCCGCCGAGGAAGGGAATTTCGCTGCACCTCCAACCTGCATCTGCTATAGATTATAGATCTTCCTAGTACTTTTATATACTACTACTTACATCATACCTACTACCTATATTCTGACTAACAAGATGGCAACGAACGGTCACACCAATGGGACGCGTCCTAAGACTGGTATCAAGGTTGTAATAGTCGGTGCCGGTATGTTACTCTATCTCCAATCTATGTGAATAATACATTCACCACCAGTTTTTTTCCTTTTTTTCTTCTGGCTCTAAGCGCCTAGGTCAACCCCCCCCTTCTCTCTAAACTCTTTCTGATCTCTCTGGGCCCACAGGTTTCGGTGGTTTGGGAGCAGCAGTAGAATGCCACCGTCAAGGACACGACGTGGTGGTATATGAACAGTTCCCCGAGATCAAGCCGCTGGGCGACATCATCTCGTTCGGCCCCAATGCGGGAAGAATCTTCTACCGCTGGTCGGGCGGCAAGGTGGCTGACGCCATGCGACCTCTGGCCATCGACCTGAGCACGTACGGCTTCAACATCCACAAGTACGACACGGGCGAGATCGTCATCAACCAGCCGACCCCGGAGTACGCCATTGATGCGCCCAACTTCAACGGCCACCGAGGAGAGCTGCACGAAGTGGTGTACAACTATGCCAAGGATGACCTGAAGATCCCGATCCATCTCGGCAAGAAAGTGTTGTCTTACGACGAAGACGACAAGCAAGCTACCATCACCTTTGATAATGGTGAAAAGGTCAGTTTACTCACCATCATTCATACCTACCTAGACTACCTAGAAAACTAACAATGCGAGAAAGGTTTCTGGCGATGTAGTCATCGCTTCGGATGGAGTACGGTCCAGGGCACGGAAGTCTGTTCTAGGCCACGATGATAAGCCTAAGAGCAGCGGATATGCTATCTGGCGATCATGGTATTCCCCCCCTTCCTCTATTCCTTTCTATTCAAGTCAAGGATTGAGACATGATAAACTAACATTCCCCCCCCCCCCCCCCCCCCCCCAGGTTCTCCAACAAAGACATGATCGAGGACCCTGAAACCAAGCACTTCTGCACCAACGGCGACACCTTCAACGGCTGGATCGGGCCTGACATGCACTTCCTCTTCACCACGATCAAGAACGGCTCCGACTGCTCGTGGGTGCTAACCCACCGCGACGAGCACGACATCGACGAGTCCTGGAGCTTCCCCGGAAAGCTCTCCGAGGTCAAGGAGGCCCTCAAGGACTGGGACCCGCTATGCACGCGCATCATCTCCAAGACCCCCGAGGAGAACCTCGTCGACTGGAAGCTCGTCTACCGCGACCCGCTGCCCACGTGGGTCAGCCCCGCCGGCCGCATCCTGCTGCTGGGCGACTCCGCGCACCCGTTCCTGCCGACCAGCGCGCAGGGCGCGGCGCAGGCGGTCGAGGACGGCGTCTCCATCGCCGTGTGCCTGCGCCGCGGCGGCAAAGACAACCTGCCCACGGCCGTGAGGGCGCACGAGAAGATCCGGTACGAGCGCGTGCGGCAGATACAGAAGACGGGCGAGACGACGCGCGAGATGTGGCACAAGACGGACTGGTCCAAGGTCAAGGACAGCCCCGAGAGCATCCAGCTGCCCCGGCCGTCGTGGATCATGGACTTCGATACCGAGAAGAATGCGGAGGAGACGTACGATCAGGCCGTCAAGGAGGTGCTTGCTAAGCAGCAGTAGGGTGGTGTTGTAAGTGTAGGGACAGGGACAGGGAAGGAAGGGTAGGATAGGGTTGTTTAGTATAGAATAGAATACAAGTTTGCATACCCCTCTCACTGCCGATAGCAATGTGTTTTTGTGGTGAACCTTTGGTGCTGTCACGGTGCGGAACATAGGAGATGCAGAACATCGTTGTTGCGCGGGGATCTGTGACATCTCCCAGGTGGCTATAGAAGCTTGGCTCACACCTAAGTAGTAGGTATACATCTAAGCTGTCTTTTTTTCCATCTAAGCTTCCACGTAGCCCACCGGTATACCCTTGACACCGTCGATATTAATATGCTGCAGATACCTACGCTGCAACCAATAGACAGAAAGATGAAAGCAAGCTTACTTTATTCCCAACTACGATGGCGCCGTACCAAATATCTACGGCAGGCCTATTCTAGTGGAGCCATAGCACCTAAGCCGCGTGCAAAATAATATGTTTTCGTGGTAGTTAAATGTTACTTATAATCTTGTCTCATGGAGGTTAGGCTAGTAGCTGTAAAGGACTGTTCTTATATGGGTATCTGTCTGCCTAGGTAAGTACCTAGGTAAATATAAAAGAGTGCCAACATGCTTTCGAATCCTTTCCTCCTTTCCCGCACTTACTCACGAATGAACCACAGTTCGCTGGCGTGGTTTACGGCCAGACCCCCTATGTACTTACTTACCTTGGTAGGTTAGATACGTACGTACGTACGTACCTACCCACGCAGATAGGCACGAGTAGTTGTGTTGTAGGCACTAGTTATCTTCTCACATCTTTCCCTCTCCTCGCTCAGCATGCTCAATATGCTCTGCAATATGCTCTGCCTTGGCCTTCTCAAGCGCAATGTGAGTGCCAGTGCAGCGGTAGTGGCGGAAGCCGCGAGCGGGGATTTGGGCTTCGAACTGTTTTTGTCGTTAGCTTTTTCTCTTCTTGTTCCTTGTTCCTTTCTTTGTTCTTTCTTTCTCTCTACGTTTTTTTTTTTTTTTTTTGGGGGGGGGGGGGGGGGGGGGGGGTCTTTCTTTTCCTTTGCTAGGTAGGTAGGTAAGGTATGTGGGATGTAGCAAAGAGGCTGTCTTACCATCTCATCAATCTCCTCCAAAGTCCGATCCTTGACCTCGGGCAGGAAGAAAAAGATCCAGAGACCTGCGATCGCGCAGCAGCCGGTCCATATGTAGCCGTACTTAGGGCCCCAGTTCAGAGACTCGGGGTTGATGAAGTAGGGGGCGGTGAAAGCTAGAGGGGTGTTAGTTTTTATTATTGTAAGGGAGTAGTACCATTGTCCCATCAAAAAAAAGGGGGGGAGAGAGGAAGGGGTGGAAGGGGGTCAACTTACTGGTAAGCCACGCAAAGAAGAATCCAATTCCGGTAGCTAGACCGAACGTATGCGAACGCAGACGTTGCGAGGAGAGCTCGCCACCACTAAGCCATGCGTACGGGGCGATCATGGAACTATCTGTTGGAAGAGCAAAACGGCTTTGTTAGTCTGCAAGTCTTTGACATCTTACCTACGCCTATCTATTTTCCAGAAGGTGAAGCTCTTTTTGATTATGTGTATGTAGGTACTTACTACCCATTGTTAGCAGCCTAGTTCATTCATATATTCAGGGGGGGGGCACTAAGTTCAACACATACCAAGCAGCAATATACAATATACTCATGCCCACCAACGCTTTGCCAGAACTTTGCGTATTCGGTGAGATCGTGTAGATGATGGCTATGACCAGCTGAGATATACCCGCGCAGGTAAACCCGACCGTCATCATCACGCGTCGACGGCCGAACTTGGTGATCGTAAAGGCGGTGGCAGCCATTGCGACTACGCCGACACCGGTGAGGATGCAGGAGTTCTCGAAGGCGTTTCCTACGTTTGCCATTTCGAAGAAGTAGGTTCCGTAAGCTGTTTGTTTGGCATGTTAGTATCATATAGCACTGATGGGTGAATAATAAAACAGCCACCTACAAATAACAAACATAGACCCCGACGCCGCCTGACTAGTCAGCGCACACACCGCAACCGTCGTCCTGCGACTGTCGATCGGGTTCTTGAAGAGATCCAGGTACCCGATACTCGACTGCAGCGCAGCCTCCGCCTCGAGCGCCGTCCTCATCTCCGCGAACTCCTGGGCGACGGGCCACCCGTCAGGGCGCAGGCGTTCGAGGGCGCGCTCCGCCTTCCCCCATTTGCCGGTGGCGGCGAGCCAGCGGGGCGACTCCGGGATGAAGAAGAGGCCGATGGCGAGGATGCCCGGGACGATGTGCACGATTCCTAGGGGGATGATGTAGGCGTTGCGGTTGGGGATCTTGGCGGCGAAGTTGTCGACGATGGTGCCGATTAGGGTGCCTAGGGTGGTGTTTAGTTAGGAAAGAGGGGGAAGAAGGTGGTGGTTGATGGTGGATTAGGAGATAGGAATCTTACCGACGGAAACCCAGTAGGTGAGGAAAGAGATGCCTAAGCCTCTGTACTTTCCGGGAACACTTTCCTGGATCTGTTGTGTGTTGGTTAGTTGCGTGTGTATATCTCTGGAGGTATGACTTTTGGTCTGCTACGCTGCGGTACGCTTCTTATTTTTATTCCCCTTTCTTTCATTTTCTTCTTCTCATAACTCTTTGCATCTCACCGCCTCACAAATAACAAACTATAGAAACCGCGACTTACTATAGACCAGGTTAGCATCTACCACAAATCAAAGTATATCTATCACTATACTTGTACGTACCATATAATTGAGAATGCGTCATTAACAGCCCATTAGCCAGACCGAGTATGACTCTGCCCGCGTACAAGCCCCCTATCACAGTGGTTGCCTGCATGAGTGCCGTCGAGACGAAGACACCCACACACGCTATCCACAGCGACATCTTGCGACCGACATACTGGGCCGTGAAGCCAGCCGAACAGGAAGACACGAAGGCACCTAGCACCATTAGGGACGCGATGAGTTGCTGGCGGTCGGTCTGGAGGTTGTATCCCAAGGGGGTTGTGGGGTCTTCTTTCCCAAAGACCTTGATGGTGAAGTGTGAGTAAACATACATAAACACGTCTAGTTTAGTCATCTAGGTAAGGGGAAAGGAGACAGTCAAGTTCCTTACCTTGAGGAACGGAACCATGGCTTGGAGACCACCGATGATTCCAAAGTCGAGACCATACTGGAAAGAACTCAAGGACACCAGTACTATCGCGACCATCGCCCTCCAGTGGTCTTTCAGGGTCCACACCCGATCTTGATCCATCGACATATTGATTGTATCAGAACAGAAAAGTATAAAGGAAAGAAGGGTAAGTAAGTAGGTAGGTAGATTGGTAGACAAGTACCAATATGAATTGTTGAAAAAAAGAATCCGGACTTTTTCTGGAAGCCCTCGCTTGATGGATATATACCTAACCTACTTGCCTACCTACCAAGCCAATACCCCGGATTTTCCTGTGTATATCTGGACGTGAGAGGCAAAGAATCGCCCACGGTCCATCTACCATCTCCCATCTACCTACCCATCTACGCATTCATTCATGCACGATGACAAGCCCCGGTTACGACCTACGACCTACACCTACACCTACACCACCTCCCTAACCTAGCACGTGGAACCCAGCCCAACCTTACCTACCTTACCATCACACATCGTATCACAACACGGCACGCTGAAACCTCTCTCCTCCTCTACCAGCTCTCGTCACCGTTCATTTTGTATATGCCGTTGCGCGCGATCTCAGCAGCCCCATCCAACGCAACGTCCACATTTCGGCATATGCTACCGCGCCATGGATGAATCTCCTTCGCGATCCTCGCATTCGTCAGATCCTGTCTTGGGGCTTCCCCACACAGCTAGGTTCCCCGGCCGCGCTAGGGGGGTGCGATGTAACTGTGCAGTACTGCCGGTTTACCAGTGGCTTTGGGGTAATTGATGTAGATTGGTGCTGTCTGTACCTAGTTACTTCGTAGTAATCTACCACGGCGGACGAGAGGGGCCGCGGAACTTGGATTATGGGGTACCTAGGTAGTGTAAGGTAGTTGTGTAAGTGCATGTGTATTGGTTGGAATGTGTGTTGTGTGTGTAATGTAGCCGGGGTATGGGCTATTCTAAGCCTGGTAGCCGACAGATTTACCCCATGGGGTTTTTCTTCGCCTTATTTTTATTCGTGTCAGAAAGTCGGGGACTGCCAAGCGCTCCATTTTGTCTATTTCGAGCCAAGCTGTTCTCCAGGCAAGAGAGGGCTAGGCGTATTATCAGCTGGTACTTTGGTATTTCCCTTCTTTTCACGGTAGGATGGGGGAGGGGAGAGGGGCATTTCTCCTATTTGAACTTAGGTCGGTAGATTTCAACGCCCCCTAGAACGTATTGAGAAAGGATGTGGTAGGATGTGGTAATCACAGCGATGGTCAAAAACTACCTAAAGGGGCCAACGAGATTTGGGACATAGACGATTACCAATCCCATTTGATTATTTCATACATTCTATTCTACATCTATTTACCTCCTCTCCTATAGACATATCGGAAACCCCTCGACCGTGAGTGGAACAAAAAAAGGTTCCAGCCATCGATATATTCCAAACTAAGCGTGAAAAACGCGATGTATTGGCGCTTGGTGCCAATCAGAGGATTTTATAGGCCAACATGCTCCATCAGCCACTTGACCTATCCGACGACCTCCAAACGTATCTACAATCCAGTTTGTCAAGTTCGATTGTTGCATCACCGCTCCGCCGTACTTCCGATCTATAACATGCTCGTAATAGTTCGGCCATCTGAAGATGTCTAAGAATGGAGTCAGCAAGCAATTTCAGAAAAGTAAGTAATAAGGAAGAGGAAAAACGAGGGTAAACTCACCTGAAACGTCGTAGACATCGCCGTAGATGCAGACCCAGGCAGGCTCGCCATAAACCTCACCGGTGTGCAAGGCAAGCTCACCACTTGGTATCTCAGTGAGTTGATACTCCGCGCCCCCGCAGATGAGGTGCTTGTGCTTTTCATATAATGTGACCAGTGGATTGGCTTCGGGGGTATTTTCTCCTGCTATGAAGTGGTCTGTACACATGCCACCATAACCCACGAGAGAATCGTAGAGTGCGCGGTCGGTAATTTGGAGCGCTTTGATGTCAAATACCCAGTCGTGAACGGCAATCTCGGTCTTTGTCAAGTCTTCGTCTAGTATTTCCGGAACCATGTACCCAACTTGTAGACTTTTGTAGTTCTGCGGTAAACAACAGTTGGTCAGTGATTTGGCTTGCAGGGGAAAAAAGGGGGGGGAGGAGGAAGTGGGGAGAGCTTACATCCATCAACGATAAATCATGAAATTGTGTAAATAATTCGTCATTTTCAACACCGAGGCAGGCAAAGAGTGCTCTGGAACCTCCTGGGTGAAAATTCATATAAGCTGAAGGGATATGTTAGTTTTGCACTCTTACTATTTCTCATGTTCGCGCGAGCAACTTACCTGTCAAGTCGTAAACCTTTTTATTCACAGCTGCATAACACCCAGCACCAGGGTTGTCGTACCACCTCAGTAGACGAGGGGTGAAAGGTCTTAGTTCAGCTCTGGGTGGCAACGGTAAGTCCAGATGGCCACACATGTAGGGTTTAAGACGTCTATATAGGTCTTTTGAATATTGTGTTGACCTCTTCAGAGTTCGAGAGATCGGACCACCCGCACTCTTTTGGAGTTCAGTTCTTTCGGTATTGTTTTTTGGTACAAATTTCGTTACATCAAATACCTGAGATCCCCAACTGATCCACCCAGGACGCCCTTGTTTACCATTACATTCCGCAACTTCCTCTGCTCTTCTAACTAGAGCTACCTTCCCTATACGTGGCACGATCGTTCCGAGGTGCCCGCGAATCGCCGCCGCCCTGTGATCAGCATTGCCTACGAGTCTTGGGCCGGCAGGAGAGAGTTTAACGATTGATTTAAGATCATCCTGGGTGGCTCCTAGTTGAGATAGAAGCTCTATGGGATTTGTTAGTTAACTACACATGTTGGGGATAGGGAAGAGGGAAGAGGGAATGTTGGACTTGCTTGTAATGTTAAAGACGTCGTATCCGTTGGCATTATCTGGCTCAACGATCCACGAGTCATTGATGTCATAGTGATCTGCTATTTTCCCGGGATATGAATATGGAAGAAGGCCAGGAATCACAGGGGGGGCCAGATCGGCTGGCGTATCATCCTGCTCAGGCCAGTGGTGTGGACCTGGCTCGCTTGACATATTATAGACATCGTCAAACCAGTTATCCACTACCTCATATCTCAGATATGAGGGCTCTACCTTAGGGAGCCTTTCTTGGTAGTGCGTCGCTTGTACGTAGGATTCTGGGTTGTATGGAGGAATCCGAAACGGAAAATTCCCCCAGCTGATAGGGTCCATGTTAAGCCCCCGGTTCACCTCCATCTCAATGATACAGTCGAGAATGGCTCGCAACCATGGCCTAGATATTAGAAGCATTTGTTAGAGAAAGATAGATGGAGAAGGAAAGAGCTGGACAACTTACAATGGTCCTCCTTGAAGGTACTCAATCTTCCAAAAAAGCATCTTGGCCATGGCTAAAATACGATGTGGGCGTTCGTGACACGCCTGATCGTGAGGCAGGACATGATATGTTTCCGACTCTTGCGGGACTCTAAATGGACCAATCCTTGGGACGTGTCTGGAAAGTTCATTGAACCATCCGGAGCCGTCCGCCTTCCACGAACGGCTATTAGCCCAATACACGGACCAATAGTACTGCTGAGATGTTGGGATGTTATGTTGGAGATATGGCACTAATAGAACATGTCAGCCTTTTGTACTAAGACAACGTGATAGACGAGAAAAAGATGGGACATACTAGAGGCATGCATGAGCAATGCTATCACCCCAAAAGGCAACTTAAGATTATGCTCCGTGTTGGTACCCGCGTTCGCCAATAGTTCAGTAATTTCATCTTCACAGGCACGTGTTATTCTTCGACACTCCCAGTAATTTCGTGCTGTGTGATGATAACGAAATTCCTCAATGTAATGCCTCTCTCTGGTGTTTCCCCAGGGAAGGATAGACCACTTCTGCCGCTCCCATGGGTACCATGATGTACCTCCTGTTCTGGCCAAAAAGTCATGGTTGATATCTCTGCGCCGTGCTTCTATCTTTTCAACTACTGCGTCAAGTTCGGTGAGATATTTTTTGGCTGCCACCCCCCTAGGAGTACCTGAGTTGAATTCTGGCGATTCCTCTATATCTTGCAGTGGCCGACTTTGAACGACTATGGGAAATGACGGTTCAGCAACCTCTACTGTGCCTGTATCGAAATTAGTTCTGTTAATAGTAACAGCTGGAGCTCGGAGTGCCTCAGTCCCGAGAGAAGGTATAATCTCTCTCCAATATTTCTCGCTGAGTATCGCCGATGCCCACCATGCTGGAACTGTGTAGTAGTTCTCATATCCTCGAGAAACCTGCTCCTCCCATCCTGCCATGTCTGTGGAATCACGATCGCTGCCCTTAGATACGGCTTTAGTAATGTCGTCCACGTATAAGAAGGTCTGGTAGCCTCTTCGTATTCCATTTACGAGCATGCTCCTTGGTAGGCCGTTTACGATTGCGCCATAGATTTCCTGCTCAAAACTCCAGCCCAACTCAGAGATCCAATTATCGCGCCATAACTAGACAGAATGTTAGCATTGCGAGTTAATTCCCGGACAAGTAGATGGATCTTACTGGTTCAGGATATCTGGCGTAGTGTCGTGAGGTCGCCTCTCCGTCTTTGAAACGAGATACCCAGAGGGCATGCTAGAATGGTAGTTCTTATCAGCATTTTCGACCGACCATTATCTGTATGAGTCTCTCTCTCTCTCTTACACACACACACACACACAAGAAAAAAAAGAGGGGGGAGGAGGGAATGGAGGGAGGCGTACCGCTAACTCGTGGAGTAACTAAGAAATAAAAGAGAAAAAGTTAGTAACAGCCTCAATAGTGTTGTTTGGAAGTCTCATATCACGTACCGTATTAGCAAACTGGAATAAACTCAGAATACGTTCGACAACCGTACTGTCTTTTTCAAATAAACAACGTATTTCGCCAACACTGAGGTGAATTATGGATTTCACCAAAGGGACAAAAGTCGCGACAGCGGTAAATCCTAGTACAGTGCCGCTGAATGAGAAAGAGGTCGATTCGTCACTGAAGGTTATAGCCATTCTTCCTCCGAGCGCGTATTCTAGCCCTTTCTTGAGCATAAGCGGACTCGCTACATCTTTCATGGGCTCTTTAAATCTACAAATCCATTTCTTTACAAATGGGTCTTCAAACCTCGTCCCTGGTTGGTTCCCGCATCGTACTGGTTCGGCATACAAGAGTTCATTGATACTTGACTAGGAGTTAGTTAAAGTTATACAAAATATAATCAGGGGCAAGAAAAAAAAGGGGGGAAACCGCACAATTCGCTTTGTTCATCACACATCAGATTAAGGAGACGATTGGCCAGTTCTATTCCTGGGCGAATTGTGTTCCAAATGACTGGGTTGTCGACGCTCCACCATGCCTGATTATTAGGCGCATAATTTCCTTCAAAGCCGGGGATGGGCTTGTCTAACCCAGGCAGCGGATTCGTTCTCAAATCAAACCATTTGTCCCGTTGGAAAAAGCTGAACCACTTGCTCTCGTCCACGGTAACTAGCTTGGTAGCAAAGTTTTGCCAGTGGTCCCAGTTTGAGACGCCCTGGGGCGGATTAGCCCAAAAGTCGTCGTAAAGATGTTCGTTGAATAATGGTACTTGCCAAGTGCGAAATCCATTAAGAAGGTGGCCTGTCTGCTCAGTTTCGGTCAAGAATAGTTCATCTAGCTCGTTGTGATTCGGGACTCGGTCGTGGCTAGGGGGATCTCGGGTGTTAAAGGGCCAGACGTTGGCCATGCCAGAATGGGCCTGGCCGTCTGGATGGTTACGCATCCAATACGCCTTGGTGTTGACGCCATACTTCTTTGCCAAAGGCGATAGAGGCCTACCAGGGGGAAGTAGCATCCGCTGGGGTAACTCACGAGATGGGAGCGTTGTGTTATCTTGAACATATTCATATGGCGGAGGTGGAGGAGGAGAAGACATCCGTGCAGACGAAGAAGAAGAACGCGATATTCGAGGTGGAGAAGGATCAGGAAGGTCCGACATTGAATATGGGCTCGATTATCGTCGAGGTCGAGATGAATATGTTATCTGAATATGCTATATGTTAGGCTATATGTTAGAGAGCGTGATGGCTTCGCCTATCTGCAGTAGATATATTCTATATGGGCATATTTGATGGCACTTGACCTAACCTACCTAGGTATTTCAACCATTTCAATAATTACAGAAGAATATGGAAGATATAACAGGCTCTTTACACAAATTTTACACGGGTCACATACGTCAAAAAAGGAATTTCTAGTTTCTGCATAGAAATGGTCTTGTTCTATAAACAAAGGCTATGTTCGTTACCGTGATCACATTTAAATAAAATGGCAGTTTATGGAGTAGGTACCTAGGTAGGTAGCCATTCCAATTCTCTAACGTTAGGTTAATCATTCTTATAATACTAAGTAGGTAAGATGAGAACAATTTATTTGCGGGAGGGTAGGAGTATAAAGAGTATGTAATTGAAAGAGTGAAGAGAGTTAATAATATCGTTGTGACTGCTATGTAAGTACTCCATCACCCCATTAAGTAAATAATTTCAAATGCTGTAAGTCTGTACTACTACTAAAACTAACCTTAGTAGTATGAAGGCTGCGGCCAAAGGTTTAGCACTCTAGGATACCTACTAATTAGCGTCATAGTCTAGCTTCAAATTGCTAAACCTTTGGCCGTAACCTTCGTACTACGTATTACACTAACCTAACGTCATTCCAACATGCCGTACTCTATATACGTACCTAATAGATACATAGTATGTAATTAAAGAGCATATTACGCACCTACTTAGCAGTAATAGCTATTAACTACATAATACTACATAATACTACTTGTATATACAACTTCGAATGATACAACACCAACATCGAACATCAATACCAACCTCAATCATTGAGGAAACATGAAAAATATGATTTCATTTATTTAACAAACCATGTTTCGCCCCGCTACCAAAACGGCTCTCATATCTGCCTCGGATATTCCCTCCCTCAGTCTTCTCTACAAACATCACAAGCTGAACGTCTCTACTCTCGGCCCATTTCAAAATGCCACCTCATTGCATAATGATCGCATCGGCCTATTCCATGGCGATATCACCACTTTATCTGTCGACGCCATCGTGAATGCCGCCAACCTCCTTCTCCTCGGCGGTGGCGGCGTTGATGGTGCCATTCACCGCGCCGCTGGCCCCAAGCTGCTTCGCGAGTGCCGCACTCTACACGGCTGTCCTACTGGCTCGGCCAAGATCACCAACGCATACGACCTACCATGTAAAAAGGTCATACATGCCGTCGGTCCTATCTACAATGTTAACGACCCTGCCGATAGTGAGATTGCTTTGAGAGGCTGCTACCGATCTAGTTTGGAGCTTGCCGTGCGCCACAATCTCAAGACTATCGCATTCAGCGCTATCAGCACCGGCGTCTACCGCTATCCGACTGCGGATGCTGCCCACGTGGCTTGTGACACCGTTAGAGAGTTCATGGATAGCAACGACGGTCCAAAACTAGATAAGGTTATATTCGTGACCTTTGAGGAGAAAGATGCTCGCTCCTATAACCTCCTTCTCCCGTGAGCCCCTTTTCTCCCCTAGCCCTTCCATCCCCTTTACTCCTTGAGCTTGCTACTAAACCTTCCACGTAGCCGCCACTTCCCCCCAGCCCCCGCAACTTCTGCCAGCCAAGACGAGGAGGCTACCAACGAGCAGATAGCCGAGGCGGAGGCTCAAGCCAGCAAATTCCCCAGCGTGCCCAGTACAGATCCAGATGATGCGGGTCACGCGTCGAAAAGACAGAAACAGAAGGACGATGACTAAGCTGAGATTCTCACCAAGAGAACAGAGTCTGGAAAGAACGTAGATACTTAAGATTAAATAGCCCCTTTCCCCCCCTTTAACAGTAATATGATTGATGATCGCTCTTAGGCAGTTATTCGTACGCTTGAATTGGACGTGAGACTATTTACAACTTGCTTATTTTTTCTTTCTATTTTCCGCGTCTTCTTCAAATTGCCTAGGTTAGGTGATGCCTAAGTAGTATCTACATACCATGAGAGAAAGAAATCCAATCATCGCACCAGAACGTGTTACCGTCCCCACCTCTACCTCCCTAGTTCCCCTTCCCAAACAGCTCCTCCTTCGTATCATACGTATACACCATCGGCAGCTGCCAATACGGCTCCATATCCCCCTTGGCCTCCTTCCACGCCCGCTCCACCACCGCCAGCACCTCCTCGTCCAGCGGGCCCTTCTCCAGGTAGTCCAGGTTATCCCTCAGCTGCTGCAGCGTCGAGAACCCGATCACGACCCCGTCGCGCTCCTCGCCCTCCAGCAGCCGCAGCTGCGAGTGGTGCACGAGCCAGCGCATCGCGACCTCGAGCGGGTTGAGCCCCCTCGCCTCCGCCGCCTCGCGGATCAGCCGCGCGCCCTCGATGATCCCGTCCCGGAAATAGCGGCCCCGCGTCAGGTGCTGGAACGGCCCCGCCGCGAACCTCCCCTCCTTCGGGTCCGCGTCCTTCGACACGATCTTCCCCGCCAGGAAGCCGCCTCCCGTGGGGCTGTACACGTCGACGGTGATGCCGTAGCGGCGGCAGGTCGGGATGAGCTCGTCCTCGATGGTGCGCGTGAGGCAGTTGTAGATGGCCTGGTAGACGGTGGGGCGCACCCAGTTGTGCTGCCGGCACAGCATGACGATCTCGGCGACCTCGAAGGAGGCGTAGTTGCTCAGCCCGAGGCGCTTGAATTTCCCGGCTTTGTGCAGCTTGTCGACGGCCGCGAGGGTGGTGGCGAAGGGGACGGAGCGGTCCTGTCGGCTTGTTAGTAATGTAATTGCTTGTCATACCTAGGTAGCTAGTAGTATTTGTTTTTTGTGTTTGAAAGCCGGATCAAAAGAAACAAAGAAAAGAAGCAGAAAGAAAAGAAAAGGGGGGGGGGGGGGGGGGGGGAGGGGGGGTTTCATTACCGGAGCATGAAGGTAGAATATCTATGATCAAATGAGGTTAGTACTTCAATAAAACCCCTAGCCAGGCATCAAACTCACATCCACACACCCCGTCCCCAGCTCCCTCAAGCTCGTCTCAAACGTCGCCTCCAACGCCTCCGGCGCATGCGAACCCGGCGGCAGCGGCCACACCTTCGTCGCGATCGACAGCCCGCGCTCCTTCCACCCCACCTGCCGCGTGAACCCTTCCTGCTCGCCCCCCAGGTACAGCCGCGCCGTGTCGAGCTCCGTGTACCCGCGCTCCTGGAAGATGTCGAGCGCGGACCTGAAGTTGTCGAGGCCGGTCAGGCGGGCGCGGGACCCTTCGGCCCCGATCACCATGAGGCCGAGGATTACGCGGGGGCGGTTCTTGGAGGCCATTTTGTGGGGGGGCTTGTTCGGATCTAACTGGATTGAATTGGTTTGGGTTGTAAGATATCGGATATGGTATTACGGCATGAAAAAGGCAAAAGTAGATAGGTAGGTAGGTAGGTAGGTAGACAGAACACGGGGCTGCCCATGTAATTATAGACATATCCATACCTACCACCTACATAGCATCTACCTACCAACCCAGGCAACCCCAAGCACCTAGTTACTCTTGGAACAGTCGGGACAGTCGGGGTAAAAGCAATGGAGATGGCTAGCCTAGCACTGGAGATCTACCTAGCTTCCCATGCACCTCCAAACTCGGCATTGTCTTCCATTCCCCGCAGTAGGAATAATCGGATCTAAAAAAAGGCATTGAGGCCCCCCAGAAAAACGTAGCCGAGGCGGGAGGCGGGGAAATCCAAAGATCGGTTCGTCTTGGCTGCTCAGGTTAGCGGAGATTTATTTGAAAAAAAGGGTTAGGCTTCAAGGGTCAAACGAGTTGAAGTCATTACTATACAGGTATACACAACTAGCTGTATAATATTTGGTAGTCTTATGAGCGTCGGGTTTTATCTACCTAGTGACAATAGACTCTTATGATTTGCGAAGATGAAGGGAGAAGAAGCGAAATATGACAAGGATAAGATGAAGGACTAGTGAACCTCTATAAATTCACTCTATTGAAAGAAAACGAAGAATGCAATGTATTCATTTTTGTATTCTAGAGCCATATTACCATTATCTGGGCTTGAGTGCCGACCAGGCAACCACTTAGATCTATGTAGCTTGGTGATGGCATACGTAGCAATCGTACCGCATTGTGCTTTCCACACACATCCACCTTTTAATATGCTATATTACATCGTGGCGGGATCATTTTATCGGGGGCTTTCACTTTCACGGTACGCAGTCCCGTCTCTGCCTAAGAGACTTCGTCACTGGCGGCCGCACAAGCTCCAGTCTCTTCAAATTCCTCCACCTCAGTCATGCGTAGAGCGTCCTTCACATCATCAACGAAGCGGTGTCTACCACCGACAAGCCTGACAATGCCGCTTCGCTCCATCATTTCCCATACCCTGCTATCTCGGTTGACGGGTCGACTGAAGAATACCCTAACACCTCGGTCGCGGTAATTTCGTACAATCTCTTCGAGAACTTGGGTACCTGAGCCGTCCATAGATGTCACTCCATGTATATCAAATATGATGTTTCGGTTGCTGGCTTGCGGACGCAAGCGCGGGAGAGCCGGATGAACATTACCGGTGCCGTACAACTCAAGTCGCCGCAACCTGTTCTTTAATTCACCCGTATTCGCAAATGTCAGAGGCTCTGGTATCTTTACGATCAAACACCCTTCGACAAACTCAAGATTCTCCGGATGCTCTTCGGCGTTAGCGAAGCGATCGCTGTTAGGAATCCGCCCTAGAATCTGGATTCTGGGGCGAGTAGAGTGACGGATGACCTGCAGAAGCGATAGGCCTATTCCAATCGCGATACCTAAGTTGAGTGAAAAGAAAACTGTCACAGCTAGGATGACAGCCATAAGAGAAAGTTCGGTCCAGCCCTTGATCCGTATGAAGAAAGACACATCATGTGGCGCTTCTTCGATGAGAGACCAGGCAACAGTCATGATAAGGGCAGACAGGATAGGTTTCTGGCTCATAGTTAGCTCTCTATACCGAAACGGGAAGAATATCCTAGACAATAAATGACACTTACAGGGAGATAGTAGAACCACGGCAAGAGGAACATGATGCAGATGACGGTAATGATACTCAGCATGATAGAACTCATGGGGCTCTTGCCACCAGTGCTCTTGTTGACTTTGCTTCGACCGTACCCGCCAAAAGCGGGAATAGCCATAAAGCACGAACCAACGAGATTGGCTGCTCCCAGGGCTACGAGTTCTCGGTTTGGACTCAGCTGCATCCCTTCGATGATTTCTTCGCCGCCTAAGCTCTTCGCAGCGACCGAGGATTCAAAGAAGCCCAGCATACCAATCAAGAAGGACGTGCCCATAGCATCTCGAATATGAGTCATATGCGATAGCTTGAAAGGATTGCGGAAGGTAAAAACATGGCCAGATGCTGCTTCGACTTTACCAAGAAGTGGTACACCTTCCTGTTCCCAGTTCAAGGACCATGCCAAGACGGCGGAGAGCACAACCACAATAAGTCGGTCGGGGAAATATGCCACTCCTGGGTATCGTGGCTGTAATCGCCGCTTAATCTCCCTATATAAAAAGTTAGTATACTATTACAGCAACGACCATTTGCATGTCCTTCACTCACCGAAACACCATGATAACAACAAATCCCACCAAACCAACAGTAGCAGTAAGATTATGCCGCTCGCCAAGATGAGTTAGCACAAACTCAAGTTTTTGAACGGTGCTTCCGTGTGCAACGCCCGTGGCCGATTTTGCGGCGCGGTTTAGTCCCAGAACAGGTATCAGCTGGTCAATGAAGATAACCACGCCAATGGCAGAGATGAAGCCCCGTAGGAAGGGCCTACTCAAGACGCTATCGAGGAAACCGAGACGGAACACACCCATGAGGAAGACAGTTGCGCCGGCTATACCAACAGCCACACCAGCTACCTCGGCTTGCAAGGCGGCGTTATCGTCATTGCCACGTCCGAGGTCGATAGTGTTTTTGATAATGGAACCGATGAGCAGAGAACCAGCTGCTTCGGGGCCGACAACCATAAGCGGGCAGCTTCCTAGCAAGGCGTACACGAAGGGATTTATGGCAAAGGCATACAAGCCGTTGATAGCGGGGACGTGGGCCAGATTTTCGGCATACGAGAGTGCCATAGGAAGGTACATAGAGGCGATGGTAATGGCAGCGGTGAAGTCGCCTTTTAACCATGACCACTTGTACTGTCTAATCCACGTGAGAAATGGTATGTAGTATGACAAATACATTCCCCAAGAGTCCTCGACTCCATGTTGGTGTGCTAGGTTACTTGAGGTTGTCATTTTCTTGCTCTTGACTCTATTCGAAAAAGTTTTCTTCCAGCTTCTTTTTAACAACGTCTCGCTTGAAGGGGTGGAGCCATCCGAGTCATCCACGGATCCCGCATCAGCATCAGGATTGCCGAATCTCGGTGGGGGGCTCGTTGCGCGAGGTGAGAATGTACCGTGATCGCAAGGGCCATCGTGGATGCGCTCGTGATGAAGGAGGGAAGAAGTCTCGGCAAACTGGTCTTTGGGAGTATCTGGTCGGTTGCTAGGGCCAGCACCAGCGGCATTTTCTGGTGTATCATCGCTCATAGTGGACGATGACATGGTACGACTCTGGCGAAGACCACTTGGGGTCAGCGGAGCATGAGGATAAGGTCGAGGGCTAGTGGGGAGAGAGGGAGGGCTTGGAGGCGGCATTGTTTGAGATAGAATCCTACAATAGAGGTAATGGTACCAACCAATGATTCGGGCAGTCTAAATCAATTGCAAACGGTAAAAAGGAACGAAGAAGCTCAGCTTCCGTCCATGAGGTAGTTGTGGATAGTTCTGAGGCATGCGGCAACAGAGAAGAGAGAGTATCCGATATTATCAAACGAAGTAGGTCTGGCTGGCCTAATAAAAACAGAAGCGACAGTGCTCAAAGAGTCGACACTACTACTACATCATGCAAGAAAATGGAGACTAGTGAGACTGGCGGGTCTGCAAATTTGGTGATAGAGGTGGAAGTATGCAGCATATGATAGAGGAGCTAGCAGTATGTAGTAGTAGGTGATGGTCATGCAGTGATTTATATGTATGCAGAATGAAGTAAAGCCAAGTAACGAGGGAAAATCCGAATTATCTAATTGGCGGATAGACGGCAAGTACATAACATAGTTACATATTTGGGTTTGGTATCAAGGGTCCCACATGTGCATGGGACAAGAAGTAAGTAAAAGTGGATAGCGGCGGGGGAATGGCCCATATAAATAATTGGAATTGGGATCCAGATGCAAACTGACAAGGACTTTTTTTTGTTATTGTTGTCGCCGGTTTGTCGCTGGTCGCACCTATCTGATCTACCTACAGTAAGTAGTAAGTACGTGTAGTCAGTCTAGTTGGGATTAAAGTTCTAGATAAGCTACAGCGTCGCTATAACAAGGGTTTTTAGTAACATCGGGTACCTGAAAGATAACGTTGAACCTTGAAAGTTGAAACCCATCCGATGAATCCATGACATCTAGAAATAGTTAGAGTTCAACTCGTGATGCGTCGCACCTTCTTTTTTCCCAGGTATCTACTGGGTGCCAGATGGTACAGATACCGTTTGTAATCGTTTCAAATATTCACAGCATGCCTAGATCGAATCAGGAATCACCTCCCATGGTTGATAGTAATTTTTACATAATTCGGATCATGATTTATAAAGGCCAAGGTTCCAAGGTTTTGGAAAGCCATGTTCACTGTTGGCTACCTCTTTCTTTACCTAGTACTACATAACCTACTATACATAAAGCTCATAATCTCTTACACCCCCCTCAAAGTCCTTCGCCCAGATATTCCAAATCCGTGGTACATAGTTGATAGCTGTGCGTGCCTACGATGAGAAGGCGTACTATACATATGTAAGTCCGGAGGTGCACATGTAAGGTCTCTTTGTCCCCCTTTGCACGTGACTTTTCTTTCTCCAAGATCCGGGTTATCGTTTGCGATGTCAAAACATGCTGCGACATTACATCCTATCTGGCTTGGCAGCTTTATATGCAGTTTCGAATGCATTATCGCCATTAAACCTCGCCCTCATCCTGCTCATTATCCTCCTCGTTATTCTCCCACCCCACATACTCTTCCACCACCATCATCTCATCTTCCTTTTCCTGGTCGATCTTAGCTTTAAGTTCAGCCTTGAGTCTGGCATGGATCACATCCTCGTCGTCGTCTTCTTCAACGTCAGGGATGGCTATGAGTTTGGCGGAAGCTCTCGGTTTCTTGTTGGAACCCGGGTTACTCTCCAGACTACGTTTGCCGCGGCCCTTGGTGGGAGTGCTCGGAACACTCGATTGTCCCTGGCTAGGGCCACCAGCAGCGGTAATAAGCTTCTTCTTGATAGGCAAGAAGCATGCTCGCGCACTGGCGGCGTTTTTGAATGCCGCAATTTCTGCAAGCTTTACAAAGTCGATCTATATTGAAGCAAGTTAGTTATTGCTAGGTTTATAACTAACCTGTCTAGTCTGGATGATGAAATAGACATCAAAACTACAAGATATGGTGAGGATTGAACTTACTCTAGGTAAGTCGTCGAAACATTGCCACGCCTTTGCAAGTATCTCCATTTCACGAGCTGAAAATTGGACATCTTTATTTGCAGAGTCCTTTGATGCCATTATGATAGTTGTGAAAGTTGTGAAAGTTGTGGTTGGCAAGATATGATGAAAAGATATTGTGAGTGTGAAATGTGGCAGGTAGAAGATGAATGGGGTACAGAATGAGAGATGGTCAAAGTATCCAAGATAGAAAGAGTCAAGGTCGGAATCATGAGCAATTCACACTCCCTAACTTTTGTTATGGCGACCTTATAACAAAAAGTGTACACAGTAGACCTATCTAAGTAGGTAGTCCCAATCGTAGTGTTGCACAGGTTAATGCGCGTGAGGATATGGTTGGATACTGATGAATATTGGTTGCCGTGAATTTTACAGGAGTGAATGAGAGTGGTGTTATTATGGTAAGTTGGTATTGTAGGGATGCCACTACGAGTGAATGTGAATAATTAAAAGGGAATAAAGTTAAAGAGGGGTAGTTGATATGTCAGAATGATTTTGTTGGACAAACAGGTAAAGATAGCAAAGTGAGTATATGGCAAAGATGAAGAAAAAGCAATGTTATTATTGTTTAGATTCACAGAATAGTTTGTTACTAAGTCGTTGGGACCATATTTCACGGACCACGGTAACGGTAACGGTAACACATACAAACAACATTACCCCTGTAACTGACCAGGGGTCATCAATTTATTAGTTGACCTCCAGTTGAAGTCTGAATAACTATCATAATCTTAGCTTCTACATAGTTATGTATATAAAATGATTCAACCTTCTTTCAAGTGTGTAGAATGAGTAAAGTATGTCCTGTGCTTCATATTAGTAACGTACTGTACCTACCATGTAGACAAAAGCCAACAGAAACCAAACCCCCAAATCAATCAACATGTCTTCGATCTTGGCACCTCAGCGCCAATATCAAATTTGGCTAGAAGTTGGCTCGGAGATAAGGAACTCAGCCTTATGGTCTTGGCCAGTAAAGATACTAGTAATAAGACAGCTAACTAAATCTGTAGGATTACTTTTGAGTCGAATAGTGCGAGTGTGTTCTAAACTTCTAGTCAGGGGATAGTTAGTTATTACCTAACCTTAATTCTTTGTAGTGCCTCGGATCTCGGAGATAAACAAAACGACCCCCCACCCCCAGATTTACCTGCCATGGAGATTACCAAAGTCAATTCCTCCCGAATCATCTTACATGTCTATCACCATGTCTAACACATCTATGGATATACCCCGGTGTAGATCTGATATCCAACATGGAAAATACACCAGTTCATAGCTCAAAAATGGAGCGTCGCCGTCGTCGCCCAGCTTTATCCTGCGTTAGCTGCAGGAAGTCCAAGATCCGCTGCGACCGCAATATGCCTTGTGGTGCTTGTGTACGATCTAAGCACAGAACTTGTGTCTTTGACCCTCAAATCCATCCATCTCCACGACAGTCGGATATGACGTCTACTCTAGCTGGTCCACTACATCAAGCTGATTCGTCACATGATGATCGATCCAACTTCTCTCTGACTGGAACAACGCCTGCTGATTCAAGTTCGTCTCAGACGAATACACCCACCTTTGATGTAAAGTCATTGCTCGACCGAATTAGGGAGCTTGAGCGTCGCTTGGAAGAATCTACACAACAATCTACCAGCACCAAGAACGTCACTCGAGCCTCCACTACTAGTTCTGAGCCCGTAGCTACTTATCCAAGTTATCTTGCAGGGGAGTTGCACACCATGAACAAGAGTGTAATGTCTAAAACTCGATACTTTGGCCAAAGCCATTGGATGAACCAAGTTGGAAGCGTATGCTGTTCTTATGCCTTGACACCCTTTGCCGTATTATATCTTCAGTACGCGTTGCTTACTTCTACCTAGTTCAAAGGTGTCCTGGAAATGTTTGATCAGCAATATCGAGAAAAGAAGACAGAAATCATGACACTTGTTGGCAAATGCAAGACACTGGCTAGGACCATCAAGGCTCAACGAATCCCCGAGTTGAGTTTCAAATTTGGGACCAACATACCCTCGCGAGAAATCGCCGACAAGCTTGTAGACGGCTACCTTAGGACCTCAGAGTCTGTATTTCGAATCTTGCACGTGCCCTCCTTCCAAAAGGAATATGAGAAATTTTGGTCTTCCCCCGATTCGGTTGATCCTTCTTTTGTAATACAACTTCAGCTTGTCATGGCAATTGGCAGTACCATTTATGATGAACTCTTCACCTTGCGCCAGTCAGCCGTCCAATGGGTGTACGAGGCACAATGCTGGCTGGTATCACCGGTTCCGAAAACGAGATTGACGCTCTCTGGCCTGCAGGTCATGTTACTTCATTGCATGGCCCAGGAGACTGCATCTGTCGGTCAGGATCTGGTATGGATTCCAGTTGGGCAAGTCGTACGCACAGCCATCTATATGGGCTTTCACAGAGATCCGAATAAGCTACCCAAAATGAATCGTTTTCGTTCAGAAATGCGACGTCGGTTATGGAACACTATCCTCGAAATCGCCTTGCAAGCCAGTATTGACTCCGGGGGACCGCCTCTCATCTTTTTCGAAGAGTTCGACACGTGCGCTCCATCCGATTGCGATGACGCCCAGTTAACAAGTGACGACCCCTCAACTCTAGTCAATCCAAATGATAAGTTCACAGATATGACAATACCCTTAGCTCTTCGCGCGACCTTTTCGGCACGTCTAGCGATCGCCCAAGCGCTCAACGAGATCCGCGGCCAAAATACCTACGACGACACGATTCGACTTCACGGTCAACTCGGCACAGCCTACAAGTCACTTTCGCAAAACCTCCAACGATTTTCCTCCACGGAGCGTAAACCAACCCCGTTCCAACGACGCTTTCTGGACTTTCTCGTCCGCCGATATTTCATGACTTTGCATCTACCTTATTTCGGGCCAGGCATGATCGAGCCAGCTTACGCATTCTCGAAGAAAACTGTAGTTGAGACATCTGCAAAGTTATACTCTCTCGTTTTCCCATTGGCATCCACGAGTCCTCGATCGGCAAACGATTTGAGATTAACATCCGAAGATGCGGATGATTTAGGTCGACTCACCACATGCGCAGCAGGTTTATTTCGAAATATCATATCTCAGGCGTCAATGGCCATCGCCTTCGAGGTACAGAACCAATTACAAGAAGATGACAGTATGGGACTTCCGACACCCAGGACAGACCTACTCAACATTTTTCGGGACTCCGCCACTTGGGTCCGCCACCGCATTAAAGCCGGGGAAACCAATATAAAAGGTTACATGTTCACGGCAGGACTACTAGGACAAGTCGAGGCTTTACTCAGTGGCCTAAAAGGACCCGAGCTTGTGGATGCTACCGTCAAGGCTGGCACTGAAGCCGCGCGCGATGGTTTGGAGTTACTCAAGCAACATGCTAGGCCAAACCTTGACGAGAAGACTACTGCAGTTGACGAACAGTTCAGCTTTGACACGATAATGGCAATGGATGAAGACTGGGACTTTGACACCTCGGTCAGCCTTTTCCCCTTACAATGTTTGATATCAGGTACTAACAAATTGATACAGATGCAGAATGTCCTATATGATTTCATCAGCATCGAATCCGTGTTCGGGGCAGCGACTGACCCTAATGACGCGATGGCGCCGGATTTGGCACAATGGCAATGACAAAGAATTAATATTTAAAGAGCCTAGTAGCTCACTTCATTTCAAGTTGACGAGGGCAGTCGTCACAAAGAATATACTTTAACATTATTCGCATATGCCTATTTGCATATAATAATATTTTGGATGCCATAATCAGAACTTCTACCTAGGTAATAGGAGAATCATAGGATGCGAATTTGTCCACTCTGCCTCTTAATCGTCAAGCCGATTTCCCAACGCCAATGCTTGCCTATATATCCATTCCTTCGCCGTTAGCTTCTCTCCCTCTTCCTCTGGATCTTCAGGAACCCCCTTTATTCTGAGTTTCTTCATAATACACTCATCCTCAGGGCGAACGAAGTAAACGATGCTATACCGTGGCCATTGACCTTGCACGCCGGGAGCCGGGATCACGCGATGGCGACCAGAACTGAGAATACCGTTGGAGAATGTTACAGCTGCATCTCCTAGGTTGATGATAGCACAACCCTTCTTCGGCTTCACCCAGAGCCATTCTCCAGGCACATCTGGCTCACCGTCACCAGGCCGCGCCTTTCGCGACGACTCCGAATAAACCTGGAGCCCGCCAAGCCAATTCATGAGAACAGTGATTCTACGTATGATTACATTAATAAGGGGCTTGTCTAATATGACTACCACGTAACAAAGAAAAATAAATGTACTCACGTCCCAAAGTCGGTGTGTGACGGAGTCTGGATCTCAGGCATTTCTTCAGACTCTCTCGGCGGACCCCTCGTGATGCGAATATGGTCACCTGAGGGCTCCTCAATCCTATGGCGATTTGCAAATTCGGACGGGTCAATGCCGAGCTTATTGGCGAGGATGAATAAAATATGCAACCCAACGGCGTGAGCGGTCTTGACATAGGAAGCAAAAAGCGGTTTGGCGTCGAGGACCTCGGTAGGCCAGGGACGGGTCATACTAGCATCGGGCACGATCATATCGTTTTTACCCACATTGAAGAACTCAGCCGTGTCGGGGGTCCCGGCGCGATCCGTCACCGACGCCCCGGCATACTTGTACCCAAATAGCGACTTAATCATCCTGTACCGCATTTTCTCGTCCAGCGGTAGCTTGAAGATCCGCTCCCCCGCTTGCGCGACCTGCTCCGCACCCCGGAGAATCGTGTCACCTGCCTCGCACCCCTCCAGCGCCAGGTAGAAGAAGCCGCGCCCGACGCAGGCCTGGTACACCCGGTTTTGCTCTGCTGCGTCGCCGCCAAGTAGTTTTGATAAGGTGATGGTCTCTAGCTCGATGGCGGGGATGTCGTCGGGGAAGGGGGGGTAGAGATCTGGGGTGAACTCGGTGGTTTCGGGGTCTTCTTTGTGAGGCATGATTGGATGATATATGAATGTCGTCACAAAACGAAATTATGCGGATAAGGCAAACCGTGACTAGAACAAACCTGATAGGATATACACAACCAACAACCAAGTTGGTGGAGCAATAGTAGATACGATGTAGCTATGTAGATAAAATGGATAGAAATGGAAATTAGTTGTTGATTGCGGGGTGGAAAGTCGATGATAGATATTTAAGGTTGAGATCTAAAGCACAGGCAAGTTCGTCGGAGAAGGTTACATGACAGATAGAATATCCAGTAAGCAGGCACACAATGGCGTTCGTTCGTTCATGCAGTCCCAAGTTCAGGCTTCTCCTATCTAGTTACCTATCAACATATGTAAGGTAAGTAGCTGCTTTGTTCGTCGTAACTGGATGGTAAGGTAGGTAGGTAGGTTAACTTCGGTGAGGCGGCACCACCACTTGAATGCAATGGGTCTGAATATATATATATATATATATATACATACATACATAGGTTTAAATGTCAGGTAGGTGGGCATGACCCATATACGTACGTCGCAATTGACAATTGGCTCCTTGTGGGTATCTTATGTAACCTAGGCGTAGTTATAGCTAAAGTGCGGCCAGCTTTTTTTTTTTACGTTGAAGGGGGTTGGAGACAGACAAAGGGGTTTATTCAATGGGGGGGATTTGGAGCATACATACAATACATAACTGACCTCCACCTCTGCCTTCTACTTACCAATAGTTACCTATGGACTGATAGGCTCAGAGACTCAAAGACTCAAAGACTCCCGGGTAATGGTAATGATGGTGCACGTGTGCCATATGCCATATTACTGTCGCGCTTTACACGCTCTTGTACATCTTTTGCATACCTAACACATCCTTCACAGCCAAGTAGTGCTTTGTCAACGTTGCCCAAAGGACTGACTATCTTGGAGCGACGGGCTTCGGAACAAAGAAGAAGCAGACAAAGTTCTCGAAATGCAGGCCGTGTGTTTTGGCCGCTCGATTGATTAGGTATTGTATTGTACCTTGCGCGACCGTTAAAAGCTGTGTATCCTCCGAATTGATAATCCCCGCGATGTAAGAGCCAGGTGATCAGCTCAGGTCAACTCAATTCGACTTAAGCAGCAAATAAGTTAGCAACTCAAAAAGTTTCGGTGAAAAGTCCGATCCAATTTCGATCCCCGAGTGTGTCTGTGTGTCTGTGTGTCTGTGTGTGTGGGTGAACGTTATATAAAACAAAGCTGCCTAACTACCGGAAGAGTAACTATAGCAAATAGGGATAAGATAATTGAATCGGCTCGCGTATTAAAAGTTTAAGGGGTCTTGGTTCCGGGAAGTGGGTAGGTAGTTATGATATCATCTGGCCTTTTGATCCTCGAGGCTATTATTTTAGTAGCAGAGCAAGCAATTGTAAACTATATGTATGTGGATCTAGGTAACTATCTCGATCGATAGACCGAAGCGGGTGATCGTGAACCGACCCTAACCAAGTATTTATTCACTAATTAACCAAAGGGCCTCTCGACTGGCCGTATCCACCAATGGCGGAGTTATTTGGGGCAAAAAGAAAGGCAAAACTTGGAGAAAATGAGGGACCAGATGTCTGCACAAGCGCCATGTAGGTTCGGTAGTTAATACGTAAAGTTAGCTACTTAACAACAGCTGTCCGGGAGCTTGGTGGGTGCGGTGTCACGGTTCCGGTTTGTTGTATGGATTCAGCCGCCGGTTCGATCGGTTAGGAATGTGCTACTTATACAAGTTACATGAATGATATATTTATTATTAATAGTAATTATTGTTAACTAATAGTATAATACACATTACCTGGGATTTAGAGTTAGGTCTTAGCCATAGAGCTAAGCGGTCGTTTCATCTCATTTGGGTAAGTTGAAGCAGCCTACAACGGTACGGTAGTACTACCTACCTAGTAGTAAATTACTAACAGCTGTCAGGGGTACCTAGTAACTACACTATTTCCCCTCAACAATCCTTTCTCCAGTTGAACCCCCATACCCCAAAAATGCCAAGACACCGAAGAAGAGCCTCGTCTCCCCAATATCATGCCTTCTAGTCCTTCTTTTTGCGTAACTTTTTGCCCCGCCATATGGGGATCAGTCTTTGATTTTTTAATGGATGAACCGGTGGACTGTAAGTTTTCATGATGCTGGTTGGATAAAAACCTTGACGCCGCCCAAATTCTTATTTTCATTCCTAGCTTCTGTTGATATAGTCTGTCCCTGGACTAGCTAAACAGAACCATCTTTATTCGACCATAGTCCTACCATCCACTGGCTTCAGAAGCGAAGAGGCTGGGCACATAAAGACTACCTACATAGGCTACCTATTGCTAGGTACATGTAACAATCCATTATGGCCGACGACGAGATCACACGGGCAGAGCCTGCTCAAGTACCTGGCGCAAAACGGAATGTGGAAACTCTAGAGCATCCACCAACTCCAGTTCCTGAAAATACCGACAAGCTTCTTGCTGCTAGATCGATGGATTCTGCCCACCGCACTCGCGTAGAGAAGTCGCTGAAGCGTAAACTTGATGCCCGATGCTCTCTTTTCGTCGTCATCTACATTCTCAACTACCTCGACCGCAATAACATTGCGAGCGCACGTCTCAAGGGTCTCCAAACAGGTAAGCAGCAACGTTCTTGATCTCGTATACCAATGGGTTGGTAAAGGTGCTAATATAACTCAATACAGACTTGAACCTCGATGATGTATGACATCTTATTCTTACGTAGAATATCTCATACTACACTAGTAATACCCTACTGACACTCATCAGACACAATATGCGACTTGCCTAAGTATCCTATACGTGGGGTACATTCTCATGCAAGTCCCATCCAACATGTTCATCAACCGAATCGAACGACCATCACTTTACATTTCTTGCGCCATGTTACTCTGGGGTCTCATCTCCACACTCAGCGGAAACACCCAAAACTTTACCGGCATGGTAGTCGTGCGATTCTTTCTAGGTTTCATCGAAGCCGCTTTCCTCCCAGGAGCACTCTTGATCCAGTCCAAGTGGTACACACGAAAAGAGCTGACAACGAGAAACGCCATCCTATTCTGCGGCAACATCATCTCCAATGCCTTCTCAGCTCTCGTAGCTGCCGGTGTGTTGTCAAACATGCAGGGCGTTTTGGGTCACGCTGCGTGGCGATGGCTGTTTTGGATTGAGGGTGCCATTACTATGGCGATTGCTGTCACTGCCGGATTTGTGCTTCCCGATCTACCTCACAACTCTCGCGGATTCACCGAGGAGGAACTTCAGGTTGCACAACTGAGAATGATCGAGGATGTCGGCGAGGCTGATATCGACAGCGCCAACCAGGGCGTGTTCGATGGCCTCATCATGGCTGTTAAGGACGTCAAGATTTATCTCATGATGCTTACCTTTACTGCTTATGTCGTTGGGCTGTCCTTCAATGCCTTCTTCGTAAGCACTCCACATGGTTTCTTTGTACAGATGCGACGGCTAATCATAAGCACAGCCAACCCTTACTGGTACACTTGGGTTTGACTACGTCCCGACTCTACTCATGAGCTCACCACCGTGGGTCTTTTCATGCATCGTTTCCCTTTTCAATGCTTGGCACGCCGACCGAACTCAGGAAAAGGTTTGTTATCTATCTCCCGCTATAAAAGCTTATGGATGTATATGAACATGTATTAATTCTGGTATAGTTTTGGCACATCACCGGCCCCATTCTCGGCGGAATGGTCGGCTTCGTGATCAGCATGTCGACGCTGAACATTGCCGCCCGATACGTCGCACTGTTCCTCCAAGCCAGCTCGTACGCCGGATTCATCGTCTTCTACTCGTGGATCAGCTCATCCTTCCCTCGACCTCCTGCCAAACGTGCCGTCGCGATTGCACTCATCAACGCCTTTTCGCAACTAGGCAACGTGGCGGGTAGCTATGTGTGGAACTTGAAGGACAACGGATACCGCCAGAGTTACGGTATCGTGACGGCCATGTTCGGTGTTACCATCATTGGCTGTCTCGCATTCCGATCCATTCTATCAGGTCTCAACCAGAAGCTCGAGGAAGGCGAGCAGGCATGGGAAGCACAGCCCGAGGCTTCGCATACGGCCGGCTCCGAGATCATTGATAGTCCCGACGAGGCACTGCGGATGCAGAAGGGATTCCGATACTTGGTGTAAGGAAGGAAGGGAAGGGAAAGGAAAGGGGAATTGCTGTTTATGTGTAGGTACAACGAGGCGAAATTCAAGATACCCTAGCATTTCTTCGACTGGGATGAGGATGAGGATGTTGAAGATGTGTCGCAATATGAATATGAATATGAACAGAGGAAGAAATGATATGATATGATATGATATAACTAGGGCTAATGTGTGTGTGTGTTGTTGTTGTTGGGCTGTAACTATTTTTTACCTGTTTGTGAGTGAACTGTTGTTATGTTGTGAAAATTATGTAGCAATGAAGAAGAAGAAAGCGCATCCCCCCCCCTCCTCCTCGGAAGTCATATCATATCATACAGTAAATACCTATCAACTCTTGAATAATAATAATAATAGAGTTTTGCTATCCGCACCCTTAAAAATTGCTATCGGAGGCTTATCCGCACCCTAGTACATAAGAAATTAGCGTTCAAGCGCCGTTGGTCCGAGCTCTCCAGCTAGCTTCAATCAAAAGATCCAACACAATTTCCAATAATTTCCAACTGAATAATCGGATTCAAGTGCATCTAGCACCATTAGAACCGTCTCGATTAGAGCTTCCAAACGATATATGTTTCAAATTGACGCGACGAGTAATTGTAAAGTTATTCAGAAAAGAGTGAAATAGACGCTTTGCCGCTAGTGTAGCGCTAGCCGGCACTACGTGATGCACGGACCACTTCAACCTGCACCATTTTCAAGGTGCTTCTTGATCTTTGAATTCAAATAACTTCGTAACCACCGATCGCATCAATCTGAAACATATATCATTTGGACCGTCTAATTGAGCTGACTCGAACGATACAAGATGCACTTCAATTAAAGTCTTGAATTGGAAGTTATGTTGGATCTTTTGACGGAAGCTAGCTGAGGCGCTCGGACCAACGGCATTCGAACGCTAGTTCCAGATGTACTAGGGTGCGAATAAGCCTCCGATAGCAATTTTTAAGGGTGCGGATAGCAAAACTCTAATAATAATAATAAATACTCTTGATAGTTATCGTGTTGTTAATTACCTACGTTAGGTTAGGTACCGTAGGTATGTATGTATGTATGTATATTGAAGTGTGAATTTAGACATACGTCTAATAGTCAAGTCAGTCCAATACAACAATGAATTAACTAACTTAACTTAACTTAATTGGAGAATTCGTTTTGCCCTGCGTGTAAATATAAACGTCATGACCGACCCGGATGGCCGGTAGGGTAGAGGGTAGGTTAGAGGGATCTATAAATACATTGTAGGTTAGGTAGGTATTGTACAATACCTAACTTGTCTAACTAACCAAGTTCATTCTATGTACATATCTTGACTCAAGATTTACCTCGTCATCAGGGTAGGTGTAGGTAAATAAATAAATAATTATCGTCCACGACATTATCATATTTCTCTTCAATTACAGCATAGGTATTTACCTAGGTTAGGCATATCTGCGTCCTTCTCATCTCATCTCATCTACCTACCTCTCTCCTCTCCATAAGCTACTTGATAGGTAACTAGGCACACACACACACACACACACACACACACACACACACAACCCTATCTAGCAACCTACCTAGGTAGTACTTAATTTAAGCCTTTTCTTTTCTAAAAAAAAAAAAAAAAAAAAAAAAAAAAAAAAAGGCAACGAAGAAGGAGGAGAAAAAGACGACAAAAGAAAAGAAATAAACAAAATGGGCCGCACAGAACCCTCCCACGGCCGCCCCCCACCCGGCTTCCGGCGGGATGTGCGCGCTAAGCGGGCCAAGGCGACGGTGAACAAGACGATCCCGGCAATGCTGGCGGCGCACCCGCGCGCGAGGAGGGGGGTGGAGGGGGCGGAGTTGGTTGTGGATCCGCCTGTTGTGTCTCTTTCCCTTCCGCCTGCGAGGTCGTTGGGGAAGGTTGGTGGCGAGGGTGGTGGTGAGGGTGGCCCCAAGAAGAAGGGGAAAGGGGGGCGTGGTAAGGGTGGAGATGGTGAGGATGAAGGTAGAAATGCGGGTGGCACAGTGAAGGAGGGAAAGGGGGGAAGGAAGGGGAGTACAGACAGCAGCAGAGGTAGTGTCAAAAAAGGCCCTCGCATCTCGCTCCGGGTAACAGATACTCTCACCGCAGCGTATTCACTCCTTCTCCTCCCCGTCCCTACTACATTTCCATCCACCTCATCCCCTCCCTCCCCCTCTTTTCCCACTTCCCCACAAGCAAAGCCCAAACAACAGCAACATCACCGGGACTTATCCAACACAACAACCCGCGTCGCAATCCTCAACATGGCCTCCCCCCTCTCCCCTGGCGGCGGCTTCCTCAACGGTGCCGCGGGCCAAGTACAGGAGGAAGCGGCGCTGTGTGCGCGCACCACGCTTTTTCCGTCGTTGCGGGATGCGTTTTATAGGCTGCCGGAGCTGGGGGTGGTTTGGACGAGGGATGTGCTTGTTTTTCGGGGGAATACGAGGAACACGCATGGGAAGGGGGGTGGGAAGGGGAAAGCGGGGTTAGAAGAAGAGGACATGGAAGAAGAAGGTGAGGAGGAAGAGGGTAAAGAAGATAAAGAAAACGAGGATAACGACGACGCCGAGATGCCCCTCCTCCCCAAGCCCCGCCGCTGGTTCCTCGACGTCGCCACCGCCGCCATGCTGCGGCACCCGGACATCGAAGTCGATCCCGTCTCGGGGTACGCGCAATACACCGCCGCCGCTGACAGAGAGCTGGCCATCCGCAAGATGCGCGCCGTGATGCGGGTTTTTGTTTCCAGGGGGGCAAAAAGGATAGTGCTGGGGGCGTGGGGGTGCGGGGTTTATGGGAATCCTGTTGGTGAGGTTGCGAGGGCGTGGAGGAGGGTACTTTTGCCTGGTGGTGGGCGCAGCAAAGACAAAGACAAGGACGAAGACAAAGACGAGGACGAGGATGGGTCGGAGAAGGTGAGAGGGAAGGGGGGCAAAGTAGGGAAAGGGAAGAATAGCGAAAATAACAAGAAACGAAAACCTGGAAACATAGACTCGTGGGACCAGATCGAAGAAATCGTCTTCGCGATCAAGGACCCGGGCATGGCTCGCGCGTTTGCGACGGCGTTTGGAGAAGGTCTGATATACGAAGGCGACGGTGCCGAAGAAGATGGAGAAGAGGAGATGGTAGAAGAAGAAGAAGAAGAAGAAGATAAAGCAACAAAGGAACTTCTCGCCAAGATCCAAGAGCTACAAATTCGCGTTGAGCAGGCTCGGACACCGCAGCTTAGAGACGGGCTTAATGCCGTGTTGGTGGGGTTGAAGAGTCAGTTGCCTATGCCTGTGCCTGAGGCGAATAGAAGTAATGTTGGGGGATTATCGCCTAGTGAGGATCAAGGGGGTGAGGATACGGACGAAGACGAGGATGAGGATGAGGATGAGTATGAGGATGAGTATGAGGAAAATAATGCCGATTCAAGCGAAGAACTCGAAAAGGGGCAGAGTTAAAGTAGAGAGTTAAAAATTCATAAGAACATAGTTTCTTGCTAAAACTTATTTTCATAAGGTTTATTATTACATGTTCACGTGGCATAATGCTACATAATGGATGTCATCCCGTATCTATAGACCAATCATGCCCTGACGCCCACATCCCCCCGTTGAATATTCTTTTCCCTTTCATAGAAGCAACTCCAGAGGGTTCTCCACAACCTTCTTGAACTCCTTGATCCATTCAGCACCGACTGCTCCGTCCACTACCTTGTGGTCGAAGCTTGCCGTTACTGTGATCTGGTCATCCCACTCGACCGAAGTTCCATCCTCACCACCGGGAATGGCAACCTTCTTTGTGGTACCGACAGCCAGGATAGCAGCTTGAGGGGGGTTGATGATGGCGGTGAAGTTGTCGACGGCGGCGTTCATGCCCATGTTGGAGATGGAGATAGTGCCGCCCTGGTACTCCTCAGGCTTGAGCTTGTTCTCACGAGCCTTCTTGGCTAACTCCTTAACCTTGGCAGAGATGGATTCTAGACCGCGACCCTCGACGCCAGTGACAATAGGAGTGATAAGACCGTTAGGGGTAGCCACGGCGACCGAGACGTCAACGTTGTTGAATTGACGGATCGCGTCTCCAGTCCATGCCGAGTTGGCAGCCGGGACCTTCTTGGAAGCAGCAGCGATAGCCTTGATCAGGAAGTCATTGACCGACAGCTTGTACTTGCCCTCAGAAGAGCTGTTCAAAGCTTGACGGAGCTTTAGTAGCTTGGTAACGGAGAGTTGGCTGGTGACGAAGAAGTGGGGGTTCTCCTTGACAGACTCTTGCAGGCGTTTGGCAATGGTCTTGCGCATGTTGGAAAGAGGGGTATCCTCATAAGAGGCGGCAGAGGCAGCGGAGGATCCGGAGGTCGAGACGGCGTTCTTCACATCATCCTCGGTGATCTTTCCACCGGGACCGGTACCCTTGAGGCTAGAAATTACGACACCCTTCTCCCGAGCCAGTCGCTTGGCTGCTGCTGTCATGTTGGGCTCTCGGTCAAGTGCGGTTTCGAGTTTTCCTTCGGACGACGAGTACTGTTCCGGTTCTGGGGCGGGCGTAGGAGCGGGAGCGGATTTGGAATCAGATGGGGCATCCGACTTCTTCTCCTCAGATCCAGGAGGTGCGGTATCACCACCAGCATCGGCGAGAGTGAAGGATTGGAAGGCAGAGACATCGGTGCCTTCTTCGACGAGTACGGCGATGGGCTAGGAGGATCCTGTCAGCATTACGGAGTTTTGGTTGGGGAAAGGTAACAAGAGTGGGAAAAAAGTCACGCACATTGCCAACAGAGACGTCCTTCTCGCCAGCATCTTTTAGGATCTTGGCGATAACACCTTCTTCTTGAAATTCGAAGTCCATTTGAGCCTTATCCGTCTCAATCTCGACTAGGACCTCACCGGGGGCGATGGTGTCTCCGACCTTCTTTTGCCAAGCACCGATATTACCAGCTGTCATGGTGGGCGACAGCGCGGGCATCTTGACAAGCGTATGCGGGGGAAACGAGGCATAGTATCTGGCCAGAGGCATAAAACCTGATCGGAGAGCTGAGGATCGGAGAAGGCCTTGCCTTCTTAACACGGCGCCGAACATGATTGTGGTTTTGGTGGTAGAAGAAAATAGCTCTCCGGCTCCGGAAGGAAAAGAAGAAGAGGGAAAAATAGCTATAAAATAAGAAAGTCCGCCGGGCAAACTAACAAGATGGTTGGCGAAGAAGGGAAAGGACGGGTCGCAATATTACAGAGCAGACAAGTTGCCAGCACCTGAAATGAATTGACCGAGTCCAATTGAGTTGAGGAGGTAAGGGGGGGGATTGTGAGGATTAGAGGACGGCGCGACACGATTGATGATGTGAGGAAAATTAAAAATTAAAAAAAAAAAAAAAAAAAGATTCCAAAAAGTTGAGTTCAGTGATTAATTGATTGGTGGCGGGTTATTTTCGTGACAGGGGGGTTCCTTCTCAGCAAAGTGCTAACCTACTGTAAGCTAGTTGTTGTAAGCCTTGCCCCAAAATTTTCTAGGGACGTTGAGAGAAGCTCCGAGCCGCCGACGTATTGTACACTAGTACCTCAACTCTTCTAGGAAGATGCGCGATATCTGGTAATTACCCTATGTAGGTAGCGCAGAGGCATGTAACTATGTGGTTTTGAGGGAAGCACGTGCATGCGGGTAGAGCTATCGCAGGTGCGAAGTATAGAAAAAAGGAGATAAATAAATAGCTAGCCATGCAACACACAAAACAATGTTGTTATTTAATTCACCTTTCACTGACTTACACACATACCTAGTAGTAAGTAGATGTATGTACTACTAGTAGTAGTTACTCAATTAACTTGAAGATACCATATTGAAGGCTTATCGGAATTGGTAGGAACAGTATCAATGGGTCTCCCCAATGAAATCTGTCGTGCGCTCCATCTTTGATTGGTTGGAATTGTTTAAGCTACAACAACATGGAGCCAGATAGACAGCTACTACCATTGTTAGAATATAAATATGTGTCGTTAGCCATATGTAATTTATACTACTAGTAGTACTAGATAAAATATCTTTGTAAGTCAGTTCCAATTTTACTCAAGATATGTATACGTAAATGAAGGAACAGAGCAATACCTACAACGGCATGAAATTCATTTCATTTCATGATATAAACGACTTGGAAGAAAGTTAATTAAGGGCTGAAGCAACTTCTATGTAGGCTACCTCTAGGGTTGTTAGTGAAATAGCACTGAGTTAACATCAAAAGACTGCAAGGTTGAATTGAATTGAATTAAGGTGGCAGCTGTGCCCTGTGCCCACTGCCCATGACATCCATGATGTATCCATATAATTTAGCGTGGCTTTAGGTATCAGCCCGGGTTTGGTTTATCCGCCATTGACCTTTTGGTGCACCCCTCGAAGTAACCATGAAACCCCCTTGTCGCCCTTGTTGCCCTTGAATTGTCTCGACGTGCATCATTTACATAAACAATTAAACGCACTAACTACCTAGTACTGGGTACCTACTAGGACCAGTCTACCACCAGATAGTTATGTACCTACGTAAGTACCTAGTATAGTGGATCTAAACCCTTTTTCGCGGAACGTTGCCAGCTTGGCCAGACCAAAGTTTCCAATCATTGATACTTGCATACCTACATTCATTACTTACCTACATTTATACATACCGTTGACCTATACAACACATTTGCGCGCCGTCTTCTCTCTTGATGATAGAAGCGAGATACTTGGAATCTTTTGTTCCATCACCGATAGAGAAACACGTTGCGACATTCAAAAACTACATTATTCGAGTCGCAAAAGTAGAATTCCTACATCACATGAAAAGGACAGACTACCGTCACCTTTAACGTTAACGAAACCGAAACGGATACATATATCCATTATTTGTAGTCGCAAACTTGACTTACCTCGTCCTACTTCTTCCTCAAGTTCACGTTTATACACGAATCCGACCTCTCCGATTTCTATTACTCGACAAACCTCCTCTTCCACGAATGGCACCTGTTGCTTCTCCTTAAGTCCGGCGCACCATGACTTCCTTGGTCTTTGTGGTGTCCTCTCTTGAGGCCATCGCCGCATCTAAAGAAGCCCAGAGAAACAAACAGCTTGCCGAGCTTACTGAGAATGCCCTCAAGGCCATCAAAGAAGGCGGTACTGAGCTACCCGACCCCAAAGTCGTATTTGCGCCCTTGCAACTAGCTACCAAGACCGGAACCAGCCAATTAATCAACATTGCCCTCGACTGCATACAGAAGCTCACATCCTCGTCGTATTTCTCTGTGAATGTGAACACAAGCAATGCCCAAGAGGATGGTGCCGAACAAGCTCCTATAATAGATCGTGCCATCGACACCATATGCGACTGCTTTCAAGGCGAGACTACACCGGTTGATGTTCAGCGACATATCGTCCAGGCCCTGCTATCTGCCGTGCTAAATGACAAAATCGTCGTTCATGGCGCTGGCCTGCTCAAAGCCGTGCGCCAAGTTTACAATGTCTTCCTCCTTTCCAAAAGCGCCGAAAACCAACAAGCCGCCCAAGGGACTCTAACCCAAATGGTTGGCATGGTGTTTGAGCGCGTTAAGCAGAGGTTGCAGATGAAGGAGTCTCGCGTTAGCTTAGGAAAACTGAAGCATAGCTCTAGCAATGTTACCTTCGACCAAGCAGAATCTGTCGTGAACGGCAATGATGTTAGCGCTGAGCATGAAGATGACGAGGAGACCCCAGACGACATGACCACCAACTCGCTCCCAGAGCTTGCGCGTACAGAGTCATCCAGCGAGGCCGGTGTGAAACTGACCTTGAAAGATCTTGAGCATCGAAAAAGCTTTGATGATTCGAACTTGGGTGATGGGCCAACCATGGTCACACAACTAAAGGCACCTAAAACTCCCACAAGGAGGGTATCGGAACAAGCCCAAAGCGATTCGACCCACGAAGCCGACGAAGCCGAAATGCTCGACGCCGAGGATGAAGTCTACATTCGAGATGCTTATTTAGTTTTCCGATCGTTCTGCAACTTGTCAACCAAGGTCCTTCCTCCCGATCAACTTTACGATGCTCGTGGACAGCATATGCGATCCAAGCTCATCTCTCTCCACCTCATCCGCACTCTTTTAAATAACCACATACTCGTCTTTACGTCACCTCTGTGTACAATTACTAATACAAAGAGCAATGAGTCGACTGGATTTCTCCAGGCTATTAAATTCTACTTGTGTCTTAGCATCACAAGAAACGGGGCAAGCTCCGTGGACAAGGTGTTTGAAGTGTGCTGTGAAATATTCTGGTTAATGTTTAAATTCATGCGAGCTCCATTCAAGGTAAGATAGGCCCTGGTCCCGATGAAGAAGAGCTTTGCCTTTCTCTAACATGTTGATTACTATAGAAAGAGATTGAGGTGTTCCTTAACGAAATCTATCTCGCACTTCTAGCCAGACGGACCGCACCACCCTCCCAGAAGCTTTATTTCATCAATATTCTGACCAGATTCTGTGGTGATCCTCGTGGGCTAGTGGAGACATATCTCAACTACGATTGCGATTCTCATGTTGATAACATCTTCCAGACCGTCATTGAAGATCTGTCAAAGCTCGCTATAAGCCCTGTGTCAGTCACGGCAGCTCAAGAACAACTATACGAGGAGAAGACTTCGAATCCGCACCACGGAGCAGATTGGCAATTAAAGGGCATGCTACCACCGCCCTTGAATGTGAGAGATATCATGCCTCCGAATGAGCCGGAGCCAGAGATCCCTCGTGAATACGTAATCAAGAGGGCGGCTTTAGACTCACTTGTCGAGGCTTTAAGGTCACTTGTAAATTGGTCCGTCATTGGACGTCCAGATGCCAACGGCGCACCACGTGACAATGATGTTCGGGCTTCCGCCGACGATATTCGAGAGTCCATTGACCCATCTGCTACCGATAGTACCTCTCGCTTTGAAACGCCGTTACCCCCGTCTACCCCCGTCGTGGACGATGATCCGGACCAACTAGAGAAAGAAAAGGCTCGAAAGACTGCCCTAGCCAACGCCATCCGCCAGTTCAACTTCAAGCCAAAGAAGGGCATCAAACTTCTTCTCCAAGAAGGCTTTATACCAAGTGATACCCCTGAGGACATAGCCAAGTTCCTAATCTCGGATGATCGATTAGACAAGGCACAAATCGGCGAATATCTTGGTGAAGGAGATGCAAAGAACATCGAGACCATGCATGCTTTCGTTGATACGATGGATTTTGCTAAGAGGCGGTTTGTCGATGCTCTTCGACAATTTCTCCAATCTTTCCGTCTTCCTGGCGAAGCTCAGAAGATTGATCGATTTATGCTCAAATTTGCGAATCGATATGTGATGGGCAACCCGAACGCCTTCGCCAATGCCGACACAGCTTACGTCCTGGCCTATTCCGTCATTTTACTCAACACGGATCTCCACAGCACCAAGATCGCCAGACGCATGACGAAAGAAGATTTTATCAAGAACAATAGAGGCATAAACGACAACGCTGATTTACCGGATGATTATCTCATTGGTATTTATGACGAGATCGCGGGCAATGAGATTGTTCTCAAGAGTGAACGAGAGGCTGCTGCCGCGGCAGGAAATCTGCCGGCGCAATCATCAGGTTTTGCTGCTGGACTTGGACAAGCTCTTTCAAATGTCGGTAGGGATTTGCAGCGAGAGGCGTATGTGCAACAATCTGAGGAGATTTCACTTCGCTCGGAGCAGCTCTTCAAGAATCTGTTCAAGAATCAGCGCAAGAATGCCGCGAAGGCGGGTATCAAGTTCATCCCAGCTACCTCTTTCAAGCATGTCGGGCCCATGTTTGACGTCACCTGGATGTCGTTCTTTTCCGCTTTCTCGAGTCAAATGCAGAAGGCGCAAAACTTGGAAGTGAACAAGTTATGCTTGGAAGGGATGAAACAAGCCATCAAGATCGCTTGCCTGTTTGATTTGGCAACTCCACGGGAGGCATTCATGTCTGCCCTGAAGAACACCACCAACTTGAACAACCCCCAACAGATTCTCGCCAAGAATGTTGAGGCCCTGCGAGTTATCCTAGAGCTCGGCCAGACGGAGGGCAACTACTTGAAAGAGTCGTGGAAGGACATTCTAATGTGCATAAGTCAACTTGATCGACTGCAACTTATCACTGGTGGTGTTGACGAAGGGGCCATTCCCGATGTGTCCAAAGCACGGTTCCTACCACCCGAGAGGAGTGGTACAAGTGACTCTCGCAGGTCGACTGTTTCCACACGACGACGGAACCGGTCGAATCCGGGCTCGAGGGGCTTCTCTATGGAGATTGCTCTCGAAAGCAGATCTGAAGAAGTCATCAAGAGCGTTGATCGTATCTTTAGCAACACGGCAAATCTTAGTGGCGAAGCCATTGTACACTTTGCCAAAGCTTTGACCGAGGTGAGCTGGGACGAGATCAAAGTGTCGGGTTCCAATGACTCTCCTCGTACGTACAGCTTGCAGAAGATTGTCGAGATCAGTTATTACAATATGACTCGTGTCCGGTTTGAATGGAGTAGCATATGGGCAGTCTTGGGAGAGCATTTCAACAAAGTAGGATGCCACAACAACACAGCGATTGTGTATTTTGCCCTTGACTCGCTACGGCAGCTGTCGATGCGCTTCATGGAGCTTGAGGAACTTCCTGGTTTCAAGTTCCAGAAGGACTTCTTGAAGCCCTTTGAGCACGTCATTGCCAACTCAAACAACTTGACCGTCAAGGATATGGCCTTGCGGTGTCTAGTTCAGATGATTCAGGCCCGGGGCGAGAACATTCGTTCTGGCTGGAGGACCATGTTTGGCGTCTTCACGGTGGCGGCCCGGGACCCCAACGAGACCATTGTGAACTTGGCATACGAAAACGTCACGCTAGTATATAAAACACGCTTCGGTGTTGTTATTTCGCAAGGTGCATTTACAGATCTGATAGTCTGTCTTACCGAATTCTCGAAGAATATCAAGTTCCAGAAGAAGAGCCTGCAGGCGATGGAGACTCTCAAGTCGATAATACCGAAAATGCTGAAGACTCCGGAATGCCCCCTGTCGCAGAAATCCAAGCTTAAGCCAACAACCAATGGCTCGGATAGCCTAAACAAGTCAACCGACACTCTGCCCAGACAACAGAGCGGCACATCCATCGAAGAGGGTTTCTGGTTTCCCATCCTGTTCGCATTTCACGATGTCTTGATGACAGGGGAAGATTTGGAAGTTCGTTCTAACGCCCTAAACTATTTCTTTGAAGCCCTGTTGAAATATGGCGGTGACTTCCAGGCTGATTTCTGGGATATCTTATGGAGACAACAGCTCTATCCCATCTTCATGGTCCTGCGCTCGAGGCCGGAAATGACAAATGCTCTGAACCACGAGGAGCTGTCTGTGTGGCTTTCCACCACCATGATTCAAGCCCTCCGCAACATGATCATACTCTTCACCCACTATTTTGATGCCCTCGAATATATGCTTGATCGCTTCCTCGAGTTGTTAACGCTATGCATATGCCAGGAAAACGATACGATCGCCAGGATTGGCAGCAACTGCTTACAACAACTAATTTTACAGAATGTGACCAAATTCGGAGATGACCATTGGACTCAGGTCGTCGGAGCATTCTGCGAACTATTCGAGAGGACGACGGCTAAGCAACTCTTTTCGGCTACAACTATAGTTACGCCCTCCGCATTGTCACCGCCCCCAGATGGTCTAGGATTTGAAGTACCCCTCACGCCCACAGGTACAGGTGACACCCAGGCCGAGGAGAATTCTCTGAAGATAAACAGCAGCACCGACAGAAATAGCATTTCATCAGGCGCTGACTTTATCTCCGCCGCTAGTCATCAAACTCTCAACCCAGATGAGCCCTTGCGTTCGCCCACGAATGGCACCCCTGGCGGTCGTCTGGAGGATTATAAACCTGCTTCATCACTTCAACAACAGCCCGTGGTAGTGACGGCAGCTCGACGGCGCTTCTTCAACCGTATCATTTCCCGATGCGTTCTACAGCTTCTCATGATCGAGACGGTTAACGAGCTCTTTTCCAATGATACTGTCTACTCTCAGATTCCATCCAAGGAACTGTTACGCCTCATGAAACTGCTTAAGAAATCCTTCAACTTCGCCAGGGCGTTCAACGAGGATAAGGACCTGCGCATGCGCTTGTGGCGAGAGGGGTTCATGAAGCAACCGCCTAACCTCCTTAAGCAAGAGAGCGGTTCCGCCGCTACCTACATACAAATTCTATTTCGGATGTTCGCCGACACATCGCCGTCTCGCGCCGAGAGCCGACCCGAAGTCGAGAAAGCCCTGGTCCCTCTCTGCAAGGACATCATCAAGGGATATCTCGCGCTCGAGGAAGAGTCGCAGCAACGTAACATGGTGGCGTGGCGTCCCGTCGTCGTCGACGTGCTGGAGGGATATTCGACGTGGCCGGAGAAAGAGTTTGGCGAACACATGGAAGGCTTCTATCCGCTGGTCGTGGAGCTGCTCGGCAAAGAGCTTAGCCCGGATTTACGGGGCGCCTTGCTTGCGGTTCTCAGGAGGGTCGGTGAGGTCGGGCTGGGTATCGAGGGTATGTCGAATGGCCGCCGCGAGAGCGTTTCTGGGCCGGCTGGTGTGGCTGGTGGTGGCATACCTACCGGGGCTGGAGCTGGGAATGGGGCTGCGGCGCTAGATCCTGAAGTGGAAGTTGGCGAACTCGGAATGGGGGCAATGAAAGCATGATGATTGAGGCCGTGGATGATGGATGATGGATGGGTTGATTTAAGTGGGGGGTAATTACGAAGTTTGATTGAGAGAGAATCATATGGTTTATGGTGTAAGGTTTATACATACTCCTCGCGTACTCCTCGCGTACCTACCTACACACCTTAGGTTGGTAGGTAGGCGACTTTGTTGCTAAAGAAAAGGAAAAAAGGGTAGATGGAAAGCGAAAGCTAAATTCTTGTTTGTTTTGCTTGCTTATTGGTCTGTCTGTTGTTGTTGTTGTTGTTGTTGTTGTTGTTGTTGTTGTTGTTGTTGTTGTTGTTGCGCACACATATGTTGATTTGTTATTCGTTATTTGGTATTTATTATCATAAATAACCTTGGACGGAGAGAAGGACAATGGCATGGCATGGCATGGCTTTTAAAATCCGGTCGCGCGACTTCTAGAGAAGGAGAGGAAGAGAGAAAGATGGGGGAGATAGGGGGGGCAGGAAGGGGAGAGGGAGAGATACAAACGTTGGCCACAGGTATGTACTGTATGTATGTATGTACTTGGGTGTTTGGAAGGTGGCGAAGTCTATGAATCAATACCTACATCAATCAATCAATGAAGTCTAGTTCGTGTTCGCTTGCAATTGTTCTGTGTGGATGTGTATGATAGATATATGAGCTGCTACTACTACTACTACTATTGCTGCTGTTGCTCTCACAATGCCCCTATATCTTCCATGCATACTAAGGTGCCTGCCTGCCTGCCTGCTTAGACTAACTAGTACCTAGGTTAGGTACGTAATCGAGTACACATAGACGATGAAACATAAAGCTGATAAGGGGCGAATTAGGGGTTACCCATGTGATTGTGCGCTTTTGCAATCGGGAAGTATGTTGCGTTTTCATTCCAATAGGTCAATTCCAACACCCCCTTTTCTTATGTAAGGTCTCCGCGGCCGTGGATGTTATTGGCTGGGTAGGGAAAGTTGAGGATGTGATGGGATGACGGAACTGGAAGTGTTCTAGAAAGCTTCCATTCGTTCAGAGACCGATGCTTTTCCTCTCTTAGGCTTTCTATCTACCTATCTACCTAGGTTAGATAAGTGTATCAGTTCGGTGACACTATCCCCTTACGACGACACAGTTGATACCGCGTAGCTTACCTGGCCCTTTTTTGTAGACAATAATAAGGCAGGGAAGTCAAGATGATTACGTGAGAGTACCGTAGTTTTGCATATCTCACCCGACCGACAGCTAAACCCTTATTGTATGGGTAGGCACGCTTCTGCGATCTCTATAGCATGCCACCTTGATGCCGGTTACGAAACTGCCGAGATCGATATTGCGTGCCTACTTACATTATTGGACGAATGCTGTTCGCTGCCTACAGGCATTTTTGTGCTGTCTATCCGTTCCCCTTTCGTAACGACTCTGCTCTATCTCATCCTGGATATGCAGGTATCAGAAGACGTTCTGAAGATCAACGGAGGGCCAGGGGTTGAATAAATAACCCCGATTCAGCTGAATCCGACGACAGTTGTATACAAACTACACGCGGGAAAAATGAAGAGAGCCTTCGACGTCGATCGTTCCCTAGAGAATATGCGAATTTGAGCCTCAACTTAAATACACTCCTACTCGTCCCACCCCCCCCCCCCCCCCCCTAAAGAGTAACTCCTTACATTGGCATGCGTGAGGTTGGAATCCCTCAGCTATTACTACCGTGGTACCAGCGACAAACCAACAGCACCATCGAAGAAAGTCTATCAGGGTGGTAGGTAGTAGACCAATCCAACCTAGTGTACCTAGGTACCTAGCACATCGAATAGAATATCCACCCCCTTTCTCATGTAAAAGATGGTCGGCAGACCCAGAAGCAACCGCTGCACATTTTGCAAAGTGCGCGGGACCAAGGCAAGAGAAAAATCTCCCTAGGTATATAACTTTCTTATCTTCCTTCATCCCACCTTTCTCAAAGAAAGAAGAAAAATAAACTATCGCACATCATCATCATCATCACCACCCTCCAGCAGCAATGGCGATAAGGCCATCTCACCGCCTGTGATACCTGACACACCGATTATGCTCGACGCGAGAGAATACCACCCCACTACCGGCCCCGGAACATTCCACCGCATGCGCGCACCCGTGGCTCTAGACTCGTCGGTCTCAAGCACGGGGGCTTGCCGCCCTCTCCCTCACCTACCCCACCCCTTCCCCAACATAAACCCCGTCCCCTCCCTCCTAGCCGCCCGGTTCATACCCTGCCTAAAAGCCGCATCCGGCACAGGCAACGACCTCCTTGCCCTCGCCATCGAGTTCACCGCCGCGCCAGCCTTCTCCTACGAGTCCGCCGCCTGTCCCCCTCCCCCCCCATCACGCTCATCCAGCGTTAGGAGTCTGGGGGGGAGATGGAGGTTTTTAGACGCCCGCCACTGATAGGAAGGAAGGTGGGTGGGTGGGTGGAGGCGACGACGATGGCGAATGTGAGGGGGGTAGGTATACTAGGTGTGTGGGATTTGCGAGGACGCAGGATATGAGGGTGTCGGTGTTGATGTTGATGTTGATGTTGATGTTGATTGTCAAGCACGTTTATCAAATAGTATAATATAATATAATATAATATATAGTTAATCTTATGATTCCTTAGTAAATAAAGTAAGCTAACCTAGGAGCTTACACTGGTCTTGGGGTATTTATTAGTATTACAGGCGATAAAACTACCCTATGTACAATACAATACTCTCAGCACGCGAATTATAGACTGTTTAATTACAAGATGTTTGCGTAAAGGAATACTGAACGTGACATTAGACTGAATATGTACACTACGGCCATGGAGCTCACGTGACAATGATATATCAGCAGTGCTGGAAAAAATGCCCCTGAATCAAGGTGTAATAAATCTCATTGCTTTCAAACCTGAATACTCCTTCATCGCTATTGCAAGTCTAGGACCTGCTCAACAAACCGACCGAGGTCTTCTGCTTCCTCGGGCACCGTACGCTCAGGTAGACTCCGAATCGCTGCCTTCAAGACATTATCTTGCTCGGTAGCTTCTCTCACAAGTTGCTTTAGGGTGTCGATCTTTTGGGCGGAGAACGGGGTGATGCGTTGTATACTTAGGAGAGCTTCGAAGAAGTCGATGAGGTTGAGGTGCATTAACAGGTCCTCCTTGTCGATCATATGCAAAGCAGCGAAGTGCAGCAGTCCAGCATTACTATTTATGTTGGCGTACCTCGCGTTCAGGTCGGTAAAGTCGGTCGAGGTGAGGGTGCGGAAATTCAAGGCAGACAGACGTGGCAAGACACGAAGTAGACGACCCTGGGCAAGAGATCGTTGTTGGATGTCAAGGGGCCCATGTTGAGAGCAGAGTGACAATATCACATCGTATATGTCGTGATCATGGAAAATCCTGCGCCACATCAAGCCTTGGCCGATGGGCTTCTTGACAACGATCTCAGTGCCGTTCACCGACAAGCCATCTGGCGGCCGAGAGTCGGAATCAACATCCAAAAGATCGCCCAACACTTTGCCGCCCTTCTCACCGACTTCAACCTGCGGGGCACTCAACCACTGGGTCAAGAAGTTGGTGATAACGTTGTTCATCATAGCCAAGATAGCAGCGTCGGCAGGTGAGTTGGCGGCCTTTTCAAGAACGGTCATGGCAAGGATGTTGGCGGAAGGAGCAGTCGATCTCAAGGCTTGGATGATGGCATCCTCAGAAGCTAGGGATAGCACTTGAGTGAAGTTTACGGGACCGAGAAGCTTGATGGCTAAGCTACACAGATGGGCCGGGTCTTGCTCGTACTTTTTTAGAATGTCGGTGATCTTGGGTAGCAGACGTGGAATTAGAGGCGGAGTGTTAGCCTCTATTGGTATGATTAGTATATATGTCAAGCATATGCATCAAATGTGTCCTAATAAGTGACCCTACCAGTCAGCTGAAGCTCTACATCGTCGAATAACTTCGGGTTTGGCGGTAGGCTTGGATCTTCCAATAGCTCATCCAGATGTTTGTCTAGCTCTTCGACGCCAGTGACGGGGGTAGTATCGGTATCCATCTTGACAGCAACCCGACTCATTGTCGGTACGATGATTAAGTAGTTGCCAATTCAGAATAAAACGAGTTTATTCTTGTGGTTTGAAATAGGGGGAAAGCAGTAAAGTTTTGTAATAGTAAGGTAGGCAGACAAACGACGCGTACTAAGGGGGAATAAGTTTAAATACTAGGTACTAAGGTACCTATGGATGTTACAGTAGGAGAAATAAAGATGACTGACACTGAACGGGAAAGGAGCTATAGTGGGGAACTGTCGACCTGGCAGCGTCTCTCTTTACCTCTTTACACCTCTTGGTGGGGCCAACCAGCGGCTGAAGCTATTGTGCCGCACCGTGGCAGCAACGGCAGCAGCGCGGGGTAATTTGTGGCACAGCTTGTGAGAACTGACATGGGTACCTTGTCTAGACCACCCGAGGACCTTAAAAGCCCCCACACCAAGTCCCCGCTAAAAAAAATAGTGCAGAGCAGAACAGAAAGTTTGAGTTCGCGATTTCGATTTTATTTTTACGCTTCTGATTCATCTGATTCATCTGGTTCTTACATTCGCATTCCCAAATAATCATCAATATAGCAGTACAATTCTTCATTACTCAGCTTTATGGATCAATAGATCAATTCTTAACAATTCTTAACAATTTCATGACTACTCTACTTTATATTTAAATAGGGATTTTATTAAATAACAGCCCATGCCACAACATGTCAGCTCGCGGCGGTAGAGGAGGAGGGCGCGGCGGCCGCGGCGGCTTCGGAGCTGCTCGCAAAGCCGCACCTGCGGGCATGCCCGGTGCCGACGACCCAACATTGCTGTTCAATGAGAAGCCTCAGGATACATATCCGGTATGTCACCGTACCCTTGACCCCTCCAGCCATAAATACAGATATTAACCATGTGCAACAGAAAACCTACAACCCGCCCATCGCCCCTCCCCTCGACACCCCCGAAGCCCGCTCCGTCGCCTCCTTCGTCTCCTTCCGCAACGCCTTCCACACCACCCCCTTCTACACGCACCGCCACCTAACCAACACCTCCGCCGACGACGACAGCTCCTCCCAGCCCACCGCCCCGCCCCGCCGCACCTACGGCCAAGTCCAGCTCAACGCCCGCTTCGCCGTCAAGAACCGCGCCACCCTCGACCCCTTCCAGGGCGTGCCCATGTACAGCCACCGCTTCCAGGACGAGTACCGCACCCTGCCCGACCTGAAAGCGCGCGCCGCCCCCTACATCAAGGCGCTGTTCCCGGAGGAGCTCTGGGGCACGCTCGACGGCCGGGACGCTGGCGGGCCTAAGGGCGGATACGAGGGCAGCAAGCCCATGAAGTCCCGCGGCGCCGCGGGGAGTCTAAAGCGCAAAGCTGCCGCAACACTAGACCGCGATACCTACAACGACGAAGACATCGACGGCGACGACGCCGACGACGACGAAACCCAGCACACGAACCTCCTCCGCCGGCGCCGGCAAGGCGAGACCGAAGAGCAGCGCAAGGCGCGCATCGAGCTCGCGATCAAGGAGGGCGAGAACGAGGACGAGAACAAGGAAGGGGGAGGCGGCGGGGGAGGGGGGGACGTCGAGCTAGACGAGGAAGAGGAGGAGATGCTGTCGCAGGAAGACGACGACTACGGCGATGACGAGGGCGGCGACTACGATGCCGAGGCGTACTTTGAGAACGGTGACGCGGATGATATGGGAGATGACGAGGGGGTCGGGGAGAGTGCTATGGACTTTTGATTCTCTGGTTCCGGTCACTTGAACAACCAATCTGCTGGCACGGAAGTTTTGAAGAATTAAAAAAAACGCATCTGTACGAAAATAAAGAAAAAAGAAAAAGGGGGGGGGTTCTGTAACTACCTATGTAGTATTGCATCTGATTGGGCGTTTATGAGAAAAAAAGGAGAGAGAGAGAGAGAGGGAAAAACTTGTAACCTACCTATAGAACAGAACTCGATGGCTACCTACACTACCTACACTACCTACCTACCTACCATTCCCGAACCATAGCAGAGAGGGTGTGTGTGGTAGGTATTGTACACAACATACATAATCTGCCAAATACCTACCTAGTATGATACCAACGCTGATTTATTAAACTGTCTAACTCAACCTAAGAAATTACCTAATTTCTATTTTTCTTCCTTATCAAGTACGCACGCACGCTTGCTTGGCTGGCTTCGGGCCCATTTTGATTTTGCCAATGATTCGATCATCTTGGATACCTAGGTAGGTATTGGTATTGGTACCTACCGCACACTCACGCCTCACGCCACGACATTTCATAGCGTACATACCGCTCAACAATGTAGGTAGCCAACTACCCTACCCTAACCTAGATACTACTACACGACGCATCATCCATATCATCTAATGGAAAATGGAAAATGGAAATTGAAAAAACCACAGCCGCTGAATAATCACAGCTACCTAGTTACCTACCTACCTAAGTATCTAGGTTAGGTTAATAGCTGCTACTAATACTACCGCTACTACGAAGCCCCCCCCCCTCCCCCCTATTACCCCTTCCTACTACCTTATTACCATGCTCGCTGTTATGTAGAAAATGCTGAATTAATTAATTGATCGATGATCCACGGTTTCAAATGCTGGACTCAGAACTGAGGATCCCCAGAATCGAGAATCGGAAATATCCCCATTGTCCACCTACTTGCCTCCCCCCCTCAACCATGCGTTGTAGTCATAGTAACCACCCAGCTCGTGTCTGTCTGTCTGTCTGTCTGTCTACCCTAATAATCTGAGTTGAGACCATTCACGCCTAGCCTAGTCTAGTACCCGACTAAGCAACATGAATTAAAGGTAATCAACTGTTACCCAGGACAACCACCTGGTCGGTTACCTAGGTAACTAGGTACTCGCATCTCATCACACCCTTCGTAGCTTCGTCACTATAGTAACAGAAGACACTCACTACCGACCTGGTATTAGAGTTCCTGATTAAAAGTAGCTACGCATAGCTTCCTGGTACCCTTGGCCGCCCTTGAGGTCATGTTCAAAGTTTTGCTGAACATTGAGCACCTCGCGGATGTGGCGCATGCTAAGGGGCTCACCCTTGTTGACGGCAAGGGCTTGCGCAGTGCCAATTGTGTTCTTGATCTGACGACCATTGAGATTGTGTCGAGCTAGGCTCGTGTAGTCGGCTTCGTCAAACGGCATGAGATCGACTCCTGCCACTGCTCGCGCACGCTCGATGAAGATCTTAAAGATTGCCTTCTTGGCCTTCATGTCCAAATCATCGTATCTCAGTGCTATATGAATCCGCGATTGGAACGCGTCATCAAATGTCTGGTAAATCATGTGTTAGCTGATTAAGTACCTTTTTCTGGCGAGCATGCCGCAGAATCACAGTGAAATAAGAATTACAGTGAAATATGAATCAGATATGGAGTAGAAAGAGTGAAACGTACCTGCACGCGGTTGGTGGTCAGAAATAAGATGCCTTGGAAGTACTCCAATTGGCGCAAGAATATGCTGACAAGAGCATTTCTGTGTATGTCATGCATGTTTCGTTTCTCCAAGAAGACATCTGCCTCGTCCAGTAGCAAGATAGCACCCCAAGCATGGCAAATGTCCAATATCTTCTGCAATTCTGCCTCGAGGTAACGTGAGTCCGTTCCTAGGTCACCTGCCGAAACCATGTACAGCGGGCATTTGAGGAGCTCGCTTATGCCCTCTGCCGTAAGTGTTTTGCCGGTACCTGGCGGACCATGCAGGACAGCCACAAGCCCTTTGCCCTTGCCTTGGATGACATCGTCCACACTCTCGGCAGGGTGATACTTGTGTGATTCGACAAGAGCCTTGATTATTATATGTCAGTCACTATTATCTAAGAATCCATACAGGTGAGCACTTACCTTAACGATCTCTTTGGTGTTGGGTTGTAAGACCAACGATTCATAGGCATGCTCGTTCCATGAAATCTCCTTAATGCCAGACACGGTTAACTCAAGCCAAAGCTTCTCGGCAAAAGCGAACCCCAAGACGACCGGCGAGGCAATCAGGTATTCCTCGTCGGTGAAGACCGGGGTAGTATGTTTATCGCCTTCGGTATCGTTCTCTGATCCATCTTTGGCTGCTTCACCTTTACCTTCATCTTTAGCCGGAACTTGGGCGAGGCTTTCCTTTGGAACATCGGTCTCGATAGAATCCTTGGCAACACGTTCAGTTCGAATATTGCCCTTGCTGTCTTTGTATACCTTGATCACAAACTCCACTTTGCTGGTTTCATCACCTTCTCCCTGAATTTGCTCCAGTGTAGTGACATCACCACCACCGTCATCATCTGAATCGCAGCAGCCCTCGCATTCTTCGTCGCTGTCCTCGTCATCGCTTAGCACGTCGTGATCTTTAGGACGTACGTGGGAAACGGGATAGTTGGGGTTAATGCGACGGTGGATAGCTGGATCTACCATGATCCGGCCATTGACATTGACCTTGATTATGACCTTCTTTTTCTTATAATAGGCCATGCCTTGGTGGCTTTTGTAGTGCATGCCACCAAGACTAACAAATTTCTTGCCACGCTCGATGAGGTCTTTGCGTAGTTGGGCCTCGTTCTTGTGGTATTTGAGCGGATAGCATCCGAGGCTAGTGATCTTGCGAGCTCCTCGGAAATCAGGTATCTCCTCGGATATGCCACCGAATCCGAATTGCTTGCCGTCGTACTCGAGGTACTATAGTATTGTATTAATGACGTGGCTTCCACTCAAGATTTTCATAGTAGAAACTGACCTTTCCTTCAATATGATAGAAATCTCCTCTCATTATGGAGCAATGGCTCTCGGCTACATCTACCTTGAAGACACGAGGCTGGTCAACGCAGCCGTACGTGGTAGTGTACGCAAGAGTGTTGGGCTTCCACAAAGCCCACAACAGATCGAATGTGATCAGCCCGTTCTCCAGCATGGGATACAAGCTAGTAAACATGTCAATAATTTATTCATTCCTGCAACCTCATCAGATCGTTAAGAACTTACCTCTTCTTCGTTTCTGCGTGATCTGTATCTAGATACTTGATAAGAACTCGGAGATGGCGCCGCTTCTCGTCGATCCACTTTTGTACCTTCTTGCGTTCTTTCCGCGAGTCTCCTTCCGGCTCAAGCTCCTTGAGGTTGTTCATATAGTCTCGCATATCCTCGAGATATCTAAGTTCTCTTGATTAGCAGCAGGCCAGGGGAAAGGGAGGTATAGTTGTGAGAGACTAACAGAAATAACATCTTCGGATCCACCTTAGGGGTCTCATCGACTAGGCTAACGCCTTTGACATTACCAATAACGTCTTGAAGCGCCTCCCGAAGTTCTTTACTCTTGATGTCAATGATGGTGGCCTTGTACTTTCCCTCCCAGTCGAAAGTTCTTCGCACGTGGAAGATGTATTCGTCATATTGAGAGTTGTTAATGGTTTCAGCCGTATCCTGAAGTTTGTAGTTATGGATCTGTGAATCCCAAACTTGATCCACGCGCTTGAACTCTAGGCGACGTGCCTTGGCGTTTCGTCCGCTCTTAAGCTTGGAAGACTTCTTGTAACTGCCCCGGCCAATGCCATTATCTATTTCGAGGTCATCAGGACAAAATCGGGTTGTACGGTGATTCAGGTAACTTACCACGACCAACACGGAAACTCTTGTATTTTGATCCTAGCGGATCACTGTAGAGGTTGCCTAGATTTCCACCCAAATTGGCGTAGTGGTGTAAGCCCCCCGTGGATGTCAGACCACCTGCTCCAAGAGGGCTTTGATTGAAACCAGAAGCGTTAAGTCCAGATTGGCCACCGGATAGACCAAAAGCGGCGATCTGACGTTGCATTTGTTGCATTTGTAGTCGTACCTGTGTGAGTTCTTGCTCTAGGGATGCTTTGCTAGATTTCTTTCTATCGTCACCTCCACCGACGTCCTCGTCATCGAAATCTGAGCTGCCATCGGTCGCGATGTTTGAATCACTACTATCAACTTCGGTGTCTCTGGCTTTTGGCATTCCACTTTTTCTTGTTGTCTTAGACGACTTGGATGGCTTCTTCTTTGATTTTCGGGGATCTTGACGCTTTCTCTGTGATTGCTTTTTCTTCAAGTTCTCCTCCGCCTCGGATTCGGCCTCGGACTCGGTGAGCTCATATGAGGATGAGAAGGTAGTCTCATCCTCACTACTAGCAGAAGAGCTCTCTTCAACGCGAGATGCCTTCTTAGACTTACTGGACTTGACCTTCTTGGACTTCTTCCCGGTCTTGCTGTCAGTCTTCTTATCACCCTTTGATCCCTTGGATTTCTTGCTAGAGTTAGGAGATACCGCTACCGAGACATCCTCGGCTGGATGAGATTTGGACTCATCACCGGTCGGGACACTGCCCTCGCAGCGATCAGAGAGAAGGCCCGTCTTGACTTCTTGAGGATCCATATCGAGTAGTTGCAAGCCTCCTATTCGAGGCAATTGATAGCTCTTTGTGCCGACGGAGTAACAACTGGTGTTGGAAATTAAATTTCCCAGAATCTAGACGTGAGTGACTAAAAAGGCTGAATAAATTTGGTCGATTATCACTAATTAGACCCCGAGATTATAAGGCGGGGAAAGTCCAGCTACTATTCGTTATGTTGTGGACGAAATCAAACTGTTTGATACTCGTGGATGCTCATGACTGTATCGACTATTGTTACCAAAACACACTGTATTAGTAAGAGAATACGAGGTAAGTCGTTATCTTCTCGTCGACCAAGAGGGAGGAAAAGAAGGACAAAAATGAAGGAAAAAAAAAACAAAAGGACAAAGCAATTATATGTGCGAGCAATCAGTTGTGTAATTCAAAGTGCCAAATGTTAAAACTTCTTTGGACAGTGATATTTCTCGCAGCATCGAGTCTCAATTCGGCTGCCACGCTGTACACGGCAATACAAGTACCCGTCCTTCACCCAATGGCATCGATATTCTTAGATAAGATGAGGCACTAAGAGACACAACGTACCTACACCGGTATATGAATGGTTTATTAGGGTTGCAAAGTGAAGTGGCATAGGATTGTGAGATGTTCGGTGGAAGGTATGGCGTCGAAGGGTGAAAGCGAGAGCGAGAACGGGAACGGAAGCTGGGACAGAAAGTTCCAAGAGAAGGGGAGGATATGGTATACTTATGTAGTTTAACACTTCACGAACTTACATGTGAGAATGATACGCCTATGAACCATACCTGGTATCGATGCTATGAGGTCTTCGGGGTAGCTAAAGACAATATACCGAAGAGTGGATGGGGACTGGGTGGTAGGAGACCTTGGACTGCCTGAAATGTTGGTGCAAAGTGAAGAGATTACACGAACTTGTGGGTTCTTGGGATGACGATGCAGAAGATATGCAAGTAAGGTTGAAGTTCAGTGCTGAATATTTGCACGCCAGACAATTCAGACCATTGAACTGCTAGTACCTAGTAGTACCTAGTATTATGTGGGCAGTACATGCAAGTAACTTGAACTGATGCATATTATGTAGAGCAGAGACAGCAGGGACGGCAGGTACACATGCATATTGTATAAGGCAAGAACATTTATGACTCAAAAGCAGCTTGTACTGTAACCTATCCAGCGGTACCTACTTCCTTGATAGTATTCGAATTTCTTAGAGCCGCAGATGCAAGAAGAAAGCAGGGGGGGGGATCAGTGTTTTCCAGGTTACACATGCACTTCCACATCCATGGATGTACTTGTACTGTATGTAACTTGCAAACAATGCCCAGGTGATGATGTTTAGGAAACTTTAGGTATCGTACCTACCTACCTAGGTAGCAGTGCAGCCCTGAGTCCAGGTGGTCTAGGCCTTCACAACCAACCCCACCATGCCCCGTCATGTCTGTGTCTAGGTATAACACAACTCCAGCTGTATCCATATACTATTCTATCTATTACTGTTCAAAGCCAATATCGTTCTTCACTCCTACTACATGAAGATACCTACGTGAGTCAACCGATATCTCCAGTTAGGAATGGATCTGCAAGCAAGGTTGGCTAAGGCTGACTCCCTCTTCTCGTGCATTGCCTAGAGGTAGGCATCTGGGCTAATTAACAACGCATACTTACATATATCTAACCTGGGTAGGTATATCACGCTTAATACGACTGTGCATATTACCATCTCTGAATCCGCGTGGGAGTCGAGTAATAGTGAAGAAAAAAGGGCCGCCGCCGTGGTTGCGTGCCTGCGTGGTAGTCGCACATACCTCTAATACTTCATCCGCCTTATCAGCATACCGCTCCTATTCCGAGCAGCTTGAGCGGCTCGTTCTAATCCATGCTTACCTGTCTACTCTAATTCGGCTCGTGATACTGCCACCTGACCAAAGCCTGGAGACCTGGCTGGGCCAATACCGATAGCGGCTTTAGAGATGAAAGCCCATGGATCATGCATATGATAGGTATGATATGATCGACGGGTAGCCTAGGCGGCGATTCGCCGAGTTCTTGTGTGACGCAAAAAATAATTTGATGTGCTTCGCCGCTGGTAGCCTAGTTAACATCAAGTATTATGTATGACTATTGTTAGTTGGCTACGCGGGTATGCCGATCGATCTTGGTAATGCAGCCCCCAATGGCGGAAGCATGATGACTGCTTACCTTCTAGGCAGGTATCCCGCCCCCAATGCCCGCTTCGAGAAGGGAAGAAAAAAACATGGAGAGAGGACGAGGCTGAAAGCATACCCTAGGTATTCTATTATGAGTTAAAAACGACCTCGGACTGGTTGCATATTTGCCAGGATAATTCATGTCCGGTTTTTTACCGGTTCCAAAAATCCTACCCCCTTTTTTTCGGAAGGCACATTTTATTTACGTGGCGGCGTAATTCCTCACCGAAGACAAGTCAACCATCCGTCCTCTTTTTCTCCACGGCAAGACCTGTGTACGACTGAGTGGTGGAAGAAATTATTCTTTTGTGATCCCACGCTTTGTAACGGGACACATGGATACCTCCCCAGTAGGTTAGTACATACGATGCCACCTCTGGCAAAATCAACATGACGGCCTCGGCCGTTCATACAGCGTCTGCAGCGCTACACCGACATTGCCATCCAATCAATCTGCATGTTCCTCAGAAAGCCTCACCTCAACAAATAGACGCAACTCGGTGGAAATTTACGGGATTGCAAAAGATGTACTCATGCTTGGCGGAATTAGACGTATGCACATAAGCACCTGACAGAGAGATAGACAGAAGTCACAGATCGTCGGAGAAGCAGCACCTTCGGAACGCACACTTGACGGTCGATTGTCGGTCTGAGGGATTTTCAATATAATATCTGCCACTAGATAGATAAGTAGGCATTCCCCAGACTGGGGCGCAGGCTGCACCCGGTTATCGCACCGGGACTTTGCATGGAGGCAGACAACGCCATCGGCTAGGGTTGGACGACGATTTCGATTTAGATGGTGCAACTCGTCACCCGACAGGTCATCTCGGAGCCCATAATCCGGGAGATGGGGAATTCTGCTGGTCGCACGGGACAGGAGAATTGTTTGCATGCAGCGAGTTTCCGCGGCTTTGGAGACTGTGGGGGGGTCCTGGGTAAGTCAATACAGATGATGTTGATTCATTGTTGCTAATAATAATCCAGTAGATGGATAGACGCGCGCGAGGGAGAGACAAGCATAGATAGATATAAAAAGAGAATGGGTTGAGACGTCAAGAAGGACGAGAAGGTTGTAAACACAATTCGACCAAATCCTACTCAGACACCCCGAAACACATACCTACTCAACTCACATGTAGGAATATGTGACTCCTTTTCTGTGTCTACTGACTTGAGGAAGAGCTTCGTGATACTAAAATGACTAAAATAAAAAAGGAATAGTTCAGGTCCTCGGGATTGTTTATTCACAGTCGTTGATAAAGAGGCAGATAGTTGGTGCCATGCCACCAGGATATGATACTAACGGAAACGAGCATGGGCTTAATCGGGTTGATCAACCTCTATGTAGGTAGATCTAGGTCAGTAGCGGGGTTTTGAATCAATGTGGAGTCGTCCACTGTTAACGTCATTCCGCGTGGGAAAGATTGCCATTCGCCAACCAGAGCTCGTCGCAAACCAACGACTCCAGATAAAAAACAAAAAAAAACAAGGAACCGAGTACGAAGCTTCGTATCTACTGGGTACTAGGTAGTTGATAGCGGGATCGAGCTAACACTTTCTTTTCTTTTTCTTTTTCTCCCTTCAGCTGTTTTCCACAGTTTAGCAATGGCGGATTTTACTTGGATTTGAACATCTTCTATGTGAATGTATTCAATCTCAATGTTTGTACTACTAGTACTATAGCAAGATACAATCATTTGTAGCTCTTTGTCCTTCCGTGCCCCACCATTCGCTCGTTGATTCGAATCAACCTACACTTTCCTGTGGCTGCCTCCGGAAGTTAGGTATCAACGACTGAGACTACTAGATATATCGAGAGTATCAATCGCGGCTGCTTGGTCACTTAAGGCAAGCATGGGAAGGTTTCAATGGAGGCAGTTACTTGGATGGGATCGCCATCCCACTCATAATCATCACGACTGGTCAATCCATGAATACCGCCGCCGACGTAAGTTCACCATTGACTAGAAAACCAATCCCCTCTATATACACAAAAACTTCCCTTGACTTGATCAATCATGAACTTCCTCACTAACAGACGCCGAACCATCGGCTACGAAGTCCTCCCTGTCCACCAAAACGAGTCGCTCGAATCTGCCATTCCCGCTCCTGACGTCACCAAAGTCGCTCTTCGTCTACGATACTTGATCGAACAATGTGTGCCGTGCGAGCTCGAAGAAGAGCAGATCACCAAGTCCCATAGCCGGGTTATCACTAAAAATGTTATCAAGGCAGCGAAGGAGGCCGGTGGTCCCGAGCATCAATCATGTGTTGTTTTCTGTCTGCTAGTCGTCAAACGCTGGTTTAAGCATCAAGCTATTATCGAGCTCTGGGATGCATCGCTACATGAAGTCCGCGCCACCGCCTGCGAGGTTATTGCTAAGGGCATCATCGAGGCTGAGGAGGATATGCCCTATCTTCTGCAGTCGGTCCTCCTAAAGCGATATTCCATCATGGTCGATGGCGAAGCTACCCCTCCTGTCAATGCCATCGAAAAGGCTGTTGACCTGCATGCTCTGCGTGTAATAGGTTCTTCCGGTTACCAGAAATGCATCAACTACCTCTGGAAAGGTTGGCTAGTTCAGGACGAGAACGATCCGGCTAGTTTCATCGACTACAAGGGCCGTGATAACATCACTTTCCTGTCCCATCTAGACCCAGACCGCATGCGAGCTCCCATCTACCAAAATGCCTTCCAGCTGATCATGTCCATCATCTATCTAGCTCTTTACACTGGTGCTATCAACACCATTAATCCAGATGGTGATCTTGACTTTGTGGAAATCCTTCTCTACGTCTTTACGTTCGGCTTCCTTTTTGATGAGCTCACAAAGTTCTGGAAGGCCGGATACCATATCTTGAGCTTCTGGAATGCATTTAACAACATTCTCTATGCGCTTTTGATGGTTTCGCTTGCCATGCGCCTGGTCGCCTTCAGTCATTCTCCAGAAGATAGCGATAACCGCCAGAAATTCAACCAGCTATCGTACAACTTCCTCGCGTTCACGGCACCTATGTTCTGGGCCCGTCTGCTACTTTATATGGACTCGTTCCGCTTCTTTGGCGCGATGCTTGTCGTACTTAAAGTGATGATGAAGGAGAGCATCATTTTCTTTGCTCTACTGATCGTCGTCATCGTGGGTTTCCTCCAGGCTTTTATCGGAATGGACCATGCCGACGATATGGCTGGTGAAGATACTATCTTCATCCTACAAGCCATGGCCAACGCCATCATGCAGAGCCCGGACTTTAGTGGCTTTGAGCGGTTTAGTCCACCATTCGGGATCATTTTATACTATCTGTTTACTTTTGTGGTCATGGTACGTCAATTCTGGAATTTTTAACATCCCATGTAAGATTCAGCACTTGCTAACACATAGACTGCTTCTAGGTTATCCTCCTGAACGTGCTCATTGCACTCTACAACAGCGCCTACGAGGATATATACGAAAATGCCGACGACGAGTTCCTCGCGCTGTTCTCCCAAAAGACCATGCAGTTCGTCCGCGCCCCCGACGAAAACGTCTTCATCGCCCCCTTCAACCTCATCGAGGTGTTCCTCCTTATCATCCCCTTCGAATGGTGGATGCCCAAGCAGCACTACGAACGGCTCAACGACATCGTCATGGGCATCATCTACTTCCCCCTCCTCTTCTGCTCCGCCCTCTTCGAGGTCAAGGTCGCCAAGGAGATCCGCTCCAACCGCCGCAGAGGCGAGGACGACGACGACACGGAGGAGGAGTGGGAGCAGATGGCCGCCGACGTCGACTTCGAGGCCGAGGGCTGGGCCAAGAAGGTCGCCGACACCAGGCCCAACATCGAGGACGACCCCGCCACCGTCGAGGTCAGGTCCCTCAGGGGCGAGGTCGAGCAGCTGAAGTTTCTGATCGAGAAGCTGAGCAAGGGGCTCAGTGACAAGGAGGCGGAGAAGGAGAGTTTGCTGTGAGATGAGATTGGATTAGTATTAGTATTAATTTTGGGGCCGAGATGGGCTAGTTACTGTAAGCATCTTATCGGTATTGTTAACGGGTGTGTGGCCAGCCTTGCATTGTATCGGAGTTGGAATTGGTGATTGGTGGGTGGGGTGGGGTTGCTGATTCAGGGGTAATGGTGATGGCCACACATGCATGTCCTATTCACCCCCTACCTAGGTAGCCACCTATTCACCATGATATGATATACTTAGGTTACTTATAACAAACTTGGAATACCACTATAAACTATCCCATGCTTCATACTTTTCTTTCATATTTGCTGTGCATATAGTTAACTTGAGACTTCACCTGGATTTGCGTATTTTGGTTTTGTGATGGGTATTCCAATGATATTCCAATGACATTCCAACTATTCTACTGATCCCAATACAACCTCGGAAACCTCTTTCCAAAGCCCCATCTCTCCTCTCGATACCTAGGTACCTGTGTAAAGTTCCTCCGCGGGCCGTATCCTAGGTAACCAAGATGTAAACATGCGAAAACCCAGAATCCCCTCAGCAAGTGAGTATGTCGTCAATTGGGTATTTTGAAAAGGTGAAAATAAAAGAAAAATCAAATCAAATGAATATGCAAAACCCGTTATTCTCCTCGTTTCCTCCTTGTTCCCTCTTTTACTCCCCATTTCCTCGTTCCCTCCTTATATCCTCCTCATGTCCTCCACTCACATCAACGCCGACCTGAATGCCCACCTCAATTATTCATCCCCCTCATCCCGTTCTTCACTTCACCCCAACCATCGCCTACTCCCTACTCCCTACTCCCCGCTCGCCAGCTCTGATCATCGAGCTCCGAGCCCTCGACACCCCCCAAACCCTAACTCTCCGCCCCCTTAAAAAACCCATGCACCCGATGCCGCCTCGGATTCAGCCTATTCTGCTCCAAGCAATCCTCACAGAGCAACAGCTGCGCCGCCTCCCTCTTCGTCAGCGTCGGCACCCGCTCCCCGTCCTCGTTCAGCCTCGTCGTCAGGTCCATGGCGAAGAGGCTGGGTGGGGAGGCCGAGGACGGGGACGTGACGGCGGTGGCGTTACAAGGGGGAGTTGGGAAGTGGAAGGGGGAGGATGGGCACGTGGGCGGGTGCGAAGCCCGCTGCAGCTTGCACCGGCACGTGCACATGCACCCCGTGTAGGTCTTCTCCATCTTGCCCCACAGGTGCACGTGCTCGCAGGTCAGGCAGAGGTCTGAGCCTGGCGAGACGAGGACGGCCGTGTTGGTCGACTGGGTGGCGATGGTAGCAGGGGTGCGGCGGTTGTGGTGGTGGTCGAGGCAGTCGTCCCTCACGATGTTGCATTTATGATCATGATGCTTCATCTTGATATCCGAGGGGGGGGTTGTGAGTGAACGCCGACTATTGATGCTGATAGTCGTGTTCTCAGGGGTGCAAGGGGTGATAGGGGGGGAAGAGCTAGGGGTCCCGGGTGTACGTGGGGTTGAAGGGGTCGTTGGCGATGTAGGCGTAAGGGGAGAGCCGTAGTCGTGGTAAATGGGCTCTTGGGCGTAGTTGGGGCACTTGCAGTATTTGCAAGCGCAACGCCGGCGTGGTTGGGGCGAGGAGTTGGTGCTGCTGGTGATAGCACCGGTGAGGTCGGACATGACAATGTGGTCAGACATGTCGTCAGTTGATATGTCTGACTGTTGACTATGTGTTGTCAGTGTTGTATATAACAAAGTTGAATAGATAGATGGTGTCGTCAAGTATCGTGAAGTGTCGTTGGTTGGTGTTGTTGGTGTTGTGTTGTGTGGTGTTGGATATGATAGAAGAGAGAGAGAGGTGTTGTGGGATGTGGACAGAGGATTAAGAAGTCGAGGGATATCTTGCTTACTGATTGTAATAAGAATGAGCCTCCTTTCTACCTTCCTTTTCTTTTCTGTGGTCAAAGAATGTAGTTTCCGTATCCTAAAAGGGGGAGTGGCGAATGCTCGACAATGATGGTGTTCGTTGTTTGGGTCACTGGGAATAGGACAAAGGGAATTGAAAGAGGAAGGAGGAAGAAGAAAGGGGACTCGAGCTTTATATACTATGTATCATATTAGTGCTTATTGTCTCTATTTAGAAAGGGTCATTGTCGAGCAACACATTTTGACCCCTTTAAGTTTAAGCCGTAGATGGTTGAGAATTAAGTTCACCAGGTGTTGACATGAGTTTGTTTACTTTCTGGCCGGCCGTAACTGAATAGTTCGTTAGGTTTACGTAGCGCTTATGGTATGGAAGTTATCTCCGTGCCCTCTTCGCTCTTTTCAAGATATTCCACGAAGTGTAATAATGAGTGATGCTAGGTGTAGGTTAGGTTTTCGACGGTCAGGTGCAGATCGCCTCCTTTCTGTATAGATTACCTTCCTTCCATATAGATTAGCTTTGGGAATAGTTGGTAACAGGGGCCTACCCTTTTTAATAGACGGTCTATTATATCTTAATCCTATTCTTTCTAACATTTTCCTGTCTCTTTACCTAGGCAAGCACTATAGTCGAATGGCTAAATTACACCTCGCAGAGTCGTAATCTAAAACTATCCCAATACTTTTAATACCTAGGGTAGTTATTTCTTATAGTTGAAGAGCTTGAGGTTACGCTTACCTACCTTAATACATAAAGTTGAAGGATTACACCGTGAGATAAGCCGCCTCGCTATATTAAGCCTTCCTAAAACTCAAAAGATACCACTACCCAAATAATTAAGATGTAATGAGTCGTCTAATAAAGTAAGCAGGGAGCTATTGCCAGCTGTTCCAAAGACCAATCCACACGGAAAGGAGGTAATCTACACCTAGCATCACTCTTCATAATGGAGGAACAGATCCTGTCAAGGGGACCAAATAGGGGTTCACATGGAACAGAGGCAACTTACGTGTATATATATGTAGCTTCCATAGTCTCCAGGAGATGTTAGATATTACTGCGTAAGAGCGATGTTGTTCTGCGCCGTGACAGGTCCCAACGGGGACACTGACATCCCCTTTAGAAGATTGTATCGTCGTTTTAGGAGATGAGCTGCCTCGAATACCAGAGCCAACTGTATTGCGCCTCCCTAGTACTCGAAGGTCACGGCTAACTATGGTGACGGGACTGGAAAGTAATGATTGGTTTAAATAAATTTTCGTACATACTCCTATAATTATTCGGCAACGAGATACGATATAGCTTCATCCCTGATTATGTACAAAATCCGTTAAGTAAAACAAGCGGGGACCTATTGCCAACTATTCCAAAAGCCAATCTACATCTAAATCTAACATCACTCATAATAATATTCGTCGATATAAATGCTTAACTTCGTGTATTGTATATTAATTGCATTAGTATATACGCTCATCCCACACATCGCTTCTTCCACCCCCCAAGTCCAGACCCGGGGTGTCAGAAAATGCCTGTAGGATAATACCATCCTGTTACCGTAAAGATTCATACATGTGCCCATACCCATGCCCATGCCCATGCCCATGCCCATAGCCATAGCCAGCAGCATTCAAATCTTCTGCGCCCACTCGCTGCGCGCCACCCAGCTCCTGAGCCTCTTGCCGTAGATGTAGCTCGGGATCGTCAGCAGGCTGATGCCCAGATTGAGGCACGCGATGCCGATGAACAAGGTCCTCGGGCCGAACTTGGTGAGCAGCCCGTTTCCGATGGTTGACGCGACGAAGCTGAGGAGCGCCTTGACGAAGTTGATGGTCACGAAGGCCTGGTTGGCGTCCTTGGTGTGGCAGTCGATGACGTAGCTGATGGCGGCCTGCGAGGCGAAGGGCACGGCGATCGAGTGCATCGTGATCCAGACCAGGCACCAGGTCAGGGACAGGCCCTCGGATGCGGCGATGCCGAAGCCGATGAAGCCGGCGGTGGAGAGGGGGATGGCGATGATCATGAGGACGAGGCGGAACTCGGGCTCGAAGATGCCGTTGTTGCGCTTCGCCATCCACACGGGGATCGCGTCGGCCATCCAGCCGGAGAGCGGCGAGAAGATGAGCGCGCCGATGGCCAGCGGGATGTTGGTCAGTCCGATCTGCGCCGGGGTGAGGTTGTACGGCGCCGCGGAGAACACGTTGACGGACAGGACGCCGATCATGAGCAGCCAGCAGAAGAAGGAGGCGTACACGAGGGTCGAGAAGATGACGGCCGGGAACAGGATCAGGGGGAACGGCTTCACGACGCCCTTCCAGAAGGACTCGCTGGACAGCCGGCCGCGGTACAGGCGCAGCTGGCTCTTGTACGTCTCGACGGTCTCCTTGGCCGCGACGTCGCCCTTCAGATCCTCCGAGAACGATTCGCTCGAGCCGGGGCGGACTTCCTTGGACGACGTGTCGTCGCGGGGCCCGCTGTAAGTCGTCTCGACGACGACAAAGTAGATAAACGGCAGGATGATGCAGAAGATCAGGGCGCTGACGGCAAAGGTGCCCGGGATTCCCATGGACTCGATGATGAAGCCGGAGATGATCTGGCCCAGTAGAACGCCAGTTCCCAGCATCACACCCCACAGGGAGAGGCGGAATCCTCGCTGGTGGACGAAGAAGAGATCGGATACTGTGGATGTTACTAGAGTCTCCAATGGCGCGGACGCGATACCCTGGAAGATTCGCATGGCGGCCAAGGAAGCGAAAGACTATCACACTTATGTAAGCAAACTAGAAGAATAAAAAAAAAAGGGGGGTGACGACGTAAACTGACAGTAGCGAATGTGCCCCAAATGTTCGATGCCAACAACATCATGGTCGAGATGACGAAGAACGGCCTCTTGCCCCAGATATTGGCGCCGGATGCCGTAAAGAACGTTACAACACCGGTAAAGAGCAAGATGGATCCGACCATAAACGTAGCAGTGGTATCGGGGTCGACATTAAATTGCTGGCTGATGAGCACCAGGCCCGGGGAGATCATAGGACCAAGACTGAGCGCATTAGTGTTAACCATTCCATTTTAGTTACCCCTACTCTCCCGAAATCCACTTACGAAGTCGTGACGCCGGAGCTGAAGGCCAAGATCAACATAATCGCGTTCTTTCGCATGGGAGACCACTACGCCGTCCTATTAGTTTCAAAAACTTCTTCAACGTTCAAACAAACACAAAAGAACACGAACATTGAGCGGGTCATTCGGCGAGTTACTCGGCTGCGGCACCAGAATAACATCGCCATCTTTCTTCAAGTCGCTGGCGTTCCCCAACGCGGACGGGCCCTGCTCCTCTCCCAGCTTCGAGGTTCCTGGCGGCATGTCCAGATGCCTGTCTTCCAAAACCCAAATACCCATCTTGAAAAAAATATAAAAAAAAATAAGAAAAATATCCGAAAATAATAAGGAGGGACGGTATAATAGAAATCTCTATAAAACACAAAAAACCTCCAAAAAAAAATTAAAGGAGAGAAATAATAGAGAAAAAAAAAGCTGCCAGCAGCGACTTGGTCGGAAAGAGAAGAAAAAAAAATTGAAAGATGGACGAAAAGATGGCGAAGAAAAAAAAAGGAAAGGATAGGAAAAAAAAAAGCGAACAGACATACTTAACTTATCTCGAAGATCATAGCGAGGATCGACCCGCAAGGATGATGACTTTTACTATGGGTCAATTCCATCGTTAATCGTTCACGGCAGTTCGTTTGCGACTGATGAGAGAGAAAAAAAGTCCATCCATCGTCAGATGGGAAAGGCTTGGTCTGAGCATCAAGATTGTCGCAGGACCAGGGGGATGACAGATGGGATCCGCTTAGTTCATCCATCACGGACATTTATTTAGACTGCCGGGACGCCGAGCAATTCCCATGGGTAGAGTAGAATCAGTAGATAGATAGATACATACATACATAGCGGCATGGTAGTGAGTGAGTGAGTGGGCAGATGGGAAACGAAAGAAAGAAAGAAAAAGCCACACGTCCAGAAAACTAGCACGCGTGATCTTCAATTAGAGTGTTTCCGTCTTCTGTACACCACACTATCTCAGCCTCGAGGCGCGCCGGCGAGGACCCCCTGGAATTAGTTAGTGTAGTTAGTTACCTTACCGTACCGCACCGTACCTACCAAGCGCTGCCGATCCCCAAGGGCGATCAAACGGGCATGCCACCCCCGACATGGTCGAAAAACCGCCCGAGCTTAGTTATGCCGATCTGGGCCTGATGCAGCGCGGCAGTTGGCTGTTTCATCGTGGTTGGTTTTTCCCCACCGAAAGTGTCTCTTCACGCCGTATTACAACGTAAGAGTCTTGATAAAACGCCTTAGCAGAATCCCCTAACCTGCTGGATAACCTATTAACCTGGTTAGCATATGGATGCCGTATCTACATTACAAGGGGGACAATACACTAACTACATGGTAGCATCGTGGCTCGTGCCAATGCCAGGTACGATCTTTAACACCTCCCTACATACCTAAGCCAGGGCACGCACCGACCATGTATTGTATTTACCAATTTTGTTTTCCCATCGCCTTCTGAAAACATTCTGTGTTTGCGATCGGCTCCGCTGTCGTATGTCATTCACTCACTTGCTTACAAATTCGCTGAACAGATAACTATGTAGGTAGGTAGATGGGCTTGGTAGGTTTAGAAACATTTCCCATTTTCTCGTAAGATGTAAAAATAGTTTGAGCCACGTCGAAGGGGTTTGGACCGTGGGTAATTATTCCCTTTACTAATCCATATGAATACGACGGTTGTCGGCTATCGGCAACTCGATGCCATGGCTCTGAGGATATGCTGAACTTGGCCCCTGTTGATGGTAGATGAAGAAACTTGAAGATTCTAACTATGTAGTAACTATTCTTGAGAGTATAAAAGCAAAAGTTGGAAGAGTTAACCAGCTGTTAAATTACAAAATTGTATCCATTATCATATCAATTAGAAAGTCCTTTAATAACGAATAACCTCATAGTTAATAATATACAGCTGCATCACCATGAATCCGAATATCGAAAACAGAAGGTAAAAGAGAAACTATTCCCCCTTCGTCTTATCCTCTTGCGCCTCACTCGGCACTTGTTCCGGCTCTTTGTCCTTCAGTTCTCCACCCTGGTCCGCCTGTTCCGTTTTCGTCTCTCCATTTCCATTTGCATTTCCATTAACATTCGTATCTTTACTATCATTATCGCTAGCAGCATCATCGTTCTCATCTTCATACCATCCAGGGATGAGGTCGTTTGTGGCTTCGCCCTCGTCGTCAAAATCATAGCCCCACAATACCCGTTCAGCAGCCTCCTTCCCCACAACCGGCAGCCTCTTGACACCCCTTTCGCTAGCTTTCTGGGGTACGACTTTTGGGTCTAGTAGACCAACTTGCACGAGCACGCTAGCTTGATCCCAGTAGACGTGTTCATAATGCAAGCTCCCGCCGCGCAGAGTAACGATGCTCACCACGAGAATCTCGACCTTTTTGTTAGTTGGGGGCAATCCTGGGAGAATCCAGGGCATCTCTTGCGTGTGCTTGAAAGCGACGTGCAACTCATCGACGACGCGATCGGCACCAATAGTACGCGAAAGTAGGGTTAATTTTGTGGTAGCTGGGTTGCAACTGATGAATAACTCAGAGTAGAACCTGCGAAGCTCTTCAGCCCCGATACCGCCAGTCAATGTGGGAATGTAAGTAACATGGGGGCTCTTGTTGGCTCTATACGTAGACATGGTCTGCTGTAGATCTCTCGTATAAAATTTGCCTGTGAAGTTTTGATAGGGACTCAGTTATCTGACTAGCTGAGGTCCTGCGGGATGGGAACTTACCTTCAACATTCTTCTCGACTACCTTCTCCAGATCCACGTCTTTTCGGAAGGCCCTTCGAGCTTCAGCTAAACTCCTACTCCAAGCCAGCTCTGCACTGACGCGATTGAACACATCCAGATCGCGCTCCGCAAAACCAGGCGTAGCATCGTAGGTATAGCTCGGATAGCCCATCTGTAGCATACCGCCTACGCCCATACCTCGTTCAATGGTCCTCTTATCGACTCTCTTCTTCCCTTGAATTCCCACCAGCTGCGTTTGCTTTACGATGCCGACTTGCTCACCACTGCTCAGATGCACCAGTACGCGAACGCCGCCTGGGAACTTGGTACGCGGGTCTGGGATGCGCGTGGGATAGTAGGCGATGAGACAACCGAGTCGAAACTCGGGATTGTTGTCAGCAATGTGGAAATGTTCCAAGCAGACGCTCGCAGCATCGCCATAAGCTACATTCAGAGTCAGGACATGGTACATGAGAACCTGCATACCTGGCACCTACCTACCTGATATGTAGTAGGTAGATGTGTACTAGGCAGGTAGGATATTCAGGCGGCCGAGGTTGCAATCATACCAATGATGCCGTAAGTTTCGCAAGGTCCCCAGTTAGCCTTACTCAACGACTCTAGTCGCGATCGATACTCGTTGCCGCCGTTGCCCATGGAGATATACTCCACGTTGAAGCCCTCATCCCTCCACTCGCTCAAGGTCAGTAGGTCAAACTCATCACTCTCGGCTGTGATGTATAATTTTGGTGGCGACTGAGGGAAGTCACTAGATAGGAAGCCAGGGTCATTATGGTTGAGGCCACCACCGCTGGATGAGATGATGCCAATGTTGCCATTGCCGCGGTTTGGCATTGCTGCGTTGACGATGCCGGGAAGGTTTATTTCCATAACTGCGTATGGCAAGTGGAAAGAAGACTAGGTAGTTGTTTTTGGTTTGACTGATTTTGATTTATTTTACGGAATCAATCTATGTATTTACGAGTTGATTAACTCCTTCCTTGCCTTACATTATATCAGTCATCGGCAGTATCATTGGATAATTGGTCATATTATGCTCAAAACAAGGTTGAAGCTGTTAAAAAGCTCATATGATGTCAATGACGTCAACGGTGAAACCAGAAACTTGGACTGGCCTGCTCACATCCTTCCGTGTTCCTTCCGTGTTCCTTCCATGTTCCAATAAGAAGAGTTGATGACTTGGAGTAGTAATTGTTTGGAGATCATGTGCTTTTGATGCTATATTTACATATTCACATATGCACGTAATAGGTAGGTCTTGAGATCACACCGGAATAGTATAAAGTTGCAAGATTTCTACAGTCTGATTGGCTTGACAAATATGCACCTACGCTATAATAATTCACAACCTTTACCTAGTGAGCATGACAAGATTAACTCTAACTTCAAGCAAGGGGCATAAGTAAACCATGATAAACCATAAAATAGCACAGTGGCTTTGTTTAGCCTCTTTCTAGTACCCAGTCTCCTCCATTAAAAGAGAGGGAAGAGAGAATAGGGAAGTTTGTGGAGGCTGGAGGAGTGGAACTATGTAGGCTATAGTCCTCCAGTGCCAGACCCGGCGGGCAAAGGGTGACATGTGAGGATGCTGTCTTGATTACATAGGTATGTGTATATCAAGTGCCTTAGATATATACATGACTGTTACCGATTAGATGTAGCAGAGGGTTATGGAACAGTTGTTAGGTGCCTCTCATACAGTGATTTACTACCTAGGTACCTAACCTAGTTCTTTCCTTCGAGCCACTCTCCCTTCTGAGTGCCAGCATTTGAAGTTATAAGAAGCATGTACCGATTTGATGTGAGGTGTAAGTGATAAGTGCCTCATATATACGTGCAAAAGAAGAAGAAGAAGAAGAAACAAGGAAAATAAAATACGATTACTCAGTCCTCAGCAAACCGCCAGACAACCAAAGAAGCAATACAATCAACCGCTCCACTCTCATAATCATGGATCTCAACCTAATATAATCGAATGTCTAATATCAAACATAGGCAAAGATTTGCAATACCCAAGACGATCCGTCGATCGATTGACCGATCGACAGTCCCATTGATGTGCAGCTCTAATTATCTATCTACAATCCTCGGCCGAGATCTCACATGTGTGCCAAGGTTGCCTACATGTAGGTATGTATCTACACAAATACATTGAACACGCACACCTAACATCAATGATATAGGCACATAGTTACATGTAACTCAGAAATTCACCATCCACCCACTACTCACTACCCATACACAAGCACATACACAAGCAACACCTACATAGATAGATAGCAACCATCATCACATGTCCTCCCAAACTACCCAACCCGTGTAAGCAGCTGAAGCCAAGCCAAACCTCCGTAGCACAACGAGCAACCACCACAACATCCTACTCGTCTGTGTCCACCAGCCAAGAAAGAGGCCAAGAAAAAAAGAAAAAAAAGGGGGTTGTGGCGATGATGCCGTTCGAGCCGCCCTCTAGGTAATCAATCAGGCATTTTTAATGTCGTGCGAAGGAAAAAAAATTGAAGGAAAGGAAATCGGACGATACCTACACCGATTTGGTGTGCTGTGTTGTGTTGTGCTGGTGTACTGGTGGCACCGCACTGCACTGCACGGTCATTCATTCGGTGAAGGGAGATAGATAGATAGATAGATAGATAGATATATGAGATATATAAGAAGGAGGAGTCCTTGTGCCCTAGTGCCCTCAACCAATATACATAGGCTGGTCGGTAAGATCCATAAATAGGTATGTAGGCCAACCTAATTCTAGCCTACCTCTTATTCTCGTCTCTACACACATATATATATCACAAGCACAGGTCAAGCGACTAGACAGACAGGCAAGTACTCAAAATACTGACTCAGATATATGTTTTTCTCGTATCAAATCTACACCCCCCTTATCCCTCTTATGGACATCGTCACGTTCGATCATCAAGCAGGCGTAGCCAACATAAAATAACAGGACCACCTATCCTACTTCTCCAATCGCTAATCCATCCAAAATCACGGTTGTGTGGTATCAAACGAGTTTCCAACCCCCTTTATTCCTATTCCTCCCCCTTATTCATTTATTCAAAAAAAGCAGTACGTATTCAATCCATCAAAGTGTTTCATCCCCCACCAGCGCGCTCCCCAGCATCATCACCATCATCGTCCGCAAGCGACCTCCGCTCACGATTGCGATCCCTCAACCCTGCCATGATGATCCTGGCCGCCTTTTTCGCGTCCTTCTCCCTCTGCTTTATTTCGTTGCGTGCGCGCTCGTGCTCCGCCCAGCCGTTGCTGATCCAGTCCTACGGCGCATGGTGAGCGGTTCCCTTCTCGGGGTCGCCGTCGATGCTAGCGGACGCGTCGCGGTGTGCGTGGCCGTGGCCCGTCGCCTTGTCGATCGTCGCCTGATCGACGACCTCGGCGGCGTCGGCGTCGTGGCCCACGTCCATACTGCGGTTCAGGTGCTCGGGGCCGAGCAGCGTCAGCGCGATCACGTACACGTACACGCAGCCTAGGAAGATGCAGATGACGATGCCGTAGTTGTACCGCTTTACCTCGCCCTTGGGCTCGAGGGGGAAGCGCTCGCCGATGGTCGCCTCGATCGTGGAACTAGCGGACGAGACGAGGTTACCGAGTTGGTAACTGGTGCCGACGACGAAGGTTCGGAATGCGCCGGGGGACAGTTCCATCAAGTGGACGGGAATAACACCCCAGGCACCTTGGACGCAGAACTGCTCGAAAAAGGCGGCGGCGATGACGGCTTCGGTGCTGACGAATGTGTACGGGTAGAGTAGAGCTCCGCCGATGATGCACATCACGATGATGCTAAGACGACGACCGAAGACCTGAGAAGAGAAACCGACGATGGCACCACCGCTCATAGCGCCTAGGTTTGCCACGACTTGGGTGATGGTGACCTGGTTGGAGTTAAAGCTGTACTGGTTCCTCAACATGGTCGGGTACAAGTCCTGAGAACCGTGCGACATGAAGTTGAAGCCAGCCATGAGGAGAACCAAGTAGGTAAGCAGCATCCAGTGATGTTTGAGGGCAACCTTTCCTTCCGTCAAAAATGTCTTGCCGATGCTGCCGTTGGCTTTTCGCATCTCCTGGTGCTGGATGTACGTGTCGGTCTCGGGCAGGAATATACGCCAGATGATGAAGAGGACCGGGGGGCAAGCGCCGAACCAGAAAAGTGGTCGCCAGCCATGAGGTGTCGTGTCGACAAGACCACGAGCAAAAGCGGTAGCGAGGAGGTAACCGAAGGCGTAACCCTGCTGAAGGATTCCACTCATCAAACCTCTTGCCTCATTGGGCAGGTCTTCGAGAGCTGTTGCAGCGGCATTTCCATAGAGACCACCCATAGCAACTCCGAAGAGGGCTCGACAAGCTAGAAATTGACCATAAGTGTTACAGAAACCGGTTCCCTATAACCTCACGAGTTAGTCTCATGAACGTCGATACAAGAAAGCGAAGCTTTTTTGCCAATACTACGCCAAGTAGCGCTATGAGTGAGAGAATATTGGCATTATTCCGGGTCTGGGCAGCGGCACTTGACGAAGCAGTAGTTTCTAGGCGTTCTTGTGTGCGTGGATAGGGGCGTGGGGGAACCCGAAGATCACCACCACCAAAAAAAAAACAAACAAACAATAGAATGGATATGATTGGAATGGATGAGTTGTTACTTACCAATTCAAGTGCAATAAAAAGTATATTGTTTACGACAAAGGGCCATTTCCGACCGTACCGATCGGAAGCGATACCGAAGATGATGGAACCGACGGATCGGAACATTAGGACGAGCGTTATTCCCCAGGTAATGTCCGTGTTGGTCTTTCCAAATTCCTCAGATAGTTCATCAACGGTAAGCGACACGGTAAAGAAGTCAAAGGCGTCCCAAGTCTAGAAAAGTTTGTCAGCTATAAAAAATTCAACAGCAACGGATGAAACTGAAGATAGGTAAACGGGACTTACCCAGGCCCAAAATGCGACACCAAAGAAAGCCCATTGGCGGAGGGTTAACATTCGAATCAGGCGAATCGGGTTGGGGGCTTTGGTCATGGGAGGCTTCAGTGAAGTAATACGCGAAGCAAGATACTCTCTGGCGGTCATGCCATAATGCGGAGGGTGAATGTTAGAGTCGTCTATATCATAGGCGTTGTGTGGCGCGGATGCGCCATCCTTCTGAGTGGTTGTCGCCATTGTTCAACCCAGCTAGAAGATAACCAAGAAGGGTTTCTATAGCTGTCTGTCTATTTGTGTCTGTTGATATGTACCTACTAAGTAGGGTGAGGTATGGTATGGTGTTGCTAAACCAAAAGACCATACAAAGAAGACAAGAAGATAGGAATACGGGAGGAGCACGGCCGTATATAGTCGAGTCCGAGGGGCGTTGACCTTGAAAGAGAATACGACGACGCAACGATGAAAATAAGGATGGCGACGCAACAGGTTATTATAATGTGGTATGCCAACAGAAGGCTGGCCTGGTCATAAACCCCTACCCCGAATGTTACTAGGCGGTCTAGGAATATATCACTTCGGTGGTGCGGGGGGGAATAGAAGGGGAAAAAATGGAATGGAACGGTATCCCTGGATGGCTTACCAGGATCAAGCACGCTGTACTATATTATCATATGTACTAGGTATGTATGTATGCAAGGTCGTATCGTGATGATGATTGGAGAGCTGATAGTCATGAGAAGAGAGAAGAAAATGAAGATAAAGTAGAAGAAAGAAAGGGCAAATAAATTCCCGAGTGTACTACCACACGAGCCTTGTTAGCTTTGACAATGATGCTGATGATGATGCTGATGCTGCTGACGATGATGTACAATCTAACATGTGTACTTGATGTATTCAAGTTCAATGTTCTACAACAAAGTTTGGAGCTCAGGGATATGGCAAATCGTATCTACCTACATGTACACATACAGGCTATTACCATGCAGTGGCGTGCCCAGATGTACTGGGTAGGTATATGCCTAGGCGAGAAGTCAGCATGGACAAAAGGCAACTTTGAACGCACATGCCTCCAATTCAAACATGTACATACATATGCATGGATGTCATTGGATGTCATTGGATGCATCAATGATGGGTGCTCAGCTTTAGGTACAGGTACTGGGTATACATCCAAGTATCATGTGTATGCAAGCGGAATTAAGCCGTCAATCGGCTCCTTCTTACGGATTACGCCTCATACTATACACTAACCACGACAGCTACCAAATGACATACATACTATATTAAGTATAATCATACAAGGAATTGGAGAAATGGTTACAATCTTTTTTTTTTTTCTCGTCTTCAAGGTCCTCTTCCGTGTTGTTTACTCCAAATATCATGTGGATCATATCTTAAAGCAAGGGCTTTTGAGGCCTCAATGTATCCGTTTCGAATGGAGGAAGATGCTTACCTTTTACCATACCTTTACATCATATTAATCATTTTAGATCCCATGAACCCGTTGACGGCAGTCATTGACCTAGTCTGCCCAGCTTTGCCTAGAGTTGCCCAGCGTTCAATTGCTGTCCGGCTGTAAGGATATACCTACCTAGGTTAAGGACCCATAGATGATTAAGGATATTGGTGATCTAGTGACCGAAAGCACCCGAAATGGTGAGATTTGTATGTTCCAAGGTTAACTTTCAAGCCCTTCGTTAGCTCAAGTTGCTCAAGTGCTTTTAAGTTGTTGCCATCTTGGCTTACATACACTAGGTAGGTACCGACGTACTTATTCTTGGTCTTCTTGGCCAACCATTAAAAAAGAGAGAAAGAAAAAAAGGGCCGGTCAGTCATACTAAAATAGCGTCTTTTCCCCTCATCCCCTCATCCCCTCATTTCCCCCACGCCGGCTCGATTACGCTATACGGTTAGTCTATGGGGGAAACGTGGATATTCGTGTGGAGAGTCGTCTCTCTAACTTTTCTCCTCTTCTTTTTTCATCTTTTCGTCCTTTGGTACTACGGTCCCTACCTGCATACAATTAAAAAAAAAGAACCCTCAATTTGTCTACATACGTACAAGTTTGGTATAATTCTCCTTCGAAAAAACTTATTGAAACCAAAAAAAATCAAGAATGATATAAAGGACGCTATGCCGCGCTTTTGCATTGCCAAGGGTCTTGCCACAATGGAAGCTTTTTGCTAATTGCCAAAAGCCGGTGCTGTGCCGCCGCTTGGTTATAGACAGAGAGCTAATCAGATCGTACATAACTCACAGTTCCTTGGGGGCACTGGTAATGTTTGTGCCGTGCCTGATCCCCGAAGACAGCGAACTTTGCGAATTGGACTACTGCAACTCTAGTCTGTCTACGGCATAGTAGTGATGTAGAAGGCCAGGTTATCCCCCTTTGTCGCAGAGCCAAGAATATTCGAAGAAGCCCACTAGAATGAATTCAATTGGACCCGTTCCCATGTCGATTACTCAGAAATCCTCCTCAAAGTCAAGAAAGTCAAGAAAGTCAAGGAAATCGAGAACCTCGAGAACCTGCAAAGCGGTGCTGCAAAGCAACCTGTGCGGGTCTACCATCACCACATCATGAGAAACCAAGAAATCCATATTTCGCCTCTTACAAGACAGAATGAGACCTTTCCCACTTAAACATTGAATTGAGTGCAACGTGGGATAATTCGGATGTAACTCGAGATAAAATGGTCCCCTTGAGCCCTACGGAGTGTGGTCTGGACCGGTCTAAGACATGTGAGCGATTTCATACCTGGTCTAACCGCCGTATTTATTCGCAAAATCGCCAGTTTGCCAAGTTGCACCATCTCAAACATAACCTCACTTTGTTATATTTTGGTAGATCTCATATTCCCTTGCTGTCGTGCCCGCCACCCGCGAACCTGCACCACAAATAAGTCTCAGATAGTCTATGATAACATCGGATGTGGCCTCTAATGTTCTAGGTACAGTTTCTTATCTACCAGTGAATTGGCTAGAATTGTCATTTTCAAGACCCAATATCAAGATAAGAAAAGCAAAGTAAATGATTAGTCAACAAGGTCGACAATCTGCATGAAGATTCTAGCTTTCCTACATATTCACATACCTGTCGGAACATACCCGGAATTCTTTCGGTGCTTGTTCTACAGTCGGAGTTCGGGTATGGCTGTAAGTACCTATCGCGTTATGTATGTCACACGAGAATCTCCAGTACCTTTTTAAATCGGAAAGGGGACACATGCGTACTTCCATAGTCCACATACCCTCTATGTCGACTTCGACATCTCTACTTCGTATTTCTCGTTCATTTGCGGCGGTTTGGCCACGAATTCCAACGTTCATCTTCGCCGATGTTGCCTTCAAATTTCTGGACCGTGCAGCCAGCCCCTGGTTGTCTACCACGAGGGCAACATCGTCACCATCCATGATTTCCTGCTTCCTACCTTGTAATACATAGGTGGTTGGCGTACCTGATAACCTCGGTCTCGCATCGTAGATCGTTCTCGCCAATCCCGTCAAGATGTGCTGATTCTATGAAGAATATGTTCTCGTTAGAGGTGATGGCGAATGGTCTCCTCCTTCTCACGAGCTGCAAGAAGACAGGCTTGTCCGAGTTGTTCCGGTGCCATGGCCGCGTAATGACGGCAGCTAGTATTTATATCGGACTCATACAAGCTATCTTTACACTGTCAAGGATCTTCTACCGAGGGACTACATGGGGAGCTAGATAGCTTAGCGACAGCTTACATGACTCCGGGTAGATGTTGGAGATCTCCGCACAACGACGACGCTGATCTACGTCTTCTAGGTTCCGCCTCATCACATACACTACTCGTTCTCACCTACATAACCAGGGTTACTGCAGATCGGGGACGATACCCTGGGAAAGGCATGGTCCATCTCTCTTAATCTCTGGACAATCTTCTGCTCTAACACCACGATGCTCGATCCGCTTTAGTGCTTAGGGACTGCATGCACAGTCTAGTCCATATATATCGTCGCCGGCTTCTTCCTGCCTCTGGCGTTAGCTGAAAATTCGTGGGGGAGATGTTGAGGCTTACCTACGCGACAGGATTCGCTCCAGAGACCTTGACCTTGGGGTCCGTTTTAGCTTGGTAACTGATCTTCCACTTACTGGTTTCTAGCCAGGCACCAAATGCAATGACGTGCAGTTAAATTGATTTACTTTTTTACAATGTTGCATGTGAATCAAGAGGTTCTGCTCACCGACGTCAAATCCGGGCTATTAATCCGGGGTACCGACAACATCCAGCATGTCAAACTCTCCCCATATGGGGACCCCACAAGTGTCACAGGTGTTGCCGACTCAATTCCCGAAAGAGAACACACAGCAGCTATAACATTTGGTATAAAACGGCTTGGCTCCCCCGGATCGCCGTTTTTGCTCCGGATTTGGTCTAACCACCCGGAATGCGTGCCAACTGAACATGGGTTAGCTCGGTGAATTGGGATCCTATGACGACAAAGAGGACATTTTCTCGAACTTGGAAAAGGACCTTCGATTACGACGCTGCGAGCCTCAATATGCGTACTTTTATTATTCACATTTACCGCTAATTAACATATTGTTGGTGTTGGGTTGATAAACGCACATACACTACACAGAGGTTGGCGGTTAGGACGGCCACCACACCAGATTAGGTGCGGAACTTGGCATACTCCATAGACGCCCGAACCTTCATATCACAACTTTCCAAGGAGCTAGTATATGTTTTTGTAAGTCTATCGTGGAGACGATCGAACGATTGCTTCGTTGTTTGGTGCTTGGCTGTAAGCTCCGCGCCGGAGTTTATACCTGGGTAAGAATACCTACATATATAACTGGGGAGACGAGATGGCAACCTAGAACTCATGTTTCCTCAGATGAGATGGATATCAGGTGTAAGGGGAAGAACACTATACGAAGCAAAGAGACGCGTAAGTTATCCAGGGAAACACAAGAAGGCAATCTAACTCAACTTCACAGCTACTGCTTTCAAAGACGATACTCAGAGCAAAAACAAGCTTTGCCATTGATGAAATACTTCTACTTATATCTTGGCTGCCCAGAGTTCAGTCCTGAAGGAGAATTAACCCGCCCAACATTATAGATTTTAGCAGCGGCAACGAAGCTTAGCTTTTACTAACTTGCGATTGGCTAGTTGACTTGGCCTATAAATGTGCGACTTAGTCACAAAAGGGCCGCGGCGAAATCAAGTCAGTCACAAGATGAGGTTGTCGCCACAGTCACATCATGTTACCGCCTCTCTCTATCCATTCTGTCTCATATGAATTCTGCATCCATGATATACGTAAACTTGGGTGAGATGCTATTAAAAGTTGTCGCAAGCAAGAAAGCTCATAGCGTCGTTCATATCCTGAACTCGTTAGCCCAATCCAGCGTTTGAAACAGACGTTGGTAACCTACCTACATATGAAGGAATGTTTTTGTTTGCAAATATTTAGGACAAGTTGCCTAGTAAGGAAGGCTCTGCGGGAAGAGGCAGAAAATCTAATCAAACCAAATCCCTTCCTTTGGCTGTTTATAGCTGTCGCTGCAATGAAGCAAAGACCGAATTGGTACGAGTAACAGGCTTCGGGTTCTGGCTAGGTCTACTAATCTCGCTGCCTATTCCCTGGTCCCGTTATTTAACTGCGTTTTGTTGGAATATCCATCAAGATGTTCTAACTAACAAGACTAGCAGAACTTGGCTGGCCTTATATTAAGTGCGTACATATGAATTTTCGATGGGGGTTGAGGTTGGGGTTGAGGAGTTGATGGGGTTTATTATTGTATGTGGATCACCGACTTTGCTGGCCTCGGTGCATCTTTGTCCTCGTCTCCCCAACGGACTGGGTACGTTAGTTAGTTATTACCCAGTAACTAGTTTAGTAGGTAGAGTCTAACCATCCAAGTCAGTGGGATTACGAAGTTTTTCCTAGGGAGAGCCAGCCCCGCAAGCCACTTACCTATTACCCCTTCAAGTTTACCTGCGATGATTGGAAAAGCCAAGACAAGCCAAGCAACGCCGTCATGTTTTATTTTGTTCTAGGTAGGTCAAGTGAGCTTATACCATACCCAGGATAGTAAGAAATAGCAGTGAACAAGAATCCTTCACACCGAGCAGGATGGGGATAAACACGCGGGGACCCCACGAAGGCCCACCAATTGGTTCCGGGGACAGGCTGCATAACGGTCCCCAGATCCTGGAGTGTTACCCCCCCCTGGGGACCAACCCAGCCCTTATACCCCCCCTACCCTTCCATCCCTTACTACTATGTAGTACAGTACTACATCCCTCGCGTGCCTTGTTATATGCCCTGCTATGCATAACGCATACATGACATGTAGGTAACTTAAGTAGACATTACTTACATAGATGCTACCTAGATTATGTATGGCTCTTCCTTTGTCATTAGTTGATTAGCTGCAGTTTACCGCTTGCATTGTGTGTACAGATCCCATCCTATACTATGCCTCAACTGGCTGGCTTACCCGAGTCGCCTCGCTTGAAGTCAGGACCGAGTAGGAGGAGTAATAGATAATAATAATAATTACTATGTAATGTGAAAGAGATGAGGGTAGCGTGAGAAAGTGAAAAAGAGTGAGCAGTTCTGACAGCAGGTATTTAAACCATGGCAATCTCCCCACAAGATCCTTTCTGCTTCCACTTGGGTTCTCGTTCCTCTCTCTCTCTCTTATCTCCTTTCTTTTTTTCCTCCGTCTAGGTATTCATTCTCCTTGTACTGTGCTTGCTCCTTTCTACAGTACTTAGATACCTTAAGCATCTAGGTAGATAGAGTACTCACGCACTAGGACACATAGAAAGAAGGAACGGAAAAAAAGAAAAGATGGCGGGAGGTGTCAAGAAACCAGTCAACATCTTCAGGCTGAAGGACCTGGGCGAGCCCAAAAACGTCTTCAACTGGCGTCTATGGTTCGCGGTGATCTCCTTCGGCCTGCTGGGCGCCGCGCGCGGCGTGGACGAGGGCCTCATCTCGGGCGCCTTCAACTCGCAGGACTTCAAGCGTACCATCGACTTCGCGTCCTACAGCAAGGTCGACCAGACCAACATCAAGGCCAACGTGTCGGCCATGGTCCAGATCGGCTCCGTGGGCGGCGCGCTCTTCGCGTTCGTCATCTGCGATCGCATCGGCAGAATCTGGGCTACCCGCCAGCTGTGTCTCATCTGGATCCTCGGCATGGCCATCTTCATGGCCAACAATGGCTCCCTCGGTGCTGTCTATGCCGGACGCTTCATCGCTGGTCTCGGAGTGGGCCAGACTCCTGTCGTCGGTCCTGTTTATGGTATGTGCCCTATGAAATCTCCTCAAAAAAAAAGAAAAAGAAATAGGTTGCTACCTATCTAAAGTAAATGTAACCCAGAATGCTAACATCTTTTTGCCAGTATGTCGCAACGTGCTTTTCTATTTGCGTATTTCTGTGTTCCACCACTCTGCTGCTTCCTCCGAGTCATTTCCGGCATGGTCTAGATCGGAGGAGGTGCCAATCTAGAACAAGCACGGCTTATTGTTATCTTGGAATTTCTTTGCGCAGCGTTGCTGACATACAACGTGTTTTTATTATAGATCGCTGAGATTGCGCCCGCCTCCATCCGAGGTCTGTGTACTTGTATCTTTACGGGATTCGTCTACGTTGGTATCGTGCTCGCCTATTTCACCAATTACGGCGCGCAGATCAACCTCGGCGACACCACGCACGTCAGATGGGTATGTGCAACCGTTGTTCCATTTCATCGTTACAATCGCTAACTTTCAACGTGGCTCTAGCTCGCCCCCACAAGTCTGCACATCATCTTCGCAGGGCTCATCTTCATCCTGACCTTCTTCCAATACGAGTCCCCCCGCTTCCTCATCAAGCAAGGCAAGGATGAGCAGGCCATCAGCAACATGGCGCACATCCGAAACTTAGCCGTCGACGACCCCTACGTCGTCTCGGAGATCAGCGCCATCAAGCTGTCCCACCAGGAGGAACTCGAAGCCACCATGGGCACCAGCTGGTTCGGCATCGTGAAAGAGATGTTCCTCGTGCCCAGCAACCTGTACCGCCTCTATCTCTCCTCCACCGTGCAGTTCATGTCGCAGTGGTCCGGCGCCGGCTCCATCACGCTGTACGCGCCCGACCTCTTCGACATCCTCGGCATCACAGGCCAAAACGAGTCCCTCCTCATCACCGCCGTCTTCGGCCTCGTCAAGTTCGTCGCCGCCATCATCTGCGCCCTCTTCCTCGTCGACGTCATCGGCCGCAAGCGCGCCCTCCTCATCGGCATCACCCTCCAGGGCTTCGCCATGATCTACGTCGCCGGCTTCTTGACCGCCGTCCCGGAACTGGGCGTCGACGACAACTACGTGCTCCCGGCCGGCGAGCGCGCCGCCAGCCGCGGCGCCATCGCCATGATCTACCTCTCCGGCTTCGGCTGGGCCCTCGGCTGGAACTCGATGCAGTACCTGCTGACGGCCGAGCTGTTCCCCCTGCGCATCCGCGCGCTGTCGACGTCGATCGTGATGACGCTCCACTTCGCCAACCAGTACGGCAACTCCCGCGCCGTCCCCAACATGCTCCTGGACACCGCCCACGGCGGCATCTCGCCCAGCGGCACGTTCTGGTGCTTCGCCGTCGTGACCGTCATCGGCGGCATCTGGGTCTGGATCTTCGTTCCCGAGACCTCCGGCCGCTCGCTCGAGAGCATGGATCGCCTGTTCGAGCTGCCGTGGTACAGGATCGGTTTGTACGGAAACGCCGACGCCGACCGCAGGGACGAGGCGTTTAGCGAGAAGGAGATTGTCGATGAGGTTGAGGATGTAGGGCCTCAGACGATTGATGGGGCGATGGGCGAGAAGAGGCGGAGTGCGGATAATCGCGTTTGATTTGATTTAGGGATGGGGGGGGGAATATGATATGATACCTTGGGTGCCTGGCATGGGAATGCTGGATGAGAGAGATACGAGAGATGATGAATAAACGTAAACGTAACGTGCTTACTGTAAGATCAGAATAGTATGAATCTAGTACTTGGCCCTTTGGTCATGACAACTCGTTAAACAATTAACCTAGACCACTCTGTCTTAGGGCCTGAATTTTGTACTGTTTTGCCTTAGGCTGTGGACTGTATATTTTGAATGCCTCGTCCCAACAATTACCCCCAATGTGAAAATTAATCAAGTCGCCCTTTAGCCACCAAAAGAAGTAAAACACCAAAAAAAAAAAAAAAAAAAGATAACGCCTTCTCCAGCGCAAACATCCTCCCTCATCCGGGGCGTAAACACAATCACATACTCCTCCTGCGACTCTGGTAGAGGATCAGTCGTTGGCGACCTCGAAGGGGTAGCAGGGGGAGGAACATTAGGGCATGATGACGGGAGAGCAAACCCGCCTGTTATTACGGTGACAATGATTAGCGATAGATGTATAGGCCTTAGGTTATTTTCGCTTATGTACATACTGACCAGAAATTAGCAGTGCTATAGTTGCTGTAGACACCATTGTTCAGTTGGCCATATGTCTTCCTACTAACCTAGGTACTTAGGTACCTAATTTAGGATTCGTTTGCTTTGTCTTGCTTGGGGGTGAGAGAGATCAAAATCGAATTCATCTAAACCAAACAGAGGTAAGAATGGCATCTTATTTATTCATCGAGACTTCCTAATCCAATCATGAAAATCAAAATACGCTTAATTTTTTTAAAAGGAATTCCTAGGCAGATAGGTACATGACAGAAAGAGCACCACCAAGGGGCTCAAAGGGGAAATCACAAAATGTCACCTAAACCCCTTAGACATGGCCGAAGAAGTGTTACTTGTAACTATATAGCATTCAACGTATATAGACGACTTCGTGATAATTAATATCTATATGTAGATGTTATCAAGGTAGCTCTAGTTATAGAGCGTCGTTCAACTTAGTCTCAGGGGCTTGTTTGACAGTAACATCACATCAAGTATTTACATGACACAACGAAGCATGATATATATCGGTCTAACCTAGACTATTCACGCACGCCTTTATGTCTTGATGAATTACTCTCAAGATTTACATCTCATATTATGTATTTTAGAACCCTCTACCTCCGCAAGAAGCAGATGGGGTGGCAGCAGTAAATACTAACTAGCCTTATCTGAGCCATGACGAGGAAGTTTTGATCCTCTTAGCGCCCTCAATACTGGCATATTATTTAAATACTGGGTGTTTTTCTGTAATTCATAGCTCCCGGTTGTCTGCAACTGATCCTCCTTCTTGTTTATTATTCATAAGCTGGAACATTTGTCCTCAGTCCGCACTGTTCTTCACCCTCTCACCTCTACCCGCTTTTCAACCATATTTGCTTTGTATCGCATCTATTCATTTCTTATGACAATTCAACCTTCCTATTACAAGAGAGTTCTCAATTAAACTTAAACTACATCGAATCACTTCCGTCTCAATTTTAAACACTCCCACCACCATGTCGCACTCCATTGCTGTGCGGTCACTGTTCCAGGACACAATTATCATGAAGCTCATGGGAGACATCGACGAACCACCTGTTCACTCGGATGAAGGATTCGTACAGGCCAAATTTGAGGACTATTTGCATGCCGTCGGCGATCAAACCGTCGCTCGCCTCCGCAGACGTGCCACCCGAATCGCAGCACAAGCAGGCGCCCACGGCGCCGACATGCGCGAAGCGCTCTTCCATCGCCTGATCGCCATCGAAGCAGCCAAGGAGGCCGCGATGGAGCGCGGCCCGCCCTTCACCCTCATCTTCTTCATCGCCCTCAAACACGCCAAGATCTACGTCCAATCCAAACACCATGGAACCTACCGAGTGATATTGCTGGAATGCCTCAACCGAACGATCGCGCGGATTGGAAACCGCCTCTAGGAGAACCCGTCTTCCACCGCCGGCAAGATCTGCTACGTTGAGATTCAGCAATATTTCTACAGAGCGTTCATGGCCAAGGTCAACAGCGACGCGCACACTCCTGCGGTCGCTAAGCTGGGCTTGGACTTTCACGACCTGTACCGCTTGTGCTCCGGACTTCTGTGGATTTTTATTGGCAGAGAACGACTGATGGCCGCCGAGAGTGAGAGTGAGGCCGATCAGGAGGAAGAGCTACACGACCTGTCGAAGCATTCTGATGAAGTATGGGAGGATGATGGCATGAGTGATGTCGAGTCGATTATTGATGGCGACCTTGGTGAAGAGAAAGTGGTTGACGAGAATATTACCGAAGACGACGTCACAGATGGTAGCGGCATCGAGGGCCTGTCCGTCCAAGATGAGGACATGCCTTCTCCAGATCACAAGGGAAAGGAAATGGAGCGGACCAGTTCCCCCGATGACAAGGAAAAGGGACATGACTTCAAACTGACCGACTGCTCTTGTTTGAGGACATTTTCCCCCGTCTTCCCTAAGTGGTTTGTCGACACATACAGCCGAAAAGAAGGTGTGTAATATGCTCTACGGAGATGGCGCTTTGAGTTTATAAATGCTTGGAGCATAACTGGCTCTACAGGTTTCCATTTGGAAGCATAATGCTAACTTCATGTCAGAGGACAACGAGTCAGGCGAAGAAGAGCCAGTCGCTAGTATATCCCATTCTTAATAAGCTCTTTGAAAGCTAAGTCTCGACTAATTCACGAAGTTACGAATCGACGGCATGTTTTCGACATCGTGGAACATCGTGGTGGAAGCTCAATGAGTGATTGCGTTTCTATTACCTTTTGATCGCCACTTGAACCCGACGAAGGGATTTTATGTTTAGGAACTCTGTGATTTGGAACGGATTTGATACCCGAGTTAGAAGGATTGATGACAGGGCACTGTAGCAACTCTGCTCTGGTTTTGAGAAGGAATAGTCGCTAATAGGTCGGTGTTGAGGGGATCGCTTTCTAGGGACGCGTTATGATGGCGACATAGTCAATTGAGCTTGACCATTTTAAATACGACTAAGTCTATGTTCCTGGAATTTTTAACCGTGAAAATATGTAAAGGACATGTAAACATAGTAGTACTAACCAGATTCATGTAAGCCGCAGCATGTACTCGAAACATTACACCTCGCCTCCTGCTCTCTCAACCTCAACAGCCACAACAAGGACCGCAATATCCCAAAGATCACCACCATTATCATGACAGCTATCTATCACACTGATCATTGCCTTCTTCGTGAATACTCCACAATCTGCCGAAGGCTTTATCCAAGCAGAAATATATTGACGACAGTTGCCATTGGTCGCGCAAATGAAATTTATCCTAATGTAGCCTCTGCCACAAGTGCCGTGCGGAGGTGCAATTCCAAACCCCAGGTCGCTCGATTGAGCCGCTGTGGGAGATGTGGGCTATATATACCTCTTGGTGAAATTCGCTGTTGCAGATTTTCTGGATGATGGGACTGAAGTCGCAGGTCCAACTAACAATCTACCTTTAGCTTAGGTAGACAGACCACTTTAACATGTGGACGATCTGGAGTTCTCTCCTGGTGCCCTCCCTCCTTTCTGGAGCGGAGGCTTCGGTGGTGCCACAAAGTAAATTTATATCCAGACTACAATCGTAGGTTTCCATTTGGTTCACCTTCGTTTTCCTGCCTTGCTAACCGTTGTGTTTCTTCTAGGGTATCTCGCAACCCCAACTACCCCCTCGATGTTGTCGACAAGTTCGAAGAGGCTACCATGCCCAAGGTCGAAGCGTATATGTCTGAGAGGATTACTTCGGGTACGAACAACAACTGCACCCTAGAAAACGCAGTCATACGGCAAGAATGGTTCGTCTTCTATTTTCTCAACACTTACAATAATAGCCCTTCACCACTAACTCGGCAACTAGGAGCGACCTTTCCGAAGAGCAGAGACAAGAGTACGTCGCAGCCGTGACCTGCCTGACGAAGCTGCCGCCGAAATCCGACAAAGCAAGATTCCCAGGCGCCATGAGCCGGTACGACGATTTCGTCGCCTTCCATATGACCCACGCCATGCAACTCCACGACAATTACCATCTATTTGGCGCCCACAAGTACTACGTATGGCTGTTTGAGAAAGCCCTGCGCGAAGAGTGCGGGTATACCGGCTACCAGCCTGTACGTCAACCTCAATGCATTCATCGAGTTGCCAGGGTAGTTTGGCTGATAGCTTAATAGTACATGAACTACGATCGCTACTCGCAGGACCCATACAACTCCCCGCTACTCAACGGAAACGCTTCCAGTCTGGGCGGCAACGGCGAACTAGAGCCTACATATAAGGGCGTTCCCCAGCCTGGACGAACTCCCAACATCATCGCGTCGGGCGGTGGTGGCGGCTGCGTCACCTCAGGGCCGTTCTCAGAGTACGTTTTACCTACCTACCTGCCTCATTTCCCACACAAAGCAAACACTCAGCTAACACTACTACAACAACAGCATGGTAGTAAGCCTCGGCCCAACCTCCATGTCCATGGGCAGCAACCTCCCTAAGAACCCCAAAGCCGACGGCACCGGCCCCAACCCGCGCTGCCTGCGCCGCGACGTCAACAAGAACGCGTTTATGGGCGCCACGGCGGACCGCGCTTTCAGCCTGCTCAATGATAATGCGGAGATGGACGGCTTCTATAACCAGTTGCTGGGGACGCCGCCGCCGAGGAATGACCCGTATCCTTGGGGTGTAAGTGTCTTCTCTTCCCTTGAGCCTTCTCCTCTGCCCCTCTCTGGAGTGCATATGGCAAGGACGGTGCACAAAAGAAGAAATGGAAAGAAAAAAAAACGCTGATGCATTCGAAACACAGATCCACACAGCCGGCCACTACGTCGCAGCCGTGGACCCGGGCGGCGACCCCAACACCTCTCCGGGGGACCCGCTCTTCTACTTCCACCACACCGCGCTCGACCGCCTGTGGTGGATCTGGCAGATGCAGGACCCGGGCATGCGCCTCAACGCCATCCCCTTCGTCAACGGCTCCATGACCATGCCGGGCCACGGCAAGCGGCAGTCGAAGGACCCCAACGATGTGATTGTGGATCTGGAGTGGCTGGGCCCGCCGGTCAAGTTGATGGAGACGCATGATCAGTTGGGGGGGAATGGGGGGCTGTTTTGCTATGTGTATGTTTAGTTGGTTGGTGGCTAGGGGGGGAGGGGGGTTAGTAGTTATAGACGAGGTAACGTTTGCTTGGTGTATCAGTCATACTAGTCGTAGCCATACCTGTCGTTACAATTACTACACACAGTTCTGTTGGCACGGGGGTGATATGTTTGTTCTGTGGTCTGTTGTATTTGAACTAGCCTTCGTTCGTTTTGACGGTTATGAGATACCTAGTACGTCGAATCAGGTACGAGGAATCCTGCCAAATCTCCCACGTATTGAATTATACATGATTACAGTTTGCACACCTTGCTGGTACAGTGCAGTGTAGACTGCAAATATAACAGTGGCACGGACGGGTCGTAAGGAGTGGTCATTCGGAGCCTACCAACTAGTATCAGTAAATAAAATGGGATGTAAGTTGCTGAATAGTCTGAACTCCCTACATAAATAAGGTAGACAGTCAACGCCGAGGGTCTCGTATTAGTGAGCAGAACTATATACTAGGTACGGTGTAACGATACAGACTTCTTCTATCTTTTACGTTTTGGATGATTACCTTGGAACGAAAACCTTTACGCGAAAGTCCAACGAGAAACACTGTACAGCGTAAAACATCTGGAGTTGGGCACTTACTGGTCTGTTACCTGGTTAACCTATTTGCTGCGTGAATCCCTGAAATGCAGGCACGTGCCTAACTTGATAGTGTGAGTAACGGTCGAAAACCATGTACCAAGTGCAAAGATCACCAAGTCAGATGGCTTGGTGGTTGGCGTACTGGCTACCAAGGTACACTGGAAACTCGACACGAAAGATTGAATCTTGGTGAACGAATATATAAATAAACCTCCACAACCTACAGTCTCTCTTCTTTCGTCTCGTCACTCATAACTTCTTCTACTTCCAATAAGAGTCGCACAAGACTATAATCTTCTTCACCAAAGATATCAAAGCATTGGATGCATTCAACCAAGCAACGCGTGACTACTCGTCTCGCAGACGCCAAACTACCAATACTCGCTTCTCAACCTCCTATCTCCGAATAAACAAATTAAAACCAACGTACCAACCACGAGCTTCACGACAATCAGCAATGGACCCCTCAGCACAGCTTCCCCAGAGCGGCCCGCTGGTCCAGGGCATGCACGGCCACAAGCACACCGTCAAGCACCAACGCAGACCCAAGCGGGGCGGCGAGTACCCGCTCCCCATATGGTGGCACATCGGGCTCTCGCTCACCTCCGCGCGCGACCTCTGCCGCCTCGCGCGATGCAACAAGACGATGTGGTCGCTCTTCTCCTTCGAGCGCGCCGCCTTCGAGGCCCGGCTGTACCGGGAAATCTCCGCCGCCCTGCCGAGCTTCCACCTGTTCACCGCGCCGCGCAGCTCGTGCGTCGAGCGCGCCATCCGCGCCCGCTACCCCATCCCCGACCTCGAGCGCCTGATCCTCGGCTGCAACGCCGTCAGCGACACGTACCTGCACGGGATGGAGATCGAGTGGGGGGACACCCAGCCCGCGCTGTTCGTGGCGGCGGAGATCGGGCACCTCGACGCGATGGAGTGTCTGCTGAAGAACGGCACGCCCATTAACCTGCGCTTCGGCGATCAGATGCACTGCTACGAGGTGGGGCACACGCACTGCTACCACCTAGCGGGCGATTGTCGGAACGCGCTGTGCGTGGCGCGGGAGGCGGGGAGAGAGGATGTCGAGAGGTTTTTGCTGGAAAGGGGCATCGAGGATAATTGTGGGAGCCAGTGTGCGGGGCGCCATGATTTGGAGGACGATGTGTGAGGGCATTCCTAACCAAAAACACGGGATTGATACTGGTCCATTCATATAGGTAACTGCTTTGATCTTAGCGAGGGCGGCGGCGCTTTCCGGTTATACTATAGGTACCCTGATGAGGAGGATGTCCAAGCATAGCTTTCACGGGGAGGAACCTAGAAGATGAAGAAAAATATCATTTCGTGGGCGTATCTAGAGGCTGTGGAAGTTACAAAACACGTGGCCAGCCGTTCTGTTCTTGCTATCATCTAAATACAACATTGAAAACAACCACAGAGACTTATTTATCTTATGAAATTCCAATCCCATCTTTTCATAATGACCCCTTAAAGCTTTCATACTCACCTGATGACGCAAGTAGTTACAACTCAGTGATATCATAGATAAAAAGTATATAAAAACCCATAGGTCAGTCAGCTCACGAACTCCGATGCTCCCCCCTTTTCACCCCCTCGCAAACATCGCGCAGCATCCTGCCCGCCCACTCAAAATCCTCCATTTCCAAGTACGCCTGCGCGCTTATCCTCACCCACACGCGACCGGCGTGCGCATATATCGGCAAAAACGTGTTATACTCCTCCATGATCTTCCCCACCATCCAATCCAACGCCCCCTCCCCCCCCATAACCTCCTCCACCTCGAGCGGCAGCGCAACATTCGTCATCGCGCACCTCGCCAAGCTCCCACTCTTATTATCCAACACCTCCGTGCCCAGCATCTCCGCCACTCTCCTCCCGCCCTCCCTCGCCAAAGTCTCCACATACGCCATCACCTTCGCCTCCCCACCCAGCACCTGTTCCCGCCACAATATCGCATCCTTGACACACAGATACGCGCTCGTGTCGAGCGTCCCCACGAACTGGAAGTTATTCACAAACGCCGAGCTGTGCCCCTTCGGCAGCGGGTTGAACCGCTCCCCCCGGCCCGCGCCCACATACCCGTGCGAGGTCGGCAGCGTCGACGCCATCATGGCCTGGTTCCGCACGGGGACGTACAGGACGGCGCAGCTGCGCGGGACGTGCAGCCACTTGTGGCAGTTGCTGACGAAGAAGTCCGGGTCCAGCGCGGCGAGGTCGAGGTCCGGCAGCATGCCGACGCCCTGCGCGCCGTCGACGAGGCTCAGCACGCCCGCCTCCCGGCACGCCGCCGCGAGCGCCGCGAACGGCATCCGGATCCCCGGGAGGCTGGACACGGTGTCGAAGACGCAGACTCTCGCGCGCTTGCCGCCCGCGGCGCACGCCTGCACGGCGGCGTGGAAGGCGGCGACGATGGCGCTGTCCTCGAGGGGGAGCGTCAGGGGGATGGCGTGCGCGGACACGAGGCCGAGGCTGGAGTCGACGAGGTAGTCGATGGTTTTGCCGCACGCGCCGTAGATGGTGGTGAAGTGGAGGATGGCGTCGCGGGCGTCGGGGCTCCAGACCATGTTGCGCAGGATCGTGTTCACGCCGAGCGTCGCGTTCGAGACGAGGACGATGGTGTCCGGGGGTGCGTGCAGGAGAGATGCCAGGGCTTCCCGGGATTCGTTGAGCAGGTCCGGGAGCTGGTACCGGATGAAGTGGTCCGGGGTCGCTTCGGCGAGGGCTTGGTAGTGCGCGAGCTTTTGACGGATGTGGCGGGGGCTGGCGCCGAAGGAGCCTTTTTTTGTGTTAGTGGTGAGGACTTGAGTAATGCGCTAACGGATGGAGGAGGAGGAGGATGGGGGTTGGCCTACCATGATTTAAGTTGCGGTATGTTGGCTCGAAGTCGAAGTGTTGGAGGAGTCGCTGGCCGAATATAGGGGTTGTGGTTGTGGTTGTGGTATCTTCTTGGCCCCCCTTTGCGCCATTGCGCAAAACTAAGTTTTCATTTACAGAGCCCATCTTGTTAGTTTCTCAAAACAGAGGTTCTGAGAATATTCGTTAGTTTTTAGGAGTGATTAATAGCATTCGAGCATTCGAGCACCAGATATCTCAGCATTGGCATAATATATAGGCAAGTATACGAGAAGGGCGCAACCCCACATGTCGAATTCGAAGGGCGTTGAATGACACACAGCACCGTCGTATCTGCCTATCAATCTATTATCCTCCGATATCGAATATAGATTCCAAACTTGACTGTTCCTAGCCGGTCACGGCCACGCGATATGAAGCGTACTTCTTTTATACGCTAAACAATTTCTCGGCGCATAGTCAATTTCCTAGCGATCGAGTCTATAGATACGCCAAGCCGACGCAAGCCGTCTATTTCCATTGGATATGGAGTCATAGGCGGAACTGTCTCGTCTCTGCCGCTTCCCGAGCGGAAGCTAGCAAGTATGCTTAGTATGACCACAACTTCAGCTTCCTGTAACCTTCATTGCTCATTATCCCGTTGCCGATCTTCGGTGCCAGCCGCTCACGGACGTAGCTTCTCCGCCGTATTAGCCCCCGAGAATTGAGTCACCTTCCCTTCCCCCCATTGACACATCCGCCGACCGAGTCACTCAAAGCACCCAATCCTCTATTCCGGATGAACTTATCGTACTGCATCACTAAAATTGCGAGTGGTTATGTCGATATAACATCTGCCTTGACAACTGCAGACACCGGACCGCAACTCACAGCAATCGGAATCGCATCAGGATCGCTTGAAGAGGGAATTTCTACGCATTCTAACGGTAGAACCGTGCTCCCCGTCGCCGAATACGTAATCCTACAGAGAAGTGTATCATCGTCAGTAAACTCCCCCCCCTTAAAAAAGGGCATTTTCGCCCATTGGTAAGCATAGGTAGACCAAAACACTTACTCCCCCCCATCCCCCCCCTCACACCTCCACGTCTGCTCAACAACCACCTCATTCCTCCCCCCGTCAAACCAGAACCCCGTCGCCGGATACGCCTCGGGCGGAATCAGATCATCGCGGAACCCCGCCGGACACGCCCACCTCGTCTGCGGGTCAATCAGCCGCGTATCATTCGGCAGCGGCAGCAGCAGCAGCAGCAGCCGCCCGCCACCCGACGACACGCTCGCCGCCTGGCAGTTGATCGCAAACTCGTTCGCGCGGTTGTACAGGTCGAACGTCACCGTCGCCGACGAGCCGCCCGGCAGCCGCGCGCCGCGGAACTCGAAGTTCTGGACCTCCCACGCGAAGTGCGCGGAGGCGGAGGCGGAGGCGCAGGCGGGGAGCGGGAGCGGGTGCGCGGTGGTCGTGTACGCGGCGATCGCCAGGTTGTCCCCTTCCGTCCCCGTGTACGGCCCCTCCGGCGTGTCGACGAGGCTGAGCGCGAGGCGCCCGTTGCCGGTGCCGATGGCTCGGGCTAGTTGGTTCCGAGGGTCGGCGTTACTGTTGCTACTGCTGCTGCTGCTTTCCGATTCCGATGTTGCCAGATCCAGACCGCGGTCGCACAGGTAGGTGTGCTCGATGCTGATGTAGTCGTTGCTCGAGAAGTCAAACGTCGCGCCGATAAACGCATCCTCGTCGCTTACTTCGCACGCGGTGCGCCCGCTGCTGGCATACGGGTCGGCGCGCTCGCCGCTGCAGAAGGAGGTGTACCCGCTGAAGGAGGCCTCGAGCGTGAAGTGGAAGGTCTCGGTGCCGTTGTCCGGGTGCGTCACGCCGTGCCAGTCGCGGACGAGGAAGTTGGGGAAGTCTTCGTGGGTGCAGGGTGGGTATGTCCTGTCTTCCGACCTCGGCTTTGGTTTGCTGGTTGCGTTAGAAGGGGATCTTGAAGGGGGCAGGGAGGCGCATTGCGATGATAGCAGAGCGATGAGCCCTGCTGTTGATGCTTTTCTCATGGCTTGTTAGGTAAGTTCCTCTGGTCGGGTTCTTGTGCTCAGATGTGTTCTGTCTACAATGTAGCTAGCAAGTAGGTACCTAGTAGGAACGTTTTTGCATTCCAAGATTGCCGGGCCATAAAAACGAAAAGTGCATTGTCGGTACGGGGTTGATCTATCCCATGATAAGGTCAGATAGACGGATACATAGGTAGATGTAGGGCTCGCGTAGCATCGAGTGCTATTTAGCCTCAACATCATTTACCTACTGGGTACCTTGTTTGGTCACTGGCCATCGGTTGTATACGACTGCGAACGTTCTAGCCCGGGGGACGCTCATGCACCCTTATCTTTGAGAAATTCATGGCGTGTTTCTTTTGCCAAGATTGCGGCGAATATTGTTGCCATTTCAAGCAATCAATCAATTATTTAATAAATTGAAGATCTTTCAAAATGGGTGGATGTTTGAAAACACCATAAAAATAATCGCGACATTCCCCGCCAAGCTTGTGTGACTTGGAAATTGTGTCAGCTGAAAGTCATGTGACTATTGCCAAGATCCTGTAATGGTACTAGGTTAGGTACCTGTTAAGCACTTATGTCAGATCAGATCCCACGAGTCTTCCCAGGATCATGACACTGATAAAATAACTTCGAGAATCCTATAATTCGGACGCAACAAGGGGGGCCACGTGAGACTGAAGAATAAAAGAAGGGGTCCAAGACGGAAAACATGCAGGATCCTTCAATGCCTGCATATACACCTAGATGTACAGAAGTGTTCGAGAACGTCAATATTGCACTTGTTAATGTACACTGAGTATGCATCGTACAACTTGTGATTGTTGTGGCTGAGCCATATAAAAGGCACAAATAAGTGGAAGTGCGATTTGCGGGAATTGCTCGCGATCCTTTTCCGCATTTGCTTTTCACCTTATGTCGTGCTGTTCCTGTACCTCGGCACACAACATGCAGTACCTACTGTACCTACGACAACCTAGAAACACATCGATCGCAGAGAAACTTGAAGGTTATGGCATATGAGATTACATATCATATACAGATATTCGCCTTATACTGCCTGCCTTGGCCAGTAGGATATATGGATGTGTGTATAAGTACCCACCCTAGTAAAAGTGATGTTAGGTCTTACACGTGCTCCTGCAACTTCTTTCTGAGCCTTTCTTTGTTGAAAAATCTGCCTTGCGCACGAAAACAGAAATTGCACCGAATCGCGAAAAAGAAAAAATCCACTTCGAACTTATTACAGCCATCGCATGTTGCACTCAGCCTGAAATGAGACGCCGATGTTTCTGCTGTAACGGATGCTCGGTTTGTGGTTCCGGTGTCCAGTCAGTTCGATGATGTCGGGTTAGGGGGTCGTACGCTGTTGGAGTCCACTCACTCACTTCAGTATCGTCGCCCAAGACATGAGGGCAAGGCAGGGCAGGCAGCACGACTGGTCTACTGTGTACTTCCTGTGAGATAGGCTTGTCTTGCTTCGCTAAGACTGATCTCTCTGAAGAAGAAAGGCATGGAATCCTACTGGGCAGAGAAACGCTGAGTAGGCAGACTACATACAGGAGACGAGTGTCTTGAACACTGGAGAAGACTATTTTCTCTTGGTTTCCATGATATACGGCCAAGAGTGAGAAGCCTCGCCCCGAGGATTAGCTGATATCTCGTTTTCGGTAGAATGCAGCCCCCTTTTCTGGTTCTGCAGGTGGACAAGATGGGATGAGTGAGCTTCATGATTCAGTGCTAATGCTCCCACTTCAGATGGGAAAGGGTATTCACGGTGTATTGAGGGTTTCCTACGTTGGCCTATGATGATATTTTCATCTCAATACCTAACACCAACCTTGGAATTTCCCGTCGGTATGGAATTTACAAATGTTGAACCACCTACCCGGGTTGCCCAGCAGCTAACTGTGGGCGAAGTCTGCCTCCGGATAGCTAATGCATTCTAATTTCCAAGGTCTCCAACCTCAAAACCCCATTTGATGATCACAGCATATCACCCCGTGGATTACAATTTCTCCCTCGCCTGAAGGGCGAGCATAGCCACAAGGTAATGTAACTAGAAAGTGTAAATAATCTTGGAAGCCGATAAGCAGTTCTACATATATGATAATCGTGATACGCGTATATCTCAATTTGGCAGGAATCGACGAGCCTTGTAGGCGTTTTCCTGAGGGGATATAGGATGTAGTGTTCTATCAATAGAGAATAATGTATCACTTGTATTCGTGCTGGTTATCCTCGGGATTCGGAATTCTTTATATGAATAATTCAACTCACAGCCTGGAAGCATATTGCTATGTTAAATGATACTATGGCTACTCTGGTATAAGAAATATATTCTTCATATTATCAGGTCACTTGATATGAAGAGTTACTTTCATAGAAAGCACTATTCTGGAGTATCATTTTCCTATGTTAAAATTCGCCAATAGGGTATTGCTTATCATGTTACTAGGTTAACATGATGTTAGTAAACACGAGACATATATAAGGCTACTCCATATGTTATGGCACTGGAATATCCAGTTGCCAACATCAGTTAGGTAAGTTTGAGGCTATGTAGATGATGATGAGAGTCAGAATTCCATCTTCAAACAACGACATGCAATGAATGCCCTCCCTTTCACCAACTTGGTTTGTCTGTTCGTAATTAGGCACATGAAAATTCCTAATTCAGGGACCTTAATATTGAGCTCTTATTGTTAGGGTAACGCTTATCCAACTGTTAACATCTTTATCAAATGAGTATTCGTAGTTCTCATGAGAGAATAATGTACGCCTATAATTACCTAGGGTCGGTATTATATCCCATTTTGCCATTAACGCCATGCCTGTCCTCGTATCAGATGCAATGCCTGAGTATGGTAATTGTTCTAACCGACTGGATTATCTGATCCGACGTAAGGGATATGATACCCACATGCATGGTGAGGTTAATGACGATCCTTCCCGAGTCAGCCTTGAGGAAGTTGACGTTATCACGAAAAACGAATCCTAATTTTCTTACCAACTGTCTAGGGAAGTTGGTTCCAACGGCTTAAAAGTCTCATGGCTCATTATCTCCCTAGTAGTTAGGCATGCACACAGAGTTTCTATGCATGATTCTCATTACTTGAGCCGCAAAGGTACATTTTCAACATCCAGTTTGTCGTTGCTTGAAGGATTGTGAAGTTCGCAGATGAGATGAAAATGCCTTGCATACCGCCAAGGTGTTGATCAGACAAGTTTGAACTTGCTCGTGATTGTCTGTGTAGGACCATTTCGAAGATGCGCTTCACGACGTACGATTTCACAACTGCGAAAAAGTCTTCGCTTATGTCATGTTTAATTCCTGTTTCAATTCACGTATCTATGTAGCCAAGGATTTGAAATGTGCTCGGCGGCGAGTTAGTAACATTTAAGAGGTCTTGGAAGATGGCTGTGTCCCTAGTGTTGGAATAGATATATATCTAAAGTGTTTAGCCTGTCTATCAATCTTGACAACACAACACCGTGAACGGTGACCCAGTAACTTGGAATTTATCAATGTTGTTGGCAATGAGATGACTATCTCAAACATGCAACATTTATTTCATTCAATTCATCCAATGTATGAATGTATGTAATATTGGTTGCACGTGCTTATTATCATTGTACTATATTCAGTACCTATAGCCAACTTCTTTTATTACATTGATTAATGTGAGCGCGCAATACATAGTAATTAAATCAGCGCGAATTTCGGAAACGAATCGCGAATTGAACGTTTAAAGTAACATTAGGATCTAGATCGAATAGATTGATTGACCACAAATATCAAATATAAATACATAGATACTTATTTACATCTTTAGATCTACATATTGCTCTGACCACATATCCAGGTTCCATACTAGGTACCTAGGTAAGTAAGTCTATATTGTATACAAAGTACAATACATAGAAAGTGTACATCCTTGATACTACATGGACTTACATAGACTAAATATATTGAAGATTGAGGCGATTGGTTGTTGTATCTACACAGCCTCACTCGGCGCCCCTCTTTGGCGCGAACTGAGGAACATGAGAAGAAAAAAAGGGAAAAAAAGGAAAAAAAGGAAAAAAACTGAATGATTCTCCTGCCCGTCATGGTTAAATCCTATTTCATTCCAGGTTCCAAGAATCCAAGTTGACCGGTGTTTGTTGTAGATGCTTGTTTAGTTTCATGTATTGGTTGTAATGTCAACGTCTTGGTTTTGTGTCTAGCACCGAAACTCCTCTTCCTCTAACCCCTTCTTTTCCTTCCAACCGGCTTAAGGTACCAAGCCTTGGCTGTTTGACGCCGAACTTCATTGTAGAAATTGAATGACGAGATCATGCCTTTTATTTTCGATTGAACGAGAGCGGCCTCCAATTCAATCATATCCAAATTTGCCTCCACCCTCTATTGACAACAAGAAGCCTAACACTGCGCCCTATCTGCCTCGTCATTTCCAAGACACGTTAGACGGGGGGCTATGCTGAATTTTAGGCAATTTTTTGCTTTGGACTTTCTCAACCTCAACTAACTGATTTCTTCTAAATCTTGTCGTCTATTCATTATTAGTTATCCAACTTCCATTTTCTACATTTCTACATACATATCATACCATAACGCTCGGCATATAGGAAAACGTCACGATACTACTATCACTGCTACTGCATGATACTCCCCTGCTAGATCCACAACTAGGTATACTGGGTATATACTCCATAGTAGTCCATACCACTCCATACCTCAACCCTGGCAGATGCGATAATTGGCATTCTTATCTCGGCCGACGCTTGGTGTTTCTCCTCTTTGCACAGCCTACGTGATTCAGCGGTAGCAATCCAGCTATTTCTCTGGGCAGACGGTAAACGTGTCGGACACTCGTCCTCCCGCCTCTTCGAAAGTGGGAATTACGGTAAGGCTCGACAGCATTTGCCTCGCCCGTGCCCTCCCTCATTATCTAAGCCCTCTTCCATATGCTTCATATGCTTTAACTACACCGAGGCATCCCACTCACAGCCCGGGTCATATTTTACTTATATCCTCCTGCGATAGTTCTTCTTGTAGTTGATCTTCATGAATGAACACCTCGGCCTAGAATGATATACATATAGAACTCACCATTTGTACTACAACGACACTCACACCAACACAATAACACAAACGACTTTAACATTAACATTAACAACAACGACATCATCATGGCGAGCGGCAACCTTGCGCCGCCGACCCTGGCGATAGACACAACCCGCTCCCGCCCTCGGAGCGACACCAATGAAACCCGAGCCCTTACACCCGGGTCCATCATGTCTAACACATCTAACATATCGAATCCATTTTTAACACCAGCCCACTCGAACCCATTTTCCACACCAGCTTTATCAGACTGCGGATCCAGTGTATTAACAGTAGACCCCGAAGCCGCTCTGCGCCCCGACCCGGGCACGGAAGCCGATTTCGAGGTGACGAACAACCCGTTCGCCTTTAGCCCGGGCCAATTAAACAAACTCCAGAACCCCAAATCCATCGCCGCGCTCCGCGCCCTGGGTGGGCTGACCGGGATAGCGCGGGGCCTGCAGTCGGACGTCAACGCTGGCCTGAGCGTCGACGAGACCGCAGTTCGCTCGTCTATTACGTTTGAGCAGGCCGTAAGGAGGACGTCGGATAAATTCTTTGAGACGCCTGAACGGGCGGCGGATTCTGGGGCCGACACCTCTTCTTTCACGGATCGGATACGCGTGTTTGGGAAAAACGTGCTCCCCGCGAAGAAGGCGACGCCGATATGGACGCTTATGTGGAACGCGTACAACGACAAAGTTATCATTTTATTATCTGTAGCTGCAGTTATCTCTTTAGCCCTCGGTCTTTACGAAACCTTTGGAACGGTACCCGAAGAAGGGGACCCTCCGTCTATCGATTGGGTGGAGGGCGTCGCCATTATCATCGCTATTCTTATCGTCACCCTGGTAGGGTCGCTCAACGATTGGCAAAAGGAGCGGGCATTTGTTAGGCTTAACGCGAAGAAGGAAGATCGGGAAATCAAGGTAATCCGCTCTGGCAAATCATACATGATCAATGTCCACGATATCCTCGTCGGCGATGTCCTGCACCTCGAGCCCGGCGACCTGGTCCCCGTGGACGGGATCTACATCAGCGGCCACGACCTGAAGTGCGACGAATCCTCGGCTACCGGAGAATCAGACGCCATCAAGAAGACGCCAGGTGAGCAGGTCATGACGTTACTCGAGTCGAACGGCAGCACGAAGAATCTCGACCCGTTTATCATCTCGGGCTCCAAGGTCCTCGAGGGCATGGGCACATTCCTCTGCACCTCGGTCGGTGTGAACTCGAGCTTCGGCAAGATCATGATGTCCGTCCGTACCGAAATCGAAGCCACCCCGCTGCAGAAGAAGCTCGAGAGACTAGCCGTCGCGATCGCCAAACTAGGTGGTGGCGCCGCCGTCCTCCTGTTCTTCGTCCTACTGTTCCGCTTCCTCGGCGGTCTTTCCACAGACGTTCGAAGCCCCTCAGCCAAGGCCTCCGCCTTCCTGGACATCCTCATCGTCGCCGTAACCATCATCGTCGTAGCCGTGCCTGAAGGTCTACCCCTAGCCGTAACCCTAGCGCTAGCCTTCGCCACGACCCGCCTCCTCAAGGAGAACAACCTCGTGCGCGTCCTCCGCGCCTGCGAAACAATGGGCAACGCCACGACCATCTGCTCCGACAAAACCGGCACGCTCACCACGAACAAGATGACCGTCGTCGCCGGCACCTTCGGCTCTTCCAGCTTCGCCAAGCCCGACACCACCAGCAGCGAGAAACCCTCCACGTCCCAGCCCGTCCCGCAATGGGCCGCCTCCCTCTCGCAGAAGACGAAGGACGCCATCATCCAGTCGATCGCGATCAACTCGACGGCCTTCGAGGGCGAGGAGAACGGGCAGTTCACGTACATCGGGTCGAAGACCGAGACGGCGCTGCTGCACCTCGCGCGCGACCACCTGGGGATGCAGTCGCTGGCCGAGATCCACGCGAACGAGACGGCGGTGCAGAAGATGCCGTTCGACTCCGGCAAGAAGTGCATGGGCGCCGTCATCAAGCTGCGCGACGGCACCGGGTACAGGCTCCTGGTGAAAGGCGCCTCCGAGATCCTCCTGGGCTACTGCAGCGACAAGGCGGACATCCACTCGCTCGAGGCGAGCCCGCTGACGAGCGAGGACCGCAAGGGGCTGACGGCGACGATCGACGCGTACGCGAAGGGCTCGCTGAGGACGATCGGCATCGTGTACAGGGACTTCCCGCAGTGGCCCCCCGCGGGCGCGGAGCTGGAGGACGAGCACGTGAAGTTCGAGGCCGTGCTGAAAGACCTCGTCTGGCTTGGGCTGGTGGGCATCCAGGACCCCGTGCGCCCCGGCGTTCCCGAGGCTGTTGCGAAGGCGCAGCATGCTGGTGTGGTGGTGCGCATGGTGACGGGCGACAATGCCGTCACGGCGCAGGCCATTGCGACGGAGTGTGGAATTTACACCGAAGGTGGCCTCATCATGGAAGGGCCCGAGTTCAGACGGTTGAGCGAGGCGGAGATGGACGCGCGGCTGCCGAAGCTGCAGGTTCTTGCGCGCTCGTCGCCCGAGGACAAGAGGATCTTGGTCGCGAGGTTAAAGGCGCTGGGTGAGACGGTGGCGGTTACAGGCGACGGCACGAACGACGCGCCCGCCTTGAAAACGGCGGATGTTGGGTTTTCGATGGGCATCTGCGGAACCGAGGTCGCGAAGGAGGCGTCGGAGATCGTGCTGATGGACGACAACTTCGCGTCGATCCTGACGGCGCTCAAATGGGGGCGCGCGGTCAACGACTCCGTGCAGAAGTTCCTGCAGTTCCAGATCACCGTCAACATCACCGCCGTCCTTCTCGCCTTCGTGTCCGCCGTCGCCGACCCTGAGATGCACTCCGTGCTCACGGCCGTGCAGCTGCTGTGGGTCAACCTCATCATGGACACCTTCGCCGCACTGGCGCTCGCCACCGACCCGCCGACCGAGAAAGTCCTCGACCGCAAGCCGCAGCCCAAGAGCGCTCCCCTCATCACCACCAACATGTGGAAGATGATCACGGGGCAGGCGATCTTCCAGCTAATCGTGACCTTCGTGCTCCACTTCGCCGGCGCGTCGATCCTGGGCTACGACCCGGAGGACGAGACGCGCAAGACGGAGCTCAACACGATGGTGTTCAACACGTTCGTGTGGATGCAGATCTTCAACGAGTTCAACAACCGCCGCCTCGACAACAAGTTCAACATCTTCGAGGGCGTCCACCGCAACCAGTTCTTCATCGTCATCAACTGCATCATGGTCGGCGCCCAGATCGCCATCGTCTTCGTCGGCGGCACCGCCTTCGAGATCAAGGCCATCGACGGCACGCAGTGGGCCATCTGTCTCGTCGCCGCCGCCGTCTGCCTGCCCTGGGCCATCGTCGTGCGCCTCTTCCCCGACGAGCTGTTCGCCAAGATCGCCGCGGTGGTCGGCGCCCCCGTTGTCGTCGCGTTCCGGTTCCTGGCTAAGGTCGGCGGAAAGATCAGCGGGGCATGCGGCAGAATGTGGAGGCGGATGAGACCTGCGAAGCAAGCTTCTGGAGAAGAAGAAGAAGAAGAGGTCGAGCAGATGTCGGAGAAGAAGCAGAGCGAGGCCGCGCCCGAGATCGTGGTCTCGGGTGATGGCGTTTTTGGTGGCAATTCGACGAACCCGGAAATCCAAATAGAGGACCTGGAGCAAGGTCGTCGGTAGAGATTTCTTTTGTCAGTTTTTTTTTTTTTTATGTCGTAATGCGGTAATGGAGATATGTCTGTACAATAGGCAGCAGCCCGGTAAACAGCAATTGGGATGCGGAGGGTATACGGTATATATACAGGATAGATAGAGGTATCGCGCTTATAAGCCACGGAATTGTATTTTAGATATTTATTAGGTACGCAACAATGTGCGCCAATGAAAAAAAAAAAACTTGTCAGAAGTATTGTTTATACAGAAATGGAAATTTCATGAAGCATTAGCCAATGACTTGAGGTTGCTCGTGATTTGCTATATGATAACATGCCGCTACACCAGAAGGTGAATGGCTCGTCTTTCACTAACTATTTCTAACCTATATCAGTATATTTGGTAGATATCATCCTCAATTACAACTTTGCTTACCGATGTTGGTACAATAGGAAGGCTGGGGAATTTTATCTATAGTTGAGGGCAATATCGATGGAATACTAAATGTAACTGATCTAATGGTCTATGGTCTAAAGTCTGGAATAGAAGAGATATCAATATCATCTACCTAGTACGTAATCTAGCAATGGCTTCGATTTCCATGGGAGGGAATGACTGTATAATTGAAGTTGGGTGATAGTAGATCATCATCAAGGATTGTATCATCGCTGAACTAAATTTCCCGCGATACTACAACTTCGTAACTCTGTAGCTTTAAAATCTATATATATCATACATTGATTTGTGCCAAATAGAAGTGAGTCGTATACGTGTGTGGCGAGGTCCTTGCGCGGCAACCTATCACCAGATATACTCATAAGCAAGAGACACTTAATGAGCGATCAATCATTCACCTTTTGGCATAACGGTATGTTCTGGCACCTATATAGCTGTAGCTATGCGTTCTATTGGGAGATAATAGGTAATACGGATATTTTTCTATTCTCAGAGGTTCATAATCGCAATGTGATAAAATCCACCGGCTCCCAGTAACGGATGTTGGAAGCATATATACGTATTTTATATTAGTTCTAAATAGGACAATGATTCTGGTCCTATTCGGAGAGCAAGAAATCAACGGAGCTTGAGTCTACAGATTATTACTAATTAAATTAAATCTACATGTTCGATATCCAATATGGTGGCACTTAGAGTTATGGTATATCATCATATTGCGAGTGCTTGACGAGACGATTTTTCCTGTCCAGGAATTTTGGTCGTCGCTGTCGTATGATAGACAAACGGTTTACAAATATTTTCAGTACTATGAGGCATTGTTAACTTGGATAACCTATTGCCGGAAGATCGGGTTACAAGACGTTGATTATTTCTACATCAGAACTATAAACCTTTACCATTATACACGAAAAGACTGTAATGTCGATGGATGATAGAAGATAATGATATATTAGATATCACTCCCTGGAGAACTCATACATATGATGCGAAGAACCCTCGTGGGAGGTTAGAAAGGCAAGCGTGGAGAGCTAACAGTGACTACAATACGAATTCCTATCTCTCAGTTTTCGAATGGGAGACATCACGGGGGTATTCACTGGCATATGAGAATGGCAGCCTGTAATTAATAAACTTATTTCCAAAGGTCTATTCCTACTACTCCCTAGCATCTGCTCTACGTATGAAAAATATCACAGGAAACTCCATTAACATATGAGGATGGGGGAATCTATTCAATACAACTATTTCTGACGGTCTATGCTGGCAGTGACGAAGCCAAAGTCCACGTAGGAATCCATACGACAACACAGGTCTGAGGCGCAGGACGCCTGCGCAAGTGGTCTAGGTTAGTCATGGGCGCCATATTTCTTTAGGGCTACCTAAGGGTAGGGTACATAGTGCCGCAGTGGAAGCTAGCAAGTAAACACTCCAGGAATATACGGGCATAGCCCTGAAGGCGACAACACGAGCAGTTCAGGTGGCTTAGTTCCCCAGTGCGCGTTGTAGGTTAGCTTATGTAATTCGTACACTCACGCGCTAAACCGAAAATGGACGGATTTGGTCAATCAACATACATGTGCGTAGGTACCGTCCTATTCCGAATTTGGAATTAAAAAATGAATCGAAATATACAATGGTACATTTGACAATTCGAATAACTATATTCAATTATTTTCGAGGTGGAAAAAAAGGCATAAAACTGGACAGTGCGCACTGGGGTACAGGGCAGGTGCGGGTTGAAACGTTAATACCTGATGTGGAAGGTGGGTCCTCAGATCGGCCAATCACAGCGTAGTAGATCGGATGCCAAGGCTTTTTTTCAACCTCATTCCTTAATGTCCCTAAGCCAAGTCACGGAATTTTTATAGAAGAAAGGTACAATGGCAATTATGTTTGCTCAGGTAGATGGGATGGAATTACTACAGCACTAAATGATTTTTTTTAGGCACTTGCTGAGCGCTGTATTATGTTGATAGCACGGGAATCTCGTAGGCGTAGGTGGCTATTATACAGATAATTGACAGGTTATTGCCGTTCTGAAGGGAACTTCTACTGATGGGTTCTAAAACTTCCATCATGAACGGGCTGATGGCTTGTCCATGGAAATACTTTTCTTCTAGGCAATTGTAGCTGTCTAGATTAGGTATATGTGTGGTCATTCTTGCCGTAAATAATATAGCACTTTCATCCCATCTTCTGACAGTTTTTTAGTGGTAGGCAAACAACTAACCTAGGTGACTTCTATTCAGGTTTGTGTGCTATGGAAGGAACAACTTAGATCAGTGATACATAAATCTGGTGGACTTAGAGTCATCTCAGTTACTATTAAGTCCCTAATGTTGTAGCTGCTAGGTATTGTTAGTGATAATTTGGGGCGGACAGGTACAATAAGTGTGCTGTAGTTGATGTCACGTACCTATCATATAAGTAAGACTTTTCCCTATCTTTGTAGGAGACATTGGCCTGAATTCTCAGGCTCAACTTTAGAGCAGCTGATCCTGAATGGTGCGCAATGGTGCGTACAGTGGTAACTGCAATGAAAAGACAATGGAATATCCTAATCGAGCAAATTAAAATAAAAATCACAATGGTAAGAAACAGAATTTTGGCATTTTTGTGCCAGAAGTAGTAAGTGCCTTTCGTCTGATCTTCTATGCGGGCTCTCATTGGCCGAAAAATAAAAAATAAACGCACTGTAGTCGAAAAATCAGTAAATCGAGCGACGGTAACCTTAGAGATCAGGGTAAAATCAGAGGTACCTGCCATTGTACCACGGCAACCACCAAAAACCTGCTCAATCAGACCCCACAGCTCGAACCTGAGGCATCAATCGAAAAACTATATAAACTCCCAGACCTTCGACAAATTTCAAACTTCTTTCTTTCTTTCCTCTTCAAGTACGTCAGACCAATTTATTCAGTGATACCTGTTTTTCAAACAGCCGTTCCAGCATTAAAGCAATTCGTCCACGTATCTATCGCGCTCATCGATCTTAGGATCGATTGATTTTATCGACGTAACTCCGGTTACCAATTACTATCGTAGCTTCGGTTACTTATTTTATTTATCCCTTTACCTTCTTCCCGACTTACCCCCCTTCTTTTATTCTCTCCCTTTTCTAAACACCGACTAATTATCACCCTTCTTTTATTTCTCTTTATTTTATCCGGCGAGCATCAGTAACAATGTTCGCCTATACGCTGATTATGCCCCTGCTCCTGGCACTAGATGCCTTACTTACCTACACCGTTCCTATTCCAGCGACCATTACGTCGCTTATGCCCCTCGATACGAGTATGGGCCTACCGGTCGGTCTTATCATCGGCCTTACTATGATCTGGTATCTAGATGAACCAGAAGATCGCCACCCAGGCGACTATATCCTTGCGCTCGTTGCCAATGCCGTCGCAGCGATGTGGGTCAAGGGTATCTTTGGCGGCGAGATCTCGCAAGAGATCTATGGTGTTGTTCTGATGTGCGCCTGCCGATATTTCAGTGACCCCAAGTACCCGGCCACCCACATCGTTGCGGCGACTATGATCGCGCAAAAGATGATTAAAGAAGATGGAGTTTTGCTGTCCGTCGATGCAGTATTGGTATTGGCCTTCTTCTTCTTGCCCCTCGCCGAGATGGTCGCGTGGGCCACCACGACAATTACTCACACTTCCATCGCAGCGCTTCGCCTGTTTCCTCGCCTTTGCCGTTATGGCATTGGTCTCGGCGTCCGCGTTCGCGACACTGTCATGTCCAAATGGCAGTGGCTCGCTCATTGCCTGGCGCGTCCTACGATGGTAGACGCATGCACTCAAACAGCTCAGAGTGCAGCCACTGAGCAATCGCAGCTGGTCGTGTCCAGCATGTTTACGGTGGCCTGTGTCGTGCCATCTCCGGAAAAAGAAGTTGAGCCCCCGAGAAAAACGCGCATGAAGAAGTCTGAGGTAAGCATCAATCCCTCAACCCCTTTTTACTGACCTTTGACTTGCCAAGATAATTTGCTAACTTGTATCTTATAGTACCTACGAAAGAAGTATTTGATGCCGAAACGTCCTCTGGCTGGAATTCGGGATTCGCTGCGAGATGAAGAACCTCCTATTACCCGACCCATGGAGATGCCAGATGTTCCTCTGCCAGCCAGCTCTTCAACTACCCACGAGTCTAATGTTCCGGAGATTGGTGCCGAACATCTCGTCGATGAGCCCAAGGCAAGAACTGACCGTCCAGAGAGCGCCCAAGACACGGATCGTACCGTCGAGGCGGTTCCTGAGTCCCAAGAGCCCGTCACACTCTTGGATCAGACTCTCGAGCCATCTCTGTCTCCCGCTGAGTCCTCCGCCCTAGCCCCAGCGGTCCCGGTTCCAGCCATGACGTTTCAAGAGTACCTGCGCACTCCAGGCTGGAGCTTTGAAGAGGCGGCCGTACTATTCGGCCTAGTCGATATGGAACTCGTCGACGAAGATAGCCCAGCCGACGAGACCCGCCCAGCCGACGATAACAACGCGAACGACGAAGAAGACGAGAATGACGCCGCGAACGACGACGCGAGCGAGAACGATGAAGCCGGCGAGAATGAGGAGGATGCCGGGGAAGCCGACCTGTTCCCTCCTACCAACGATGCCGCCGAAGAAGAGAGTAAGGAAGAGGAGGAGGAGCTCAGTGAAGCCAACGTTGCCGAAGAAGTAAAATCTTCCGCGGAGGCCGAACCATTCCCTCCTACCAATGCCGCCGCCGCCGACAACAACACGAACGATACCGTTGAAGTCGCACCTCTTCCCCTCCCAACAGCCGAAGACGCACATGCTACCGTCGAGGCTTCATCGTTTGCCGACCTAGCACGAGAATCAAGCTTTACTTTCTCGATGCCAACCAGCCAATTTGCCCAAGACGCGGGTCTTACCGTCGAGGCAATCCCGACAAGACTCGCCATTGCCCGAGACGAAGACAATGCCGTCGAGGCAACCCCACCGCTTGTTCCTCTACCGATGCTCATTGCCCAACTAGCCAGACAGACCGCTTTTCCGTTTGGAGCGACGGCTCCCACAGCTGCCGAAGACGCTGGTCGCGTTGCTGAGGCTCCTTTCTTCGCCGAAGACGCGGATCGTACCGCCGAGGCAAGTCAGGTTGCTGAGGACGCAATGGATCCCGTCCAGGCAGCTCCAATGTACCAAGAGCCCACCGCAGGAGAAGCCGGTCTCGCCGACGCAGACGAGCCGATCACATTGGACAATTTGCATCCAGAGGAACTCGACCTGGTGGGGTACGAGTTTCAGATGCCAACGTACAGTGCCCAAGCCGAGGGCAATGCCACCGAGAATCCCAACCAGGCCTACGATTCTCTGGAGCCCGCCGCCGCCCAGCCCATCGACTTTGAGAACGTCGATTTTTCCTTGCCCGCTGGAAACGCCGCAGGGACAGAGATGGACCTATCGGGGCCCGAAACGAGTGGAGCAGAGGTTCCCAGTTTGAGTGAGTTTGCCAGCGAGATGGACATGATTGTCAACGATGCTCCTCAGCTGGGACAGTTGTCCGAGGGGTTTTACTCTTCGGCGACTGCCTTTGAGCAACAGATGGCCCAATTCGCAAACGAGTTGGATTACGCCGCCGCACAGGCGCAGCCTGACGCTCAAGGACCGAACTCTACGAGTGCCGCGCTACCTGGTCCCGAGCCCGAGGCACCAGCACCAGAACCAGTACAAGCCCAAGAAGACTGGGCCCCGGCACAGGCAGCAACAGAAGCACAAGTACAGGCACAGGCACAAGAGGCACAAGAAGCACAAATCCAGGCACCAGTTCAGCAAGCCAACGACGAAATGAACTGGTTGGCGGAGAGTGAGGCAAATGCGCCACGCCCTTTCCAGTTCACGGGCAGTTCGGAAAGGAACTCTGAGACGCCTTCGCAAGCGCAGCCAATCGAAGAGTTCCGGCCCGTTCTGCCCAGACTGGCGCAGTCGATCAACACCGAGGTGAGCATGGAGGATGCCCCTTCGGGGGTGTCTCAACCAGCAACTCCCGCTGGGCTGTTCGTAGGAACACCCATGGAGGTTTCGACGCCCATGACTCCCTCCCCTCGACGATTGCTCACTCCCGTCAGACCATCTCACGCAACACCACTGGCCAACACCAACAACCGACAAGCCCAACTCGCGGCCCCTGTCCCGGCAACGGCCGCCGCACCTGAACCGTCAACCCCACAGGTGCGCACGCCTGCGCCGGTCCTCGACAGCGGGACCCTTCGGACGCCCACTTCGGCAGACCGCCCCGCCTTCGACATCATTCCCGCCAAATGGATCCTGGAGTCAAAGCCCAAGAGCACGTACACGATACCTCTTGCGGGAACCAGAGGGGAATCGAAGTTGAAGGGGAGGCCAGTGCCGACGTCCAAGGGGGGCCGCCAGCGCCAGACCGACGAGATGATCGCCAAGGAGAAGCAGAGACTGGCGTGGGAAGAGGCGTCTTGGAATGACTATCACAAGCCTCTCCACAACCCGGTGGTCGACGGTGAGCTGGACGAGCAGAAGCTCCTCGCCGTAATGGCAAGGCTGGACCAATTGGATGCCGAGTACCGGGCATCCATGGCCAGCCTCAACGAGGAGGTGACTGCCCGGCGAACCGCAGAGACCAGGAGGTACTTTGACGAGAAGCTCCGACGCGACGCGGAGCGGTTCCAGGCGAGGCAGAAGCAGAGGCCGGCAGCCAACCCCTTCCTAGCGAAGAAGCCGGCGAAGAAGCAGCCTCCACCCGCGAAGAAGTGATCTATCGGTCACTTCTTCCGGGTATGAGGCTTCCTTCATTTTTTTTTCTCTCTCTCTCTGCGAAGCCAAGCCGAAGAACCGGACTCCTTCCGCGCAAGACCTCTCTCCCATGTCCAGTTCTCTTTTATTATTTTTATTTTATTACGATTGTTTTTCCCCTCCGAACTCCTCACGAACTCTAAACGTCATGGACTATACCAGAATGCCGAAGATACCGAAGTCCTAGACCATGTTCCCCCTATTTATTTATTTTTCCTTTCTCTTTTCTCTCTCTATCTCTCTCTCTCTACCTTATATTACCATCATCTATCTCGCTCAACCTCCTTCATAACCAACCATATTTCCGACGAAGTTCTTTTTCCGACTAATTTATTGTCCCCCCCTCTTTTCCGACCGCCTCGACCCGAGTGGCAAGGGTCTTGAGCGCCAACTTCGTCTTTTACGATTTTTATATTACGACATTAAGAGGGATCCGGACTCGAGTGGCAAGAGTCCGGAAGAGCAAGAATAAAGAACAACGATGATGCGAGAGATTTCACCCGAACCCGAACCCGACCCGACCCCACGACCTCCTATACCATACACTATACCGATACGAGTTGGAGAGTCAGACTTCGCCTTGGGAGCAGAAGTCGATGTTGCGATGACAGATTGTTTTTTTCCGCAGCAGTTACTACAGGGTCCAGGAAGATATATACCTGCGACGGTCTTTTGGGGGTGCGACACAGAGAGTTTTTGTTTTGGGGACACGCTATTGAGAAAGAAGATATTTGAGGAGTTCGGAGGGGATGAAGTTTGGACGAAAGACTTTCTTGAAAGTAGGTTCTTTTCCTTTCTCCTTTTCCATTCTACACATCCCCTTTACGAGCTGGAATGCTGACAAAATTATATTTAGTTGTTATTATTCAGTGTGATAAGATTCAGTGTGATGAGACCGACGAAGTTACGATGTCCAGGCAGTCCAAGAATGATTCTAGGTTACGAACGATGTCAAGGCAGTCCCAGATTGATTCCAGATTACGAACGATGTCTAGGCAGTCCAAGAATGATTCAGGATTACGAGTACTTGAAACGAGGGGAAACCGAGTACCAGCCGGGCCTTACCTAGTCGACCGAGCGACGAGAAGAGTTTACAGTGTTTTCAAGCTGTATGAGGACAAGAACAACGCCTTCGTCCGAGGAGCTCTTCCTGTTGCTGGAACCAAGAGATTTACATGGTTCAATCGCGACGATGTGAGGTCTTACCGTCGCGCTCACACACGCACACACAAGAACACACACAAGAAAGCCCACCATTGACATTTCGCAGCCAGCCTCTCCTACAGCAGCCAAGCCAGCCATCACTACCAAGATCATCATCGAGCAACGTTTCTGTCGACTGACTATCATCACAGCGCATACCGGTGCCGTCCAAGCTATACAGTCCGCGGCCGAACGAACAATTTCCACTACGAGGTATGCGATTTGGAGTCAAGGATTCGATCGATGTTGCTGGCTTGGAAACAGGATGTGGGAGCAAGGACTACCAGGAATTCTATCCACCGAAGAAATCAAGTGCTCCTTTTATCGACCAGTTACTATCTGCTGGAGCCATCCTGGTGGGGAAAATGCGATGCTGTCAATGGTGCGATGGGCAGGATCCCCTCGAGCGGCTCGAAGAGGTTACGCCGACCAACCCTCGAGGGGATACCTACCAGAAGCCTTCGTCATCGAGTTCAGGCTCTGCTACAGGAGCTGCCAGTTATTCGTGGCTGGACTTCACTATCGGAACCGACACGGGCGGTTCGATAAGGCATCCCGCGGGAGTAAACGGCCTCTTTGGGGTGAGGCCTTCCCACGGGATTGTCAGAAGTTCAGGCCTAGTGTGCTCCCAATACTTGGATACCGCCGGTGTATTTGCTCGGTCTGCTCAAATACTCAGAGCTGTGAGCATGACCATCATGAGCAATCAACAACAAGAAAAACCAACAACAACCAACTGGAAGGCAAGCGACGAAAAGAATAAGGGGAACACCAAATTCAAGCTTCTCTACGCGACCCAGTCCACCGACGATTCGGACCCATGCGAGACACCAAAGTTCTTTTCGCAAGAGGGAAAAGGTCCAGAATCGAATACACCAGCGGGACAACTGATCGAACAATTCATCACAAGTATTGAGGAGCACCTAGCCTGTATCCGGCACGAAACTAACATCTACGAGCTGTGGCGTGACACTCACCCACAGGGCACTCCTGAGAGCCTGACCGAGGCCACCGACACGATGTACCAAGACATCGTGTACCACGAACTTTCACACGGGACTGTGGGACCGTTTGTACGAGATTACCGGGCCGCCAACGAGAACGCGAACAGAAACCAGAACAACCAAAACAACTTGGGCTTCGATCGAACAACAACTACTACTACTACTACAACTCCGTTCATTGAACCAATCACCAAACTCCGCCTAGACTATGGCAAAAGCGTTTCTGGCACCCGGTACGAGAGAGCAGTTGGAAGACTGAAAGAATACGGTGCTTGGGTCAACGAAGTACTACTACCTTCACCTTCACCTTCACCGCCCTCCACTTGCGCACCTCCTTCTTCCGAACTCTGCTCCTCGACATCAAGTACAAACGCCCGCAGTCCCGTCCCTATATTGGTATGCCCACTAACCTGGGGCCGACCGTCCTACCGGGACGAAGTCGCGAGACGTCCAACAAGCACAACCGCAGAAACAACAACAAACCAGCCCGACACCCCGAGCACCAACACCAGCACCACCATCTTCTGGCCCGGCTTTTCGATCCACTCGATCAGCTACAGCTCGGGGTGTCCCGACGTCTCGGTACCCATCGGGGAAGTGAAGTTCCGGCCTCGGATCAGCTCAGCGAGCTCGATGACGAGGGCTTCCACCAACACAGACGAGTCCCGTCTCCCGGTGGCCGTCTCCATGCTGGCGCCCCGGGGATGCGACGAGCACTTGCTGCAACTGCTGCACGACTTGGAGACGAAGGGGGTTCTGAGGGAGGTGGAGTGTGGGGAAAGGCTTTGGGCCGATGGGAGATGAGGAGGGAAAACAAAACAAAAAAAAAAAAAAAAAAAAAAAAGAGTCAGGAGTAAGAGAAGGGTCGGACGTTGGAGATGTGATGGTGATGGTTATGGTGATGGGGCAATCTGAGTTCACATGCCAGCATAAACTGCAGCATTTCCTTTTTCTGCAAGCATAAACTGCTGCAATGAATTCCTTTTCGATGAAGCTAAGTTATCATTTGTTGCTTGAATCGTCGTTGCTAATGTTTCCCCCCCAATCTCTCTAGAAGAACCGAACGTCTTTACTTTGCGAAGCCCGCAAGTGTTTTTTTCTATACCAACCTCTGGTGTCTGCATAAACTGCAGCTCACCCAACACTTGCGGAGAACCAACACACACACGGGCAAGGGAACAAAGACCCAGTTATGACGCCCCAGCAAACCCCCCCAGCGGCAGAGAAAGCATTCCGCCGAGCCGTCCCTTCGGGGGCAGGTCTCTCCGGTCTTGCGATCTTGAGTCCTGGGCTGGTCTAGGGACCGGACTGGCGCACGCCCGCGGGCTGCTGCCCTCCGGGTACTCAGGTTTCTGGTGGAAGGAGCATGCCGACGCAGAGCCAATGAAGTTCTCCAGCTGCTTGAAGTCCTGGGTCGCTTGGGGACTTGTCGAGAGCCTTTATGGGGATCGACGAGCCCCGATTGTCCCTTCGCCCTTGGGCCGGAGATCGGGGTTTTCAGCCTAAGTGAAGCTGGCCCTGGTACTCTGCGCCCGGAGGCCGTTGGAGAGACTGCGGTGGCCTTTGTTTTGCTGCCGGGTACCCACGGAATTTTCCTCACACACCCCCGGGGTCAAGGGAGATCGAGTTTGGTAGCCTTGAAGCTCCTCGGTACTTTGCCGCCCCTAGGACGTGGAACGGAGATTGAGATGACCGCTGAAGTTGTCCAGTACACACGTCCTCCCCCCCTGGCACGCGGGATTGCAGCTGCCCTCGAAGGCGCTGCGGTACCTCGCTGCCCCAGGTCCGTGGAGAGACCGCGATGACACTCGTTGTCCGGTACACACGCTACCTTTAGATAGGGGGGGCTTTGTCGAGGGAGGCGGGGATTAGCTCAGGACGGCGTCCCCTCACCTCACTGGTGTCCGCATAAACTGCGGGCAGCAACCTCGGCAACTTGGTTCTTACTTCGCAAAGGCCGCAAGATGTCAATTATTGACATTGGCAAAAGACTTCGGTTTGGATAGAAAGAGAAGGGGGAAGGGGAGGAGATGGGAAAGGGAAAAAGGGAAGGGAGAAGAAGAAGAAAAGGAAACGAAAAAGGAAAAGGAAAAGGAAGCCATCATCAGAGTCAAAGAAGCTCTAAAAGGCACTCAGATCCCACTCACATTGAACACTACATCACTCACCATCACCATCACATCACACACATCCACGCCGACCCAGGTAGGAAGCAAGGACAAAAGAGTTTTACTACTGATCTCACCAGCCAACACCACCAACTGCCACAGAGATCCTCACCACACAAACCCACAAGCAAATCTACGACGACAACCACACAGTCGTAGTGGTAGTACTACTCACCTCCTGCCTTCCTACCTCTCTCCTCCTCCACTCGACCCTACCAACCAACCAACCAACCAACCCCTTGCCAACCAACGAACCTTGCCTACTATCTGTCTCCTAATAAGCGATTAAGATCAATTCTCCGAGGCAGCCGACCAACAAACAAACAAACAAACACACAACAACCAACTTGGCCTGACACTTTCAAGAAGTTCCGTGAAAGTGTGAAGTCGTCTCTACATACATAACCCGGTATCTCGAGATGGATTAGCTACCTAGGTACCTAGATACCTAGCAAGGCTAGGCTAGGCTAGGAAGAGGGAATTAGGAATAGGGGTTTGGGCTTGGGCTTGGGCTTGGGCTTGGGGTTTTTGGTACCTACTGGTATTGATTGGGGTTGACACAGACCGCGCGGCACACGCATAAATTGCCAAGTGTGCCCTGGGTGAACTACTCTATATAGTTAGTTATCAAGTTCCCTGGTCTAACTATTTGACCTTTGATGATTGTGACTTGTGACTTGTGACTTGTTTTCGGAGCCCTGATGCCTAAAGTAGTAGTTTATAACCAATGTCTAACAACTAACTTTGGTCACTTCGTAGCTTCGTAACCGCGTAGATCGACTGTCTTGTTCCCGTCGTAGAGTCCTCGTAGGGACTATACGGGCAGTGGTAGAGTAGGTAATGGGCTAAGAATTGAGTAACCCAGGTTGTCCGGATGTCGTAGTAGGCCTAATACTTGACTTTGTAGCTTCGTAGACTTAACTGTCTTGTCCCATTGTAGATTCGTCGTAGGTTGGCGGCTGGGTTGATAGGTAAATCAGTAAAGGGGAAAGGATGTGCCGGCCTACGTAACTAGTAGTAAATACATCCACGTCGTCGTAGTGAGCCTGATATCCAACCTCATAACCTCATAGCCTCGCAAATCGACTATCTCGCCCTGTCGTAGATTACCCGCAGAGGCTGCCGAGGTGCCGTGGTAGCTTACCTATCTAGTTCAAACGTGCCCACCTATCCATCCATCCAACTAGTAACAAACACATCTAGATCGTACTTATTGAAATGCTATCCTAAGCGGGGGGGGGGAGTCAAGAGGTGACCGAACCATCTATCAAGTAAGCAGCTAACCCAAAGACCACAGCCCGGGCGCGAAGTTAGAGATAAAGATCCCCGCGCAACAACGATCTCGTTCTGTCTGCGACCTCTAGGTTCCGCCTGGTGAAACAGCCAGATACAGATTGTGAATCTAGAGCAGAGCAGAGCAGAGCAAGAGCCCCCCGTTTCTACAAACAGTAGTTGGCCCGGACGAGAATGTATTTATACTGGCTCACTTAGGTAGGTAGGCATGCTCAACCACTACCTACTCGGTAATAGTGTAGAAGGGGGTCAAGTACTCAAATCACATTCTCTTCATCTCTTTGGGGGGGGGTCTTCTTAACACGGGCACGTAGAAAGCTTGGTAGCAGAAACAACATAAAACAGAAAATAGGGGCAATCTGTAGGATTATCGTTGGGTATATTTATCTCGTAGGTACCTACTCTATCTCGTACTCTGTAGCTCGGCTTAACCAAGTCCGACCTTTCATCCAGCCAGCACCCCATAAAGCATTCTCGTAAAGTATATTCATAAAGCATACACACCTGGGCACACATGCTGTACCATACCAAAAACGTGTAACGTATGACGTACTCCGCATAACATATCGGCACTCCCATCAAGGACCATCGAGGCATCATATCGTATCGTTTGGCCATCACCATCGTCATTCTCATCCAACCCCCTTACCGAACCCAACCAAAAATTTAAAATAACCGTGAAGAGGAGAGCCGATCCAGGAAACAATTACAAGTGCAAGTGAATCCATACCCAAACCCAAATCCAAGCCCAAACCACCTAACCTAGGTATAACGCCATCATCCATCGTCCTCGCTTTCGTTACCCCCTCATCAATCAATCTAGTATCCGTATTTCTCCTTTTTTTTTCTTCTTTTCTTTTCTTTTCTTTTCTGTCTTCGTTTACCAACCCCCCGGGCTATGATGACCATGATGCCCATGATGCCCGTGGTGGCTGTGATGCCCGTGGTGTCCATGATGCCCCGAGTGACTCGAATGCCCGGAGTGCGAACCCCCATGATGCGAAGGCGACTGCTGCCCATACCCGTAGCCCGCCGGCGCATACTGCGGCTGTGCATACCCATATCCTCCCTGCGCATACTGCGGCTGCCCATGCCCATGCCCATGCCCATGCCCACTAACATGACCATCATGCCTCTTCTGCATCCTCCCCTCAATCATATTCGCCGCCACCGCACCCACCGCACTCCCCAGCAACGTACCCAGCTTCCCCTTCCCCAACTTATTCCCCAGCAGCCCGCCCGCTCCGCCACCAAGCAACGTCGCGCCTAGCCCTCTTTCGCCGTCCTCGCCTTCGCCACTCTGCGGATGGTTCGGATCGTGCTGGTACTGCTGCTGCTGCGGCGACTGTGCACCCGCGGAGTGGGGACGCCCGCCATCATACGGCGAGGCGCCAGGGCGCTGGTGCTTCTCGTCCGGGTAGGGCGGCGGCGGGTATCCGGCATCCGAGTGTGCGGAGCCGGGCCGTGCGTACTGGGACTGCGCGGGGTAGGGCGCGAGATAGTTGTTTTGTTGCCCTGCTGGCGACGGGGCGTAGGTGGATTGCGATGGGTACGGCGAATGGGATGCGCCGTTCGCGTAGGTGGGCTGTGGGGGGTACGGGGAGTGGGATGGGGAGGGGGCGTATTGGGATTGAGATGGGTATGGGGAGGGGCTGTTGTTGTAGTTCTGGGGATAGCCACCGCCGTTGTTGTTTCCGTAGTAGTCTGCGGCTGACATCTTGGAAGACTTGTATTGTAAGTCGTGGAATGGGTATGTTATCAATCGTCTGGGTTCGTCTAGGTTAGAGGTGGAAGCAATGAAGCTATAGATGTATAGATATTGAATCTTGAATCTTCTTTATTGTAAGATCTTTAGGTCGGGTACAACTGTTGTATGTAGATAGTTATGTTCAATAGCAGACGAAGTTGTAGAAAGCGAATTCGAAATTCAAAAAAAAAAAAAAGAAGAATCCCAAGTAATCTACGAACAAAGAGGAATCCTTCCAAACTTTATATATCAGTGACTGCCCAGGTGGCTTATATGTACTTCGCGTCCTTCGCATTCCTCGCATAGAGTAATACATGTACGGAGTGATTATCATACAAATTAGTCACAAGACTCCAGAAGGATGGACCTGACCTGCGTGCGTCGAGGCGGAGCTGTTTTTGCCGTTTTGCCCGTTTTGTATCTGTACCACCTCTATCTGTCTGCCTGTGTAACCACCAACATCCCTACCTCCGTAGCATCACATCACCGCAAACGCAAACTTTATGCCGATTCGCTCAGTGGCTTTAGCGTAATTTAGTGGCTTGCAAATGCTGTAGAAGGAAAAGAACGCCTTGGCGCACGAGGTCACTCGCATCCGAGACTAGGGCGGGCTGCCCAGTGCCCAGCCCACACTGCAAGTGAATAAAACATTGGACTGCGCCTCATTAGATTATGTACACACATAAAAGTACGTACTAACTATGTAACTATGTAAGCATTGCCCCTGATGAGGCTACATGCTATGCAACATATGTCAACGGTTAATGTTCTCTCGCTGCTTCCGGCAACTCCCCAACGACAAGCTGACGACACGAACTGGTGGGGAAATTCGTCACTGTCAATGTCACTGTTCCCTTTCCTCGGCACCTAAACCCCGGGCATAACACCTCTATGATAAATGTAACTTGTAGATATTGGCATTAAACGTTCAACAGGCTTTATGCTATGTAGGTTGCTGTAGGTAAGTAGGTAGGCATATGTGGTATATGCAGGTGCTAGATTCGTGCTTGGACAGTAAGTAGATATAGATACATATAGATGGTAGATGGAGATTTTAAGATTATCGGCGGTTATATACCTCACACATGAGTCGGACGCATGCTTCCCATTGCTAAGGCTGATCTGTTCAGGGCCAGACAAGCCAACTCCCACGAAAAAAACATATACATCGCAAAAAGGAATTAGCCTCCCCGTCATCATGCTCATGAATCTCCCATAAATGCAACCCGTTGCTCCTGTGAGTCCCAATGTCGTTTCAAGGAAAACCACTCAATGCATCATGATCGTGAAATGCAAGGCCGAACAGAAATTAGACCGTTCCGTGATGGCTAAATCTCGGACAATATATATACGTACGCATGCAACACAACCGACAAAAGAAAAATACATTTCCATGTTCGCTCAACTCTGTCGCCAACCACAGCCACGGCGTCCATGGAAATCCACATCAAACTCCCATCATAGGTCCACTTCTTCTTCTTTGCGGAAGGGAAATCTCACTCTCTGAATCAGAGCTATCATCCGCAGCTACCCGATCCAGCATCCGTTCAATCTCATCCCCCCGAAGCGCTGTTCTAGGTCGAGCTGACCCACCCAGACCTGCAGGGATAGACATCGAAGGCCTGGAAATAGACCCGTTCATCGTTCGACGGCGAGGTGTTCCCCTAGCATGCGGCGACCCATGTGGATCTTCCATTTCCATCCCACCGCCATAATTGCCCGGTGATTTCTCGAATCCAACCCGTTTGCCCTGAGGCACAGGGTGCTGCTGCTGCTGCGGCCGTGCTGTGGGCAAACTCTTACGTGCCGGACCGCTCATCTCTGCTCCGGCTCCTAATCGTGAGGTAGGAAGAGCAGTCCGACCTCCGTTTCGCGGTTGTGGCTGCGACGGTTGGACCGATTGCGAGGGTTGTGATGAAGGAAATGCATGCTTGACATTTGCCGAGTTACCGGGACTACTCATAAACATCAACGTCTCCAGCGCTTCCTGCTCTCGGACATTCTGATGCGGGGAAAATAATATAGGGTCAACATTAGAGGTCCTCATGGCCCCTTGGCTTGGTGTGCTCTGCAGCGGGCTAGGTTGGGCAGGAGTGTGAGGAGAAGGATGATGGGGGTGGGATAGATAGGCTGGAGCGAATCTTGCGTTGGAACTGCGGCGCGCATGACCTTGGCCGGACTGGCGCGGCTGTATAGGGGCCGGTGGAGCCAGAGTCGGTACTTGAGAGACGGGTGAAGTCAATGTCAGGGGTTTGCTATTGCCATCTCTCCAAAACGACTCGTAGGTGCGGCTGTGGGATGGATGATACAGCGTAGGGCTAGTAACATTGCTTGAAGCTCTTTGCCGCCCAGAAACTGCAGGGACTCGAGGACTGGCAGACGCTCCTTGTCTCCCATGCAACGTTGAGGTACTAGAGGTGGGGGAAGCAACTTGGGAAGCCAGCGACTCCACCTCGTCAATAGAATGTCCTTGCCAACCGTTGTTGACCTTGACCATTGCGTAAGACAACTTGGTTCTTAATTCTGCGGATAGCTGTTGTAACATATTTAGCAGCTTTCCTGAAGACGCGTCATGAGTAACGGCGAAATACCTCTCCAATGCGACTGCTAGTCGTAGATGCCATGCTCACAGTGCTAGTATTTCTAGAATGGCCACGACGGACTGGTGATACATTTGAGGCAGTTCTCGTGTGCTTCACCACGCCGTCGGCCATTCTCTTCCTTGATTGGCCGCCATTTATTGTATTATCATCAACATCAACCATCTTCTGCTGCGCCGCGGCAGCCTGAGACAGCTGCAGCAAATGAGATTCCTGACTAGAGGCATGGCTATTTCCAAGTCCATTGCTACCCTCGCTGTCGCTCTCGGGCGGTGTAAAAATGCGATTGGTCTCGTTCGAAGCCGTAGTATCTTGTGAACCATTGCTAGAATAGTTGAGAAGCTGGTTCTGGCTATTGGAAAAGCTTGGAGGCTGTATAGGGGGGTCTAGTCCTGGGAGGACACCCGTGCTACTTATTTGCGACATGGTCTAATGTATTCGCTAGATTAGATGCTTAGAGGGTTAAAAGAAACGCTGTAGCCCAGACGCGGGATACTCGCGTCGACTTGGACTTTATAATAATGCCAATGGTAAATTGAGTAGCCTATTTGGCGACAGATAAATAGCAATAGATAGAATGATAGGCTTGAAACAGCCAACTTTGGAGCGGAGTTGGTTGCTGTTGAAACGTGTTGGTTTCGAGGTTATTGGGTTTGAAGATGCTGATCTTGCTTAGCGAGTTGTACGCGTTGTGTCGCCGCCAGATGCCCGATCTCGCGCGGGATCATAGGTAATTAAAAAAATGATGTGTTATTTTCGAATTACGGCAGAGTCGCGTCAGATCAAAATCCAGGTGATTAGCACTTGAGGTAACCCCAACACATAGGCGAGATGACAAAGTACTGTTTCGTAGAATTACGACCGTAGGTGGAATAGATTGATATTCAGTGAGTTCGTCCGTCCGTCAAGTTGGTCAATAGTAAGAACTAGAATGATTGTGGGAGGTATGAGGTTTGAGGTCTGAGGTTTAAGGATTGAGGCGTGGTGGGTGGTGGGCAAGTGGGTTAGGTGGGAAGTGGGACTGGTGAATTGAATTCGGGCCAGACGCGACGCGGGAGGATAGTAAGCTAAAGAGGGAATGATGAGACCTAAGCCGAGTCACGATGATTGAATCCAGGTAACTTAGGTCTGTCTGCCAGTGTCTGGTAGGTAGTAGGTACAGTCAATACTACTGTAGTAGTGTAGTAGGGTAAGGTATAATAATGTAAAGTTTGAGGACCTAGGGTAGGGTAGTAAAAAAAAAAAGCTAGGTTAACTTAACCCTTCCTTCCCAATGCTGAGGTTAATAAGAGTTTTGAAGTTGCATAGAATAGTTCCCAATATTAAAGTGGAAAATCGACGTTGTCGACGTTGATTCGACCAGCACGAAGAGGGCAAGTCCAACTCAAAACTCGGCCAAATAGCGAATGGTTTAGGAGGGGAAGCCATAGTGGGAGGCAATTGGCGGCATATTACGCGGTCAAGTCGCGCCATCATTTTACAACCTTTCTGCGACCCGTGCTTTTTTTCGCCGGCTTTGGGGCTTTTTGTGGTTACCTATTGTGGTCAACCTGCACTAAACTTATTAGTGTGCGCAAGTCAACCACACATCTCCAGGCCATCATGTGCGCTAAGACCCTTCACCAACTACATGGTCCTAGCGTCTTGAACCGCTATTCTTTTCTGTACTGAAGACTCTCAGTTTCGCAAACATCTCCGGCTATGTAATAATTGTGCATTTCGGCTCACACATAGTTACATAATTACTAATGTTGTATAATCTTGAATATTCTACCTGTAATAATTTGACAATCTACCCAAGTTCAATGTCAGCTGTCAAATAACTAGTAGGCAACTTACTATCACAAATACGAAGCTCAAATATTATCAACCTTGATATGATAACAAATATAGGTAAGCACGGTTATTTATTTTGTGTTCTTGCATGGGGAATAGATCTGGATTAGCAGCATGGAATATACTAGGTAATCTAAAATATGATCGACTTCTCCCCTGTCTACCAAAAAAATGACGAGTGCAAAGCGGAGAGGGCGGGAAGGGGGAAGGGGAAAAGGGAAAAAACCAAATGCAAAAAATGGCGCGTTTCTGGGGTTGTGAATAAGTCTAGCCATCTCTACCCGGCTCGGTCTAAAGAGCTGCAACTAGCCAACTTAACACGAAGTCACGTGCGAATACCCGCGCTCCCCTCCTCCATTTTCAATCAAACGTTGTAGTTACTAATACCTAGTATCTACCTCGGTATAGAGGGGGTTGCAAGTTACAACATACCTTAGTGTACAACAATAGTAGATGGTATTATGGTAAAGACTTGAATGTTCTTCTATACATACTGTATATAAACCCGGTAAAGTTACAAGTCAAAGAGGAGATCACCCCGTCAGAAATCCCAACAGGCTTCTGTTCAGGGGACATCTGGTACACTCGGATTGGTGCTGGAGGTTACACAGCAGACTGGGTCTTCTTTGATGTTGAGAACTTGAGCGCCCAGCCGCCCAGCCGCCCAGCAGGGTTGACCGGGTATCCGTTCTTAGAGATACTACGTACCTAGGTACATGTAGTTATAGCTTACATACCTAGGTTACTAGGTAGTACGCCATAATTAGTGCTAAGAAACCATCACCAAGAAATCAAAAGAAACAAAAGAACTGACATCGATGTGATAATTTGAGCTGGAGACTATTAAACTGTTCTGAAAGTGACTTAGATTTCACATCTAACGTACTATCAAAACCTGAAAATTCAAGTATGTGTTTGAGAAGACGAGTGAATTCAATGTTCTATAACATTGTACCTTTCGCTAGTACATGTAACAGAAGACTACATGTACCTAGTAACCTAAGTATATAGGTAGCTTACTCAGATATACGTAGGTAGTAAATAGGGAGTATGTAGATATAAACATAAAAATTCCTAGGAACGCCAACATTCATACTGACATTATAGCCCATTTAACTAAACGGAAACCTTACTACGTCCTGTTTACCTCTTTTCAGCCAGCAGAGCAAGAATCGCCTCCATGTAATCCCCACTCAGATTCATCTTAACCGAGTCACTGAGGGACACCCCACCCGTCGAATATATCTCATAGGCAGACTTGGCCGCCTCTAAACGACTCCGGTTCCAGTATAGACTAACGACCCTGTTGATAAAAAGTCGATCCTTGCGTATCGTCTTGTGTAGTGGCTCCTCCAGTCTCTTCGCATCGGTGCGTGCCCTGTCCACCGCGCTCTCTAGCATGTACAGCAGCGCGTCCTCTACGTCTCCCCGGAACTCCTTGCCGATGACATCTTCGAGTGAGCGCTGGTACTTGCGCTCGTACGCGTCTGATATCGCGTTTAGCTGCGCGGCGTTGGACCCCGTGAAGATATGGGCAACAGAAATAGCGTTGGCGCCAACAATGCCCTCAGTTGCGCACTGCAGTTCCGTTACTTTTTCGTCGATCTCTTCAGGGTTCACTGGCGCCATGTCCTCAGCCCTGGTGGCAGCTAATACCATACTATATAGGCGAAACAACGTGTCATCAACATCGCCCTTGATATCAATAAGGAGATCATGGCCCTTAATGCGCCGGTACTCGTCACTGATCGCCCGAATATCTGCATTAGAGCGGCAGAGAAGGACATCCATCAGCGCATCTTCGTCAGTACCAAAGCCATCAAGCGCCTTGATGAGAACCCTCACATCCTGCTCCAATGGACCTCGAACTAAGGCAAGCAGTAAGGTCTCTAAGTCACCTCGCGTTTCGCTTTTGATATCATCGGCTAGATCCCGAACGAAACGGCTGCTGTAATCTTGTACGAGCTGCGCCATCGCCCATGGGTTTTCATATCTCGGCGATGTGAAAACACTTATCAAGGCTGCCTCGTCGCATCCAAAGCCTTTCATGGCCTTGCGGATAACTTCCACGTCCGCTGAAGTGTCAACGGGAGCATAGTATGCTCTCTGTGCAGGGTCATAACCCACCGATGCGGGAGTTGGAGCCACACCATAGCCGTGACTCTGCACGGGGTGGTGTTGGTGAGATTGTACTGGTTGCTGCCATTGTGGAGCGCCGGGCTATATTCCATATAATCGTTAGTGGCGGCTCGCCGCAGATAAGAATAGACACTAGACCTAGGGGGGATCCGTATTGCTGTGGGGGGGTAACTTACTTGTTGGTTGGCATTAGGGCCTTGGTAGGTATTTGGTGGATATTGGCCATATTGTGCCGGCAGCGCCTGTGGAGGTGGATAGGGCTGGTGCTGATATTGCGTCGGAGGACCCTGATTGTATTGTTGGTACTGATTAGATTGTGACGGACCTTGGGGGCCTTGTTGTTGATATGTGGATGGTACTGAAGCTGGCAGCTCGACTGGGGGGAAGGAAGCTGGCAATTCTACTGGAGAGTAGTAGGCAGATGACGGTGACTGCTGAGGCTGTCCTAATTGACCGGGAGGGCCACCAGCGGTTGGATATTGGCCGTAAAACTGTTGGGTCATGTTTCTCTTTGGTATGTCAAACGTTTCTATAAACTTTTCTTTCTTTCGGTGTGTGAGTTGTCGCGGAAATGAGGGAAGTAAAAGAGGAGATGATTTTCTTGCTCTTATCAAAAGTTATGTGGATTCGAAAGGATGAAATAAAAATCACCCGCGCGCTGTCCATACACTGCCATCTATTGACATAGTCCTAGGCCAGCCATTTATAGCGAGGCCTCCTTTAACTGCGGTCATCATGCTATACTATACTACCGTGGACTATATCGTTCAGCCACGCTCCTTGCCCAATGGAGCTACAACTGTGTGATCTGGCAACTTTTCAAGTTCAATGTTTAGTTATGTAGTTTAAAGATTTGGCATTGATGGGAATGAGTCAATGATAATAGTAGTTAGGCACCACTGTAACTATGCACCACTGTAACTATGCACCACTGCACTATGCACCACTGTAACTAATAACCATAAGCATCCGTGGATACATGCATCAACCTAATAAACCCCCACTTACCTAGGTTTGCCACCTAACGTTCGAAAGTGTCAACTAACCTTAGGTAAATATGCTCTGCAGAAGATTCGTCAGGTGCTGCAAACAATTAAGATTCTACAGATGTAGGTACATACGTTTGAAGCGGGGCACTGGGGTGGGTACGAGCATGTAAATATATATGCATAACTTGAAGCTAAAAGATAAGATAAACTCGTCTTATTGACGAAAACAAACAAATCTAAAAAGAAAAAAAAAAGAAAAAAAAAAGCATAAACCTCCCATTTCCAACAAGAGCTTCATTTTACTCTTTTTTATACTTAATTATAATGAAATCAAACCTATGAGATTGTGCCAATGGGCTTATATATAGCCATTCCGGACTCTCCGAGTCGCCATGGACGATTTTTCCGATGATGACTTGGATAACCTGAATGTGACGATTCTGCAGGAACTCGAGAATAATGCCATTCAATCCACCCAAGCACAGAAGAAATACCAACAATCGCAAACACACCAAATATTAGACTATGAATTTGAAGACGATGACCTTGACGATTCCGTTGTTCAAGATGAACTGGGGCTCAACACCACCTTGCTACCAAACAAAACTGCTCAATTACCATCAAGGATAATCCAACACCATCAACCCCAACCACAACCACAACCACAACCAAGAACACCATGGGGTGGGCCAGTGCCTGTTCCTGCCAGTCGCTTTCGCCCGCAACCTATAGATCCTTTACGACCATCATTAAATATTCCTCCTAGCTCTCATCTATCCCAACAGCCCGTCTCTCGTGCTCCAATCCCGCAATATGGCCAGATTCGCCATCCGCCTCCTTTGCCCCGACCTACTCCTTCTATTCCCCCGAGATACCAAGCTTCGCAAGCTGCGCGACAAAGTGGCATCTCAAGTCACGAACTTGCTGCATTACAAGCTCAGATATTGGATCTCAAAACACGACTTACTACCAAGGATGGAGAAATAGGCATCGTCCGAAAACGATTGGAGAAGAGTCGCGAAGACCATGAACGCGAGCTTCAGGCATTGAAGAAGCAGACAGCCGAACAAGTCGCAAAGCAGGAAAGAGCTCTCGAGGCTGCGAAAGCTGCTCAACAGGCCGCCTCTACAGAGCTCGAATTCACAAGGCGAGATCTCAAAGACGAAATAGATCGCGTCAAGCGCAAAGATGGGCCCGCAACGCCCAGGAAGAACACAGTCGCCAAGTCATGGGGCATATCCGACGGATTTGAGGATGTCGAGGTAGCTGTTAGTCCGACCAAGGGGAAGCGCAATAAGAATACCGGAGCTGTAGCCAGTGTCGTAGTGGAACCGTCCTTACGAGCTGCGAGAACTCCAACCAAGGGAAAGAGGAAACGTCCCAATGTGGATAGTCCTGTAAGGGCTTTGGAGACTCATTCGGAGGACGTAGTAATGGTAGACAGTGTTAGCGCAAACGACGCCAATCACACCCAATTAGTGAATGCTATGCCTAGAACTGCTTCTCTTGATGTATGTCGCCCCCGAAGTTACCAACGCATATCGTGCATTACACTAATATTCATTAGTACATAAAAGTGATACTCAACCATAGTTCAGCTCATGGTCGTCCACTCGTCTTCGAATCCCTAGCTCGCTATGCGCTTCCATCGCAGCCCACAGAAAGTATAGCCTCGATCCTCTTTCAAAAGTTGGCGGTTATTGGGGATCCTCTTAACCCCATGCGACTGCCTATAGAATTCTGTGAGCAAGTCATTCAACTGTGGGATAGTTGTCGAAAGGAAGATTGCGTTAGTATTTCCCCTGAGCCAATGGTAGATGGCATTCGCTAACAAACTCCAAGCTGGAGCCCATAATGGAGCTCGTCTCGCTAGTGTCTCTCACTGTCCAGTTGTACACTGTTGCAGTTTCACCGTATATCGCTGCTTCTCTTCTACCAGTCGCCATGGATTCCTGTTACGAGGTGGGAATTCCTAGGTTCTACCACGAAGGCCCTGGAAATCCAACCAAGGAGTCCTGGAAAAGTTTCCATGCTAACATATCACCTACCGAGATCCTGTCTTTGCTATATCTGACTGCCTTGGGCTGCGCAGCCTCGCCTCCAGTCGGAGGTGGTGTTACTGATCCTGCAGTTGATTTCTGGGGTCAGGTTCAGATTGAGTTTGTACTCATGCAGCTCAGTCAAAAACATCCGGTAGAGGACTACCTAATTATGCTAAGGTGGTTGTGTACTTCTGTGTTTCCCGACAGTATCGGGCCAATTAGTCCCAATAGGACTGTAGAGGTGGTAGCAGCTACACTAATCGAGCGAATTTCTCTCCAGCTGGTGGAGACCCCGCGTTGGGATATCGATCAATACAAGCTGCGAACGGTTCGAAACGCAGTGTTACGAACACTAGCCGCTTTTGCTAGGTCTTCTTTCGGTCTTGCGCAGCTTGCTATTAACAATTATGCTATTCCACGTTTGGTCACCTTGCTTTCATCGTCTATAGACGAGCTCTACGATGGTGATATGCGATACGAGGCTTCGGAAGAGGATATTTCACAAAGGGAGTTACAGGCGTTGATCGCACATACCACGTTACTACTGCACACAATCATCACGAACCCTTTAACTGCGGATTTGGTGGATGTACCAGGAAAACTGAGCAAGTCGATGGCAGGCTCGCAGAAATATCTGCTCAGCTTGGGACGACTTAACTTTTCAGAGGATTTGGTATCGGAAGAGACGGCGGAACTGGCGCACGAGCTCCTCGAGCTGGCTGTAACACCGGAAGAGGGAGAGGAGTTGGGTCGGTTCTTTGGGGGATGAGCAACTATTGGTGGTGCTATTTGAAAACACACACTTGCTTACCTAGGAAGGTAAAAAATACATGTGGTATAATGGTGTCAGACTGGTGTCGGGATATTGAATAGTTCTTGGCCACTTTGTTGGGAGCGGTTATGAATCGGTACGATTGTATTATGCAAGTACCTAGGTTAGGTCAGTAGGTATGGATGGTTAATGGATGGGTATGAACATTGAAGTTATGTACTTATCTGGTGCATGCGTAGGGCTGAATCTATTCTTGAATTGATGCCCTAAATACCCATTTTGATTTCGTATCTCGATTTCTTGTGTATGTAATGTATGTACCTTACATATTGGTCATTTGTTGCATGTGAAAATGCTTAATACTTATGTAGGGTAGATTTACAAGGTCCAGAAATCCAAAAGTCCAATAATCCAATAATACCATAGCGAAAGCACGGGATGACGACATGATTGAGTTCAAGGTCCCAGTTTCATAAGGCGGGACGCCACAGTATAGCCAACTTAAAGGTAAGTTATGTCAAGTCCGGCCCACCTTGCTTCCACCACTACGGCATTACTGCCTGCCTGGCCCTGCCAATGCCTGAAAGTCCAAAGTTCTTCGTGGTTCCAGCAACTAAGCCACAGTTTGACGTAGCCCAGCATAATGCAAAGTAATTAATTGTGAATTGTTCAGCCAGCCAACTTTTCTGCAAACATCCGAAAGGCTTTAACCCAGAAAAATTTGGTTTGCATTGCACTGAGGCCTTCAACCAACATTTGGCTTGGTTCAGATAATAACACCTAAGTGGAAAGGAAAGGAAAGAAGAAGACAATACTTTTTTTTTTGTTTCACTTTCAGCTTCACTACTTCAACTTTTATTTCTTCCTTCTTATTCTTCTCTTCTTTTTTTGAGGACACCTTAAGACGGACTATATTATCCGGACCAACAAAAAGCAAACAGAAAACGAGAGAAGTTGAAAATATAGAAATAATTTCACGTGTGTCTTTCAAGGCGGCGTCCACCTTGATCAACTTCTCCAATATTCAAGCCGCTGACGATCCGATATCCCCGCCCTCTTGCCTCGCTTTAAAACCTCAAGCTTGTGCTACTTTTCGCAGCTGTCTTGGTCGGTATAGACTTAGTTGAAATAGTATTATTTGTCTCAACTGTCGAGGAAGCTCTTAGTCTTGCCAAGCAAACGCTCATTAGCGATTCCATCATTGGTGCAGACCCTCCCTGGTCAAGCCGAACATCCGCGAAACACATCTAAACACTTATATTTGATTAATACTTGGCGAATTATTGTTTGTTGTCGCATTAACAAATACCAAACCTGATAAAACCTGACGACAATACTTGACATACGCACCCGACTCGATTGTTTCTTCACAGCAAATTTTACACCTTTGCCGACGCGAACAGAAAACTGTCCATAATGACGAAACCGCGTCGCGGGGTGCGGTTCCCTGGCCGGAGCATCAATGGCCATTCTGAGGGGAGGAGGGCTAGCTTTGGAGAGATGAGCGAAGATGGATCAGGATCTCCCGTACGGACCAAGACCTCGCCGCAATTAGATGGCATTAGCGAAGTATGTTTGACCTATGCCACCAAAGAGCTAGTCCAAAGCCGTTTCCTATACCCAGGACTTGCTACCCGATAGTCTATCGCATTTATACGATATGGCACTTATAAGGATGGGGATGAGAATAATAAGAGAGCTCAAATCAAAGCTAACATGATGCTCCTATACAGAAACCCCCGGTGCAATCCGACTACGAGAAGAAAAAGGCCAACTTCATCACTCGGACTTTTTGGACTTTCGTCATGATCGGCGGCTTCTTCGCGGCTCTGTTTGGCGGCCATATTTACATCATCGCCTGTATTACCATCGTCCAGGTCGTCTCGTTTAAAGAAGTTATCGCTATTGCGAGCGTTCCCAGTCGAGCTCGACAGCTACGCCCTACGAAAAGTCTGAATTGGTATTGGCTTGCCTCGACTATGTACTTTCTCTACGGCGAGTCCGTCATATACTATTTCAAACATATTGTGTTGGTGGACAAAGTACTTCTTCCGCTTGCCACGCACCACCGCTTCATCAGCTTCGTTTTATATGTCATAGGCTTTGTCTTCTTCGTCGCCAACCTTAAACCCGGCCATCTCAAATTCCAGTTCACCAACTTCGCTTGGACACATATGGCGCTATACTTGATCGTCGTGCAGGCACACTTCGTCATGAATAACGTCTTCGAAGGCATGATTTGGTTTTTCCTACCCGCTTCTCTCGTCATTACCAATGATATTTTTGCCTACATATGTGGTATCACCTTCGGCAGGACCCAGTTGATCAAGCTTTCCCCTAAGAAGACGGTCGAGGGCTTTGTGGGCGCTTGGGTCATGACCATCGGCTGGGCTATTCTCCTGACGAATGTTCTGATGCGCTCCAAGTACTTTATCTGCCCCGTCAACGATCTCGGCGCCAATATCTTCACGGGCCTCGAATGCGACCCCAACCCGGTCTTCCTTCCCTACACCTATACGCTACCTCAACTTTTCTTCCTACCGGAGGGTACAGGTCTCTCTTTTACCACTGAGCCCATGCAGTTTCATGCCATTATCTTGGCCACTTTCGCCTCGCTAATCGCGCCTTTTGGTGGTTTCTTTGCTTCCGGGCTCAAGCGCACCTTCAAGATCAAGGATTTTGGCGACTCCATACCTGGACACGGTGGCATGACTGACAGGATGGACTGCCAATTCATCATGGGATTCTTCGCCTTTATCTACTACCAAACATTTATTGCACAACACAAGGTCAACTTTGGGAACGTCATGGAGTTAGCCATCACGGGTTTGAGTGTAGAGGAGCAGGTGGAGCTGGTAAAGGGTATGAGCAGATATCTAGAGAATCAAGGAGCATGGGGTCCTGGGGTAAGCTATTTTTCCTTTCACTTCTTGCTGCGAACTGACAACTAACATACTGCAATAGATACACGATTGTTTGGAACGGGTACTACCAAGCAATTAATAGGAATAGGGTTAAATGCCTGACCTAGGTACCTACCTACCTAGGTAGGCAGCGAACTAAATTAATGTAAGGGGTAACAAATGGGAATATTGCCATTTTACATCCGTGTATACATACCTAGCTACTCTGTCGAGTAAGTAGCGCGTTAATGAATTGACGAAGATTACTTCTTGGGTCATCTCTTCCCTCTCGTAATGGTTTTTGTTTTTCTTTTTTCTTTTTCATACAGTAGGGGCAATATAGTAAAAGTATGGGGATGTCAATCCAGGAAGATTGTTGGCGTCTGGGTTATACAAGGTAGGATAGGTAGGTAGAAGGCAAAGGAAGCAGGTACAGGGGGAAAGACTCCGTCGGTATATAAGCACTTAAATTGCGCGTTTTGTATCATCACAGCTCTTTTGTAGGTATTAGATAGGTAATTATCACCATCCTAGGTAGGCAAATCTCAACATTACATACCTACTATGTAAGTATGCCCGGTTCCATGAACTCTTTGGACTCGAGAAGAAGGAATGATGGCCTCGCGAATTTCTTCCTCTTCACATATACACGTAGGTCTGACACCACAGATTCCATCCATGTCGGTCCGGTCCGGTCCAGTCTTTACCCCTGATGAGAGGTCGCCGATTTTTTGTCTACTAGGTATATTATTAAAGGAAATAGTAGAGCTGCGGTGAAGCAATGAGTAAATTCCGGAGATCACGTTTCCTACTAATCCCTCTTTGTTTCTTTCCCCTTTTTTCCCTCCCTTTTTCTTTCGATTTTCATTTCTTTTCTTTTTTTTTTTTTTTTTTTTTTTTACGTTCCTGGTACCTGAAAATCACCTATGCTTCCAGAACCTTTTTTCTCAGCTAGCCAAGAAGGAAAGAAGCGAAGTATCGCAGATAGTTCCCGACGTGCCAGGGCGGGAACCTTCCAGCGAGACTAAAACAAGGATGGAATGGAGTGTCTGAGTTTCCCGGCCCGTCTGCCGGTAATTTCTAGTGGGCTCGGCGTCGGGGTTCGGGTATCAAGAACGGTGCGGATTGTTGCGGCTACTTACTTACCCTGGTAAGTATCTCCAGGGCTGTCTAACTGGAAAGGCCTTACATAATAACCCTACCTAGGTAGGTATGTAGCCGTACGATGTAAGTACTTGGGTTGATACCTCCTATGTAGCATGCTAGAGATGTAGCAGATATACCAGATGGAAAGTGAGAGACACCATGACCATATATTTAAAACTTTCTTGGCAGCTCACCCATGACTTCTCCTTTTCAACCTTCATCTTCTGTTGCTAGATCTACCGTCGGTTTCGCGGCGCGCTGTTGCGCTGGTATGCGCAGAATGTACTCGGTCCAGTGATGAAGAGAATCAAAGGTCGGGCACTGAGACTTGTACATCAGGTACGGTTGGGCTTCCTATTGGGCGTTTTCTTGCTAAGCGATCATACTAACCTAGGTACCTAATGCTCAATATAGCAGAACATCCGTGGCGTCCATGTCTTGCGGCAATTATTCTATTTTGCCCCCTTCTCTTCAACGGGGTAAATGCCGTTCAAGCGGCTTACGGCGATGTAGAGGGGGCGTAAGAGAGACATGGAGGCGCGCACGTGTAGATAGGTAGGTAAGATTCAAACCCACAACCACGGATGACGCCGACATTAAAGATCATAAATGCTACAAATATTGCAGAGAGCTCGTGGCATTGTTCATTAACGATGCCTGCCCCACGCACTCCGTACTCTGCTGTAACGTCAAACAGCAGGTCGTTGATACGCCGGTTTGGCGTGCACACTCGGAAGGTTGGGCCCAAACGGATCTACGTTAGAATTCCACCGCAGCGGTTTGTTAAACACGCACGACCGACGAAACAAAGTTCCTTATTCACCTTGAACTTCAGCTTTAGGGTTTCTCAAGTTGATTGCGCGCATTAGTGCTGATCGCTCCCGGACGAGGGGGGGTGGAAGGGTGGATAGATGGATGGCTGGATGGTTGGATCAGTGAGTTTCAACCCACACTCGTATAACTAACTCGGCCGGAAAAAAGAAAACCTCGGACTCAGGTAACGGAGAGGATTTGCTAATGGACTACAGTTACGGAATATCCTCCGATGGAAAAAGAATAGAGAACACCGAAAAAAAAAACGCGCGAAAGACGGGGAGAAAGTTCGCGCAGGTGGCTAGCTGGAGGATCACACTTCTACTTCAGGACATTCTTCCGTGCTAAAGTGAACGGCGATGATGTTTTGCTAATTGGTGCTAGGTTGACGAATAGTTCTTCTATTTTTTAAGGGAGAAATCAACTTGGGCCAACGTACATATGTCTATTGAATATGCAGCACGACACCACCGAACGCGAACCCGAGGTCATGGCAAATACCTAACCTACTTACTGGGACTAAAAACTATCATTTATCTTGGTTTCTTGATCGTACATACATCTAACTGCTTGTGAGATTAAGTTATGACAGATGATTTCGAATAGGACTGCCTATTGGATGGGCGATGGTTAGGTGCCTGGGCAAAGGACGTACAAGCAGCACTAGGTAACCAACAGTCCCATGGTTGTCTGGGCGTTGGTAACGATGTGAATCCGACTGATTGATCTGACGGCAATGGTGGATGTCCCATGGGGATTGTAAGATGGATGCTACGCCGAGTCCTTCCCCAGAGATTCGCATGCGATGATGGCATGGCGGCACGGCCTGTTGGCTAGGCATGCAGAACTTAAGTGCATTGCATGACATGGCATTGCATTGCATTGCATCGACAAGAAACTATTTGAAGATGTCTTCTAGCCGAGACACTTTTTATGTAGGGCTAAGTCGCCAGATGCACCTCAAATAGCTTTCTGTAGATTGCCCGAAGCTCCAATGCAACCTTCACCGCTTCAGCTTTCGCTAAGTGTACGGACGAAAGATAGGTGCCTACACGCAGCAGATGCTATATATGTAAGTCGAGTGCGACATTTTGAGGGAACCGGTGAGAAAGACGTGTCGTCCACCCGGACATAAGTCGTACGCACGCACACAAGGTAGATCTGTATGGCATCAAGACTACGTATAATTCCATAGTACTCGGCCAGTTATTCGCGGTGGCTTGGTTGTGCTCCCTTCTAGAGCTGTTGGTGCAATCGAAAGAGGAAAAAGACCGTGGGGTACCACACGGGTAGAGTTTATGTATGCTAGGTAACGACTGTGTGTATTTGGCCGGTTAGACGCCCTGGCTACCTACCTAAGTATCTTCATGTTGGATATCAGTACCCTCCTTTTCATGCGCAGTGTTTCTAACAGGGGCTCGATGAAAACTCCGGCTCGATTCGTCACAGCTCTAGCCACGCAATATAGGTACGTGGAATCACATTACGGGCGCGAAAAAGGAGTCATTCCCATGTCCTAGATTTTAATATAGGGGAGCGACGTATTCCGGGGTGGCCGGACGTTATGAATCACAAGCGCGCAACCATGTGGTTGATTTTGGGTGACTCCTGACTTAATCATGAGGATGAGATGTGTTGGAACTGTTAATTTTTTTGTTGATGAAGATGTTGGTCTTATGTTGCTTATCGACAGCGTGCAAGTTGCGCTTACTTATGCCCGTGACTTGGTGGTCATGACCTCCTATTGTCTACACTTACATACCCTCAGCCCCCTACCCCTTAACCCGACCAACACCCCCCCTATTATCTAGCAAAATACATAGCTACCTAGTAGACATCTTTCTACCAAGGCCAATGCTTAAAGTACCAGGTAAAGTGGTTCTAGAAAACATTTTGAGTTTTCCATTGGCCTTTCCGCACCGGAACCGGGGATGCGCTCCAAGCTGGTTGGCTACCATTAGGATGGCACACCATGTGTATGGCTAATGTGACGTGCGCAGCAGTACCTACCTACCGCTTATAGTCCTCCCAGCCAATCAAGCATAGGCAGGTAACTCGAAACCGGACAAAGACCCCCCTCCCTCCCCCCCCCCCAACACTAGAGCAAATAGATAATCTTCAATACCTAACAACCCGAGCCTCTAATCTAGGTTGGCTACGGAGTTAACTATGCCAAAGCCTCTTTATGCCTTGAGAGCTAGCTGGTCGCCGACCGCGTGACAACTCGGGCTTCTGCCTATCATGCTGTGAAACATGTCATTCCTACCTACCTACCTACCTACCTACCCTCATACGTTATATATGGGCAACAGTGGCAGTGGCAGTGGTGACACGAGACCGGCCATGTGCCAACCCAACATGACCGGGTAGGTTATTTACACTTTGGACTTCGGTAGGTTGGCAGCGGGTATGGAGGGAGGATAGGGTTTTGTATATTTACTTGGTTACCTAAGGTTTTGTTTTGTGTTCCCCTTTTGTTTTTATATTCCTCAGGCTTTTTTGTGTTCAGTGTTCAGTTCTGTAGTCTCTTCCACACCCAGCTCGCTACACGAATATGGCTGTTGGTCTAATCCCATCAAAAGTCAGGTCATTCTTCCGCCGGCTCTTGGAGAAGAGAAGAAGAAGAAGAAAAGCAAGCAACTGTTCTTCGCCGCTCGAGAACGAGAAGCCGAAACACGAGTCGGCGTCAGCTCCTGCTCAAAATGCCAGCGACAATACTGCCGTGCCGGACTCGCAGCTCGCGAGCCCCTTTCTCTCCTGGTTGCCCATAGAGGTCCGGCAGATGATATACGGACTCGTCTGGAACGGCCCCTATGATCACAAGTACCATAACCCCCGTGGACGCCATGTCCATTTCCAGGACGGCCACTGGACTAATACGCGATGTGTCATGTATGAGGATGATGAGAACTTGGATTTTATACAGAATAATAGTATGTGTATTCCCAGATATCCCAAGTTGTGTTTCATATTTCTTCCGTGTGGCCGTCTGTACGCTAGATCTGTTCAGATGAATCCGCGCAACATCATTTGTCTTAGCATTCTCTCCTTTTAAGATAGGTATCTCGTTTACTAACCAACGTCGTCTCTTCAGTGGACAAAATCCATAGTTCAGGAAAAGGTGACCTCCTCATGTGGCAAAGGAGGCTCTCATCAACGTGGGGCTGCCGCCACTGGAGGTGCGAGGAAAGAGTCCGATATGGAAAGCCAACATCGATAGACCGTACGAATTTCATGTCTATGATGCTCGTCTGCAAACGGATGTAAGTGTTCCTTCCCTCAGTGAAACCCCCCAAACCCCCCCAAAACTCGGTACATATCTAGGTACCTAGATATCGATGCTAACATGCCGAGCGCCCCCCAGGTTCCCCGAAGTCACATCCTCAATCCTCGAATCCCACCAGCTCATCTTCACCGACCTCTTCTCCGCGCACCGCTTCTTCGTCTCCCCTTCCCCCTCCACATCCCCCTACCTCTCCCGCATCCGCCACCTCGACCTCTCCCTCACCCTCCCCTTCTACGAATACGCCCCCTTCACCCTCGACCCCCCCAGCAGCAACAAGAGCCGCGTCCGCGAGCTCGGCGACGCGCTGCGCCGCCGCATCGCGTGCCTCCACTCCCTGCGCGTCGCGCTCGACGTCTACGACCGCGGGCCCTGGCGCAAGATCCCCGAGCGCGCTGTTGTCGCGCAGTTGCGGGGTCTGAGTCTGAGTCTGAGGAGGGGGGGTGGCTTCACGCTGGAGTTGCCGCCGGAGCTGGCGATTAAGGTGCATTTGCCGAATATGCAGGGTCTGGACGAGGACGAGGATGGGGATGGGGATGGGGATGGGGGATGGGGTGGTTTCAGGGTGGTGAGGCGCCCGCGGTTGAGGTACTGGCAATTTGTTCCGGGGGAGGTGGAGAGGTTCACGTGGAAGGTGGAGGGGCGGGAGAAAGGGGGGAGGGGGAGGGAGAGGGGGGGAGAGGGCCATTGCTATATTGCGCTGGAGGGGGGGCAGAGGGATATTGCGAATCCGTACTTGGTGGATTTCTTCGCGAGAGGGTGAGAGAGGAGTGACCGGCGTGGACATGGATGTGTTGGGCCTGCAGTCGATGCAGAATCTGGCACCATCCTTCTTACCTGCCTACTAGGGAGATATGGGATCAATACGGATTCGACACAACTTTTCATGCCACGCACTTGGTTGCCTCACAGCGAATCTTCCAAAGCAGACCTTCGAGATAAAGCTCTACATATCTCGCCACAATTCGCATTTGGATGACATTGTGAAATGGTGGCCTGGCTTGTCTATCACATACCGGGACAGGATACCGACTCCATCTGGTGGTACAAAGATATATCAGCACGGACAGAAGCTATTATAGTAGGCGACATCATGCTGTAACTACCGAGTGGGCATCGCTGAGTTTCACTGAGTTGGAAAAAGGTCGCGGCCTGAATCTTCCACAACCCCCCCTTTTCTTCAGCGAAAGTGACTCGAAAGAGCACATTCTAGCTGCAGAGAATGCAGCGTGCCGACTTGTTTTTTCCAGTTACCACTCGGCTTTGTGGCTTTGGATGGCTGAAATAGCTGTCTCTGATGAAGACTAACCAGGGAGTAGTTGGTGCAAATGTGGCTTTTCGCCGACTGCCTTAAGGCTGTATGCGGCACTGTCGCTATGGTGACTCGACCGGGACGGCCGCCGAAAAGAGCCGGTCGACCCATATGAGTTTCTTCGGGGTTCTTCTTCGGTTTATGGTGCTGGAGGTAGAAGGCCGTGCGGCTTTATGGTGGATTAGGGGCATTGTTCAACTTACACTTGGAGGGAATAACGAACATCAAAACTACCTTGGTGGTGAACCTTCTTCTAGCCATAGAAGGTCGCTGTTCTAGCCTTTCCCAGGTTCAAATCTGATTCCATCCCTTTATAGCGCCACAAGGGGTGCGAATAAGTGAAGGGCGAAATGATAATAGACTACAAGAAGAAACCAAATCAAAAGCAAAGATCATAACTATAAAATCAAGTAGTAAAATCATTCTTTTGTCTACCTCCCAGTGCAATGGATCGTGATGAAAGCAACCATAACAAAAGACTGCCTACTTGCCTACTAGGTACCCAAGTCTACAGTACGCAAATTCTCCTAATCTAGTCAGTATTTGCTATCCATCCCCATCGTAACACTAGTCGCTGCACGTAGTCGACGACCGCGTCGTGTCACTCAAGTCCGTCACACCACTATCACTCAAGCGGGCCTTCCTCCTCTTCATCTCCGCCTTCCGCAACTCCTCCTCCTCCTTCATCCGAATCTCCTCTGCCTTGCGCACCTCCTCCGCCACCCAACCCGTAGCCTGCTCCACGGCTTCTGTAGCAGATCCCTGGTGCTGGATGAGGTACTCCTGTATCTGCGCCGGCGTGAATGTTTCTTCGGGAATCTGGGCGGAGAACTGCAGGCCCAGAGCTACTAGATCTGTACCCCCCTTTCCTCTACCCCCTTTCTCTCTACCACTTTCTACGTCCTGACTTTCGCCTTCACCATCACGCTCACGCTCACCCTCCCCCGGCGTCTCCTCAAACATCCTTCTAAACATATCCGCCGCGCCCCTCTGATTAATATGCCCCAGATAAATCTTCCTATCAACCCTCCCCGGCCTCAACAGCGCCTCGTCCAGCTTCTCCGGTTTATTCGTCGTGATCAGCAGCACCCGCCCCTCGCTCGACGCCACCCCGTCCAGCGCATTCAGCACCCCCGCCAGCGTGCACGCGCACGACTTCTTCGCCGACGTCCTATCGCCACTACTACTACTCCTACTCTTGGACTCGGCCCTCTTCCTCAGCCCCACCGCGTCGATGTCCTCCATCAGCACCAGCGCCGGCGACGGCAGCTCGCGGAACAGAAAGTCCAGGACGTCGTCGTTGGGTATGGCGGCAAGGTCGACGATGTACAGGTCGAGGCCGAAGCGCGACGCGAGCGCGAGCGACAGCGACGTCTTGCCCGTGCCGGGCGGGCCGTGCAGGAGGTACCCCCGGCGGTAGGGGATGTCGCGCGCGTTGTAGTAGCGGCGCGTGCGCGGGTCGAGGTACTGCTCTATGTCCGCGACCAGGCCGCGCTTGACGCCGGCGTCGAGGTGGATCGAGTCGAGCTGGCGCACCACCTTGTGCGCCTTGATCTCCCACGCGGACGAGGCGTAGTGCGAGTACGAGTGGTAGTTCACGCGGTCGAAGCCGCGGATCGTGACGGTCGGCTGCGCGTGCCTCTCCGACGCCGCGCGGCAGGTCTCGAGGAGCCGCTTGATCGGCGCCTGGGACCGGCCCAGCGTGGTGATGGCGAGGACGTCGCGCGCGCAGTCGGAGGAGTCGCCCCAGCGGGAGCGCGCGCGCCGGCTGTAGAAGCTGTCGTCTTTGGTGGTGGGGGTCTCGATCGCGAAGGGCCGCCAGTTGTGCATGAACCACACGGGGCCGGAGGCGGAGAGGTAGTCGATGGCGAATTTGTTCTTGATCTGCTGGAGGTCGTGGTCGTGGTCGTGGCCGCCATCGCGATCGCCTCCGCCTACCGTGAACTTCCGCGACGGCTTCGTCTGCGCCGTCAGGGGGCGGTTTGGCCGTCGCTCTAGTACATTCGTCGTCATCCAGTCGAGCACCTGCTGGTACAGTTCGTCGTTCATCGGGACCGAGATCGAGACTGTGAACAGCTCCTGCGCCCACTTGTAGGGCCACGCCCTCGAGCGGCTGATCAGGCCGAGGGTGCCGGCGAAGAAGCTGAAGAGCGTGAAGATGGTCGGGAGGTGCGTGAGGTCGAAGTCGAATTTGCGGGGGAGGAAGATTCGGAGGAGTTGGAGGAGGCGGTGCGTGGAGTCGGGGAGCCGCCGAGCCTCTTGCGCCGTGAGGAGGCCGGGCTGGTATGGGTGAGACATGGTTGGTTGATATGGTGGTGTGGGTGTGCTGTGTAGAGACGGCTGGCCTTTAGCCTACGCACGCATATACAGTCGGCACATGGAAACGCGAGGATCTAAGGTTGATGTAGTGTGGTTGTTAGTCAAGAGAGGTGAAGCTTTCCCTCGTTGATTCAACAGCAAGCAAAGATAAACAGCTATGTTTGCCGGCCAGAAGATGTTTGAGAAATTGGCACGGCAGCAGATCTGTAGGAAAATATATGAAACAACAATAGAGACACTGTAGGTAGATTGTAGAGCGATTGACTAGAGTTCCAAGACATATAAACGGATAGGCAAATGCAAGATAAACGATCCACGATGCTCAAAAAAAAGCGGTAAACGTACCTTCTCTCTTCCTCCTGTTGCGCCTTAGGTACTACTAACCTAGCATCTGAGAAGGACAACTCTCGTAGCTTCTGGGCTCCCCCTTTTACCTCGACAGGAGAGCAAACACACACAATAGGACAGGTGCGCATTGATATACCTGAATACCTATCCACTCCACACGATTAGAGGCGATAGGCATCCAGGCAGCAGCGCACTATACTATCTACCAACTCGCAGTTACATAGGCAGACATCTATGACACAAGCAAGTCACCATCACATCACATCACATCTGAAAATTCTATATTCTGTATTCTGTATTCTGTATTCTGTATTTTCTGCCACCTCGCGCTGAGTCACGTAGCCTATTTCAGGCATCTTTCCCCATCGTATATGTTTAAGAAGCAAAAGTCAGCCGCAGCTTCCCGTGGATATAGACACAAGGGCGCCGTGGAGTGAAACAAGAGTATCACACACTTACTCGTGGCATCGCAGCATTGGGTACGTGCTTGGGTATGTATAATGGCATGTGTAACTCGTGGGTAGGTAGGCTACCGTTGGACTGCCGCATTCTCGGTGAAGCCTACTGTGCTATTTCGTATCATGGATTACCATATCGAGGAATTTTACCACGGCGAGTAAGCCAACGACGTGGACGGCTATCTGTCTGTCCGAGCATGCTGATAGACACATATCTAATGGAGAATCTTCTGGATAATATTCATTAAGCTTACTATGTACCTAGGTAAGTAGGTACCTAGTAGGCAACTGGTAGTAAAGCAGTAGCTGGAGGTATATACTGTGCCTAAACCACACAACGTTACATATAACGTGGAACTCCACGGTAAAAAGAGCAGACTCCGCCGTAAAGCAAGACTAGTTACCCAATGCCTCAGTTTAAAAAAAAAGTAGCCACAGAATTCAGAATTCAGACTCGAAAGTATTAACGCGGGGAGGTCAAAGCCTCCCTAGGGCTTGTTCGTGCATCGTTAGCTCTCGCAATACTGCTATTCGCAGCTTTTCCTTCCGGTGTGTAACGCCTGTGCGCCAAACCCTGTCCAGCCGGCAACGCCCGCTTTGATGTTTGTTGTTCTGTCGTCTGTTGTATAAATCAAGGGCCTTATGCTTATGAAGCATCCTCCCGAACTCTCCCCTCTAGGCTAAGACTTCCTCCTAGATTCCGCATATGGACTTCCCTTAGTCTGCCTACCCAGTGCCGCCGTAGCACTGGCGTCATCTTGACAAACACCATCGCTTTGTTCTCGTCTGTCAGGGCCTTCTCTGCTATCTTAAGCTGCAAGTCGGCGTCCTCGTCTGCGAATTCCCGGAAGAAAATATCGAGCGCTTGCTCTGGCCATTTTGGGGGATTGCGGGTTCTCAGGGCCTCGGCGAGGGAAAAGATGCCGTCTTCTACAAGGCCAATGGAGCTAAAGGAACTGTTGACCCCTTGAGACACTGCCAGGGGCGCAGAAGTGGCGGCAGGAGCAGCAGCAGGAGGGTTGACAGATGAAGAAGACGGCGTAGTGGATTGCTGGTTGTAAAAGTTAGTGGAGAAGCGAGACGGTCTACCTCGTCGCTTTTCTGGGTAGCCAGGACCAGGGTTAGGGTTGGGCCGTTTTTGTGCTTGCGTATTAGGGGCGTGCTCGTCTGGTGGTGTAAGTGCACTCGGGTTTGCGCTGATGGATGTTCGAGGCGGAATGGTGGTGGATGAGGGTCTCTGCAGCATAGGCTGAGGCACGGTAGGCGTGGGTAACGGTTGGGTAACGGTTGGCGTTTGCTGCATTGGGGTTTGTTGTTGTAGTCCAGGATTTTGTGTGGGCGTCTGGTTGAATATGGTGGAGTCAAGGGAGGGATCGATAACACTTTGGTCTGCGGTGCTTGGTCTAGCGCTCAGGGTACCATCTGGGTTCCTTCGCCGCGGCTTCATGATCCGCTTTGGAGCGCCGCCAGATCCAACGACATCGGGGAATAGGATCTCCATGTAATCCTCGTGGTCGAACGGTCGACCTCTAAGGGCCTTCGATAGGGGTTCTTTCTGTAAGCCATGGCCGTTAGTTACCTAGGTAGGTTGGGTTGTTAAGAGATCTGAGGGGAGTATCCCCTGATGGTATAAAAGTACCTCAAAGTGCCCTCTCCAGGCATCCTCGCTGGCCGTAACCATTCTGGTGGTGGGGTTGTATAGAAACTCGGGATCCTCCCTTAACCCCCTCCACATGCGAAACTTCTTCCGCGCATTGTCAGCCTTATTGATGAGATGGCTCTTCTCGGGATATGCTCCATGTTTGTCGCGTAATGCGATGGCGGCGCGTTCCCAGGCGCCAGACTTGAAGCTATGGTTCTCCTTATATCCCATCTGCATGGACTCGCATAGCGATCTAAAGAAGGTCTCTTCGTATGCCAAATTCCAGCTAAATCGCGGGGTTCTTCTATCGGCGTTGCGCCGCGAACTTCGCGTGCCGGTAACTTCGACATCGTCGTCCGACATGATGACTGAGTGACGGACGAACGATAGTGCCGAGCTTGGCGACGGTGTAATAGACGATCAACCAAAGGGAGAAGTTAGGGATGAGTGGTATGAGTATAAAAATTAGAAACTAAAAAAAAAAAAAAGTTGTTATCGGTCCAGCTGGTACGGAGAATCTAGCTGCGATGTGCTTATCGATGGTGTTGATGGTCGTTGGTCAATTACGGTAGAAAATGGGAAATTTGGATAATGGAGAATGGGAAAATGGGAAAATGTGAGGTTGGGAGGGGAAAATCAAAGTGAGCTCAGTTTCAAACGGTGACGAAAACAGAGCACATGCACTCTGAGAAGTAATGAAGTGGCTGGTGGCAAGTGGCTGGGCAGTGCACTGTTCAAGTTCAATGTTCAAGTTCAATGTTCAATAACGTTAGTTAGTTAACTTATTGCTGTTGATCATTTAACTATACCTAGGTATGCATATATCTAGTGTTATGCATCTAAGTGCATCAACAGGTAAGCATCAACTATCGATAAGAGACTTGCTTACCTCAGGGCTATTGCTTCAAGTTGCTACTAACCTTAGGTAGTTAACTAGGTTAGGTGCTTCGTTTCGCTACGACCTGACGCTTTTATTTGGGTTTCCATTTTTCATTCTTTCATTCTTTTCAGACAATTACAAATCCTAGCTTCACTTCACCACAAGCGTCCCAAGCAATTCCAAGCCAAATTAAGCATTTGACAAAAAGTCTTGTCACAAACAAGCTTCTTCTAGCGTCGACATTTTCTTTACATGGCATCTAGACAAGACTTTCCATCTCCATATTCCCCATCTTCTTTACCCTTTACCCTTTTCCATCCCAACTAATATGTGCATACTATCCTGGTACATATCAAGCACATCATGCAGTTTTCGGTTTTTTCTTCGGTTCTATGTAAATCAGTGTACGACATAGTATGTAAATCAGCAAATCATTTCTGTCAGTCTACAAGGATCCGTGATCTCCTTTACCCAGCCTAAACCCTGTGCTGCTCTTGAAACGCCCCCAGGAATGTCTAGCCTTTGTTAAGGACTTTGTACTGTAACCTAAACTAGACCAAGGTGCCTGATGTTACCGTACTCGGAGATTTCGATTGTGTTGTATTGTACCTATCTAAGTATCTTTGTAGGTTTCAAAGGCTCGTGTTCTTTCACCGACGAGGGAGTTGCTCATGATACTCCCACTTACCTATATGTTCCTAACTATTACATGTCTGGGTATTCAACTTTGTCACCGAACTACATATGCTAACACCACTCTTTAGCTGCTTGGAGCCTTGGGTAGTAGGTACCTACACTATGCACGAGTACATGATGAGGCCAATGAGGCGCGGATTCCCCAGAATTCGCTACGGGTTCGAGCCCCTGCATTAGTCTCTGGAGCCTCAAGGTCCAGTGGATGAGAATCGTTTGTTCGCTAACGAGTCAAGCTCTTCATTGCCTATTCGCTTATCCTTCTTTAAACTAGCCCCCACCAACTTTGCTACATTATCCGCTTTAGAAGAATTCCTAGTGGACCTCGTTTCAACTTGTCGACGGGGAACATGACGACGCAAGCTCCAATTCTGGCCAAGCCCGTCTCTCGTCCCTCTGCACTCGAGACACAACTTGCATCACATCCATCATGGTTCCCATGATCGACCTTGGCTAGCTTGGCTAGAGCTTGTTTCTGATCTTTACGATCTTAACGTAGATCGAATGATGGCCTACCGGCCTTAATCCCTACACCCCTTTTTGTTGCTGGCTCTTCTTGGACTTCAAAAGCAGAACTCTTGGCCTTCGATTTCTTATTTTTTTTTCTTCTATTCTTCAATTCCTATGGAACCTGTTGTCCGCGACAACATTCATTCAGCAGTTGTTTCTTTCTAGTTTCCTTTCTCTCGTTGCTTGTCAACCTTTACCTTCGCCCTTCTTTGTATATTCTTACATTTTTTTCTTAAGCCGACCCCTTCTAGTCGAACCGTCAGACGGGTTGGATCTTTTCTTTCCATATCACTTCTTTCGTTCAAACCACCTGGTGTGGTCGTACTTATATTATTCGCATAAAAAACTTTATACTTCTATTCTTTCCAAGGGATTATAGGAAGATGCAGTCTTTCGCTAAATTGGTTCTCCTTTTTGGGCTTCTAGCCTTATCTTCTGCTTCGCCAGTGAAGATTCAAAAACGAGGTGTATACAAGGTCGAACGTGTGGCGAACCCGAACTACACTGGTCGCAATGGCCCTCGAGCGCTACTGAAGACTCTCCGCAAGTACCGGATGCCAATTCCAGCCTCCGTCGCAAATGCTGCGCAGCAACAGAGCGAGATGATCTCCAAAAGAGAACCTCGCCATAAGAAGGGTCGCAAGGGAGGTGCTGCTGGGGCTGCTGCTGGGGCTGCCGCTGGGGCTGCCGCTGGGGTAGCTGCGTCTAACGGAACTGGCTCTGTTACAGCCACTCCTGAGGCCAACGATGTTGAATACCTTTCTCCAGTTAATATTGGTGGACAGACTTTGAATCTCGATTTCGATTCTGGTTCTTCCGATCTGTGGGTTTTCAACACCCAGCTCAGCAATGCCGCGACCCAGGGTCACACGGTCTACGATCCTACCAAATCCAACACTTTTGCCTTAATGCAGGGTGCCTCATTCCAGATATCTTATGGAGATGGCTCAGGCGCGGCGGGAAATGTAGGGACTGACACTGTGGATCTTGGTGGTGCCACTGTCACCCAGCAGGCTATTGAGCTGGCCACCGCCGTTTCTAAGTCCTTTGTCGAAGATACGAACAACAACGGTCTACTAGGTCTTGCATTCAGCAGCATTAACACTGTCCAACCGCAGCAGCAGAAGACGTTCTTCGACAACGTCATGCCCTCGCTCGCCGAACCCCTATTCACTGCTGATCTCCGTGCACAAGCAGCTGGCGCTTATGAATTTGGCACTGTGGACACTTCCAAGTTCACCGGTGACATGACTTGGGTTCCTATCAACAACACCGCTGGCTTCTGGCAGTTTACCAGTGAGCAGTTTGCTATTGACGGTGGCGCGGCACAGACTTCTACGGCTGGGGCGCAGGCCATCGCTGACACCGGTACCACCCTTCTTTTGGCCGATCCCGCAGTGGCGAAGGCATACTATGCGCAAGTTGATGGTGCTGTAGATGACCAGGAGCAGGGTGGCTTTACGTTTCCCTGCGATGCCCAATTGCCCGATCTTCAATTGGACGTTGGTGGCTCTATGGCAACTGTCAAGGGCACTGACATCAACTTCGCACAGGTCGATCAGCAGAGTAAGTTCTACTACATTCTAATATTATATCTGTATATACTAACAAATATGATAGCTTGCTTCGGAGGTCTCCAGGCCACACCAGCTGGCTTACAAGTATATGGCGATATCTTCTTCAAGAGTAACTTTGTCGCTTTCAACGGTGGTAACAACTCGATTGGGTTTGCGCAGCATATTTGAACGTAACTACGCTTAATGATTACCCATATATCTCTCGCTTGTTTACGAGCAAACGATAGGTACGAACTGTATATACGATTTGAGGATTTACTTTCACCGGTGGGGATGAGTTAGGATATAGTAGGCATAGAGAACGTGCTGGGACCCATAGATGCATTGGCATTACCCTAGTACTGTACATATACCCATACATTTTAGAGGAACATTTACAACTGCAACACTTCAGACTATCTGCCTGGCTCTTCGTACGTACGTGAACATGTAGAAATCCTAGTAATATTCATCTCTTAAGATGCCTGCTTGCCTGGTATGCAATCAAAATAGTTACATACCATATACCAACTCACTGCCAGGTTGAAGATAACTCGGTACATTTCACGCCAATTTCCAAGGGTCCACCTAGGGGCTAGAGAGAACAAAGACAACTTACACGTATACGTAGCTTCCATAGTCTTCGGGGAGACGTTAAAGAATCCCGCGCAACAAAGATGTTGTTCTTCGTCTTCTACGTTCCGCCACGTGACACAAATCATGGCTTGAGGGGGGATCGTGAAAACTGTAGAGGGTGTGTGCCAATCAGCTCAGCACTGTTAGGATGAATTCTAGTACTCGTGATTACTTTGGTATCAGTTTGTTACACTTGAAACGCACTTACGACATGGCCTCGTCGTTGGTAAGACTTCTTTTTCATCCCCTAACTTTTTAAAGTCACTATACACCAGGTAGTCGTAATCAGTTACCGCTCCTAAAAGCACAGCCTATTATTGAATAGATTAAGTAGGCGCTTTCCCGGAGTAGTTGGTGCGCAGTGGCGGCCGCTGTCCCGGCACTCGACCCTCCCGAAGGGCGCAGACCCGCCGGGCTTGGCGCTCCGTGTCGCATACTCTGGGAAAGAGACGAGTTGGATAGGATGGTAGGCCTCCTAACTTACCCAGGTGGAATGCAGGTGAGAAGCGGGCTGTTTGGGGGTAGGGTAGGAGGAGGGGAGGTGGATGGTTCTAAATCTAATAATATACCTACAGTAACCTTGGGACTATTACCCAGGCCAACCAACAGGGCCTTCGGATGTATCGGTCTTGGGCAGGCAGATCATTGTGGTTGGGAAATCCGAGCTTTCAGCCGAAGATGGAGAATTAGATGATGGGTACCAAAATATCGTGTGTGGCGCAAGACAAGACAAATGTTGGTCTTCTTACAAGCCAAGCAACTACCTACCTAATAAGTACTAGATTGTCACAATTCAAATCATCTCGTGCGTGAGTGGTGGCGTTCAATGTAGGTAACTGGTAGCTGATCTCTGAGGCTCGATCGATGTGATACTGTAACATAGGTATGTACCTGCATTAATAATAAAATCTTCTATACAGCATGCAGCAGGGAATGCTGTATTCTAACAAAGGTATTGGCCTGTTATTCCAGTACATCCGACGCTAGCAAGGCCGTCAGTACGGTGCAGTGTGACTATAATTACCTACCTTACCTTCTGGTTGAAGCTGAGTGTTAACGGCGGCGTGATATTACGTACAAATTACTACCTAACGAGGGACGATATTCTTGTTCTTCTTATAGAAACCAAAACCCCCCCAAACTGCCTAGGCTAGGTGGGCATATTTCCATGGCCATCACCTAGTCTTCCGAGATCGGATATAGTCATTGGTTCCTGTATTGCGACTCGGGTGTATTGACCAAGATCTGATAACTGATGCCTACCTACGCTTGTAGGTAGGTACCAGGTACATAGTTCTAAATCTCGGGCTTCACACCCTCTTACGTCGGCCTTACTGACCCGCTGCTACGAAGTTAGCCGACTCGCCGGACAGAGTGAAGTGTGCCCGTGTGATTTACAGGCCGCTGCCTCAATTAGTCCATACCTCCCTCCAAGGCCACACACACACACACACACACACACACACACACACACACTGGCGACAAGATTGCCATCTATCGTTTAGGCGGGAATGCCTCGTGATACACGATACACACCTCGCAGCTTACCGTAGACCGAGAATCAACACGGCTTCTAGAAGAGATATACATACTTCCGTGCATTGCATCGTATTGCATCAGAACGGCCTACAATGTTGTAGATGTCCTTATTGAATCTCTAGATTATTATAAGCTGCATTATGGTAAGCATAGCAATTCAAAACAAGAATATCGAACCTCGAGGTAGGTAGTCCGTAGTTTAGTTGGTGGGCTAAATATTTTGGAGGGGAACATTTCAAGTCTTCAATTTCCATCATCGTGATCCCAAAGGCGTCAAGGTGTGTGGGGAGGCAAAGCGAAGCTGAAAAAACGAAGAAAATGGCACGGCAGCTAGTTGCACTTGGCGCATAAAAACGGGTAGTTGGGGGTATTAGAGGGATCATAGTTATATTTGGTAAAGTGTAGGTAGAGCAGGTAGGGACCGTAGGGTTACCAAGATATGTAGAGTCTGCAGATCAGGAAAAAGATATACAGCGCTTACTTGTAAGGAGTAAGCTTGTCGCCGGGCAAATGACCTTATAGAACCTCTTAAACGTACCATTTTTACAGCTCTCACAGCTCTAGAAGCTCTACTACATACCAAGGTAAGTATACCGTTGCAATGGCGAAATAGCAAAAGACACAGCCAAAACCAAAGCCAAGAAACAAGACCTTGACACATTTCGTTTTCGGTTATATCCTCTTTTTTTTTAATCCTTTCTTTTTTTTATGCCTTAGCTCTTCAAGCCAGGTTTCTTGGAAATTATTACGAATTATCAGATCCGTTTAAAGTTATCTGATCCGCTCGCTGTGGAGATGATGTGCGTTGGTGTCCATCTCGGTCTCTTCTTGGTCCCCGTTTTACTCGGCTATCCATACCTGGTAGCCAAGATTTCTAATACAGAACGGGAATGTTGCTTTCAAGGTAAAGCTGAAGTGGTTGCCTTCTTCTTTCTCGTACTTGGCTCGTACCTACATACACCCATAGCACACCCATACGGGCCATACCTACATAGTACATACCCTACACACATAACCCAGACTAGTACACACATCGTGGGAAAGAAATAACGAAAAAAAAACCAGTTGCCGTTGTCGGCAAGTATGGGGACAGGTATGGAACCATCACATGTTGCTCGCCTGCGCTCTTTTCTTACCCGCTTAGCGTTCTGGGCATTCGGTGTGGCACTACACCTACAATAGTAACAAGTCCCCAGGGTCCACTGGCTCAAGCATTAATTACTATGTATAGGCATGTATGTAATGTGAGTGTTCGCTGCTCGTTGCTCGAGTTCTAGATCTAATTCGTGAATTCAAATTCTTGTAAAATCGAAGCTTTGAACGGCCTGTCCATCATATCACATCACATGAGAAACGGTCGCCGTCGCAAAAGCCAACCATGGCCCTAAAGGACGTAGACAACTTCTTTATGGAGTCTGTTCACACTGACGAAGCTGGTCTCAGCAGCCACTTCACCACCACACCACCCACAGACGTTGAGGAAGAGGGCATAACCACGGAACAGTTGGAGCAGATATGGAGTTGGAACACTCCGATTCCCCCAACACTGGAGATCTGTATGCATGACCTGGTGGCCGAACAAGCCAGCAAAGACCCTACCCGATTAGCCGTGCATTCGTGGGATGGCGACTTCACATACCACGACGTCGACTCGAAATCCGACCAGCTCGCCGCCCATCTCGTGTCGGTAGGCGTCAGCATAGGCTCGATCGTGCCCTTATGTTTCGAAAAGTCCAGATGGACCTCCGTGGCCGTGCTCGCCGTCATGAAAGCCGGGGGCGCCTTCGCCCTGATGGATCCAAGCCAGCCGGAAGGAAGACTGCGCACCATTGTCGAGCAAACCGGCGCCTCCGTCGTGGTAACGTCAAAGCTACAAGAGAGCCTCGGCCTCCGCATCGCGCCCAACGCTACACACATCACCCTATCCGCCGAACACATTTCTTCCCTTTCTGACGTCTCCCCGAGCTTGCTGCCGGTGGTACCGCCCAGCGCAGACCTATACATACAATTCACATCCGGCAGCACCGGCAAGCCCAAGGGCGTCGTGATCACGCACGCGAACTACTCGAGCGGAGCAGTACCACGCGCCGACATCGTCGGCTACCGCGCGCACTCGCGCGTGCTCGACTTCGCCTCGTACGCCTTCGACGTCTGCATAGACTGCATGCTGTGCACGCTGTCCGTCGGCGGGTGCCTGTGCATCCCGTCCGACGCCGACCGCGTCAACGACCTCAGCGGCGCCATCCGCTCCATGGGCGTCAACATGGCGCACATGACGCCCTCCGTCGCCCGCGTCCTCGACCCGGATATCATCCCCACGCTCGAGGTCCTCGGGCTCGGAGGCGAGGCCATATCGGCGGGTGATGCGGCGGCGTGGAGCCGGAGCACCAAGGTCATCAACGCGTACGGCCCCTCGGAGTGCACCGTCGGGTGCGCCGTCAACGGGGACGTGGGCGCCGAGAGCAAGAAACCCGCTGTTAGCATCGGCCGCGGCGTCGGCGGCACGCTCTGGATCGTCGACCCCTCCAACCACAACCGCCTCATGCCGGTCGGCTCCGTGGGCGAGCTCCTAGTCGAAGGCCCCATCGTCGGGCCCGGCTACCTCGGCGACCCGGAAAAGACCGCAGTCGCGTTCATCAACGACCCCAAGTGGCTCGTGGCGGGAAGCCCGCAGCACGAGGGGCGATCGGGACGCCTGTACAAGACTGGCGACCTGGTGCGCTACGACCTCGACGGCACCATCATCTTCGTCGGCCGCGGCGACCAGCAGGTCAAGCTGCGCGGCCAGCGCATCGAGCTCGCCGAGATCGAGTACAACATGCTCGACAAGCTGCCGCCGGGGACCCGCGTCGCCGCCGAGGTGATCCGCCCCGGCGGCCCGGCCGGCGAGCCCACGCTCGTCGCCTTCATCGCCGAGCGCGCCGGCCTCGTGGCAGAGCTCGATCCGCTGCTAGGATCGCTGTCCACGTCCGTCCAAGACGCGCTCGCGGACATGAACCGCGCGCTCGGCGAGCACCTGCCCATCTACATGGTGCCCGCCGCGTACATACCCCTGCAGACGATGCCGCTGCTCGTGTCGGCGAAGACGGACCGCAAGCGCCTGCGCGAGCTGGGGCACGCGCTGAGCCGGAAGGACATCGCGGGGTTCGCGGCGGCGACGGTGCCGAGGAGGGAGCCGACGACGCCGACGGAGAAGAAGCTCGCGCGTCTGTGGGGGCTGGTGCTCGGCGCGGAGGTCGAGGTCGGCGCGCACGATAACTTCTTCAACCTGGGCGGCGACTCGCTGCGCGCGATGAAGCTGGTCGCGCAGGCGAGGACCGAGGACCTCGTGCTCACGGTCGCGGGCATATTCGCGAACCCGGTTCTCTCGGACATGGCGCTGGTGGCGCGGCCAGGGTCTGACGAGGGGAACGTGGAGGTTCCGGCGTTTTCGCTGCTCGGGGAGGGGTGGGCTGAGGATGCGGCGAGGAAGGATTGTGCGGACTTGTGCGAGGTCGATCCCGCGACGATCGAGGATGTGTACCCGTGCACGCCGCTGCAGGAGGGGCTTATGGCGTTGTCGGCTAAGGTTAGCGAGGCGTATGTTGCGCAGCGCGTGGTGGAGGTTGCGGATGAGACGGCGGCGCGGGACCTCGCGAGAGCTTTTGAGGTGGCTGCTGTTGATTGTCCCATTCTACGGACGAGGATCGTGCAGGTGCCTGGGCACGGGCTGGTGCAGGTAGTGGTCAAGGGCGACTTCGACTGCCAGTGGCTCTCCGGGCAAAGCCTGAACGACTATCTCGTGCAAGATCGGAAGGATCCGGTTGAGCTGGGCAGGCCGTTGGTTAGATACGGAGTCGTCGTCAACGAGGCGACAACCGGCAAGTCGCATTTCGTGTTGACGATGCACCACGCTTTATACGACGGGTGGTCGATGCCGCTGGTAGTGGAACGAGTCAACCGAGCGTACAACAACCTCCCCACCCACAGACCCGCCGACTTCAAGCACTTCATCAGCTACCTCACGACCATGGACCGCAAGGAATCGGAAACATACTGGCGCGAACGCCTAGACGGCGCGAATGGCGAGCAATTTCCCGCGCTCCCCTACTCCGGGTACCAACAGCAAGCCGACTCGCTCCTCGAGCACTACATCCCGACCAGCAAGCCCACGACCGGCATCACCACCGCGACCATCATCCGCGGCGCCTGGGCTCTCCTAGTATCGACCTACACCGCCTCCAACGACGTCATCATCGGCGAGACCCTCACGGGCCGCAACGCGCCGATCCCGGGCGTCGAGCAGATCGAGGGCCCCATGATCGCGACCATCCCCGTCCGCGTCTCCGTCGACCGCCGCGCCACCGTCCAGGAGTACCTCCAGGAGATCCACGACCAGTCCGTCGCCGGCATCCCGCACGAGCACTTCGGGCTGCAGCACATCCGGCGCCTGAGCCCCGACGCGCGCGAGGCGTGCGAGCTGCGGACGGGCCTTGTCCTGCACCCGAGCACCGACGACGAAGAGGTAGCTCTGGGCGACAAGTCGCAGCCGGCCAACGGCTTTGTCCCCGCGGGCGACGCGGAGGCCGCGCAGGAGGCGCTCAAGTTCAACACGTACGCGCTGATGCTCGTGTGCTCGCTGGACCCGTCCGGGTTCCTGGTCATGGCCAGCTTCGACTCGAAGACGGTCGCGAGCCCGCAGATGCAGCGGATGCTAAGGCAGCTGGCGAGGATCACCGAGCAGTTTGCGGAGAACCCCGGCGCGATGACCTGCGGGGAGATACAGGTTTTGGCCGAGGAGGATGTGGCGGAGCTCAGGAGTGCGAGCTTGGAGAGCGCGAAGAGCAATGCGGTGGCTTCGTTGCTGCCCGAGGAGGGGTGCGAGGTTTCTGAGGTCTGGATCGTGGATACGGCGGATGCGGAACGGTTGCTGCCGCTGGGCGCGGTCGGAGAGCTTGTGTTGCGGTGTTCAGGGGAAGCGCCTGGGCTAGAAGCACTGCCAAATGCACCCAAATGGGCCGAGCCGAGTTCCGAGCAAGAAGGCCAATTCTACCGAACGCACAAGCTCGCCAAGTTCTCCAGCGACAACAACACCGTAGCGCTAACGCTAGTCCAGCGAACTGCTCCCGCCCCCTCCTCCACCACCCCCAGCACCCAGCCCAAGCGCGTCTCCGCCACTTCCGCAAAACAAAAGAGCCTACGACAGACATGGAGCCGCGTGCTCGGCCTGGAGGAAGACGAGATCGGGCTGAACGACAGCTTCTTCCAGCTCGGCGGCGACTCGATCGGCGCGATGAAGATCGTGTCGGAGCTGCGCGCCAAGGGGCTCGCGCTTACCGTGCCCGAGATCTTCCAGCACCGGACGCTGTACGAGATGGCGAAGGCGGTCAAGGAGAGCAAGAAAGTCGCCGTCGAAACGATGGAGGCGCCGCCCGCTGCATTCTCGCTGCTCGATGCGACCGACATAGAGGCTTTTATTGCGGAGGAAGTCCGGCCGCAGCTTGTCGTCCCCGGCACGATCCAGGATATTCTCCCCGCCAGGCCGCTCCAGCAGGTCGCGGTCAGGGGCACCACCCAGCTCCCCCGCTTCTCGGCACGGTACGAGCTGTTCCACTTCGACGGGCCCGTGGACAAGGAGAAGCTGTTCCGCAGCTGCCAGGAGCTGGTCGCGCGCAACGAGATCCTGCGCACCGTGTTCGTGGAAGTCGCGGGCCAGTGCTTCGGCGTCGTCCTGGAAGAGCTGCGCGTCGCCATCGACGAGTACGAGATCGCCGGCGACAGCAGCAACGACCTACAGTCCTTCGCGCACAAGCTCTGCGACGTGGACGTGCAGTCCAAGATGCCGCACGGCTCCGCCTTCGTCAAGTTCCTGTACGTCCAATCCCCGCACAACCGCAGCTGCCTCGCCTTCCGCATCTCGCACGCGCAGTACGACGAAGTCTGCCTCCCCGCGCTGATCCGCCAGCTCGCCGCCTTGTACGACGACGCGCCAACCCCGGACTCGACGCCCTTCTCGTCCTTCGTCTACCACGTCGTCAACAAGGCCATCCCGCACAGCACGCCGTACTGGCGGGACCTCCTCCGCGGCAGCGCGCTGACGGTGCTGCGCCCGACGGGCAGGAGCGTCGCGCAGCTGAAGACGCGGACGGCGGCGGCGGTCAGCAGGACGCTGGATATTTCCGCGCGCCAGCGCGACATCACCATTGCCACGCTGCCGACGGCCGCGTGGGCGCTGTGTCTCGCGCGCCGGCTCAACGTGCGCGACGTCCTCTTCGGCGAGGTCGTGAGCGGGCGGAACATCGACATGCCGCGCGCGGACGCCGTGATGGGGCCCACGTGGCAGTACGTTCCTGTGCGCGTCAAGTTCGGCTCCTCCTCCTCCTCCTCCTCCTCCTCCGATAATGATGATGATGCTGATGACAGCTGGCGCGCGATCGACCTGCTCCAACACATCCAGCACCAGCACGTCGCGAGCGCGCAGCACGAGTGCATGGGCCTCTCGGAGATCGTGCGCGCGTGCACCGACTGGGCGCCCACCGGCGACGAGTGGTTCGACACCGTCGTGCACCAGGACGTGTACCACGTCGAGGAGCTCAGCCTCACGAGCGGCAGGGGCAGCGTCAGCAGCTGCCGCCTCGAGACGGTGTACCCGCACCTCGAGCCGCTGCGCGAGTGGAAGGTGCAGGCGTTTGTGGCGGGGGACACGCTGACGCTGGAGATCGTCACCTTTGAGGAGTGGATCGACACGGCGGCGGAGCTGCTGGATGAGCTGGAGGGCATCGTGGAGATGTTGGTTAGGAGGCCGGAGGAGAGGATTTTTGGTTAAGTTGAGGGGGGGGGGTGTTTGCTTGCGTGCATACATTCTTAGTACCTAAGGCAATTCTGGATATGTATATGTAAAAGGCGAGAACTACTAGGTTTAGTAGTGGTTCTGGTGTAAATAGTACCTTTTTTCTTTTTGCATACGTCTATTGTTCTTTTTTTTTTTTTTTTTTTTTCCTTATTATGTTTGGAATATATCATGCTGTACGTTAGGTATCTACTCATGTAAAAGTATACCATGATCTTACTACTATTTTGATGTCTTGAGAGTACAATGTCCCTTCATCGCTAGCACTCTACTGAATTGTCCGTACGCCCGATAATAAATCCCGAGGCAACGGTACCGACATCCCTCCTTTTAAACTTCAAAAGACGTACATCACAAACCCTTCACAGAATCAAAGACAGAGCTTATGATATATATATAATGCTACGGGATAGCTCACCCGCAGCTCGAGGTATCCAAGTATCAAACAATAATAAGCAAGCTTCGGGGGATTGGTAACTTGAAGTCTAAAACATGCAGCTCGCGTCATTTCCAGTCCTCCCTATCCCTTTCTTTCAACATTAACCAGCCCAATCTAGCTTCCCTTTCTTAAACGCCATATACGCAAGGCCGATTATCTCATCGTATCGTTGAGATTGTAGTAGTTGGCTGTTTATATCCTCGCATAGGCGGGCTTGCTCTCCAGTCTGGCCTTCCTGCTGCGGAACGAGTCGCGGTACATGTATCGCTCGTACGTGCCGAACGCGTAGAACCCAACGCCGAGGACGGTCCAGATGCTGGTCACGATGAGACCGATGGGGAAGATCATGATGCTGACTCCGGGCACGAAGACGGCAACTTCCCCGTTCTTCACTTGCTGCGTGACGTTCTCGACGGCTACTTGGGCAAGCGCGAAATCCGACATGACGACTTCAGTGGAGAACACTCCGTTGACGAAGGCGGCTTCGTTGGAAGAGACGTTCGTGCTGACGGACTTGCCTGCTACGTTCTTTCCTGTCAAGGTTACGACTGGCATCACCCAACTTTCCAATACACCCCTATAAAATGTTAGCTTTCCGGGTACCCGATATATGACGGAACTTCAAATCTTACATTGTCATAGGCTGAGCCATTCTATCCTTGTCTATTTGGCCAACAAACATGTAACTCTGGAGAAGCGTAGGCGTGGCGCTCTGTCGCTTGGTGACATTGGCAGTCTCATTTCCCTGGACTGGCGAAACGGAAGCACCGTTATATTGGAGTCCCACGGCGATATCCGCCGGAGGGATACCTTCGAAATCCCCGAACGGCGTCGATACTTGGAAGAGGCGGAGATCTGCCATAAAGGCACCCGTGTTGGTGTCGAGACTGAGCAGGTTGTAGCAGACTGCTGTCCCCGAAGGATTGGAGGCAGCTATCAGCTGAGAGAGTGCCGACTCGCAAGCTGCTGCGGTATCCGTGTTCCACTGGGTCATATTCGTAGGCGCGGTTTCTGATATCACTAGGGTGTTGCTTTGTCGCCGTTGAAGGGAATCTTCGTTGCTCGTGTCCCCCAATCTTGCCTCCAGTAACGTCTCTCGCGGACCCAGCATTCCTCCCATCGCAGGATGCATGCTTGCGAATGCCGAAGTGGCAAGCAGCGATGCCAAAGCTACACTTGGTCCAAACATATTGGCGATACACCTCGATTCTTCTTGATTAGATATTTTTAAAAAGGGTAAATTTATATATATATAGTTCCAAACGTGAATAAGCCGGCCGGCGGTCGAAAAAGATGTTGTATCGGTAAAGAGCGTCTTGCGGAACCTGCCTACTATAATCGCAACTAGTCGAATTCGCAATGAGCGGGTGGGGACTCGAAGAGAGCACAACGATCAGATTAGAGATCTGACAAGACAAGAGAAGAAGAAAAGAAGGGAAAGGGGGCCTGCCCAGTTAGATGGGAAATGTGGCTTAGGTTTTGTTCCTGGTACGATGTTTTACTGGGTAAGTGGAAAAAGGAAGGAAATGCAAGAAGAGACGGCGACACCTTACGATGGCAAATAGATGCCGGTACTATGAGACCAGGGGATCCACAGAGAAGACACGCTCGATGGCCGAGACCCAATGGTCTGACGGTGGGTCGTCAAAGTAATCTTGCTTCGGCCACTTGAACCGATCAAGATGCAAGTTTACTAGTGTTGATACAATACATAGTATAGCCCAGGAGGAGGTGTTGTATTAAATGTTACTGTATCTACTGTATTATGTGGTATTATTGACAGTATTGTATGAGTGATAGCTGAGTACAATAGTTGTGTGTGTGTGTGTGTACCTACAAAAGACGACGTAGCCCATGCAACTTGTCAGACCCCATCTGTGACAATGTGGCTGGCTCATGATCATGATACAAACGGTGGAACGAGGGGTGAGAGGAGTACGGAGTACGAGGACTCGACTGATTTATTTATCAATAACTATAATAGTTGTTAAAGAAAACGGGAGGAGAGTACATATGTAGCTACACCAGCGCGAGCTCGACGAATCAAACGCCGTGGCTTCATAAAATATAGATGAATATGCACCTGTACCACAAGCGGGTACCTACATTTTAATGCTGGGACGCTTTGACTGGCATGGGGTTGTCGGATCGCCCAAGGATGCGACAGTTGATGAAGAAAAGAAGGGTAAAAAAGAGTTAAAAGAGAAAGAGAAAAGAAAAAAGGGGAAAAGGGAAAAATGGTTGAGACGAAAAGCGCTGCCAAGAAAAGGAAGCTTGTAACGCTAGGTGCTGATCTAGCCAATCAATATTCTTATCCTGGGCTAATGGGGGTTAATGCTGGCCATTGAATGGGTCATTAAAGACCCCTAATAAGAATCCTGGATCCCTGTTTGACACTGATTTTGAGGCTCGAAACCCCCTACCCCCTCTGCTACAATGCAGCTACATAACTGACTACTACTTACTTATGTACCTAGGTAGTAATGCTAGGAAGTCATGGCCTACATATGACACCTGAAGTTTCATACTTTGGTTGGTCTTTCTTAACATTGATGATTGAATTTCTTATTAATTTCACACAATAATTTACTTTTAACTTACATAACCGTAGTACAATTACAACTTGCTGGTTACAACTTTTACAATTGAAGACTGAGAACAGAGTTATTTGAACTTATTTCACTTCCAAATATCCGTACCAAGGTATTAGGCACCTGGTGAACCAGATCGGAGAGACCCCACCAGATCAGAATCCATCATGGTTTATTATATTCTGCCAACACCGACGCTATTTCAAGTCTTCCTCGGGAAGATGAAGGAGACAGGCCAAGCCGGCTCGCGTGCTTGTCGCTTAATCCCCAGCCTAGAACTTCAATCGTTCTTCGGACCCCAAACAATTATTTGCGTTTGCGTAATGGCGCCATATTCAGATGACAGGTCGGTCACATGATATTCTAGTTGCATATTATAGTGCGGTATCCCAAGCAGTCAGCTATGGTAGCTTCAAAGAGACAAGCACCTATCAGCATCGTGACTCAGATGTTTACAAATCATAGATACCCAGGTAGGTATGAAGAAGGTAACGGCGACGGCTAATCATCAAAAATCATCAAAATCAGTGCCTCATGCATGCATACTCAATAGTTGACATTACCTACAAAGAGATCTAATCATTCACACAAACTCTCACCGTACAAGATGAAGCACATCAACGACGCAAAGACGGCATTGCTCGTCATCGACGTCCAAAATGGCTTCCTAGACCGGGTATCTCCGGAAATTCGCAGCACACCAGAATGCGAGGACAATATCGCCCTCCTCCTACAAAAGGCACGAGAACATAATCAGAATGAAACATCGAATACTGTGGTCATCTGCCACATTCACCACCACAGCATCTATCCAGACTCACCCTTTTACCCAGGGTACCGGTTGGAGGTAAATGGTCAGACCCTACTTGGACTACAGCCGCAGGCGTTTGCAGAGCCGAAATCTGGCGAAAAGGTCTTTACCAAGGATGTCAATTCTTCCTTCATAGGCACCGGCCTAGAAGCCTATCTTAGAGGCCAAGGTGTTAGGCAGCTCCTCATCGTCGGCTTATCTACGGACCACTGTGTTAGCACGACTACACGAATGGCGAACAACCTCCGGGTTGTATCCGTGACGGGCCCATCGGGTGAGCTCGACGAAGGTGACATCATCTTAGTTGGTGATGCGTGCGCTACCTTTGCCAAAGGAGGGTTTGACGCCGAGACGGTGCACAAGGTGAATCTTGCCAGCCTTCATGAGGAGTTTGCCCAGGTCAGAACCACACAAGACGTTCTAGACAAAGTTTTTGGGCGTGATTAATTATCTATATTTTTATTTATTCATATATATTCTACCTAAGTGCCTATTTGGACGCCATCTGGCAGAACTATGCTAAACAGATGAGTAACCAACCATTACATTTGCCATCATATCCTATCATGTTTTCGTATATTGCATGATATCAGCGCAGAATACAAGCCCACTTTTATACCCACGCTATGCAATCCAATTACAGAGTCGGCCCAGCTACTAGGTATGATACGCAGTAAATAACAGTCGGTAGAATAAATCGAATAGAATGAAGCAGGAAAGGGAAAGCCAAGAAGGGTGCTGTGCCGTGAGAATTCCAAGGTAATAGCAATCGTCGATATGGATATATTCAAAGCCAGGTCGTCTTGATCGTAGCCCTCGACGGTGTTGGACATCAATCCACGGTCTTCGCCAAAGAAGAGATCCGTTGCACGTATGTCTTAACTGATTTATGGACGTGGGCGAAGACAAGATAACCAAAAACGAACAGCCAAGCTACGAATATAACAGAACGCACCAAGACGAGTTTTACTTCTGTAAAACGCCGTAGAATATCATTCTTGGCTATGGCCGTCATGGGCGGCTGGTCGGTAAGTCGTCCCATGTTAGGGGTGGTGGCCTTGTCCTGCTCGGATTGTTCGATCGCGTGGAGCATTTCCCAGGCAACCCTATTGCCCACTCTCTCCCACGATGTCTCACAAGCAGCGGCGCGGCTGGCAGCCCCAAGTTCTTTGCGTTTGTCCGGCTCACGGCCAAGTTGCAGTACTTTCTCCACGAATCCATTCAGGTCGTCAGGCGGGACGAGATAGCCGGTCTTGTTGTTCTGAACAATATCACTCGGGCCGCCCTCGTCTCGTGCGATAACCGGCACACCACTGGCCATTGCTTCCAAGACGACTAGTCCAAAGGTTTCGGTGATGGAGCAATGCAAAAAGACGTCGGCTGAGGCATAATGTTTCATGAGCTCCTCGCCGAGCTTGAATCCCACGAAGATTACTTTTCCTTTCTCGGTCAGGGACGCAAACATATCTTTTACATCTTGTTCGACGGCCGGGTTCTTATTGCCACCAACAATGACCAATACGAAATTCATCCCCCTCTTGTCCAGCTCAGTGGCTACCTGCGCGAGGAAGCCAAAGCCCTTCTCACCTGCTATGCGGGAGCAGGTGAACAGGACAAGCTCATCGTTTCGCCTCCATTGGTTTCTTAGCTCTTCGCTTCTCTTGGCCGGGTTGAACCCCTCGACGTCAACTCCTCGTGTCAAGACTGCCAATTTCCTCTCCGATACACCGGCAGTGTTGACAAGATACCGTTTGACGAAGTTGCTCGGATAGAAGATAGTCTTGACGGTATCATCGCGGAAAAGGTTTCCCTGCACAACACCGAATATCCGGTTCGCAATATCTCCCAGGGGCCAGGGAAACAGAATAGAGCAGTAACCAGCCAAGTCAGTCTGGAAATTGCATATGATTGGTACTTGCAATTCCTTTACATATTGTCGTAGCTGAACCATGACTTGAAATCCTACGGAGGCAGGACTGGCGAGGTAGATGAGATCTGGGGGGCCATCGAAAGTCTGTTCAAATAAGTCGGAAAGCCGAATAGGATTCGCTATTGAAAGCTCGGGGTTGAATGGTAGAGGATAGCCATCCAAGCGGAGTTCTTGGCTATTGTACCAAAACCCTTCACCAGGAGAAGGGGCGGGGGCAAAGGTGTTGACTCTGGTGTGGTTATACGGTGCCACGACCGAAACAAGTACGCCATTGGCCCGGAGTTGATCAACCAGCATCTTGGTCGTGCGCGAGACGCCGTTCACCGGTCCAAGACTCTCGGTGCATAGTAGAATGCGACATCCGCCTAGATCAGATGGGAAGACGTCTAGATTGGTGCCTTGGTTGTGGTCTTCCATCGCTACTGTATGGCTGGGTCTTATCCCAGCGTTGACAGCAGAGGTCACACTTTGGTCTTTGATTTCCATCTGATATATTTGTGAATCTGGGGATATGAGTTGTTTAAATATAGGAAGAAGTGATGGTTCATATAAAGTTGAAAAGAGGTTTGGGAAGAGAGGAGGACGCAGGTGCTACAATAAATAGAGGTATGAGACACGAGACACCGGCCATTTATTAATCTGACGAGGAACGAGCGTAAACGCGCGCAACAAGTCTATAATAGAGGTTAAGTATGTGATTTGAACTATCGAATATGGAAATATAGTTTAAAGGAACAACAATTACTCGTAGTTTAGAAGACGGTTCACACGATGTGTACTCTAGGTAGGTAAATATCGTCTAATAGATTAACTTTGCCTCCCTTTTTGGTAAGAAAGGCACGAGACCCAACCCACATGTTCACTTTACCTTCTAAGACAGTCATAGTCGTCTGACGCTGACTGAAGGTGCTATTAAGGTAAAGAGGCTTGAGTCTTAAGTTAGAGTCAACAAGTTAACTCTAATGCACCATGTCCCGTCTATCTACCTACTGTATAAATATTTACACAGCACTAGAATACGATCTCTGCTATATTTATCTACTACTAGTAAGTAGCTTAGTGTCTATCATCTCTTCCACGAATTCGCCCAATGACAAACTCTAGCGGCAGCACACGCAAAATAATCAGCGCACCAATCATCTTGTCCGTTTGCAGCACATTCTCTCAACCACGACACTCTAGTTCCACAACAATGCATCAAAGAATCCGGGGTTCTGCAAACCTTACCGTCATGCCTTATCCCTAGAACGAAGGTTAAGAGCCAGGAGGGTATAGATCCGCGAAGTTTATACTACCTTTTATAAATGCCTAACCCGAGTTTAGTTCAGTCGGATAAGGGGAGGCTTTAGCCTCTTACATGCACAGGTGCTGAGAAGGGGTCCCTAGATGTCACCTGCACAGTCTTTATTTCCCCTAACCTAAGGTTATCTAGATTAGCACTTGCGAATTAATATCCCTCGCTCGGCCCTCGTGTTCCTGGTGCGGTAATCTGTTGGCTAGGTATCTGCTGTGGTAAGAAAACACTCACGCTACCCATAGCTCAGAACTCAAGTATGTGTATGTGTATATTTTCGTCCCTATCTATCACTAAAAGGTTAATGGTGCTACGTTGAAAATCATGTCCGGATTCCCAAGTAGCTCTTCACGTTCGTGCTTGGCTTGAGCATGGTGGTAGCGAACGAACGTATCATGGACCATAAGACGACAACAGCGCTCTTACCCGTCTACTAAGTTCAGTCTCCCGCCCCCAAACCTACGATTACATGTGAGTAGCACATGCAATAAGTTGAGGAGGCTTGTACCTTACATACCTACCAAAGCGTCAAAGTTCGTTAGGCTTTGACCCAAAATCTGAATAGACCCAGCTGAAGAGTCCTATCATTATTGTTTTGGGCTGGCTAGACTTCATATCTGTCCACCCCCATCAGCTTGACACTGGCCGGGTAAGCTCATGGTTTGGGAATGGAGCTAAGCAACAGCAAAATGGGCAGCTAAAAGCTGTGCCCGAAGCCGCCACATGCAATGCAGCTAGGGTCCAGTTCGAAGGTAATGGCAATCACGGATCTTGGACTAGGCGTCAAGGCAAGTAATAAATATAAGCCGAGCCATCAGAGATACATGTGTCTGGGAGCGTCAAGTGGCGCTGTTTGATGGTAGCCATGTGTGGATATAGTTGTACTAGTCTTTGGTCTTTATCTAAAAGAGGACGGGACGCTTCTTAAAATCTTATACAAACCTAGCTACACACCTGCCTACCTAGCTTGTTATCCATCTACCCATGGTCTTTACTTTCTTGGTAAGAAAGTAGTCACGTCCTCTGGTTCCTTGCCTTCCTTCCCTGCCTTCCTCCTTATTTACATGCTCTTGTCATATATGGTATTCATACCGAGCCATAACCCTCCCCACACACTACCACTTGGTAACTAAGTTCCCTTGGGAGAAGAGCCCTTGGGACATTGAATCTTCCTTCTTGGATCATTTCACTTCTTCTTCAGACTCAGCTGCCTTTCGAACTTTCTCACTCAGAGAAAGAAACGGCATCACTTTAACTTACCATCACTGGTATCTCAACTGAGTCGTTGATCTCTTGAATCCTGTGTCTTCAAACCATTGTCTACGATATCTACCACATATCGTCACCTGGTTTGGCATGGAGTCCACCGATACTCTTACTCCTACTCCTGCACAGAGACCGGTGGTTGACGCCGCTGCCTTTGGAGATGACTCATCAACAGCGCCTACTACTCCAGATGAGAGCTCAACAGCGCCGAGCCCCATCCTTCCCAGTGAGCTTGCCTCGGGACTGGAGCGGGCTGCTATACCGCAAATGGTGTCCGCGTTGGGAGATTTGACGATGGCACGGAAACGCCCAATTGAGAATATTTGCTGCGTCGGCGCTGGCTATGTTGGTAAGTGGCCCCCTCATAGCACTACTTCCCCTTCCCCCCCTATCATATCATACCATTCTCAAAGACATAAAAGAAAACGAAAAATCTAACACACACACCAGGCGGCCCAACAGCAGCAGTAATCGCGCTGCAAAACCCTCAGCTCCGCGTGACCGTCGTCGACAAGAACGAGCGGCGCATCCGGCGCTGGAACTCGAAGCACCTGCCCATCTACGAGCCGGGGCTCAACGACATCGTGCGCATCGCGCGCGACGGCTCGCGCGCCTGCTGGTTCCCGGCCAACCCCGTGGACCCGCAGACGCAGGACGCGCCCAAGTTCCAGTGCGACCGCCAGTGGACGGGCGTGCCCTCGCGCCACCCCAACCTGTTCTTCTCGTGCCAGGTCGGCCGCTGCATCCGCGAGGCGGACATCGTGCTCGTCGCCGTAAACACGCCGACGAAGACGCGGGGCGCGGGTATGGGCAGCGCGACGGACATGACGGCGTTCGAGGCCGTTACGAGTGAGGTGGCGCAGCACGCGAGGCCCGGCACGATCATTGTGGAGAAGTCGACGGTGCCGTGCCGGACGGCTGACCTTGTGCAACGAACTGTGAGTTTATTTACGCCTGTGATCATGTCAGCACACGACATGACATGACATGACATGACATAAGCGGGCCATCAGCTAATAGACTCGATATCTAGTTGGCGGTCCACCGTCCCGGGGTCCACTTCGAGGTCCTCTCGAACCCCGAGTTCCTCGCCGCCGGCACCGCGATGACCGACCTCATGAAGCCGGACCGCGTGCTAATCGGCTCCGCGAAAACGCCCACCGGCCGCCGCGCCGCAGAAGCCCTGGCCAGCATCTACGCGGCGTGGGTGCCGCGCTCGAAGATCATCACGACGAACGTGTACTCGTCTGAGCTCGCGAAGCTCGTCGCGAACTCGATGCTCGCGCAGCGCATCAGCAGCATCAACTCGATATCCGCGATCTGCGAGAAGACGGGCGCGGACGTGGACGAGATCGCGGCGTCGATCGGGTGCGACCCGCGGATCGGCGGCAAGTTCTTGAAGGCGGGAATCGGCTTCGGCGGCAGCTGCTTCAAGAAGGACATCCTCAGCCTCGTGTACTTGGCCGACTCCCTCGGCCTCGGGGAGGTGGCCGAGTACTGGCGCCAGGTGGTCAAGATGAACGAGTACCAGCGCGAGCGGTTCGCGCGCCGCGTCATCCGCTGCCTCAACAACACGCTCGCGGGCAAGAAGATCGCGCTGCTGGGGTACGCGTTCAAGGCCAACACGTCGGACACGCGCGAGTCGCCCGCGCTCGAGATCATCAAGACGCTGCTAGAGGAAGGGCCCCGCGAGATCGCCGTCTTCGACCCCTGCTGCAACCCCGTCGTTGTCCGCGCCGAGATCAAGGACCTGCTGTCGTCCCCCTCGGGCCGCCCCGCGCTCAGGGAAGAAGGGGGCCCGATTGAGATATACTCGAGCGCGTACGGGGCGTGCGAGGGCAGCCACGCGGTGCTGATCACCACCGAGTTCGACGAGTTCCGCAACACGCCGGCGAAGTCTGCCAAACCCACCAAGCCCATCGATCCCCGCCCCTTCCCCTCCCGCGCCACCACCGAGGCCGACGTCCTCGCCGTGCACAAGTACTTCGTGCTCAACCCCGCGGCGTCCAGCTCCCCCTTCGCGAGCTCCGACGACCCCCTGCAGCGGTACAAGCCCGAGCCTGACTGCGAGAGCGACTGTCCCGATTGCGAGTTGATTAGGACGAGTGGGTTTTCGTCGGCGGGGAATGTTGGGGAGGGCAATGGGGATGGGGATAAGGGGGATGGGGCGAGGGCGAGGCTCGACTGGAACAGGATCGCGCGTCACATGCACAAGCCCAAGTGGCTGTTTGACGGCAAGGGGATTGTCAAGGCGGAGGAGATGCGGATGTTTGGGTTTCAGGTTGAGAGTGTTGGTCGCTGAAGACTTTCCCCTCCCCTCCCCCCCCTTTTTTTTTTTACTTTTTTGGAAATGGGAGTGGGAGTGGGAGTGAAATCGTGTTGACTGATGGCCCTACCTTACCCCCTTTTCTCTTACCCCCTTTTTCCTTTTCTTTCCCCCCCCTTTCCTCTTTGGTTTACTTGCTTTTTTGCTGTGCGGTTTGCATTGCATTTCATGAAGGTAAATACCGGCCTACAGTCTGGATAATCTCTTTTAACGGTCGTATATGAGACTGGATAACCTACCTATGTATCGGTATAGATCTAACGCTGGACTTTCTGATTTTATTTACCTACCCCATGAACAGTGTTTGGGCGGATTGGAGGTTGTTGGACTGTCCTTTTACTGTACCTATGTGGGGTTTACCGATAATGAATCATCCTCTTTTAAGAGGTGGCGTTTTCTTGAGTGGCTTAGGGGGTAGGTCTTGGAAAGGAGAATGGCTTCGTTTTTCATATTTTCATTATTTTTTCTTACCTGTTCAAGAAATAGCCATCTGTTGCAGTACAACTGCAAGCAAGAAGAAGAAAGAGGAAAGGAAGAAAGCTTGCTTTATTCCCAAACTATAAATGGCAAAATGCCAATATATGGCCATAAGGGCCATATAGCTAAAAATGCCTAAGGCATTTGCAACACACCCCCATTAACACAAAGCCATACAACTATTGCCATATTTACTGTCGATGGGTGGTTTTGAAGTTATGTAGTTAGGTAATTAAAGTATAATTTTCTATTTTTTTTTGAAATAATAATCGTTTTTCTTTTTCAATTTTCTAAAATAATACCCGTAAGTTTATTCTTTTCATTTGCATTTTTTCAAACCTATTAATCGGATAAAAGCCTTATATTTCTCTTTCACCAATAATTTAATTAATCCATCTACCACCATTTCCTTAATTCCAACATATTAAATTTTAATATCTCCACATTAAACTTTATCAATAATCCATTTATATTAAGTATCGATATAATAGGTTTTTATTATATTTAAGGGATTAAAAACTATAATAATTGCATTAATTAAATTTAAAAAAAATAATAAAAACTTTAATTAAGGATATCCCAACTCCTAAAAAAATTTTAATATCTATATTCCCGATAATCCTATTAAAAATAAATTAATAAACTTTACTTCCGTATTACTTAATACGACTAGTAATTATTTCTTTAAATTTTAATGTATAAAGCCTTTTACCAAGGTTATTAGATAGGTTTTCGTTGACTTTTTTAATCTTAAATAATTTGCAAAAGTAACATTTACTTAAATTATTAATTTTAAGTTTTTAAGATTATATTTACCACTTAACGTTATTCTAAAATCTTATATAATATTAATATATTTTCACAAATATTTTTTTAATTTAAAATAAATCTTATTAAATCTTACGTTAGCCTTTATAAAGGCTAATATCATTTTAATTATATTTAAGCAAATCCTAATAAATAATTAATTTAAAGATTTTATTTCTTTAATATACTTGACACGTTTAAGTTTAGTAATTTTTTTTATATTAGTAAAATTATAATATTAAATCTTTATAACGACTTTATTTTTTTTAAAGTTTTAATATTATACTTTAAAAGAACTTTTCTAGTAAATTTGGATTAATTAAGGAATATTTAATATAATTCCTTATTTCGTTTAATTTTAAATTTAACAAATTTAACCACTTTACCTATTTCGTTAAGCTTAAAAATATCGTTTAAATTAGTTTTTATTTTTTCGATAATTTTAAATATATTACTTATAATTAATAAATCGTTAACATACATTAATATAAGAACTTTTAATTCTTCGTTTTTAAATAAATAACACTTTATAAACATGCTTTTAAACTTTATCTTTTTTATTACCTTTAATATATTTTTAAACCATTAAATTAAAACTCATCTTAAGCTATAAAATACTTACTTAAGCTTTTACACTTGATTTATTTCATCTTTATAACTAACTATTTATTTAATATAAATTATAATTCCTTTTAAAATTATACTATTTAAAAACGTAATAATAATATTAAATTATAAACATTTAAAATCAAAAATTACCACTAAGGTAAAAAAGATTTTAATTATAACTAAACTTATAATTATAACGTAAATATCTTAAATTACCCAAGAATTATTAATCTTAAAGTTGCCACATATAACTAATCTTACTTAATTATATATAAATTTACCCTTTTTATTAAACTTTTAATTTAAAACTTATTTAATTAATAATGGTTTCTCTTTTAAAGGAAAATCAATTAGTTTAAAAACCTTTCGTTTTATAAAATTATTAAATTATTTATTAAATGTTGGTTTTTATTATTCTTATATCTTTAAATCACTTTTAATTTATTTAAGTAATTTAATTAATAATAAAGTTATGGTTTATTTAATTTTAATATTTATTAAAGTATAAGTTAGTAAATTTTTCTTAATTTAACTTTTATAATAATAATAAACTTTAAACTTTATTAACGTAAGAAAGGATTTTCTTTTTTTTTTTATAAAGCTTAATTTATTATAAGATATTAGAGTTTTCTTTTTTTTAGAAAATTATCTTAATTATAAAAATTCTAAGAATTAAGGTGGTGGTTAAAGTAATTGTTAAGCTTGTATTAATTGAAAAAGTTAAGGAGGTTAAAAAAGTTAAGCGAAAGGTTAAAAAAAAGGTTAAGTTTATTTAATAATATATATATTTTCCATTTACTATTATAATTAATCTTCTTTATTTTCTTCTTTTTCGTCCTTCTTTTTATTAGTTAAATTTTTATAATTGTTAAAATTAATATTTTTTTTCTTATTTTTTTAATTTTTTTTAATTTGTTTAACTTTATTATTTCTTTTATTAAACTTTTTTTTAAATTTTAGCTTTTTTAAAAGATCTCTTCCTAATTTTCATGATTTTTGTTAAGATTAGGGTTAATTTAAACCATTATTATGTTTAAGATTAGATTTTTATTTATATTATTATTCTTAATTATACTTTATATCGTATTTTAAAAGTTGTTACTTTTATTTTAACTTTTAAATCTTATTTTAAATTATGTTTTTAAAAGCTTTTCAAGAATTATAATAAATATAACTTTTTTAGGTATTTAAACTAGTATATAAGTTGGAGTTAAAGTAATTTTTAGGGTAATCTCCGGCGTAATATTAGATATTAAAGTAATTTTTAAGGTTATTTTTAATGAAATAATGGGTGTAGTCATTAGTAGTGTTAGTATTAATGATCGACTTGGTTTAAAACTTAGTTTATAACTTAGTTTAAGGCTTGGTTCATGGGTGGATTTAAGGTTATTATAATTCGATTATTATTATATTAAAGATATTATTAATTCTTTTTACTATTACACTTGTGAATTAAGCTTTATGCTTTCTAAATAATCTTAGGTTTTAAATTCTTCAAAACTAATTCTAACTTTAAATTCACTTAATTCCATTAAATCTAAATTAGTTAAAATAATCTTATATTTTAAATCTTTTAACTTATCTTCATCATAACGTCCTTTTTCATTAAATTTAATATCTTTTATAAGAATAACTTAGTTAAGTTATAACACCTAAATCTTATATATCTTTAATTATTTATCTTTATATCTTATTATATAACCTTTAATTACTTGAAATACTTACTTTTTTCCATATAAAACTTATTTCTTTTATACTTAAACAATCGCTTTAAAGGTTTATAAATTTAATAAATATTCCTTTTTTACTTCTTCAAAAAATTTAAAGTAATTGTAAAAATAATTGTAAAAAGATTTATAATTCTCATTAACCTTTATAAAAAGTAAATTTATAATTATAATAATTATCTTTTTAACTTATAGCTAAAAAAACATTAATAGCTTAAATTTAATTATAATAACCTTTATTAAAATAATTACCAAATTGTTAACTTTTTTAACTCGTTCGTTTTACTTTAATATATAACTAATTATCACTTTAAATTATATATCAGCTTTTTTAAATTCATTTTTCATAATTTCTTTCTTTCCCAGGAATTCTTTTCCTCCATCAAAATAAAAAATCTAGATTTTAAGTCTAATTTAAAGTTTAATTTTTTTTTAAAAATTAAATATTAATCGATAAATCACTTTTTTATTTCTTAAAAACTTCACTTATCGATAATTATTATATTTATTCGTAAATATACATAAATACTTAAAACCTATATAACTTTTTTAACTATAAAATAAGACATTTATATAAATAACTTAAAAAAGTTATAATGCTAGGATTAAAAATACTTTTTAAATAAATTTCTTTACCTTTACTTATACACATATATCGCAAAATTCCAGCTTAGATGGGATTTTTAACTTTAATTTATATCTTTCACAAGTTAATTTAATTTTTAAAAAACTTATATATATTAAACGTTTATACATTAAATTAATACTAACCGTTATAAAAATGGTTTAAGGTTTATATTAATTATTAAAAATTTTAAATAATTAAAATACTTTTAATCTTTATAACTATTTAATTTTTACCACTTTTTAAGTTATTAAATCCTTTAAACGTAAAATATCTATTATCCCATTAAATATAATACCGTTATTTTTTAATTATCCTATACTTATTAAATTTATAAACGTTTTTAAATAATAACTTATATTTAAAAATCGTAAATTAATTATATCCTTATTACTTTAATAAACCTTTATTATTATTATATTATAACTTAAAGTTTTAATTTTATTATCATTTAAAACTATTATATCCAATGGTATCGAAAAGGGTTAATAAATTTTAAACCACTTAAGATTATTAAATATATAATTTATATAACTTAAATTATTAACACACATATTTCGAAAAAGGTTTCCGATTTAATCAAAATTTATAATTACAGCTAAAGAAATATTTATTAATAAAAAATTATTATTTACTTATCTATATAATAAAACTTTAATATTAACATTTAATAAGCCTTTAAATGTTTTATTTTTTCTTAATTTAATTATTATTTTATTTTTTAAAGCTAGCTTTAACTTTAAATAAAAAACATAACATTTTTTAATTCTTTTTATATAACACTTCTTATATTAAATACACCATTATTAAATTGAATAATATTTTTTCTTATATATTATGTAATCGATAAATTATTTCTTTTTTAATTTTAATAACTCACCCCCTTTAATATTCAAATTTAACGGTTTAAATAAAAATATAATTACTATTAAATCCTCGTTATTCACCTTTTATATAAATTCTTTTAAAAATAATTGCCAAATTAAAATTCCTTTTTAATAATCCCATTCTAAAAATCGATACTAATCTAAATATCGTTCCTTAATAACTTCCATTATATTAAACATTTTTATAATTTTAGGTAAATTAAAATTTAATTACTTAAATCTATCGAACACTTTCTTAAATTTAATCATATAATCACGTAAAATCATTCCATCTTTAAAGATAAAATTTTTTAATTAATAATATAATTAAGATATTAATTATTTAAAAACTTTAAATATTATTTTTAATATTAAATTATAAACCACTTTAAAATCGTTTTTTTTATTTTTTTAATTAAATGTTTTTAATTAAATAATCACGTTTAAATTACGTAATAAACTTATTAATAAAGTTATATAATAAACTTTTTCCTTGTAATATTTTTATTTCATTTTATTAAATGCTCCTTATAAAAACGCTTATCGTATATTATTAATAAATTTATTAAATCCGTAATATTAATAATATTAATATATTAATCTTTTCCATTTTTTAAGTCCATGCTTGTTAAAAAGTAATAAAATTAATAAAAAATGTAATAAACCTTCCACTATTTTAACAGGTTTTTTAATTAATTTTAATATTTATTTAATATTATATTTTATTATTAATTTTTCGTTATTATTAATAATTAAAAAGTTTATTATTTTAAGATTTTACCCGTTATATTATTATTTTAAATATTTTAATAACCTTATTTAAACCTTATTTAATAAGCTTTTTTTAAAATAAATAAGTATAATATTTAATTTTAATACCCTTTTAAGCTTTTTTTTTAATAACTTTATCTTTTAATTTAGTTTCATATTAAATAAGTTTCTTACCTATATTTCGTTAGTTTAACCTTAACTTTATAAAAACCAAAAGAAACAATATTTCATAATATTTCTTTTAATTATCTAATATCTTTTAGTATTAAATCGGCGCTTTTCAAGCGGCACGAAGCTTATAACCTGTTATAATACAACTGCAAGCAAAAAGAAAAAAGAAAAAAGGAAGAAAGCTTACTTTATTCCTAAACTACAAATGACAGAATGCCAATATATGGCCATAAGGGCCATATGGCTAAGGATGCCTAAGGCACCTGCAACACCATCTATGTAAAGAGCCGTATACACTAGATAGGAGAGCAATGTAGCAGTATACAAATCAAAGAGCTAGCTTACCCCCGACAGACAAGCTGCACATAACCCTACATATGCGATGTGATGCCACTTACCACTACATAGTACATAACCCTGGAGACTACATACGCTACTCGCACGCTACTCACCCGACCCGATGCCTCGGGAGGACTAATCGGGAACGGGATTCCAGAGCGCTGCGATGATCGTCGCGGACATAAATGAATGGCCGAATAATGAATTAGCCCTCGCTAGAAATGAGGAAAGGCCAACAATGAACCTCGGCGAAACGAACTGCCTATTCTCTTGTTTGCGAGTCTTTAAATAGATAAATACAATGGGATAGGTCTGGTGGATCAATTGTGATAATAACACTACCTATCTAGGAATAACGATTATCACCACTATCATCGACTTTATATTGTATGTACATCCGTTAATAAAGCAAACGACAGAGATAGAGAGAGAATAGAAAATAAGCAAACAAGAAAGAAAGAAAGAAGGAAGGAAACAACAAGGCAATTTATGCTTCTCAAACACACACATGACATACATGATTACCTAGGTAGTTTAAACTCGACATCTCTTTGACTTTATTTTGTCCATCTCCATCTCCGGCTCCGGTTCCGTCTCCATCTCTCCCACACCTACCCCCCCTTTCCTCCAAGATGGCGCGATCACGCACCATGGCAATGCGCTACACGCCCCAGCTATCCCATCGATGGGCAGCGCCTCACACGCGGCGCCAATATAGCAGCTGCAGCGCAGTCATCTCTACATCTAGATTATTATCACAACCGGGTCTCTTCCTCCCACAGCAACAGCAGCGGTGCGCACGCCGGACTTATGCGACTGAGGGGGGACCTCCTGGTAAAGTATCTTCGTCGCGGAGTGGCTCCAAAGTCTTCAAGTCCGCGGACGAAGCGGTAGCGGATCTGGAGGACGGGTACGTGGTTCTCAGTGCTGGGTTTGGGCTGTGCGGTGTCGCTGGTACGTATCATTGAACTACCTACCTTACCTTACCTATCTACCTACCTACCTACCAAGTGGCCGTTCATGTGTGCTCATCTATATTATATGCTAACATCCAAAAGAAACCCTCATCCAAGCAATCCACAAAAAAGGCCTCAAAAACCTCACAGCCGTCTCCAACAACGCCGGCTCCGGCTCCCACGGCCTCGCCCTCCTAACGCGGGACGGACGCCTGGGGCGCATCATCCTCTCGTACCTCGGCTCCAACAAGGAACTCGAACAGCAGTACCTGACCGGCCAAATAGCCGTCGAGCTCTGCCCCCAGGGCACGCTGGCGGAGAAGCTGCGGGCGGCGGGGGCCGGGATCCCGGCGTTCTACACGGCGACGGGGGTCAAGACGTTTGTGGAGACGGGCGAGATCCCGGTGAAGTTTACGCCGGAGGCGGTGCTGGAGAAGGGGAAGGCGAAGGAGACGAGGACGTTTGGTGGGAGGTCGTATATCATGGAGACGGCGCTGCCGGGGGACGTGGCGATACTGAGGGCGTGGAAGGTGGACGAGGCGGGGAATTGTGTGTTTAAGTACGTTGATCCAAAACCAACCAACCACTTCCTTAAAATCTAAGGAAAAGGAGAGGAAAAAAAAAAAAAAAAAAAAAAAAAAAAGCTAACACCGTCCAGATACACAACCAAAACCTACGCCGGCCTCATGGCCCGCGCCGCCCGCATCGCCATCGTCGAAGCCGAGCACATCGTGCCCATCGGCTCCATCGACCCGGACCACGTCGACCTCCCTGGGATATTCATCGACCGCATCGTGCCCGCCACCGCCCCCAAGAACTTTGAAGTACTCAAGACCGCACCACCCCCGCCCCAAAACAACGACAAAGACGACGCAAGCAACCAGCCAGCAACAGCAACCCTCGACGCCCGCAACCGCATAGCCCGCCGCGCCGCCCTCGAGCTCCACGACGGCTACTACGCCAACCTCGGCGTCGGCATCCCCACCCTCGCCGCCTCCTACCTGCCCCCCACCGCCAGAATCTGGCTGCAAAGCGAGAACGGCATCCTCGGCATGGGGCCCTACCCCGCGTCCGCAGCCACCGCCGACCCGGACCTCATCAACGCGGGGAAAGAGACCGTGACCCTGCTCCCGGGCGCCTCGACCTTCGACTCCGCCGAGTCCTTCGCCATGATCCGGGGCGGCCACGTCGACGTGTCCATCCTGGGCGCGTTCCAGGTGTCCGCCGCGGGGGACCTCGCGAACTACATGATCCCGGGGCGCGTGTTCAAGGGCATGGGCGGCGCCATGGACCTCGTCTCGAACCCCGAGGCGACCAGGATCATCGTCGCGACGGAGCACGTCGACAAGAGGGGCAGGAGCAAGATCGTGCAGGAGTGCAGGCTGCCGCTCACGGGGAAGGGCGTCGTCAGCACCATCATCACGGACCTGGCCGTTTTCCAGGTCGATCGCGTGGGTGGGGGCGGGCTGACGCTGACGGATATCGCGGAGGGGGTGAGTGTGGAGACGGTGAGGGAGAGGACGGATGCGGAGTTCAAGGTTGCGGAGGAGTTGAGGAGGTTTTGAGTATCTAGATACCTATGGAAGTGAGATGGTTTATATAAGTATAGGGGTATGATTGTATGGGGTTTATGTTGGGAATGCATAGGAGCTGTATATAGTAGTGAGGTATTCTGTATATATTAACTTGCTGTGTCGGTAGGTAGCGGAGGCATAGGTTGAAGTAGGCGTATGTACAGCTTTATGTACCTGGGCGGTTAGATATACCTTATGTATGGAACACAGATGTCTGGTATCGCTGTGATATGTAGTAGCCTAGGTTAGGCTAGATATGTGATATACACGCTATATACGCCATTTATACATTCGCTCATCTCCAAATAGCTTCCAAGTAGGCGTCCACTCACAACTTTGGTCTTATCCCCGGCGCAAACGTCGTCCCCTCGCCCCCACCAATCACGCTGACCAACCGATCCACGCTCTCCAAAATCCACGTATTCCCATCCTCGCTCGCCAGCCACGCGCCCCCCTCCACCGGGTCCTCGCCCTCCGCCCTCGCGTCCCCATTATCGTACGCCTTGCGCAAGCCAAAAATATGCGAGACGACCTGCGGGCCGACCCCGCTCTGCGTCCGCAGACACGCGATCGCCACGAGCGACGTGAGCACGCGGCCGACCTTGGCGCCAGCGGGCGGTGACGCGTCGCGCGGGTTGGACAGCAGGTTCGAGTAGTGCCCGTTGAGGATGTGGACGGGGAGGTCCGGGTGCGACTGCGCGAGCTTAGCGAGCAGCTTGCGCTCGAAGCCGATGTACACGCTGTCCCACAGTGCCAGGCCATCTTTTTTGCGGATTTCCAAGTTGGCAGTGGTGAGTTCGCGGGTTGGTGTCGTGCTGAGACCGGCGCCGACGTCGGCTGGCAGGCTAGCGCGGAAGGCGTTCAGCGTGTTGATGCTGCGCGGGATGCCGTTGAAGGAGATGCATTTGAGGCCGACTTCGCGGATTAGCTCGGCGTTTTGGACGGGCGTGCGCGGGTCTGTTGGGGTTGGGGTCGAGTTTGCGAGGTGGAAGATTTGGGTCATGGCTTCTGGGCAGTTCATGGTTGCTGAGACGGCTGTCTACAAGTTGATGTTTAGCTGCTTTTCTTTTCTTTTGTCTTGTCTTGTATTCCTTCCCAGATCATCTACTAGAGAGACATACGGATAATGTGACCCAAGCCGGCAGCCCGACCTTCTTCTCGGCCGCATCGGTCGCGAACCGCGCCAGCGCATTTTGCACACCTGTCGACGAGGGCGTGTAGCCGGATTTCGCGTGGCTGGCGTTAATGAGCGCCTTGAGGGGTTCTGAAAGTTTCGACATCGTGAAAAGAGTCGCGAAAGGGAGTCAATTGGTTTGGTCAATTGGGGTTTCGATTTACGTGGCCGGGTAAAACGTTGTCGCTATGGTGGATCGTAAGGGGCCGGTAGTTTGCAGCGATTGTGTATGGGTTTAACATTCAACGTTGGTCTCTGAATTATAAATTATACATAGTAGTATACAATAATAGCACACATTAGGTACATACACGGTATTAAGTAGAGGGGAATCGTGGTGCCGAAAGAAAGTTACGGCAATGCGGACGGAAGAAGGGATCTGGATTTCGTTACTCAGTGGGTTCATTCGGTTGTTCAAGAACCCCCGACACCATCACATCACTGCTGCGGGCTTATATCCCCTGTAGCATTGAGCCGACAGCTACCATGTATTGTACCCACTATAAAGTGTGCCTGGACCCTGAAACCACCTAACCTACCACTGCTGCCAGGTACATAACCTAGTTTTAGGCTTTACATAGTAGGTAACATGTACTACTAGTAGTAGAATAAAAATAGTCTCAGGAAAATCGACTGATGCGGCCCTCGGTACCACGTGCTCAAGCATACCCTCCAAAACAAATAACCGCAATGGGAATGTCATCCTTTTCTATCAACTGTTATATATACTTGAAATATGGACACAACCAAAACTCCAACGAGATCCTGTTGCCTCACTTCCAGACCCAAAGTCCTCGCAACCAGCCTCCGTACCAAAGGGTAAGAAAACACATAGGTATTTGTATGGGACATCTTGAAATCACAAATTCAAGAGGGCTAGCTGGGTATTCGTCCTGACACCATACTTGTCGATTTCATGACAACGGTAAACTCCCTCTACTATATCCGAGAATACTTCCCAGCTATCTACAACACCAACTTGAACGTGGGGTCACGGTCGTCACCGTAGCCGCGGTATTTATCGTATTTGCCATTCGCCTTATCCCGGTTGATTTTCCAGCAGTACAACACATTGCAGAGAATCCTAACAGTTTTGGTTAGGGTTGATACTCTAGGGGGCTGATATTGAGATACTCACAGGAACCATCCGCCACATAAAAGTCCAAGAATGATAGTATGTCCTTTTCGGTATGCCGGTCCCTCAGACTTGGGATAAATGAAGACAGCAACGAATCCACCGCAATTCGCAATGGCAAGTTGCAAGGCGCTAGTCGTCGCTCGCTTATAGTGGCCAGATGAGTTCTGCATCGTTTGTCAGCACCATATTCGTCTTATACGTCAGGAGCAGAAAAAGATGTCTACATTTGAAAGCCATCCCAGAACAGGAGGTACACTGCTGTACAGACCCGTGGCCATAAGGAATGTCATGCCATATTTGACGGGGTTGCTGTTGGTGTTGGCAATGACCGCATACCCAATAATGGCCAATGGCAATGAACAGAGCATAACAACTCCTCTGACACGGAATCGATCGGAAAGAAACGCGGTGCAGACTAATTAGTGTAAGTCGATCATCCAAGACAAGATATCACATGACAATGTACATACCTGTTACCACGGAAGCTACAGCATAGGGGATAACGGACCAGAGCTGAGCTTCGTTGGCTGTGTATCCTAACCCAGTTATAATGGTCGGAAGCTAAGAGTTCGACATTAGAATACTCGGCTTGGAAAGAAGCGATATTTCACAACTCACGAAGAGACCAAAGCTGTACAGCCCACTAAGGATGCCGAAATACGCGCAGGCCGTGAACCATGTCTGCAGACTAAAGACACCACGGCCCACCTCAGACCAAGCGAACCTCTCGGCTGCCTCCCTAGAAACTTGTCAATGGGTGTCACTTAGCGTTATAGGCAACAACATGACAGACGTACTTTTCGTGCCGGTTGCCGTTGCCATCGGCAGATGTGTTGAGACGACTGATGGCGAATTCGCGCTCCTCGGGTGTAAGGAACTTGGCCGAGCCAACACCGTTTGGAAGGATGAAATAGGCAGCAATTCCGACGATAGCAGTCTAAAAGAGAGTTAGGAAACCCGGCTGCCACTTCTAAACGAAGAGTCACTCACAAATAAACCCTCGATCACAAAGATCCACCGCCACGAGCTGAGACCACCTCGAGTACCAATCTCGGAAATTCCACGCGCCAAAAGACCTATATGATGTTAGGCGATGGCCCTTATGCGACGCGACATGGTTACATAAGAGAAGAAAAGGATTGCATACCACCGAACGCGCCAGACAAGGAAGCGGCTGTGTAAAAGATACCAATACGCAAGGCAAGTTCACCTCTAGTATAGATGGTGGACAAGTAAAGAACCTACGATGCCCAGTTAGTAATTTCTATATTTACTAGGTAAGCATCTCATTTCTCTACTTACAATTCCTGGTAGCAGACCGCCTTCCGTTAATCTGTGATACTTGACATTAATAACTGGCCGTTTGAGTGACAAATCATCCGATCACATTGGGAATGGGTTCGATGAGAATGGAACAAAGAAAGTGAGAATTGGGAGGGGTTGACTTGACTGACCCAAGCAGAGCACGCACACCAACGAAGCCAGCGAAATTCTGAATGAACCCCAGACACATGGCAGAAATACCCCAGAAAAAGGTCAAAACCGGCAGCCAAACCTGGGGAGTAAGCTTCTTGAGGATCAGGTTGCTCGGGATCTCGCTCAGAATGTAGGTGGCGTAGAAGACTGCGAGACCTTGGTCATATTGGTGGTCTGTGATGTTGATGTCCGTCTCCAGGTTGTAGAGCCGCGCATTCCCTACGTTGGTCCTGTCCAGGAACGAGCAGAGGAACAGAACTGCGAGAACGGGAAGGATTCTATTTTTTGGTTGTTAGACCTTATTTTCGTTACATCACGCATTTTCCACTTCGCTCTTATTGAAAGGCGATAAACAGAAGAACAGGTATATAAAAAAAATGGTTGGACAGAACCTCGTGTCAAGCTTCAACAGAACCCTACGCGTCAGGTGCTTGTCGAGCGAGCTGACCTGCACCGTAGTGCCCTTCTCCAGCTCCTCCACCACTGCCTTCTTGTTCACATCGCCAGAATCGGAGGTCGACATCATTAATTCTTTCTCTTCTTTTCCTCGCCAGAAGAGAAAACCAAAAGAGAGGAGAAAGAGAAAGAAGAGGCTGGGTCGTTGGAGGTACTGGGTTGGTTAGAAGACTTGCACACGGCTGGCTTCTTAAATACAAAAAGCAAGGGACTGGCATCGGTCGGTACAAGGTAGGTAGGTACTTGGATGTTGTATAAAGACTAAACATCCTCCAGTCAAATTGCATGGCGTTCCGATTACTACATTACTAGGTAATAATTCACATGTAACTACATGTATCTCTTTTTCCCTTTCAATGTTTTTCCTTTTTATTTTATGTAACACAACAACGGTTGGGGAACTGAACATTGAAGCTAGGGGTGAGAAAGCAAGCACATTGGACTAGGTAAGGCAGGCAGGCAAGGTATGTTGAACCTATTCACTTTCACTTTCACTTTCTACCTATTATCTACATACCTGGTCATGGTATTGGGTAGGTAGTTACCAGGTACATTAGTTAGAGTGTGGGGAAGGGTCATCTTTGTTCTTGGAATGGAGCCAAAGGGGAGTAAGCTTTGGTGATCTCGGGGACTAGCATCTAGCATCAGGGCCATTTGCTAACATTAACCAGCGTGGAGTATGCGGGGGAAATATGCGTTTACATGGTATATTGTAGGTACACTCATCACAATACATCACGATACATCACAATAGTACATATGCTCGGCGGAATTTGATATACCCCCGATCCTTCTACTACATGTATTTCTTTGCCTTACACACATACACTTACATTTAGTACCTACATAACTACTATGTATGTGGGCTATTCAAGCATACACACACCAACATACCTACCTACCTCCTTTCGATAACAGACACTGCTTATAGGCCATTACTAGACAAACATGCATGCCCAGAGAACACCTACATGGGTTCAAAAAAAAAGAAAAAGGGTTGGTCAAGGATATGATTTGTCAATGCAACCAGTGACTGACTACCTACATATGTACATACATACACATGATAAGCAAGCCTACCATGTAGTTACTGCATAGTAGTTTAGTCTACATATGTAGGGAGTGACTCCCGGGTAACTACTAACTATGCATGAAAGGTACCTACCTACCTACCTACACTACCTACATAGTTAGTTAGTACCTAATTAGTAGTCAGCCAAACAAGAACATGCATGGATCACCCTTATCAGCAGCCGTGGGTTACATCGAATGGGCAAAAACACCCACTCCAGGCATGTACCTACTGTAAATATAAATATAAATATAAATATAACCAGCGTCTTGCTACATATGTACCGGTAGAGCAAGCAAGCAAGCAAGCAAGCAACCCTTCGAACACCATTCTAGAAGCCCTACACTAAGCAGGAACTTTGTGGTGCTGTCTTCAAAATAGTAAACATAGTAACGCCGTGCCGTGCCCAATCAATCACATGTCTTGTCTGGGTTGTTCATCGACACACACACACACACACACACACACACACACTTTGTAACCCATCGTATGTAGCATCTTCTGCGAGAAGGGTCCTAGTAAAGGTGTCTGCTCCTGTCTAGGTGTCCAGAAAAATCCAGAAAGAACAAGCAGAAATCACATGGTTAAAGTACCTATACCTAGTAGCTACCAAGCTAACACGTTGATCCAGAAATGTCCAGGAACCATACCTAACACCGCATCAATGCCCCCGTTTATCTCGCAGACGCCAGAGTAGTACCCATATCATCAAAAAACATCCATCCATATTTCATGTAGAAGTTGTACAACGTTTATGTCATGATCCAAATGTCGACCAGTCCATCCAATCCAGGTCTGCGCTTTGAAATTGAAAATCCTCCCAGAATGCATTGAGTCCAATTTCCGTATTGTGAATGGCCTCGTCTAACTGGTTTTCATTGGACATCGTAGAGAATAGTAAATAGTCCACCGGTAGAGATGACGCTGGCACCGGCATTTGTATTGTCCCTTGGTGGTTGGCTATGTGGGCAGGGGGCAAGTCCGTATACATGGGGGCAGTTTTGGGAGCGTCTCCGTTTGGCTCTGGTAGAGATGGAACAGTCTCTGAAGCCCGCGATGCGTACTTCAGGATCTGCCTCAGTTGCCCTGCGAACAGACAAGAGAGCCCCTTCCGTTGTATCGGAGTTGATCCTATCCTTTCCAATGCATCCGTGGTTTCCGCGATTAAGGCCCTAATACTCGGGGCTAAACTTGAGCCCCGACCATCGGCAACGGTACTAACCCTGAGCGCGAAACACGCAGCAAAGGATATCATGATAGCCGTGTTGTTGGGCATAGACCTTAGCTGGCCTTCACCTTGAACTGCCACCCGTAAAACGTTCAGCGCAGATGAGAGGCCTGCGGCACGGAAGAAGTGCCGGGCTCCCACGGGCGCAGTGCCATGATTGATCACGGAACTATATAAAGATAGTCGAGTATGCGAAGCAAGAATCTCGACATAAGGAGGTAAAGATAGTTCTATATAGATTTTGTTAGGATATAAAATCGCCTGGCTATTCGAGGGAAAGGACTTACGTTCGCGGTCGCCTATTTGCACAGGCCAAGTTTGGTACCACCTGTCGAAGAAGATAGTGATTTCGCTTTTGACTCTATCCATTCAGATTAGCATAGTCCTCAGCTGCGATGGAAGGAAAGTAAATGTAAACAGAGACTCACCTGTCGACTACAGCCAATTCGCTGTTCCCGTTCACATAACTATCACATATTGATCTCACTTTTGAAATCAAATTTGCCTGTAAATGGTAAGTTAGTTGAAGTTTGGGAGTATAGATATTCCAGCGGAAATATTACCAAATCTCTTCTTAGAACTGCAACGGATACAATGGAACCATCCCATCTGTCTGCTAGTTCGCTCACGTGCCATTGATCGCAATTCTCTATGAGAGGTGACATCGGTAGGACATAGTTCCTCCCCCTGGCAAGGCACACACTATGACGATTGCAAATTAGTTGGGTTGCTTTATAAAGAAAACTTTTGGGGTCTCCTTACCCTCTTTCAAGGACGAACAAGGATAGCCAAGTTCGTTCCCTCCTCCTCAGAAGCCTTAGACCTCTCGGAGAGTCTGGATCGACCCCGAGAAACCCGTCTATACCAAGCGCCTTTCGTGCCGATATGCAATCAGATGTGGCAATAATATCTCCCCTCGGGCTTCGGGGCTCTGTAGATGAATGTAGAACGATTTTATTCAAGGATAAGTCCAAGGCTATCGTCAAGGCCATGGACAAGTAGGTCGAGGTTTCGTCATCAGCCCAATGCTCACCAGCAGAGATCCAAGGTATATTAACCATGAAAGCCAATACGATCTCGACGGATTTAAAACGTTTTGCCATCACAAGGCTAGCCAGCTTCTGTCGATGGTTCGAAAGCCTCTTATATAGGGATTCCATGGAGGGGGAAAACAATGCCGACGCAGCGGCGATCGAGGTTAGCAAGAAGGCTGACCGACTTCGAACAAACTCTACTGTATGTATCACGGGGTCGATTCCCCATCGTGTATGCGCGAGGTTTTCATAGAAACTAAACAAAGCTTGTTAGTCATTGAAGATACAATACCTTGGGATGAAAAAAAAAGACAACCGTACTACGCGAAGAGTGTCTCGGCTTCCGGAAGAGTGATGAGCCCCAGCTCAATGGGATCAAGGTCCTCGGCAACATCGAGTCGCGCTTGAAATCGGCCGAAGAACTTTTGTAAATCATCGCCTTCCCCAGCAGTGTTACGATTGGGAGTGAATTTAGAAGGAGGTCGCGTTGTGCCAGTTCCCTGCACCTGAGGGGTAATTGATGATAATAATTCAGATGTCCGCGCAAGCAACTGTAATGGATTTTCGGCATCATCCAAGCTAAGCTGGTCTTCTTCAATCTTATTAGAGTGCACCGCTGAGTCGTCGCGGGAACAAGACTGTGAAGGTGACGTCCCTATTGAGATTGAGCTTTGCTGAGGTGACACAGACGACTGATCATGTTCCAATCCATTCACTGTAGATATGCGCCGCGGAAGCGCATGAGTCTCATTCAGGAGCTCTCGGCTTCTTTCGAGAAGATATCGCAACTCGGAGGCTTGCTCCGCACTTTGGACCTGGTCGATAGCACCGGCATGTGATCTCCTTAATGCCTGTTCTATCTGAAACACCGCCTTCTCTAGCCCGGAATGCTTGCTGACAGAATTGTTTAGCTAGGTATGTAGCTTGCGGTGAGTATTGGAGATGGACAATTCAGAGACTCACTTTTTAACTCCTTTATGTCGACCGACGTGGAAGAGAGGGGCGGAACATTGAATTGCGCGCTGTGTGCATCGAGTACATGTGGAAGAACCACTAGGCCGCACGCACTTCAACTTTGATTTCTTACAGTTGAAGCAGGCGGCGAGACGCTCTTCGTCTCTTGTATCAGGTTCTGATTTCGGTGCCATTCGATACGATACACCCACAAGGCCGATAAGAGGAGGCCATAGATCTTGGGAAGATACGATAATGCAAAGGTAAGAAAAGGGTCAGATGGTGTCTACCTGGTCAGTCTTACACAAGCACATGGTACCGAATCTTGAGATATTTTTCTTGGTATCGGGAAAGTTGTTGCGGAGTGTTGGAGCGTTGGAGTTCTTGGAGTTTTGTTGGAGTTCAAAGTTCCAGTTATTCCTGTTAATGTTGTTTTCGAGGGTTGTTGGGTTAGTACTGGCTTGGCCCCCCGCACGTTACTAGGTAGGTACTACTAGTAGGAGGCAGGTACTTTTAATATTTGGCAGGGGGTTTGCCGGAACTGGATAGCACCCAGAAGCAGGGGAATAGCTACGTGATAGGTGTAGGTTAGGCTATTAGGGGGAGGGTAGGACGGAAGAAAGAGAGAAAGCGCTATCAACGGTCAAAAGACCACCAATACATTTTAATCGATCTCTACTAGAATCTCTACTACTAGTAGTACATAGTACCTACATGTAGTATGGCGGTACTCGATGAGTAAGTTAACGACAAAGAAACAAGGATACCTACATTGATACACTACATACACTACATACACTACATTATGTTCCATTATCATGTCCCCTCCAATCGGAGAAATCCACCCATTGAGATTTCTAGAATTACTAAGTTCTACTATCGCTTAGCTGCTTACTTGACACATTCCTCATCTGGCTGTCCAACACTACATACTACTCATCCATTACACTCATCAATTACCTTGAGGTCATTCATACCTACTATGGCCATGTTTTTGAATGTAAGGTATGTACATACTTCACACCACCTTATGTACCTTTCCAGGTGCCCTTGAAACTGTATGGACGCCTTGACATGCATGTAAGATACTGAAGAAAAGCACATGCAAACGGACCTCTCATAGACCTCTTACGCTGTGATCGTCCTAACATCACGGCAATTACCTAAGTAAGTATTTTATGGATACCAATGCCGATACCGTTATTGTGCCCCATAGTTAAGGGTAACTAGGTAGGCAACAAACGCCGGTGATGGTATTGTATCGGCGGAATTAATGCATTATTCAGCGACAACCAACTTAAGTCCGCTTCCACATCCCCGGTCGAAAAGAATTTAGATTCGGCTGCACAGCCTTCTCGAGTCAGCTTCCAGCTTAGCTGTCGTCGTAGGGCTGGCGCCTGATCTAATCAGTCTGACCAGCTAGCTTGCTATCGACTTACTTAACATAAAGCTCATCCTATCCTAGCTCCAAACACAACCCTTCTACATTCACTTTTCACTTTACCATTCTCTATCCCTCCCTACAGTAAATACACAAAATACTATGCATCTCGTACTCACAGGAGCGACGGGCCTGGTAGGCTCTGCCGCCCTAGACGCCATGATCAAGAACCCGGGTATTACCAAGATATCGATCCTCAGTAGGCGGCCGGTAAAAATGGCAGAGGATTCCAAAGACCCGCGCATCAATTTTTTGATACACAAGGATTTTGGCCAGTACGACTCGGAGCTCCTCTCAAAGCTCCAGGGTGCCTCGGGGTGCGTGTGGGCGTTGGGTATCAGCCAGACCCAAGTTGGTAAAGAGTGAGTTACCCACGTGCCAGCACGTCATCTACATTTCAAATCACTTCACTAACAAGTTTCCAAGGGAATACGTGAAAATCACCAAAGACTACGCCCTAGCAGCATCTCAGGCATTCAAGGAACTGGCCACCGAGCAACAGCCCTTCAACTTTGTGTATGTCTCCGGAGAAGGCGCCAACACCAAGCCAACCCGCTTCTCACAAATCTTCGCGCGCGTGAAGGGCGAGACGGAGCTGAGCCTCGCCGAGATCCGCAAGGCGAACCCGTTCTTTCACGCCAGCTCCGTGCGCCCGGCCTACGTCGACGCCTCGACGCACGACGCCATCAAGCCCTACCTCCCGAAGAACGGTCTCCTGTGGAGGGCCGCGGAGGGCGCGCTCGGACCGGTGGTCAGGTGTGCGGTGCAGTCGGCGTGGAGCCCGACGCAGGACCTGGGGAAGTTTTTGACGGAGATGGCGATGGGGCAGTATAAGGACCAATTCAAGGCGAAGGATATTCAGATGGAGGGGGAGTTCCCGATTTTGGCGAATACGGCGTTCAGGCGGTTAGCGGGTTTGAGCCGTACGTGATGGATGGCGATGATGATACCAAAGGCTTAGTTGAGCTTCCCCTGTTTGGCGAAAGGGCTTGAATGGAGATGGACTGTGGAATATGGGCCATTTCATACGTATAGACAGACTCATAGCTCGAGCGACTGATTTTACTCCCCTCAATGGCCGTTTGCCTTCTTAGTATACACCTATATACCTAGTAGCTACGTACCTACCCACCCCTTTGATTGTACATACCCCCATTCGTCAAAGTCCAGTTACTTACAATATTTCAATACCTATCCTAATACTCAAACCGCCACCTAACATCCGAATCCCCCCTCCAATCCTCCACCTCCCCCACATGCGTAATCTCCTCCGCCAGCCCCTCCCTCCTCCTATTCTCTCTCCTCAGCCTCCTCCCCAACACCGTAACCACCACCGCATTCGCGACCAAATACCCCAGCGCCACCGCATGCCCCACCACAAACCGCGGCCCGTCCGCCCCGCGGTACAGCTGCGTGCCGAGCACCGCGCCCAGATTGCCGATGCTGATCTGCATGGCGTTGGCGACCGCTCTCTTGGTCTGGCCGGAGACGTTGATGGCGGGCCAGGAGAGCACGAGCGCGGTGGCCGGGTAGATGCCGCCGGCGGCGAAGAAGACGCCGGTGTAGCTGACGCCGGGGCGCGCGACGGGGTCGGCGTTGCTGAGCAGGATGCAGTACCCGACGACGGCGAAGAGCGCGGAGCCGCCGATGAAGAGGGCGCGCTGGCCGAGGCGCTCGGACAGGATGGCGATGGTCACGGTGGTGAGGAAGGCGAAGGCGTAGGGGGGCACGGTGAGGAGCTGCGCGGTTGCGGCTGTGTAGCCTAGGTTCGCGATGATGGTGGGCTGTGTCGGCGGGGAACAGTTGTTAGTTGCTGCACGAGCATGTATCGATGCGGTGTGGTAAGGGGTTAAAGTGGGTTAGGTAAGTAAGTAACGTACCAAGAATAGGGAGAGCGTGTACAGGGGCAAGCTCATCGTGTGGAACCCCAGCCCGTAGAGCCAGCAGTTCGCGTCCTTCAGGGCTTCTCGCACGGCAGCCCAGGTAAACACTTCGTCGTTCGTGGCGTCGCTGTCTGCTGCTAGGCGTTGGTGGATGAATTTTCGTTCGTCTTCGTTCAAGAACTTGGAGGTGTCTGGGTAGTTGTACACGAAGCCGTATGCCGCGAGGGCTACGAGGACTGTGAGGATTCCTTCCTGCGAGGTGCAGCGTGTGAGAAAGGTTTTCTTAGGAGATAGATAGATAGATAGATAGAAGAAAACGAACCAATATGAAGATCCAACGCCATCCGTTCGTCCATACGATTCCGCTCATCCTTCCGATGCCCTATGCGCTTGAGTCAGTTTTTGACAAGTCTATCACTTCTTGAATTCTGGTTATGTTGCACGTACATAAGCCAGGATACCACCGAATGCACCAGCAAGAGACGCGGCACTGAAGAAGAGAGAGATCCGGTACTGGCGCTCACGTCTCTTATACCACATGGAGAAGTAGAACACGACGCCCGGGAACAGACCACTCTCGGCCTATTTACGAGGTACATTAGCATCTCCTTTACCACAATAATGCTGCATGTTTTGAGATAGTAGCAACCTCTTATCAGGAAGAGTAAGAAAGAGCACTGAAAAATATAATAACATACTGCCACAAGTTAGCCATGGTGAATATCGTGAGTAGGATACTACTACCTATGTAGGTAGTTTGAAACTCACCAACTCCGAGAAAGAATCGACTCAAGAAATATCCTTCCATATTATGGACTATGCCCATCAACGTGGCCACGACACCCCATACCACCGTTAGCGTCGGGAGCCAGATTCGCGGTGTGGTGCGTTTGAGTATAATGTTGCAAGGTATCTTGATACTCTTGTTTAGCACTTGTTATGTATTTGGGTATCTGGGATGTACTGTACCTCAAATAGCACATATCCCACGAAATATAGCGTCAGTCCCGTGAGATATTGGTTCGCAGCTATATGAGATGTAAGCAAGAATTCGATCCCAACTAAACATATATGAGAGAGGTACCTACTTATATGCACATCGGCCAGCAGCCCCTCGATTCGCGCATTTCCAACTTAAACAGAAGTCATCAGCTTGCTTGATCTCATATTCTATATAAGGGGGGGGGGGTTCTAAAATATACCATTGCTCCGGTCCAGAAAAGACAGCAGATACAAAACACCCACCGCAGGCAAGAGCCTCAAATCGATCTTCCTCAGCAACGCGCCCTCGTTGATGCTAGATCCAGCCGCCACCTCGGAGTCAGATGCGACCGGGCTGCCTCCTTCTCCCACCTCGTCTAGCGTCTTCTCGGCCATCGTGTGTTAAAGTAGTCAGCTGTACCTAACCTAGGTAAATATAGACAATTTTGAACAGTATTTTAGGTATTACACGATGCGATCTGTGGTGGATGAAGAACCTGATTGTTTCATCTAGATCACTCGCCTCCTGATGCATCCATCCTATGTACTAAATTGGCAATGCACCTGCATCCATCACAACAACACACTTACGGCCCTGGCTAGTTAGTATGGCACCATAATAGTGTTATCTGAGTTAAGAGATTGAATAGATAGTACATTAGATGCCGACAGTAGTATGGTGAGTTTCCGGTGTCGTGATTGGCGAGGGCTTCGAATGTGGTAGATCACGACATAGCGACCTTGTCTGACGTGACGATCTTTTGCAGAAGGCTGTCTTGATTAGCTGCTGATATCATTGAGTTGACAGAACCTACTTAATCCTCCACCGTTGCTTGCACAGTTGCGATCTAGAAACCTTTCCTGATGATTATCTTTTAGAAGTAGTAACTTAATAACTTAATAATATCTACCCCTATACGACAAGTCTTTCCTTAGCATGCCTAGGATAGTAGGCACAATACCTATCTCGGTTTGGTATTTGGTATCATTATTACTCAAGCCTCGATGAGCTCCATCTGGTATACATAATTGAGACAAGATAAACGGTCTCAATTACCTAGGTTAGGGTAGTTGACAAGCTGGTTCATCATTACGATACATCCGTATAAAGGTCATACATCCATACTATGTATTGTCATCGAAATGTTACCTAGGTGAGGTACGTAATCGTCACATCCTGCACCTCATACATTAGCGCAGAGGGACAAAGGAAAAATCTTCAAAGAACGGATCTCGAAAGTGAAGTAATGAATATGCAAATGCTGAGTTCTTATTCGCTCATCGTGAATAATACCTCCAGGATTATTTCCAGGTTAGCTTCCCGATGCTCGGGGGCTACCCGTCACCCCACCGTTGCGTTGCGCCCTGTAGCTCAATTTAGCGCCACTTAAAGGGCGTGATCATGGTATTTATTGTTAAACACCTACTAATTGAAGTCATCTACATGCCTATATAGTAAGTAGGTAGCTCGATGAGACCTTATACCTATGTACCTAACCTAGGTAGGTAGTATCTTGACTGAAATAGCAATATCAATAGTAGGAGCAATTGGTTGGAACGACTTGGCGACATCATACCAACAACGTCCGGAATAAAGAGTTCCATGATGGCATCAACACCTTCTACAGTTCGACACGCTCGGCGCGAAGGTGAGTCGAGATGCTGGACATTATAAATAAGTTGCCTGGCAAAAAAGCTGATTGAGCTCTGGTAGATGTGCCTACAATCATCGAATTGATTCGCGAGCTGGCCGATTACGAACATGAGCTGGACGCCGTGGAAGCAACTGAGGCTACGCTTCTTGCCACTATAGCTTTCGCACCTGATGGCGTTGAATCCATCTCTACCGCTCCCAACACCGAACCCACCTCCCCGTCCAGACCTGCGCGGTGTCTCTTGCTCTTTAACGAAGAGGGAAAACCGGCAGGTATGGCGTTGTATTTCTACAACTATAGCACGTGGCGAGCGAAAGCAGGTATCTACCTCGAAGACCTCTTCGTGCGACCGACAGAACGGAAGAAGGGGTATGGGAAAAGATTGTTGGTAGAGTTGGCCAAGGAAGTCGTCGCGACCAATGGTGGAAGACTCGAGTGGAGTGTGCTCAAGTGGAACGAGCCGAGTATCAAGTTTTACGAATCCATTGGGGCCCAGATGATGAACGAATGGGTCGGTATGCGCGTGGATCGTGAGAGGTTGACCAAGTTAGCTAGTTTATTGGACTGAGCAATATTCCACCGGGAACCCCCTATCTAGGTACCGCATGGTTCTCCCTTCGATGGTGATACATGCCCCGAGATAAAATCTACTAGGGCGAGAATGAGAATCCTCATAGAATCAAACTGTAGCCGCACGGATAGTGCTCTGTAAGGGCCGGCCTTTTGCGTCCAGACCTTGGAAAAATTGCATGTCTTTCTTTCTGGGAAGAGGAATCGCTTTCTTTTCCTGGCCCCACGCCACGACCCATTTCCCAGATCGAGGATTTTGTTCTATCGTTGGGGTTGCTCCCCAGACGCGAGCATATATACTGCGACGTAGTCTCCTTCCGCCTAGCACGCGCACGCCAATTGCTCGTCCGTGTCCTCGTGGGTCTTCATCTTCCTCGCCGGTGAGACTCTTCATCTTCCGAGAGTTTCCCCTCTCTAGTGAACGCACTGGCTTGGTAACGAAATCTGTCCAGGACCAGCTATCTCCGTTGTCTGCCGAGTTGGCTGAGGATGATTGCGCAACTGGCCTCCTTGGAGGCAGCGTGTAATGCTGAGCATCAGCTTCGCCTCTTGCTAAAGTGCCAAGATGATTCCATTCTTCACGTGGCAGCGGCACTGCTAGCTGGCGAAGGACACCCGCCCAATGCTTCTTTAATTTGTTTCGTATTAGCTTCTGGGAAAGCGGTCGGCCGAAACAGTTTTCAGTGGGGAGGACTTTTTTGGGATCGATAAGCCGGCGCATTTGGTAAGGCCAGTCTTTGGCTTGCTGCTCGGATTGGGAGACGGCGATTGCCATGATCTTTTCTGTGGACCAATTCTCTAACCAGTCGTGTTCCTGCATGTCGACCTCACGGATAAAGTCGGCAGTCCTCTTTTCCAGTTCTTCAGAATCGGTAGGAGGAGAGCTAGCTAACTCGTATTTTCCTAGGATACGGCGTCGCTTTCCAATCCTACCTGTTGCTAGATAACATAGACGTAACATGCGATCGCTATGGCCGGCGTTGGCAGAGCGAAGGTATCGTACATAGTGGTGAGCATCTTTGATGTATATTTTGGGGTCTGGCTTGTCTCGACAATCTCGAAAACGGGCTTGGATTCGAGAGGTTATCCATGGACGACAGAGAGGAGGAAGATATGTAGCTTCTCGTAGCATATGTCTATAGAGATGAAGTGGGGTATTTGGGTGGGGGATCTGTAATGGCATGGCGGAGTCGAGTGAGTAGGTCTTTGTTGATGTTGACGGTGACGTTTATGAGTGAAGGAAAAAAGTATGTATGTACATAGGCCAAGATAAAAAATAAAAATTAATAATAATATTGAAGCTCGGTGAGATTGGTCAAGATCCTTCCGTCTTTCATACATATTACATAGTACATACATACACTAATGCAATGTACCTAGGTACCCTACCTTGTAGATTTTTGTGAAAATGCTACCTGTAGCCCTAGAGTTAAGGTAGATCGAGTAACCCCACTTTCAACCTCTGTACCTGATTTGGGTAAGCTTTCCCACCCCTCACTTTAAATCAAGTGTTACGCCAGGCAAGGTAAAAGTAGCCCTGCTGCCCTGGAGGTTAGGTTAGGTTAGGTAGTATGTAACATGAATGATAGTAGGGCCGTGCGTCGCGTTCCCTTTCTTATTCATAGTGTTATTCATAGTGTAATTTTTATACTACAGTATGTCTAACATTGAATACTTCGTACTTGGTACCTAATTTTAAATGGGCGGCCCTGGGGCTTAAGAGTTCAAATGTTATCAAATGTTAAGACACGTTCTTCCCAACTCTCCGCACACGAGTCACGACTTTTCACCTATTACACCTATTACACGAAACTGACACGTCCCTTTATATTCACCCTTCGCGACAGTGTAAATGCGCTATACCCAATTCCTACCTTTTAATTGAATTCCAATTTTCTTTTTTTTCTCTTTTTCCCGCAGACCGACCTTGGAAGCTCAAGGGGTTAAAGGCAAAGGGAAACGGGGAATTGGTTTTAACAAGATTGTCGCGAAATAAAGTGGCCGATAGGGATTGGTTCGCGAAGCGCGTCCCCCGTCATCTTTCGATCGCCTTTTTTTCTAATATTCGCATCTCAATCCGTCATTTTCTGTTGGGTCGGGTATCACAGCCATCCATACCATCCATACCATCCATACATGATACCATACACTACCTACCTAATCATAATCACAATCACAACTTACCCTACCTAACCACCTATACTTTGACCTCACCGTACCTCTTCTCTTACATCGCCTACCTTTAGGGTTACGTACCTACATTCAACTTGTCTCTCACATTGTCTCTACAAGTACCTTAACCTTATATCATCTTTGACTGGTATATTCTTATTCGCACGATATTTTACCTCGTTTCGTACCTCGTTTTGTACTCGCCCGAGGTTACAACACTTCCAAGGTCTCAAGGTCTCAAGTTTTCCAGTTTCCGTGGTTCTTCTATAGTTGATTCATTTATTTTCCATGCATCGCGGCCAAGTCTTATTGTGCTCATCTATCAACTTAACCATCTATCGATCCATAGCCGACGACTATACTCGCATCCCGCAGTTCATCAGTTTATACTATTGCCTCTAGTCGGCGCATTGTCATCCACTTTGGGGTTTTTAAAAAATTAGCATCCCTCTCTAGTGTCATTTCGAGCCCCGGTATTCCGAGTCCCCTTCGCTTCGAATCCATTTCCGGTGCTACTAATGTCCGCTGATGGCCGAGGCTGCGGCTCTAATCTATCTCACATTATCATCGCCGTCCCGTATACTATTACCGAATCTGAAGATTTCTTCCTGAACCTCTGTTGATACCATTGTCGCAACTCTTGTTATCCATTGAGACCAATCCCAACCCCCGGCAGCCCAGGCGCTGTTGTAGACTGTCACAATGTCGCAGTCGCAACCTTCTTCTCAACAATCTTTCACAATGAGCCAACCAAGCCAGTCTTTTCGACATTACCCCGACCCCAATGCCAGGTTAGGGAATGGGAATGGGAATGGATATGTTCCTGGTCATGATGCACCTCAAATATACTCGGTTCGTCTTGCTAGACTGCGTCAGTGTGCTAATCTAAAATGTTTTACTAACTCTTGATTCTTAGGCTGTCTATTCTGGCGTGGACGTATACGAGATGGAGGTAAACGGAGTAGCTGTCATGCGCCGCCGTCATGACAGTTGGCTAAATGCCACCCAGATTCTCAAAGTCGCCAATATTGATAAGGGGAAACGAACCAAAATTCTCGAGAAAGAGATTCAAACCGGTGACCATGAAAAGGTGCAAGGTGGCTATGGCAAATATCAGGGCACGTGGATCATGTTCGAGCGAGGTGTCGAGGTGTGCCGGCAATATGGCGTCGAAGAAATGTTACGCCCTCTTCTTACCTACGATATGGGCCAAGACGGTGGCATCGCTGGCAGAGGTGACTTCAACACTCCTACTAAGGAACAAGCCATGGCTGCGCAAAGAAAACGCATGTATAGTGCCACCACCGAGGCCCGTATCAACGGCGTGACTGGCACCTTTTTCAAGAATATCTCCAGTACGGCTTCTACAGCTGTCGCTGCCATTAGCAAAGCCCGCTTCGATTCGCCCGGCCCCAGAGGCCGTAATGGACCAACCAGACCCCCTAGCTTTAGTCGGCAGTCCTCGATGCAAAATGCTGATGACTTCCCCGGGAATTCGCAACAGAGCATCACCTCTGACTATGGCCAAAATGTCGATTCGGCATACTCAACTCAAAACACGCAAATTTTTGGCGATGAACCCCCACGTAAACGTCAACGAGTCGCACCTACAGACAACTTCGGCTACGCATCTCAGTCCATGGAGATGTACGCCAATAATTACCCGGGCTCCCCTACGGAACCTAACGAATCATTTGTGTACAACCAAGCCGGCATCAATATCCATGAAGCTACCCCCCTCCCGCCGCAACCGTACGAGCTGTCCCCGGAGGCTGATCGGAAACGCAATCTACTGATGGGACTTTTTCTCGATCCTACCGCCGACGTATCCGATTATTCCCAGAACGAAGCTCTCCAGACATTGTCACCTGAAGACCTTGACACGCCGATAGACCCAGCAAGTCATACTGCTCTTCACTGGGCCGCTACTTTGGCTCGAGTGCCCCTCCTACGGGCCTTAATAGCAGCTGGCGCCAACCCATATCGAGTCAACGCATCGGGCGAAACAGCCTTGATGAGAGCCTCGGCAGTAACCAACAATTCCGATCAAACCTCGTTCCCAGAATTGCTCGATGTCTTGGGGAACACGATCGACGTTCGAGATAACAAAGGTCGAACAGTCTTGCATCATATAGCTCTTACAAGTGCGGTAAAGGGCAGAAGTGTTTCCAGTAGATACTACCTCGAGAGCCTTCTTGAATGGGTTGTGAGACAAGGAAGCGCACCCAGTAGTCAGAATACAGTTGCCAATGGTAGTGCAAGTCAGCCAAAGATGGGCATTGGTCGATTTATGAGCGAGATTGTCAACGCTCAAGATAAGTCTGGGGATACCGCCCTAAATATTGCGGCCCGAATCGGCAACAGAAGCATAATCTCGCAACTGCTTGAAGTGAATGCTGACCCTAGCATTGCCAACAAAGCAGGTCTAAGACCAATCGATTTTGGAGTGGGCGGCGAGGGCGCCGGTGAAGATGGAGTCAACGGCGACTTAATGGTCATAGACAAGACTAACATTGTCGGCAACTACCAGAAAACCCGAGAGAGCAGTGCAGAAATTATCACTTGTGAGTTTACTACAGATATCCATTCTTTCTTGTTTGACTATTCATTCTAACCAATGCTAGCTATAACACATCTCCTGAGTGAGACATCTACCAGCTTTCACTCGGAATTGAGAAAGAAACAACACGAGGTCGACACACTCCATGCCAATTTGCGGACGTCGTCTTCACAATTGGGTGATGCACGACGTCAACTTGAGACGTTGCAAGGGGCGGCCAAAGCACAGTCCCTAGCACGCCAGAAAATTAGCAACCTTAGTAGGGGTTGCGGCGAAGAGCAGAAAAGGATCATGCAGCTTGAACAACTCTATGGCCGTTTAGACAGCAGTAGTTTTTGGGAGAAGGATCTTGATACGGCATTAGAACACGCAGGAGGGGGACAAGCAAATATGGGTCTTTTACCCAGTTCCGCAGTCCTCCGTGCTCGAATACAATCTCTCGGAAACAGGACAGATGTTATGAGAAAGAGCGTAGGTTCGCTCAAGGGGCGTAGCAAAGACGTGGAGATGAAGTACCGACGAGTGGTGGCACTCTGCACCGGGGTGCCAGAGAGTGAAGTTGACGTGGTGGTAGATGGCTTAGTACGTGCGGTGGAGAGCGAAAAGGGTGAGTTGGAAATCGGACGTGTGCGACGGTTTCTCGGCGGTGTCGATGGCGTGCAGTGAAAAGCTGTATTGCAATATTTAAGCGTTGTGTGATGCTCGAAACCAGACTCTTGTATTACGTTGTCTTCTTGTTGTTTATATGGAACAATTTCTATTGGTGGCATTGGCGATAAGCTATGTATTTGGGGGTTAGGCTTTGGAGAGGTCATGATTTTCACGTTCAGCATCATCATCATCATCATCACCCAAAGCAACCAATTGTTTATATAAGGCAAAGCTTTATGGGTTCGCAGGGAAGTGGGATAAGGGGGTCAGCCACGGAGTGTATATATGACGAAGAAATCTTCCATGCCCCTTCGACTCGGTGATCGTGGAATCGACCAAGCTGGAAGTAAGGCATATCATCGGTTACTTAGAGTCCCCTACTAATTTCACGAATTGCATGGATGGCCTCAATTTACTGAGGCGATTTCAGGTGGAGGGGGGAGACGAGCACGTTAGATACCCGAGAATCAATCAGGAATGAAATAATCAAGATTACATTGCATGTTGCTGTTGAATAGTTGAATAATGCAATGCGTAAGGGGTATCATTAACTCCACTTCCACCCACCCGTCTATCTGTAGTATGGGTAAGCAAATGGCTACCTAGGTATTCTTCCATCTACCTAGATTCATGTATAATAAATATACATGCTGCCCTGCCGAACTGCCTCGTAGGTACCTAGGTAATCATAAAACGCCATAAGCAGGTATTACACAAGTAACTACTACCTACTACAGCTGCACCATCGTCCGAACAACAGCATCAGACCTCCACCCACCGCCCATCCCCGCCCCCCTCCCCTTCCTCCTCCCACGAGCCTTCCTCGTCAACCCCTTCATTAACTTCCACACAGCCGACTCTCCTCCTCCTCCTCCTCCTTCTCCTTCCTCATCGATCTCGTTACCGTCATGACGAGGGGGTAAGGGTGCAGGAGGAGGGGGAAAGACTTTGAGCCTGCCCTCGGACAAGGCAAAACCGTCGCAGGCGACGCGCTGGACGCGGACGCCCGGGTGGAACATGTCGAGGCCGAGGTGGTGCCAGGTGTATGCTGCGAGGGCTTCGGTGAAGGGCTGGGGGATTGTCTCCGTCGGTTCTGCGTCGTTGTCGTTGATGTGGTTCTCGCGCCGCCACGCCCACCCCTCTTCGTCCTTGCCCCCTGCGAGTTTCCGGCGCCGCCTGTTCTGGTGCTCGTCCGAGAGCACGGTTGTTGCGCCCGCTTTCCGCTTTCTCGCGCCTGCTGTCGCGGGGGAGTCGTTGTCGTCGAGACCCTTGCCCATGCGGAGGAAGCGCCGGACTTCTCGCGCGGGGATGCTGATGTCGATGGTTTTTAGGCCGAGCTGTGGCGGTTCGAGTTTCCGGGAGCTAGGATCTTCGTTGTTGTTGTTGTTGTTGTTTTCTTTGCCATCGGGTGTGGGCTCTGGGGGCCCGATGTGGAAGCCAAGCGTGAGGAGGACGTCCTTGCTTAGAGCGCGTCTGCCGGGTGTAGATGGGCTGTCCGAGAGCCACGTTTCCCAGGCGTTGACGAGCGTCCGCGTGCCCAGGCCGAGGGGGGCAATGCGGCAGTCGAAGGTGCTGGAGAGGAAGTCGAGGAGCACGGCTTTGAGTGGGACGGGCATCCGGAATAAAATTAGTGGCAGGTCTAAGAACGCACTTTGATCTACGTCGCCGGCGCGCGAGCCATTCCCCTCCGTCTGCCACGTCCACGACGGCTGGTTACTACTAGAGTCTGAAGCGTCCTCATCTCGGCTGAGATCAGGCAGGAGCAGAGCGCCGAACCGCGCATTCTCGTACGTCAGCTCAATACACAGCACGCGGGGTCTCCCTCCCCGCTCACTACTGTTGCTATCATCGTTACCCAGCTCCGGACTGCCCTTCCGCCGGCTCTTCCTCCCCTCGAGGACCTGCGAGGCATCAAGCCACCGCCAGTCCACGCTGATCAGCGCACCGGTGCGTCCCAAAGACGCGTCGCTCTCTAGTCCTACTTGCACGCCCCGGACGACGTCGCCAACGAGGGTGTCGCGCAGGCGTCGGGCTAGTACTAGCAAGCGCGTAGGCGTCAAGGCCTCCTTGCTGCCGACGTGGAGAGGAGACGCACGGTAGGTGGTGAAGGTGGTGCTGAAGAAGCGCGGTACTTCTGATGTGCTCTCGAAGGATTGGTCAGCGCTGGGATGGGTGGAGGATGGCGCCTCGGAGCGGGAGGGAGATGGTTCGGGGGCGGGTGAGGGTGAGGGTGAGGCAGCCACAGACTCAGGCTCGGCCTCGATCGGCTTGCGTTTTCTGGGAGGCATTTATTTTGGTGTATGAGGTCCTGGGCGGCCAATTGTAGCTCTTGAGGCCTTCTTAAGAGGTGTGTGTAGTGTATTGCGCCGTGGGGATGTCGTCGCGATGACCTTATCGAAGGGGGATCTCGACGCGTCGATCGGCGATAGAGCTTAGAGCTACTCAGGTTTAAGGTTGATTCCAGTATTCTCTCGGGGTTTCTCGGGTTTTCCTTGCAAGTAAATATTTTTGCAATAGTTTTGAATTAGATGCTAGTTCGTATATACTACATAGTGCTGTGTATGCTGTGTAGTGACAATAATGTAGGTTCCTGTTCAATTGTTTATCAACTGATAACAATTAAGGTTAGTGGGGACATCCTCGCGCTAGTACCACTAGTAGTACGGCATAGCTAAGGGACCTACCGCTAGGTGTTAACAGGGGTTTTATGGGTACTATATCGAGGGGTCCCTTCCCTCCTTGCCTTGAATCATTCAAGCTTAGCTGCAACTTTATCGTCATTGCTCTCACTTCTCCAACTTTCCCTTTTTTATTTGATTTTTTAAACTTCACTGAAAATTCCTGAATCATTCAACACCCCAATCCTGATAAACTTGACCCAAATCCATGGCGACGTTACCTCAGACCAACCACCAAAGAAATTAACTTACACCGGATTAAACCCAATGGCCTCATCCTCACCCTCATCATTCCCTTCACCCTCCCCATCCCCTGACCGCAGAACCCCTATTGGGCCTCTCTTCACCAAATTCCCCGAGCTCCCTCCCGAGATTCGCCACCAAATCTGGCGTGCTGCCCTCCCAGAACCTGGCATAAACTTCTTCAACGTCCACTGCATCCCCAACGACCACAACGGTGCCAACCGGAGCACCTCCCCCCCGTGGCTGTACCTCGACCTGCGGCGTCTGTCCATCCACGACGACGACGTCACCGTCGAATCCTACGATCCCTCCGCCTGGCTTGCCCGAGATATCCTCTGCCGCGTCTGCCACGAAGCTCGCGCCACCTGTGCCCTCTCTCCCTCCGAGGGCTGTGTGATTGTGCTGACGCGCCCCAAGCGAGGCCTCTTCGTCCGCGCAGCCGATGGCCAAATCCGCAGTCTGACCCCCGTGACCAGCTACGGCGCGGCACCTGTCATGCTCGGTGGGCCGGGGACAGAGCCTCTAGAGCGACGCAAGATTCGCGTCCGCTCTAACGACGTATTATGCTTATCCCTCGAAAACTGCAGCTTCAATCTGCCGTATGAGGAGACTCCCATGATCGACGGCGGTGGCCGGAATGCCGGATACGACCAAGACTACTTGGGCTTGGATGACGGCCTCGACGCTGATGACATTGGCTGGGCGTATGACCCACAACTGACGCCACCACTGCCGGGGGCCATCCCGTCGTCACGATTGTGCATCGGCATGGCGCGAGCCAGTCGTGTCGCGCTTGGTGCCGCGGGAGAGGTAGCGCGGGACTTATTGACCTACGGCCAGTCTACCTGGGGCCTACAGGATGACTCCTTGCTACGAGTACCACAAGTCATGTTCGAAGCGTGCAAGCAAGAACTAGGTGACCGATCAGTCGACGAATTAGGTCCACACGGGGCAAAAGGAGGCGTGGAAGTGCTTTGGGATCGATTCGGCGATCGCTACGTCAAGGTACCATGGGACGGCGCCGAGGGCTTATTCTCTGCCGAGTATCGGATCGCCAAGGTCTGGCCCGAGTCCAACGACATCCGAGAGAGATACCTGCAGTCTGCGATGCTGCAGTCGCCCAAGAGGCTTGTTTCTCGACCGCGTTGAGGACTTGACTTGGGTAACTATGGGTGGTTGGACAGATGTTGAGTCTTTACAGTCTACCCCGAAGTGTATGTCAATTTGGTAAGTATAGGTACCTAGGTTAACTAGGAGGTGTGCATATACTCTATATAGATGCTATTTATGAGATGAGTTGAGTTGAGTTGATAGACTATAAGCTGTTTGTTCAATGACCCGGCAGCCCAACTTTTTAATAGATTATTAGGGATATTGATTTTTTGAGCTCTTTTTTTTCTTACATAAATGTAGATCAAATTCATTGACTCGTTACCTACCTACCTTTACCTTGCAGCAAAAGCCTCCTTGGTGAAGAATACGGCTGTGTAGGATTTTCCGTCTGACAAAATGTTTACCATGTAGTAACTTCCAAGGTTTTGAATAAAAAGACAATAAATACCTCCGTAAATATAGATATAGACAGACAGAGGATGGTGTTCATACCCAAACCAACGCCATGCAATGCAAGAATAGCTGAATACTGTACAAATAATGAATAATGTAATCCTCATCCACTTCCAAGTTAGGTTTCTCCATGCTTATTTCCTTATCTCCTTATTATTATACCCGTAGTCTCTGTCACCACCGCATGTAGGTCCCTAACCCAGGTAGGTCTCTGAGGTAGGTACACAGCCTACAGAAGCAATCACGAGACTAAACCGGGCGGGCCATTCGCATAGAGGCCCTGCCATCTATTCTCGACGACCGTAACCTTACTCCTCACGCTCTCGATTTCCACATCCAGCTCCTCGACGTTCCGCGTCAGGGCGCTTACCTCCTCGAACCGTCTGGCTCCGTGCGCTCCGGTGATCATCTGTTGCACCATGTACTTTTGCTCCTCTAGCACAATGAGCCGCTCGCGTAGATCCTTTTCTTCTGTCTCCAACGCTGATACCACCGTGCTGGTCTCACTTGTTTGGCTGGCTGTCTCGAACACGTCGCTGTTGTTGCGTAGCGGGCTTGCTACATGACTATTAGCCAGTAGGCGATTTCTGCTAGAGCCGGAACTGGAGCTACTATGCTTTAACATTCGTGGCAGATTTTTAAGAGATAGCATGTGCAAGTGTAGGAACGAGGATGCTGCTTGGTGAATAGACTTTTGTAATAACTGCTGCGTCGGGCTGTCCGTCTTCATGTCGCGGATGCGCCGAGCTGCTACATCATACTTGGTGAAGCTGTCCGTGAGTCGTTTTCGGATTTTAGATGCCTCCTGGATTTGTACATGACTTGGTGGTCTATCCTCATCCTGCAGTGGTACGAGGGCTCTTTGAAAAGTGGGCAATAATAGCTGAATACCACGTTCAAATTGCTTTAGTGTCTCGTAAGCACGCTGATCTGGGGGTTTATGCACAATCGAGTCCATGAAGTCTCTCTTGGAGAAGGTGGTAAATTTGCATTCCCGGCACATGCGAATATCAATACTGATGGGGTTGCCTCCTGCCGGTTTTTCGGAGGCGGGAACGGATGGATTCGCAACATTTAGACCTATCTCCAATGAGCACACAGTTTGAGGATCTGCGCATACCACTCGTCCACATAACCGACAATGATGCCTCCTAAACGTCCAGGAGAATTCCTGTTGGCAAAACGGACATTTCGGGACTTTGCCATCATCCTCCCACGTCACAACTGATTGCTCGATAGCCTTTCTCTGGTTCCTCTGCGCCGCTAAAGACAGCAAGCCCGTACCACTGCTTGCCCCGGCCTCTTCAGGCGGGTTTGCGAGTAACTGGGTCAGCTTAGTAAGCCTCTTTTCCAATCGAGATATTTCGAGTGTCTGCCTATCGACCTTCTTCCTTCGTATTGCGGCAAAATCTGGCGTATGATCCCTTATTAAGCCGCTATGATCGTTATATCCTTCTCTTGATTTGTAACACGTTTCACATACCCGATACCAATATCCCCTCACCGGTTCGTGCGACGCTGACCTCGATAACTTCATCTGATACATGGTATGCTCCTCGCAGAACAATCTACCACACTGCCTGCAGTTTATACTACCATTGACAGCCCCCAATCTCTTACCACATGCCGGATCTGTGCATGAATCATTCAAACCCTGCCGCTGCCAGTGGGATTTGGTTATTATATCGTCAGGGTCTATAGGTGATTCTGCAATGGGAGCTCTGGGTGTCCTTGGGGTGATAGGAGGCGGTGTCGCAGCTGATTCGTTCGACTCGAAGACATCAAGGCCACGAAGCTTCTGATTGATGAGGGATAGGGGCTGGAACTTCTTGGCCTTAAGGACTTGCTTATCAATCCATGACTTGACTTCATCGTGCTCGAACTCGGGTAGCTCCTGGTGGATATCATCGATGTGGCGGTTCAATTGCAAGAGCGTTAACATCTCCTCCTCACAGATGGGACATACGAGCTTTGAGCCTGGCTGGCCGCCATTGCTTGGGCCACCCAAGCTAATATTAGAGGTGAGATCCTGAGGGAAATCAGGTGAAAGGCTCGGGGTTCCAGGGGAGATAGATGTAGCGGGAGATCCAATGGATAAGGTGCTGTCGGACGGGGCGGACGGACTGGCAGCCCTCTCTCTCTGAATGGCTGGAGGAGCTGGGGGTGCGAGACCTTTTCCACTGCCTAGTATTCTTCCTCCACCGAGCTTGCGACCAGACATGATGATTTTGCCCTAGAATTAGTACTAGAGGGCAAAAGGTGGCTGTAGTATTCCCAAAGCCATGAGAGCTTTGTATTTCCAGGTATCGCACCCTCTACTACCTCGCCTTCGGAACCCCTGGAAAGGAAAGGGAGTCGGGGAAATTAGAGTTTCGAGAAAGCGATAAGATTCGGTGATGCGAAGTAAAGTCCCATTTGTCCATCCGATAATAGTTGGCGATATATAGATGTGTCGGAATTTGAATTCGTAGGTACTTGGAAGTTGGAATGTTGTAAGAAGTTGGAGAAGTTACGGCGGCGCAAGGCAGAAACATTAGATGCTACAACTTGCGGCGGTTGCAGCTGCAGTTGCAATTACAGTTGCAATTTACATTGTCCAGGGCTCTTTCAAGCTAATAACTACGAAGTACTACTAGTAGTACATGTACCCAGTAGGTGACTGGGACAGTATGGTACCTGAGATTTGATAACTGCAGGATGACGCATGTTAGTGCAAGCTAATGATTCCCTGCTCACCGCTATCAGTTATCCCCCACCAAGGATTGTACTGTATGTATTTTACACTAGCAGGCATAATAAGTGACTTTAATGTTTAGTTAGTTAGTTAGTTAGTTAATGTCTACACTAATCAGTTAAAGCTTGTCGCGTGCCAACTTTTTTTTTCGTCATCACATCAAATCTTTCTCACTGCCATTTATTTATTTATTCAACAACGTATCAAAACTCTTGATGCTCCTCATTCGTAGCCTTTCCTCGGAGAAATAACATGTAGGTAATTAAAAACCAACAAACCAAATCATAGCCAGACAAGACAAAACAAACATGCCTTGACTCTAGTGGTCTCCTTTCTTCATCTCCTCTTATCTTGTCTAGAAAGTAATTCTTGCTGGCATAATGCAGTAACCGCATATTATTCTTTATCATTGATAGAATGGCAAGCAATAGCGACAACGTCGGCAATGTCACCAAATTTCCTAAAGTCCAAGGAGGCGGCAGTCTGATTCTGGCCTGGCAGATAAAGAACAAGCATGTTCTAGTAGTTGGGGGTGGTGAGGTGAGTAATCACAGACCGAATGACTAAACCCTCATTTTCATGAAAGGTATCATGTCTTATAATCTATATTTGAATAGGTCGCGGCAGGCCGCATTCTCAATGTTCTCAACGCCGATGCTAAGGTCACTGTTGTGAGCCCATCTTCCGGACTCAATCCAGAAGTGCGATATCGCATCACCAATCAGGAGATCACCCACGTCGATCGTGTATTCCAACCCTCAGACCTCGAGACTCTACCCCCAAGTAATGGACCCCCTGATATGGTCCTTGTTGCCGTTGACGATCCCGCCGCCTCTACCCAAATCTGGAAACTTTGCAAGGAGCGCCGTATCCCGGCCAACATCGCCGATGTGCCCCCCGAATGCGACTTCTATTTTGGTAGCATCCATCGCGATGGTCCCCTACAGATCATGGTCAGTACCAACGGAAAGGGGCCAAGGCTAGCTGCCAGCATCCGGAAATGGATTGGGAATCAGTTGCCCACCGGTGTTGGCGACGCCATCGAGAGGATTGGTGAGCTGCGCGCCAAACTACGGAAGGTAGCCCCTAACCCCGAGGAAGGTCCCAAGCGCATGCGTTGGATGATAAGGGTCAGTGATGTCTACAGTTGGGATGAGATGTGTGGGCTCACGGGTGAAGATATGGATAACCTCCTAACATTTTACCCTTCCAATGAGGTACCCCACTTGGACTTGCTTAAGGCCATGCGGGGTGGCAAGTCTGCTGAGGACATCGATATCTTTGACGGGTCGTTTGGCTTCAGTGTCGTCGCTTGAAGTGGACCGGCGACCACGTCTCGCATTTGATGACATTGCTCAGGGTCATACGTATATGGATGTCATATATAACATCTAGGAACTTCCATGCCCACAAAAGATTTGATTATATAAATTGAAGTTGTATTATCGATCTTCCAATATATTCGCTTGTTGTACAACTCTTCTGGAGGTTTTGGATTGGGTTTGTCCACTATAAAGGATGTAGATATCCTAAGAATATCTTTGTATTGTACTATTTCAGCTACGTACCTGTCAATTGTCTTGGAAGTAAGAAGTGGCTCCTTACAATGAATACTATGAACGTGAGAAATTCTCACTTGGTGCCATGGTATTGAAACAGTTGCGTTCGCTTCCTAACCTAAGATACCTACCTAGGTAGGTACGGCACCTATTCGCTTTCAACTACTAGGCATCCATGGATGTAGCAAGTTCATTTGTAAAATCCGTCTTGTTTCCATAAGGAATCATTGCTCCTAGATATTCCAGTATTCTTTGAGTTGGCTCAAGGGTAGGATGGGTCATTGTACAAAGAACAGTCACCTAAGATAATAAGTATTCAAGCCTTCGGTACCCATATTAACCGATTATAAGGATAGACAGTCACGATGTATACTCCAGCCCGGAGGTAATACTAAAACCTATAGTACCAAGTTCAGGTGAGTGCCTGCTAGGTTAGGCACCTCTACTGTACGCCAAGTTGAGAAACCCTCTGTCTTAGCTCAAATTTATGAAAATATAGGTGCCTATGAAAGCGTTATGAACTCAAGCTTATGTTCGTATTGCTATATTGAGTCCACCCTATCATTTCGATCTAATTTTACGTTTGATCCCTTGGGAAAATTGCCAAGTAAGCCTTCATGTATTATCCGAGATCGACACTCACTTCCACCTGAACGGGCCGACATCTAGGTCGACGACTAAGAGTGACAGGAGCATAAGAATAAGTTCAACTTACTTGGGCAGTCTATTAACTTTGACTGTCTGCCTACCTAGTTAGGCCTAGTATTTGGTATGCATCAAGCACTTGTATAGGAGTCATTATTATTAATATTAGGAGTAGGTAGCGAGAAACCGGCAGTGTAGGTAATAGGTATAGATATTTGTAAGTGCTTAGGCATACACTAAATGCCAAATAGTCTATGCTAATGGCTTTCTCATCCGAGTATATCAGCCACAGGTACAGATACCTCCCTACCTACTCACCGTACGGAATCCTCACCGGCAGAGCAGCATATCCGACAGCCTCCCGGGATTGCTTCATCAGATAACTATGGTGGACGCTCTTCTTCGGCCACCTCCCGCACTGTCATCGCCGATCACTGTGGCCTAGCGCTATACCCCATCTCAGGGACGGATCGAGCCTATCCTCTTGCCTTGCTGTCAACCGGCGAAAGCCCAACCTGAGAGATCCACTTTGCCTTCGCCAATGAGCACTCTTTTCGCTTGTGAGGAGTTCTCGTGGCTTGACCTGGAAAGGCGTCGCGGTCAGGTAGGAAGACTTTTGGTTGGGGGGGGAGGGTCAGGCAGACGCGAGCATCTTAATTTTGTTGAACTGGGGGAGGCTGTCAACACTCCTTGATGGCTAGTTCGCCTATCTGGTTAAACAGAAGTCTACAAGAGTTAAGCCTAGCGAACTGATATGATACATAGTACAAATTTGGAAAAAGTGTCTCGTAAAGGGGGGTATCCGTTGAAGTATAGTATCGCCAAGTTACTGTGTTGAAAAGCGAAGGCTATCAGTAGATGAGGATACTGATGCTCTTGGTAGGCATCTAGGTACCTAATCCTAACCGGTGACGAAAATAGAAACTTACAACCCATAGTAGATATACTAGATGGTGGTGATAAGCTGGTGCATAACGTCGCTGTGGGATCCATGTGCAGATCTCATGACTCTAAGTCGATGCTGTTTTACCTGCAGAAACCTCCTCGCTCGTCCTCCTCGCTCCACGTGTGATGCTAGATCGCATAATGGGCTTTTTTGCGGCTTGAGATGCTTAACATGTAGTTCCGAGCCCCTTATCCGGTGCGAGAAGACCATGGAAAATAAGAAAAATAAAAATAACAACCGCCACATTGCTGTAGCTACATGACTAGAATCGAGAAGCCACTAAGTACGTAGATAGTCCTGCTAGTAACCATCGTCACAATAGGTAGCCGGTGGCCATAGCTTATGGGGAACGGTTCGTACATGCAAATTGATAGTCCGTTTGTACGTGAGACATACCTAAGTCTGCTACATACGCGTCCAATTTGGGTAGGGTGAGATCTATCAAATTAGAGGTTCATAATACATGAGATTCTCTATGCCCCTTACTTAGGTATTAATTCTATATCGTAACTTGTATAGCCTCAAACATCCCTGCTGTCGTCCATCCCCGGAGAGGAACCCTATAGGCTCACTTATTCATCCTTCGATTATATACGCACATACATACATACGTCTACTAGGTAAGCACTTACGATAGCATGTGGAGGGAGGGGAGTACACGCAAATGTGAGAGAGCCTCGATCATACAGTACGAAGCGCCGAGGGCTTGTGGCGCCTCGCGAATCTATGGATCGACAATCCTAAGGCCTCGGCGCAGGTAGGTGGAGTAGGCTATAGACTATGGTATGAGGCGTTATTTGGGAAGATCTTTGAGGTTGAATATAGATTCACATTGCTAGCAAGCTCACGGCTCTTCGGCACACGAACTTGATCAAGTGGCATTTTTCGTTTTCTATCTTTGCCATCTAGGTACCTGATACATACCTGGACATAGATAGATGTCGGGTTGACAGCTTCTACATTTCTTGTCTTCTTAGGACTTGGGTATGTAGATTAATACCATTCTACGAGTGTAACGACACAGCCCTTCCGTTGCAATGAAAAAGCTCGCGTAAATCTGTATATTCGAGAAGCATGTACGTATTACCTACTATGAAAGGTAGTGGTAATTCATATGCAAAGTTAACGAATATTCCGCTTCTCTTCCCTACATAAGTCAGGGATACTAAGGGAGTAGAAGCGAGAGAGCCTCCAATACGAGTTGGTAACGTAGCAGGGAAAATTTTCATCAGGCTTCCTAGGTATGTTCTAGAACTTGGTAACATTCCGATTCTCTTTGGCCGAACAGTATACGTACTTGCAGCAGCAGAAGAGACGGTCAGTCGCGCGTCTGGTGGTGGATGGCGTTCCGGATGGCATGATAATCAAAGCCACACTGTCCCTAGTAAAGGGATGCAACCAATACTTGCGAGGGAGCTTCGCTGGCTAGTATGCAAAGCATTCCTACCTGCCTACTTACCTACCTATCTACCTATCTACCTCATGTACAGTACCTACTTAGTCCCAAGAGTCGAATTGACAAACTCATCTCCGGACAGCTTCGAGACTATGAGACCTTTGGGGGAGAGAAAGTAATCAGTTCGGTAAGAACGGACAGAAGAAGCAAAAGGGCTCCTCCTACTGAGATCTATTTAGCGAGTCGTACTTGGGGTCTCCCTGTAATATGCCTACATCTTGACCCACGTAGTAGGTAGGGAGATTCTGGGGCTGACTGTGGCTTCATGGCTTAATGTTGAATGTTGCACAGTCATTAAGGTATACACATGTACATACGTATGTCGTTACCGACAGTGGAAACGGTACTAGGTTAAGTGCTTAGGCATGTATGTAATAGTGATCTTCTCCAGGTCTTGTATTCTTCTACGCTTTCCTCATCCAAGCAGAACCTGTTTCGGGGGTCGAATACCGTATATGTATCACGGAAAGATGCAATTAAGATGGAAACATACCTACGCAGCAAGTACACTACAGTACGACGAGCGTGACTCGTGTTTTTTCGAGTCAACAAGATTTCATCTACATAATGTACTCGTCGCTCGAGATCAGGCAGTACCTACTTAGCCCCAGATCCAGTGACCCCTTGCCAGGGGTCCAAGCGGCGGGTGGCCGCATGAATCGGAAACATGCCGTAGAGAAATTCTCTCGCAATTATTCGGTCCACAGCCATTCGTTCGACGGTACTGATCTTGATATCCTTACATGCTAGCCGTCGTATGTACCTTGTAGGTACCAGGGAGCCAGGTACATGATCCGAGTGATGGGACCGCGCGTCCGAACGTTTGGTAAATATGTAGGAAAACATCCATGATGCTGTGTTGGATTAAGCTCCTCTGCTCTCAGTAGGTGGTAGGATCGATATGACTGATGAGGGACGTAATCTGTTGACAGCAATATCTGACCCGCGTCTAAAATGACGATGGTGAGCACAAAATCCACGTGCGGCTCGTTCGCGGAACACTGAGACAATGGCTTATTGGGCCTCCCAGCGATACAGAATCGGTTGCTACGAGACATGACAGCGGACGAAGCTACCGAGAGCCAGATCCGTCAGTGTGGTAACTTTTTCTCTCTCTTTCTCTCTTTCTACCATTGAGCACAAAGAGCCCGCCCTTTTCCTTTCCCCTAGCCAACCATCCCGATCCTTCTACTCCTTTCCTCTCCCCCCAACAGCACAAATATGAGCGAGTGATCCCGCTGCAGATAATCGGTCGTGTTTGCAAAAAGATTTTACTGGGGTCCAAATGACCAACTTGCTGGGATTCCCACATCATCAGACCGATGGGGCGGCGGCCGGCCGCAGGCGCTTGCAATCGACGAGTTGTTACAGGTTGTTGGGACCCAGGAGTCCGGTAACAGTTTCACCAGCCAAAAAAAAGTGATGTCGAATTCATGTACCTACTAGGTAGGTAGGTATGTATTCTGTATCCTTTTCCCGAATTTTCTAGACCCCTGTCAGATGTAGCCGCTAGACACCCAGGAGAGATCTGACCTATCTCTTTTCCTTACCAGGAGCTCGGTGTCCTTGGGAAGGTTTAGGGGGGATGGGGGTTAAAAGGGGGCTGGGAGGCTGGGAGCTGGCAGATAAGCTGTGAGCTTCAACGGGGACGATTAGATTATGTATGTCATAGATGCAATTCTCTCAACCAAACCCTTTCAGCGAGGTCGGGATGGGTTCTCATTATGACTGGCTCTTAAGTCGGCCGAGTGCATTTTTTCCACGGCGACATACTGTTTGGTATGAGCTCTCGACCAGTTATCTTCGTTAGTCCATCTATATCAATCTACTTTCACATTGAATTTGAGGTCCAAACCCGAAGCTGGGGGAGTGGGCTAGGGTTGGTGACCTGATATCGGAGTGTACTCTGGTATGCGCAGGCACCATCTAGTATGTAGACCATCATGCTACATATCTAGGTACCTATTATACATATGCAGATGAATACATACCTATATTAGTTACATAAGATGTTAAGGTGGCGGGAATTTCTGGGGTTATCCCAAGCCTGGCTTCCTCGCGAAGCCTCCCTACTGGTTGCGTAGTTATGGTAAAGGGAATAGCCTACCACCCTCAACTTCTCTGCAGCGAGTCCTACGACCCTAATCAAGATGGGTGTCCCTCTTAGGGAACCGATAGGCTAAGAAACACAAGCCCACTACCACCTGGGTTGTGTGTAGGTAGGTATGAAAGAAACCCTAAGCTTGTCTGTTGGTCGCACTGCAGAGCACGCACGTATGTTTTACGGACGTAATTCTCGCTGCGGTCGGAGTACACGCATTGCTGCAGGATCGAGGGACACACGGAGATGAGGTACCCAGGAACGGATACCTGCCTGCAACCGCGAGTGCTCTACTCATTCAGGCTAACAATGTTGAGTTCTGTCTATTATGAGGTATCTTAAAGATAGTATCCGAGTATGTATGAGTATGTATGTAGGTAAGTAGAAGGCGAAGGCAGTGCAGGAGAAGTCAGGTCGCTTAATTATTTAATATCATGTTGCAATATGACGCCGGCGGCGACAGGAACAAAGACATAGGTGCGAGGGCCCGATGGACATCACGTTGTGGGCTTAGAACTAACCTACGCAATGGATTCATGCAGCTGGTATTGGCATGACGTTGCATCAATCTCATTAGAACGGATAATCTACGTGCGATGTTCCATATTGAGTTCCTGGAGCCGTACAAGGGGCACAGCAAGTTGAAAAGGGAAGACAATCTTAAGGTTGGTATACATGCCTTAGGTTAGCTACCTTGGTAAGGTACCCAGAAAAAAGGGGCTAATAGTATATTTCTCTCGTGACGGCGTAATCTGTATTTTACTGGAGCACATTTTTATCTGTGAGAACGTACATAGTGTTCATTCTAATGGAAGTAAGGAATGATGGAGAAGTTATATTTCTATCATTAGATTGTATAGCCTATGTAGGTATGTAAGAGTCTTTGCGGTGGCGATATGACAAAGGCCCAGGTAAGCAAGCCAACAACAAAGAAAGCTTAGAAGCAAGTACCAAGTAGGTAGGTAAGCACGGTGTCACTATGAAGATGCTTTCTAACTGGCTATCCATCTATAACGAATTCCAAGATGAGTCGCTAAGGTCTGAAACGAACGTTTATTAGACTGACTGCCAAAGTCACATGAAGTTACCTAGTGGCTTACAACACCACGTTTCTGTAAGGATGTCGACAACGTGCAGACTACTATGTATATGAGCTATCACGTCTCAGCGTATATAGGTGCTGCAAGGGCTCGAAACATATTTCATCAGGACGTCAGGATGTCTGGTCTCAACTTTGCCATCCCACCCTCCTAATTCAACGCAAGACAAAGCCGTTAGACTTTTTCGAAGATCCCGATAAGTTGGCTGAGTTGCTTCGACCATCCACGTTCTTCCTTTCTAGCCGCATTAATATATGGGATTATGCGAGGCTTATCATGGATTACATTTGATGGTCGAGAGGGAGCAGGGGATGGCATCAGGATATTGTAGTACCTACTAGCCTAGAGTACCTATTGTTCGCTGGGAGGTTCTAGAGAGGCCTCCGGAACTGTACCTATGTCGGTCATGCCGGGAACCATCGACTTGAAAACTTGATATAAAAGCTTTGATGCTACTATAATAGCCAGGCAAGAATTGCAGTACCGGGAAGAAGAGAGATCATCTAGGCGAGGAAGATTAGCTAGGCGGGTTAGTATGCTTGCCAGATCGTCGGTTCCCTCCTTCTAGTTGTCGCAGGGGTTTATGACAGCGGGAGTCCCATGTTCTTCACTACTGCTGTGCCCGTCGTACAACATATGTAGCACGACGGTGCTACGTCTTCCCAAGCGCCAGGATCGGGGACACCCCAAGGGAAAGGGAGTGCGCGAGATCTGGAGGAAACAATATGTCGCTGCATAATCTCTGCGCACCTAAGCGTGTTCCTCGTTTCTCGTTACTGTTCTTGGCCAAGCTGCTGTTGGCGATAAATGAAATTGGTGTTCACGGTGTCGCCTACTTACAGTACATATACACATACATATTCATGTACTTACACGCATCTTCCCTCCACAATATGGGGTTCCCTACATATACCTAGATACATATCTGGGTAACTACCTTAACTTGCGTAGGTACCTGCTTGGGAAACGCATACATATATAATTTAGAATCTATGTACCATAACATAGGTAGATAGATATCCATTATAACCTGTGGGTAGCAAGCGATGTTCAAGATGTTGATGTTTTTTAAGCCACGTACGGGTTCGTGCGGACCTTCGCAGCGTCTTGTATAACCGCACTATGTTGGCCTGATCTCACCGGCCCTTAGGGAAGAAGGTAAAGGCAGGGAAGTATGTACATCTGGAGATAGGTATGTATGTGTGTGTAGTGTATGTATGTATGTATGTAGTAGATCCATGGATCTTACCATGACATCGCGTCGTATCGAACCAATCTACGGTACTCCTAAGCGGAAAGGGCAGAAATGGTGGAGTGGGGTTCCTAGCAGAAGGGATCGATCTTCAAAGCTTTCCCCTGGTCGGCCAAATAAGCTCTGAAGCCCTGCCGGTACTATGGCTTGGCTTAAGGTAGGTAAGGTAGGTATTTTCGGCCTGAGCCGAATGGTAGGGTTCCTCCAGTTCAAGGTGGCTGCATCCATGCGTCAGGAGGAGAGCATGTGAGCGGTATTGTATCGTAGGTAGGACCTACTAGGTACACTAATAAGTAACCCCCAGAAGAAGATTGCATATGCACGAATGCTGAGATCCTTGTACGTACATTTACATACCTACTATTGTACATGTATGT